AATTTGAGTCTAGGGAAATTTGGAACTAGGGATATTTGGATCTAAAGAAACTTGAATCTAGGGAAATTTGGATCCAGAGAAATTTGGAACTAGGGAAATTTGGGACTAGGGAAATTTGGAATTAGGCATGTTTGGATCTAGAGAAATTTGGAATTAGGAATATTTGGATCTAGGGAAACTTGAATTTAGGGAAATTTGGAACCAGGGATATTTGGATCTAAGGAAACTTGGATCTAGGGAAATTTAGATCTAGGGAAATTTGAATTTAGAATGACAGTAATCTAGAAATGTAGAGATATTAGAATCTAGCGGTGACGTCCCTAGAGATATTAAGGTCAGACATTATAAGGATGTGAGGATCTAGATATTTATTGTATAGGAATCTAGATGTTCTGGACCTGTCTACTTTATTCCCTAACAAATTACTGTCGCATACATTCTTCGTCTCTTCGTAGAAAGTACCGTTATGAGAGTTACAGTTTCACCAGCAAACAGAATTGACCCGACTAATTCGCCCATTTCCAAGAAACGACAGGAAACAGCACAATCGTTCACTAGCCAAGATGGAATGGCTCGAGATACAGTGCACGTGAATTGCACAGGTATAGAGATTGAATCGATGTTGAAGAACTGCGGCAACGAGTTACCGCAAACTGTTCATGTGTGTCCTATAAACTGAGTACACGTGCACTTTTTATGGTCATACCATTGGTGTCAAGTTCGATGGCAGGAAGAATATTATTAATATTGATCGCGAAATAATTTGTAACGAAGACGCTTATCTGATGCACGAATCGTGAAGTTGTGATCGCTGACATTTCATGGGTCTTTGTATCGAAATACACAAAAAATAATGAGGCCCGTTCAGTGATAAAGCCGCTTCGTGTTAAAAATAATATTCATTTCCTACGAGTATCTAAATTATCTGCGAAAACAGTGAAAGATAAATTACTTTGACACAGATACGTTTAAAGCACGCAGAACTTTAAATAACAAAGATAGTCAAAGCTCATTACGGTTTTTTTACAACTTATCAAAGATAACGTACGAATGATTCGTGTATTACATATTGTTTTCAAAACACTGTTCGTCGGAACGCACTAAATTCGTGACTAAGTTAAACAGAGTGTTGTGCGCCACAATTTTTATGGAGTATTTCCTGTCCTCTGATGATCAGCGCTGAGAACTAACTTCCTACTTTTAGTCACCGATTCTCATGAACTGTTCTTTAAAAAAAAAGCAAAAACATTAATGTTCCTAAATCTTCACATCTGTAAATTCCTAGATCCGAATATTCGAGTATTCAAGAATTCGATTTATTGATACAGTGTTTATTACGTAAACGGAATATTGTAAACCTAGATTTTATTGTGCTTTCCCAAGAAACCAAAATGTAACGTTTTGGATCGGATACAACTGCACAGCTAAACACACGTTTGCGCTACGAATAGCACGTGTAACTCTCATACTTAAAAATATACAAAAGATTCGCGCAACTAATCTTGTTTTAAAACTTAATTCAACGACCGCTTATTAACTCTATAGATTTGACCTCGATCTTCGTCAAAAAAACTTCATTTGTGACGAATCATTCCAGTTTCGTTTTCGAAATATCCTGGAGTATTTGCTATGGTCGCAAAATGCACAAAGGGTCTTTGTTGCACAGACTTTAAAACTCTTGACCAGAATTGTGCCGCATATATAGAACACTAAGTGCACCACAATGACCCCGATATGTTCAGAAAGCATTCATGTGTTTAATAATCTCGATCGATTGGTATACACGTATCGCATTACACTTGTTAATCATATTACCAGTACCTAATATATTTTATTTTAAACGTACAAACGCATGGAATACACGAACAGTATAACTTTTAGTTGATTAAAAAAATTTTGATAAAGTGTCTGGAATCGTATGATAACGTTGATTCATCCTGCAGATAATATCACGTAAAAATCATTCAACGATAATACTAAGTGTAATGTAGGTAAAGATCCACATTTACGGTATATTGATGGTATGCAATTTTATTATTTAAATATAATTATTCTTGTTTGAACTTACGTTAGATTACATCAAAAATTTAAATAAGATAGACTTTAATGGTGACGCCATTACTTTCCGCCATTACGATCCCCATTAGCAGGAACGATATCTTAACAAGACTATCGACTGAATCGATAAGTATCGATACCTACGGAACCCATAGATTACGTCTAATCTTCGAACGCCATGCTGTTTGCGTATTTATCTACGAAAAGTAATTATCATTCTGAACAAAGACGTGATTATTATTCTGGACAAAACTGCACGAAAATTGCATGGACTTATGTCAAAACCTTTGTCGTCAAACATTCACTGATACAACATTATAAATAAAGACAGTAAACGAGGAACAATCGCGGAATGAGTCGACAACATGACCACTTTAGTATTCCATCGAGCTCAGTTCAAAGACGTTCTTCTCTCTTCCTTTGTTCTTCATTTTATTGTTGAAAATGAAGCCTGGCTATCGGAATTATCCTCGAACAATACTCGAAACACAAAAGACTCTTTTCACATGTAAAAATGAGAGCGATATCTTTCGAACGCGATGGACTGTTTTTCCAATTTCACCGTGCGTGTCAAGTTACTGTTTCATATGACATAAGATAAAGGAAAAGTATTCGGCATTCGCAGAACTAGGTATGGGATAGTATTTTCCCCGTCAGTAATATCAGAATAAATATAACACCATACGTAGGTTATTTGATATTGTTGAGGAAGCTTTTCGATAGCAAAGAATCTTATCTAATTTCAAACATATTACCCAACCCATGCTCACAATATGTACTTTCACCTTATCCCTGAAAACTTATCGCAGACCTGTTCACTAGACACCCTGATGATTCAAAACACCACAGTTCACTATCAAAGAAATTTCGAGCAATGATATTTCTAAACGGTAACATAAATGAAGATGCGCAATTAATAAAATGTTCGAAGAACATTTGACAGATTTTTAAGAGGTTAATTCATGATCTCTTGTGCCATTCAGCAACTTGTATTACTGTCCATTGAAACCGCTAATTAAAAAAGAAATGGAAGTAACCTTGAGGTTTCTATTAGATATTCGTGATGTGCGTGTGCAGTACTTTCAACTGCGATATATATCTATTCAAAAGAAAAAATATATCGAATGTAATGAGTATCGATGTGAAAGCAAGTGTTGTCATGACAAAAATGTTCTTTCTGTAAAATTGCTTCGATCACGAACTATGTGTGTCGAAACTATAATATTACAATATGACAGCTTTTGAAACTATAAGAATCGAATAGTTACTTATCGACACTATCGATAGATTTGGCGGGTTTCATAATTATATTCCACATCTAAAATTTTTATGAACTCTTCTTGTTATGAACAACCTTGATATGCTTTAATTTTGTTCGTGAACGTCGCGTGGTCATTCTAGGAAAGTCCAGTCACCAAGTGCAAAACCGTCTAATTACGCTTAATGTCGCGTTTGCATTTCGAGCTAAACGTCGATGTCACGTACATCCCGTTCGTTTACAATTTTTTTTTCATTTTCTTAACTTTTTATCACAAATAACTTAAACACTTTTAATTTTGAAACCTCCTGTATAAGCATGTTAAGTACAACCGGTCTTGTCGTACCCATGTAAGCAATGACCAATACGAAAGCTCGTTCAATGAACGATGCTCTCGAACCAAAGCCATACGGGCGAAATGTTCCTTTTCTTTCCGTACTTCCTGTTATCAGTGGTCGCACTATTTTCCAGAAGTGCCCTTCGCTTGATTTGTACACCTTCATTTTATCCTTTCCCTTCTGATTATTTTGTTAATAAGCAACCGATACGATTCAACATTGTTCATAAAAAACTATTCAACTTTGTTAATGTTTATTTATAAACGAAAGAAGTTGTACGCAAACACTTGTTATGATAATCTACCATTTATGTAACGCATATTTCATAGTACTGAAAACTGCTGACAAAAACGTCAAACCTTTAACTTAAATTAATAGTAACATGCAATCAAATTGTTATACTTAATTATATTTATATGTTTACGTAAGATAGAATGAAATAAAACAAGAAATTAAAAACGGGCACAGATAATGTATTTTTTTCAATATAGAATGAAAATTGAAACCCACAAACTTCATTATAATTGACATAACGGATATAGTCCCAATACGACTATTTGTAAAATATGTCTCGTGTGTAAACGCTTCAACTACGTTAATTACCCTTTTACTGACTATAAGATAATTTTTGGTACGATGTATCAATATAAATCATGATCACCATGTTATAACTAATCTTAACGTAAATTATAATACAAGGCAATAATAATTATATTTTGTAAACCGTTTAAAGACATTTAACGTTAAAACCACTTCATCAAAATGATGCTACATCGAATCATAAACGAACAGCATCTTCGTTAGATGAAACAATATATTATAGAAATTGTAATTTTTTTCATAGTACTCACTTTGTCGCAGTTTTCCACACAATAATCCAAAAGTATTTAGATAAGCACAGGTAAAATAGAACAAAAAGAAAAACAATAATTGACACAATAGAACAGTACAAACACCTTGCTGTCCGACTTACGACTGAGGCATCTGGCCAATTCTGGCGCCTAGTTTGATTTTCACTAGTTTACGCGCTTATCGCGACCTCTATTCGAGTGTTACGATACAAAAAATTAATCGATAAAGTAGGAATTCAAAAAATGATATATTTATTGCATATAAATACAGAATTATGCACATATATTATGTAATTGTTATATAAATTATATAAAAATTAATTCAACGTGTTATTTCAAATAGTTAAATATGGAATTCAATATTTGTAACTTATAATAACTTCACGTTTATCTTAAATTACCTGTGCTAAAATACATATACATTTTACACAATATATTATTACTATACTATTCTATTTTATCCTATCCTACTATACTATAACTATTCTACTATTTTACCATTTTATGGTTACAACTCGAGTCAGAGCCGGCTTTATGGAGAAGAAAAGTTTAGTCGAACATTTTATCAAATATCGAGTTGAAATTCGTACATTTTACAATAATAATAACTGCTCCATCAAATAACATTTTATATTTAAACAGGTGTTCGTCCAATGTCACGTGAATCAAGCCTTTTAAGTACATACATACATTGCATGTAAAGGATGTAACAACTAAACGTCAAACATAACATGTAATGCACACATATGAAGTTAATTTAAATTCATCAACGGTACAAGTTTGTGCACACGTACTGTACCTTATTTTCCATGACATCAGTTGAATCCGGCTATGTGAGCTCAGAAGCTTCTTATCTATAACATCTGAAATTAAAAATCAAAAACGTAGCATATAACGATTATATGAGGTTTGTAAATGTGTTTGTTCTTCTATATAAAATGGAACAGTCAGATCGAGGCTTTTAGTTTAAATCATTATACTCATAATTTTTCATTTACACAGTATAAGAATAAACGTACAAAGATGACATCAAGATTTACTGAAGTCAAGTTGGGACCTCCAATAGAAGTTTTTGCCCTTCAGAAAGCATTTTTAGAAGATAATTACGAAAAAAAAGTAAATTTATCTATAGGAGGTATGTACATAGATTATTTTAATATTTTCATGATTATGAATGAACAAAGAATTTTGTAAAAATGTTAACAATTAGTTTTAAATGATTAAAAATATTAATTACTAAACTGTGGAAAAATAAATTTTCAAACATCTGTAATATAGCTACCATATTTTTAATCAATCTGCTCTTGAATGACCTCCAAAATCATGTGATGATTATGTAACAGATGCTGACGGCATATGTATTCATATAATGATATAATATAATTCTATAATAATCCATAATTTATAATATAATATGATTCTATAATTCCATCTATAAATCATTTTAGATGATCAATGAAAATATAATGAATTTAAATTATTTGCAGCTTTTCGTACCAATGAAGGAAAACCTTGGGTATTACCAGTTGTTCGAAAAGTTGAAAAATCTTTAGCTGCAGATGAACTACAAAATCATGAATACCTTCCAGTTTTGGGATTAGATGCTTTTAGTCATGCAGCAACAAGTCTATTGCTGGGTGCAGATTCACCTATAATTGCACAAGGTCGTGCTTTTGGTATTCAAACATTATCTGGTACTGGAGCATTACGTGTTGCAGCTGAATTTTTGAGTCGTATTTTACATTATGACACCTTTTATTATAGCAAGCCAACATGGGGTAAATACAAATAAATTTAATATAATATAATTAATCTACAGTATCTTATGTATAATATATCACCAGAGAATCACAAACTTGTATTCGTAAATGGAGGATTTAAGAAAGCTTGTGAATACACATATTGGAATCCAGATACTCGTGGCATTAATATAGAAGGAATGCTTAAAGATCTTGAGGATGCTCCAGAGAATGCTGTAATTATTTTTCATGCATGTGCACATAATCCTACTGGATGTGATCCAACTCCTGAACAATGGTCAAAAATAGCAGATGTAGTTGCAAAAAAACGTTTGTTTCCACTTTTTGATAGTGCATATCAGGTAAATAACATTACACATATTCCTGAAATAGAATAAGCTAACTTTATAAATAAATTTTTAATATATATTTTTTTAGGGTTTTGCAAGCGGTGATATAAATAAAGATGCATTTGCTGTAAGATTATTTGCTGATCGTGGAATAGAACTTATGTGTACACAAAGTTTTGCTAAAAATTTTGGATTGTACAATGAACGAGTTGGGAATTTAGTAACTGTTGTTTCAAATATAAAAGAAGTACCTCAAATTAAATCCCAGTTAACTTTAATTGTTCGTGGAATGTACAGTAATCCACCCAACCATGGAGCAAGGATAGTGGCAACTGTATTGCGAAATCCAGATCTTTTCAAAGAATGGTATAGTATTAACAATGAAAAAAAAAACAGTAATTTATAAGAATTGCAATTTATATATTAAAACGTTAAAATATTTTAGGAAAGGCCATATACTTACTATGTCTAGTAGAATAAAAGAAATGAGGACAAGTTTGTATGAAAGACTGGTTAGATTAGGAACTCCTGGTTCTTGGGAACATATTACTCAACAAATAGGAATGTTCTCTTATACTGGTCTCACTGGTATGTATTTGAAACAATTAAACATTTTCATTTATGAAACGTATCCTATTTGAAATAAATCTTGTTTCAGAGAGACAAGTTGAACATTTAATAAATCAATACCACATTTACCTATTACGAAGTGGTCGAATAAATATGTGTGGGCTTAATGATACTAATTTGGATTATGTGGCAAATGCAATCTATGAAACCGTTTTATTGTTTCCTCAGCATAAGACAAATTGTACGTGTTAAAATGGATGATTGGAACAACAAGCTGCTTGTCATATAATAAGTATGAGATACTGCAGTTCTAAAATTGAAAATATTGTTAAAGCATGGCAATATTTTATGTGCATTCAAGTTAGAAATGTCAACTTAGAAGTGTTAAAATTTCATACGAATTTTCTTTTTGTTATGATTTTATTAAAATCTTTTATTTTCGTTACATAGTTATTATAATGTCTAGATATCAGGATATTTAGGATTGCTTTTAATCAAAACATCGGGATATTTTGTTTACAAAATTTTATTACTGAAAAGTTCAAAAGATAACACGAATTCTATTCTATGGAAGAACCATATCATTCTTTTATGAAACGCCTTGTATATAAAAGTACAAAATGTTACAAAGTATTATGAATTGCCAAATTTTACAATCGCTTATTATTAAAGTGTTTCAGTTGAGCTTAATAGTTTATAGGGTAACAATAAATATTTACAACAGATATTCATTTTGATACTATGTTTTTACAAAGTTTTAAAATGAATAAGATGTTGATCATGCAAATTACTAACATTTAGTAACTTTCCATTAAAACAATATTATTTTTTTAATCATATAAAACAATAGATTGTTAGAATTTTTAAAGGATATTCAAAAGATGAGCATCTTTGTACATGAAAATGTTAGTATCTTTTGTAAATTTTTTAGAAAAATATTTTTTTTTAAATATATATTTTCTATAAACAATTATTCTTTTTATAAAATACAATATTGACTATTCAGTGTTCAATAATTTTACAATAACTAAATACATATAAGCATAATTTATGAATAATGATATTCACGACTGAAGAAATAGTAACTATAAAATAAATTAAAACATAGAACTTAAATTATTTTAATAATAAGCGATTAATTTGTTACTGAAAATTTATTATTTATCCACATAAAAAGTAACATTTTACCAAAGTAACAAAACTATAAAAATTTCAAATGTTACAATCCATTGTTACTGTTAGTTCCTGTTTAAAACTTTACCCCAAACAAAAAGATCAATTGTCATTTCATATAATATGTAAGAAAAAAACTTTAAATATAACAATACTCTATTTTTTCTATAGTAAAAAAAGTACATATAGCATTTTCTTATAATACAGATATTATTGTATGTACATATATTATACAAAAAAATAGCCAATTTTGTTTCCTAAATGCTTCCAGCAGTTTATGTACTGTACAAATGTAAAAAGAACTATGAAAATTGATCTAATGGTCAATATTAATTACATTCTGTACATCACTTCCAATACTATATGATCACAATACAGTCAGATTTCTTATTTCTGCTTCTTTTTACAATTTTATTATATACATTCAGTTTGTTCATACAATTTATACATTAGAAATATTTTGAATATTAATATATTACATAAAAAGAGAATTATATACATTTGTTACATTTACAGAGTATATACATATCTACACACATATATATATGTATATATATACATATCTATAAAGATACATATATTTTTAGTAACATTATTATGCAATTTAAAGTTAGAAACCTAAATTGCTCCTTGTTCAAAAATCTGGACCAAATTCCAAACTTGAAAATTCTTGTAAACATTACTTGAAAGTTTAAATCATCTTATATGTACTGCCAAATTTGATAGCTTGAATGTGCAATGATAAGAATTACTTTTTTATGTATTTACATGAAGTAAATAGGATGCAGAGTACCATGTGTATTTTATAAAGGAGTGTATAATTTTGTAAAGATGATACAACCAAACACCACCTTAGCTTTAATGTATATGTAGTCAAAATTAAAGTATTACCACAGAGATTTAGGTTTACATAGAAGTAGAATTGTAAAGAGTAGAATTATATATGTAAATTATATAAGTGTTATGTGTCTTTATTTGCATATCACTAACTACATAAGAGATATAACAAACAAAGTATTGATTGTAGAACAAAATGTAATATGAGAGCAACAATAGAACATGTACAAGATTCATAAATTGTTGTTGATTTAAATAAAATAAATTAATAATGTTAATTTAAATTATGTTATCCATTTAGATGTTTTCTTTTTTGAATAAACTGTTTCATCTGCAGCGACTGCATGATAATATTCTGAATCATTATAATTCTGACGCATGTAAGTGATATATCCTATACAACCAAACATTGTAATAGCTCCAAGAATCATTATCACTTTATTCTGAAAGATATGAATTTCTAACATGTTATAAATTTTCTTTAATTTTTCAGGAACTATTTTATTTATATAATCTTACCGGTTTAACATACAGTTCATAATTAATTGCACGAAATAATGTTGTACTCTTTAGAGAACGTAATCCATCTCCTGGCTCTGGTTTATTTTTCTTTTCAGTCATTATAAATTTTAATTAGGTATCTCTATCTTTAACAGATTATACATAAAAATACAAAAATATTACCCTTCAACTAAATTAAATTTGTTTTCAATATATTAATTTTTAATTCTGAACCTTTTGATAAATGTATAAAGCAACAAAAAATTACTTATAATGATACATATTTACATGTTGATATTGTACAATCTGAAATATATACAATAATTCGCTTCTTTTCAACTTTAACTATGAGGTCTTTAACCTCATTGTACTTGTATGCATTGTTTGTTCCACGACAGAATATTAACATTTCGCGCAGCTTGACTAAACTTGGAAGAACTATATAAATATTCTTATTCACTTTTTACTTTATTAATCATACACATGGTGGCTAAAATATACGAATGGTGGAAATAAATTGTAGTGTACCGTGGATTGCAGAGAAGAGAGAATAGAAGGTCACCGGATATACATATATTGTGTATGTACAACACGCTTGCGAACTATGCCTTATGTGAAGTAAATAGCGCCACCATGCGCAGACTGAACAGAAATTTGTTTACTCAATGGTACTATTCTCTTGTAAAATCGACGAAATGACAATGTTTTACACGTGATATTAGAAATTAAGTAGTAATCATGGTACGAAAACTTAAATATCACGAGCAGAAATTGCTTAAGAAAGTTGACTTCATATCATGGGAAGCCGACAATAATTTACACGAAGTAAAAATTTTAAGACGATTTCGAATACAAAAAAGAGAAGATTATACAAAGTATGGTTATATTTTGATATACAAATTTGTGTATGACACATTAATTTTATATTTTACGAAATCATTTAGCTAATTATTTTTAATTAATATAGGTACAACAAGTTGGCACGTGAAATTCGTGAATTAGGTAAAAAAATTAAAGAACTTGATGCAGATCATCCATTTAGAATAGAACAAAGTGCATTATTATTAGAAAAATTGTATATGATGGGACTTATACCAACAAAATGGGATTTATCATTGACACAAAAGGTTAATGCAAGTTCATTTTGTCGAAGACGATTGCCAGTTGTTATGGTACGAAATAAGATGAGCCAAAATATTAAAATGGCAACAACGTTTGTGGAGCAAGGTCATGTTAGAGTTGGAGCTGAAGTTATAAAAGATCCTGCATTTTTAGTAACAAGGTAGACAACTAATGTTTTAGAAATATTATAAGAGATGTCTTAGAAATGAATACATAAATATTTACATATCAATTACTATAACATTTCACAGAAATTTGGAAGACTTTGTTACATGGGTAAATGCATCTGCTATTAAGAAACATATATTGGAATATAATGATGCTGTAAGTAATATCATGTATTATGTTTTTTATTACTTTTATTAGCATTATATTTAATAATATATTATTTCTATTACAGAGAGATGATTTTGATATGGCTTAACTGAAAATGGATATTAAAATATTTTTATTGATAAATTTTAATTAAATCAAAAGTTAGCCTAAGTTTATTGTAATAAATTATTGTTACCTTTTATTACCTCATATTAATTATGTGAATAATAGAACCTAGACATGGTATCTTTGGATTTTTTTAAACTGGTTGTTTTTTTATGAATTTCTTCAAGTATAATTTTGCGCATTACATTAATACAATTACTGAAAAAAAAACATGTATTAATATATTAATGGAACATATATTTGTTATATTAAAACTTATGTTCGACTTTCCTAAATTCCTAGATCAAAATATCAATTCAAATAAACTGTGGAAACAAGATTTAAATACCTTTAAATACATACCTAAGATGTAATATTGATTCAGTAAGTTTCACTATCTTTCTGTGATAGTCCAATATGTTTTTTCTAGTATTATAATTGGTTTTATTTTGAGATTTTCCCAAGGACATTAAATTTCTTAATGTTTCATTATATAATACCGTTTTATTATTTGAATTATTTATCAATATAATCCCGTGTTCTAGGGTATTAAGTACAATAGAATTTTCTTTTTCGTCCAATTTCTGATTCAATTTAGTTTCTTTGATAATATCATTATTTAATTCATCCGTATTTATTTCCAAATTTATTGTATTAATATTCTTTCTTATATTTTCTTTCTTTTCAATTTGCCTATTTGTTTTGTTCTTTTCGAATAATTCATCGATTAATTCACGTAAAAAAGATGGTTCTTCAGTACTAAATGTGGTTTGTAAAATAGATTTACAAGAAGAACAAAAACTTGACCATTCCTCATTAGTATCATCATCACTTGTAACTGTGAAAGAATTCTCCATTTTGATTTTAAAACTAGAGATACCGGAAGTTAGAACTCTATATTCGATTTTAATAGTAAAATGTATTTCTAATTTGTGAAAAAATATGAAACATTATTATATATATGTTTTTGGTATAAAATAAAAAGCCGTTTTTGTAAATCGTATTACATGTCTTATAATATAGTTTCAAGACTACCTATTTGTATAAATTTGTTTAATATTTAGGAATGCTTAAAATGCGATTTTTATCTTCTTTTCAATAAAATGAAATATCATTTATTATAAATATTTAGTTCGTCATAATATACAAACTGTAAAATTTTGTATATATTCCATTACTAAAGTGTTTACAAATTATCAAAGTAATCATGCCAGTTGTTTAATTAATGTCTCAGTATGTCATTAGAAATTGCTATATATTTTAACAATGAACGTATGTTATAAAATATAATTAAGTAGAATGATAACTTATTGATTCAATAAAAAATGTTATGCTCAAATGTATCTCTGATATGGTTTATATTCCAGAATTTAATGTTATTCTAAATTTTCTTCTAAAGTTAATATTATTTCCTAATTTGAAAAACTCGTAAGAACTAATTTATAAGATTGACAATACACATTTTTGATTATTCGAAATATTATAAAATCTAAGATCACTTGTTTGTGGGAAACCATTCATTCATATACCTACAATGAATAATTAATATTCAATATGATACACATGTTACAAGTTAATAGTTTTACATTAAAATCGGCAGTCATTGCTGGTCTCTATGACACTATTACCACATTTATATATTCATGTTACATCACAAAAAATAATAAGAGTTCGTATCTTAAAAATAACCCATTTATATCTAAAAAAAACTTGTTTAGATATTCCTGTTACACTACAAGCGTTTCCAATATATATGTGTTTACACATATCTGTAAATTAGATTATTTCTGATAACTATTGGTTAATGTATTTTTACTTTTTTAAATTTTTTCGTGACGTAACTATGAAAATGAATGGGTTTTGTGTCAGCTCAGGTCCCCAAGTATCCTCCTTTTCTTCAACTATTTACAAAATTTCTCATTGAAATTCTCTCAAAAGTACTGCAGTACAATATGTTCATGCTATACTGATTTTCACCAGTATATCAGTACAATCTCCTAATTTCATTTTATAAAAATACACTCCATTTCCTCAAATATCTATTGCTGCATACTGCCATCATTCAAGATATTATTATATTCAAAATGAAATAAGATATCCATAGAATGAGTGATGTATTTTTTGATATATAAAGAAATATTATATGAAATCAGTACCTTTTCAGAAATTAAATGTTTACACAATATTCGTTTCACAATTTTCGTTTGTATCTTGGATATAATACGAATTTCTGAAACGTTATATCAACCAAAATAGTATATACATAACATAATTGTTTTTATATAATACATTTGCAATAATTGTTTCATCAAACGCATCAATTATAAACATCAATGATCTTGTTTGTATCTTTCATCATCACTTTCACAAATTATATATTGTTGCTTTCTTACTATTGTTTTTATGTTTAATACAAATTTTTAATGTATCCTATTCTATTAATTAATTTTAATGAGATACTCGGCATATTTGATAATATTCCAAAATAAATCAAATTCAGTCAAACGTTTATGTTTTATATCACTATTGTATCTATATTCCAGTTCTGTGTAATGACTTATGTGCATGCAAGTATGATATGCCAAATACCTCATTAATGTTCAATTTATATTAAATATATTTATGGTTTCAAATTTCATCAATCACGTTACCGAAAATATCTTTACCATGATTCTTAGAAATTTGAAACGGTGATTTCTACACGCATTCCTGCTTTCTTTTTAATTTATCGATTCACATTCCATTTTATAATTAAACGACAGAACAAAAAATATATATATTATAATTCATTTACACTATAAAGACAAGTAGAGAATAAAACTAAAAAAATTATATTACAACATATCCGAAATAATTATTGATATAAAAAAATGGCTAACAATAATATACAGCAATAACACAGAAGCAATTAACCTTTTCCAATGGAACATAATTACTATTTACAAAAAATATATTTCAAGTTAAATTTCATATACATATGTCATTTTTTTGTTCTTTTATGTAGAAAATGTACTAAGTACATTTTACTAGTTTTATATAATTTATATTTAATATTATGATTTTCACTATATAAAATTTGGATAAATTAATTTGTTTTTTTTTTAAATAAATGTCAGGTTGCGTACATTTTTCAACGTGTTCTGTTTAAAATAGGTTTTCTAAACATTGTACAGTTATTTACAACAGTTGAGAGAAACTTATACGAAATACAGTTGCGTTTTTTCACTTGTTCAAAGAAGCACCTTTTTAAATAAATTAATTATTAAACAAGCATAAACCTTAACTGAACTTCAATCATTATAACAAGACATATAATTCAATGATAATTGAAGTTACACTTTTTTTTGTTAACCCTTCGACGAATATCATAATTGTTCTAAATAATTTTAATTTTTTGACATAGCTTAACAATCAACATTTCATAATTTGATTGAGAAGTTTAGAAACTGAATAATTGCGAAAATTGTTATATCATTATACAAACACCGAAGGGTTAAATATGTCCATCTCTTGCATGCTTGAACATCTTTTGCAAACACAATGGTTCCACATATTGAATACACGTGATCTTAGACTTTCTAATATTTTAATTTAGCACACAGATCTTACTAACGCCGCGCAATTTTTGATTCATTAAATAATCATTCTTAAAACACAATAACCATATCAGAGGTTTTATAAAGATCATATCACCATTTACATTTTCGATATTAAATTCTCTTTTCCTTTTATTTACTAAAAATTATTGTAATTGTTCGTGTATGATATCAATAAGGATTTTATGAAACTTCTAGTTGACATACTGTACCTGTTTATATAACTTTTTATGTAATAATTGCTGAGTATAACACCACTTGTAAATAATACAACAAAACGTAACATAGCCATTATATGAATCTTTCATAATATGAATGATTTTTATCGTTTTCTTTTTGAAAATATTTCGATAAAATAAATGTTAAATGATAAATTGTTTGTGTGTTATGTAATCACAGTTGGTGCATCGCAACCGGTGTATTCACGTAATTTACTTATCTCTAGAGCAATATTAACCAAAGGCTTAAGAACGTCTTGAGCATTTTTGTTTAAAGATGCTGGATCATTTTCGTAACTATCAACATATACGCGAATAGTAGCGCCAGAACTTCCTGTACCAGACAAACGGTATATTATACGGGAACCATCTTCAAATAGTATTCGTAATCCCTGTTTGTAAAATTATAACATAGCATGTTTTAAGGCAATAATTTATTTTATTATGGACAGTATGTGAACCACACAATACCTGTTTAGTAGCTTGGCTTCCATCAACAGGATCTACATACGAATAATTATCGCTTAATTTAACAACATACGTCTTATCCCCAAAAGTTAATTTTGAACCCACAAAACTAGGTTTTTGTATTTCTGATTCAATATACTGCATCATCTTATTTGCTGCTTCAGAATCACAATTTTCATAGTCATACCTAATACCACAGACGATATCAGATTATAGAAGTAAACCATGACTCATCAAAATAAAGTAGTTATTAAATATCAGTTTATCACTTATTAAAAAATGTACCTTGTAAAAAAATTTCTTCCATATGTTTGCCAATGATTCATCAGTATTTCCTCTACAGACTTTCCAAGATTTGCAATTACACTAAGCCATGCAAGACATGCCCATATTCCATCTTTCTCACGGATATGATCAGAGCCAGTTCCAAAACTTTCTTCTCCACAGAGTGAAAGATAACCAGCATCCATTAAATTACCTAATAATGTCATAGTTAATATATTACAAAACTACATAGAAATATATGAAACAAAAATTGTTGATATCTACCAAAATATTTCCAGCCTGTAGGTACTTCATAAAGTTTAATGCCATTTTTAGCTGCAACTCTATCTACAGCAGCACCTGTAGGCATAGATCTAGCATATCCTTTAACACCAGTCTTTTTGAAATATGGTATTGCATGTAAATTAGCAGCTAATACAGCTAGTGAATCAGAAGGTGTAACAAAGAAAGCTTTTTTGCCTAATATCTATGAAAATAATATTAAGCATAAATATATACATGTTCTACATTTGTCTATTTTTTTAAGTTTATTTACCATATTTCTATCTCCATCCCCATCAAAAGCAGCACCAAAGTCATATGGTCCTTCTCTTACAGCATTTACTAAATCTTTGGCATACGTTAAATTTGGATCTGGATGAAGTCCTCCAAAATTTTCTAATGGAACTGCATTAACAATACTCGAATCATCAACACCTAATTCACTACTAAATATTCGTTTTATATATGGTCCTGTAACTGTAAATTTATACATAATTATAATATAGAATAAATCTTCCAAATGACTGAAATAATTGTTAGGTACCTCCATTCATTCCATTAATAAGAACTTTAAACGGAGGATTATTTTCTTGAAGTAATTTTCTAATACTTGAAAAGTCAAAGATGTCTTTCATATGTTCTAAATAATCATTCACAGAATCTATTACATCTACAGTAAATGGATTTCCATCCACCTGGATGGTAGTACTTTGTATCTTATCTATATCTATGTTTATATCAGAAGCAATTTTATAAGTTTTCAATGACTTGGTAATCTCATAAATTTTATTTGTGACTTGATCTGGAGCAGGGCCACCATTTTCACAATTAAATTTTATTCCAAAATCAGCATCTGGTCCACCAGGATTATGAGATGCTGTTAGAACAATTCCTCCTTGTGTTTTATATTTTCTTATTATAGTAGAGACAGCTGGCGTTGAAAATATCCCATTTTGTCCAACAATCAATCTTCTTACCTAATGTCAATAATATTTCTAATAAAAAATGAATGTAAAATAAAATGTCTATTCAATAAAATAAAATACAATTATTTTTCATGGACAAAGAGATAGGAGTGGAAAATTTGAGAATTAACAATATAGCAAAAGGTCCTTTTATATAGGGTGTGGAAATTTACAAGTTTGTAAGATTAAAAATTTTGTAGTTCAAAATCTAAAAAATTTTTAAATCTTTAAATTTTCAAATTTCTCTTAGTTACAATGGAAGAGGGCGCCACGTGAAGTATATGAAGGCCGCTAAGGGAAACTTGATCTACCACACACATAAATGGTAGCAATATAACGAGAATCTACTGTAATAGCCTATCGGTGCTGTATTTGTCTAGTTGTCAAAATTAAGAACTTGTTATTATTCTTTCTTTCACACATTTCATCACTACACGCGCCGTGCACGCTCGTGCCCATGAACTCTTCGGCGAGCTATTGTCTGTCCACCACTGATCTGCACGATCTTATCTTTTTTTATTACTGTAGTCCAGCTATTCAAATCAAAGAAGACATGAATAGATAACGTTTAACTTACCCCATTAGCAGCAGCGATTCTGATAATTTTTCCAATCGCCTCTTTTCCATAATATCTTCCATCGCCACCCACGACTAACGTACTACCAACCAACTGTTTTTCAAGAGCTTGTAATATTGCTTGTACGAAATTTTCCGTGTAATGTTCTTGCATAAAAACTCGTACGGCTTTTCGTAATCCGGATGTACCCGGCTTTTGGCCCTCGTAGACTTTAGTTTCGATAATTTTTGTCGTCACTGCGCTCGACATTTTTTAAATATTATAATCACGTCGAAGATAACTGAAACAAAGAATAACTACTTGTATTCTAACTTAGGCAACAATAAAAACCGAAGATTTGAGAATTTCATAACACGTCTTCGGTGTTAGCTAGCAGACTGAACTTTGTCTACCAATGACACGCAAGGGCACGGGTCACCATCTTGAAACATTGCGCCCGCGCTTTACTACTGAACTAACAATATCAGTCTTTGTCAAGATGAATCTTCTAAGCCGCAAACTACAAATATTCTTACAATGTAATTATGATAACAGAATGTAAACATTTACTAGGAAATCTAAATGATAAAAGAATTTTACGCTAACATGTTATTGGTTTCAGTAGTAGTTTCCATTTAATATAAATTGGCTAAGAAAATATAAAAATACTAAATTGAACTTGTCTCAAATAAATAAGTTTAGCGAACAAGCTTAACTTCCTCTAGAATATTCACATACACACGAAAATCAATTAATAATATCTGTAGAACGTATAAAGTTTATTTAAAAATTTATCTAATGCTATAGCAAGTTTGTTTGCATAAATATAATATTAATAAATGAAACAGGTATCTCTGTTATATTAAAATGATGCGGTTAGGTTAGGTTAGAACAGGGTTTAATGTAAGTCAAAAATAGGTTGGATAATTATGTTGGGTTCAGGTTAGGCGAGTTAAAATTCAATCACAATTAGCTACATTGTAGTTAAGTTATGTCAAAGTTAAGTAAATATACTGTATTTGTAATTCATAATGAATTTTGAATGAGCATGTAATATAAAGAATTGTGGAAGAGTGTAACTGACAATGATAAAATATATATTGTATTGTAATGATAAAGTATATATTGTATTCTTTATGTATATACCCACGCCTTTTTTTAGGAGTATCCGAAAATGTGGAAAGAACAATTTAAAAGTCAAATATACGCAAGCGTACAAGATAGGAACTTATTATGACAATCAGTATTAGTAAAGAAAAATGAAGTGGAGGGAGTTTGTTATGTCAAGGATGCGTGATATACGCACGCGGGTTCATAAAACAGACGTCTACTTGTTTAAAACAACAGTTTTCCCGGAGTGTTAACAGTGACAATGTGTATGTTTTACAAAATATTAAAGGTCTTAATTTTAATTTTATAACTGATTTAACAATTGTAATTTATGTTTTAAAAACAAGCAGCATTCTAAATTGCTATTAAACTGAACACTTTCAAGTAATGTTTTAAATTATATGTATCAATATCTCTTAACAATTATACAAACAATTTTTATAGTCTAAAATTCATTAGAAGTATTATGTTAATGAATTTAAAAAATTTTGTTGTAAAATATTCTTATTTGTATTAGCTAACATAATACCAGGTAAGTAATTTCTTTATGTTTGCTATTTAAATATATGAATTAAATATCTTGTGTTTTAATAGGACATTATTCTTTTGTTGATGTTATACATGGTATGAAAATAAATTAAATAAATCATGGATAAATTAAAGAGCAAGTGCAATATTAATACAATGCAACATGACAGTGGATCCGAAAGTGCACATTTACTCTCATCTGGATCTCATTCTAGTATTGAACCCATGGCATTTCAAGACTCTGAAATCAGTAACTTGGATTCTGCTTCTAGCAATAATTACTTCAAGTATTAATTTACTCAATTAATATCAGTATTACTTTATAGTAATAGTTATCACTAAATATTATTGCTAACCAATTTGCTAATTGATCACTGCTTATTAGGAGTATTTGTTTATAGGTATGGTAGTGTAGAAACTTGTAGTCTTGACTCTAATGCTATTGCAATATTGAAAAGGCCTCCACCTGTTAATGAAGATCACATTCTAGTAACAGCTTCATCTATAAGTACATCTTGCTCATTGAATGTAATACAAGACAGATGTTATGACATTCATAATATTGATCTGGTGAGAATACCACAAACAATATTCAACTATATGTTTTGTTCTAATATTTATATGTATCAAGGTTAAATAGCTTGTAAACATACACATTCATCATATAAAGTTACAATTGATTATTTTTTCTAACTTCAATTGAAAAAAGATATATATTAATGACTAATAACAGAAAAGAATTTTACATGTGGATAACATGGCCAATCTACTTTTTCTATGATTAATCTATTCCTTTTGTTTATCAGGTATTCAGTAATGAGTCAAATGACAAACAGTCTCAGTTAAATGATATTACTAAGTTTTTATCTGTATCTTGTTCATCGCAACAAGAAGCTATAAATTCCAAACCAAAGCAAAACTCTTTAGTCACAGTGTAAGTAATAATAAAGACACCTGTTTTTTATTCAACAGTATTATTTAAAAATGTGTCTAATATTTCCAAGAAGTAAAATAAGATAGATGTTACTGTTACTTTTGGCACTAGTAATAAATGTAATATTAGAACTAACACCATGGAATAATAAATATACATTACTATCAACTATTATATTATTATCAAGAAAGGGTTTTGGATCAGTTTTTTCATACCATGTTCAGAAATCTAATCATATTCATAAATTTTTTGTTATCTCATACCAGTCATATTTTTAGTAGAATAGTGACGAGAGAAAAATGAAATCTTGCATCAGAAATGCTTACATGCATTTTGAGTGTGATAGATCGATGTGTATCATTTGAGCTATAAATCATTTCCTTCATATTATACTTCTTATATTAAGTGTATGTATCACAAAAAAGGGTGCAAAAAATAATATCCATTTGTAGATAATAATTTTTTGTGCCTGTGACCCATCTAAAAAGATAAAAAAAGGAATAGTAAATATTTATTTGAGTTTATAAATAGCATATCATTTTATTTTTTGATGTCCTATATCAGACAAGGATGATTTCTTTAAATGTTATTCATATTTTATTAATTTATACAAAAAAAAAGTATGAGAAATATATTTAATGTTTGTCATTGTGCAAAGGATTTATATAAATTTATCTATATTATTATTAAAACTCGTTTATACAAAATTATATAAGTAGACTTACCTGTTCTTGTAAAAATTACGTGTTTTTTCTTTTATATCAAATTTCACTATTATTTATACATGGAAAATCGCACGACTGGTCATTCGTTTTCATATATTAAAAACACACGTTTCACTGGGATATCGCGAATAATTTCATGTTATATATGTCAAAATCTTTATTTTATACAAAAACTTTGTGAACGCATGTTTTTACTATATGAAAACGAAAGAAAATTTAATATAACTGGAATACTGGTCGCTCACATTTGAACAGTCACCGGGTGGCTATGCCGACTACATGACATATTCACATTAGAAGGGGTTAGTGCTCCGTCGGTTGCCTGGGCAACAGACGTCCATCCGAGAGGTCAATGCCCGTATCTAACACCTGAGAAGGAACATGTTGAACATTTAGAGCAGGCCTTCCTCGATTTTCATGAGACAAAATTAAATTTCAAAAATGGACATTTTTTTCTAACCCATACACTCAAAATATATTATTTTCCAAAATTTTGAAAAATAAATATATTAATGTTATAGTAACATATTACATATTTCTAGGTTTTCAATATGGAATACCATATTAGGTTCATCTTTATTAACAGTACCATGGGGTATCGAAATGGCTGGTTTTTTTCCTGGTATTATCCTTGTACTTTTAATGAGTGGTTTATGTCTATACACTGCTTATTGCCTTCTTCTTGTACATAAGTACCATGGTGAGATAGCAATAAAAATATTAATATAACATACTAAATCCTTCTGTGAAATATCGCTTATAATAATTTACTTTTTAAGGTGGACATCAAGGAATAGAAGTGACTCATTTATGTAGGATATATATTAATAAATGGGCAGAATATATTGCTAAAAGTTTTAGTGTAATAGTTTTATTGGGTGCAACTATTGCTTATTGGGTATTAATGACTAACTTTTTATACAATTCTGTTAATTTTGTATATGGTAAATATGTATTGACATTTTTAGTTTTTATTTAATTCATTATGTATTCCATGTTACAGAAAATATTCTTTCACAGATAGTACATTTGGAACACCTGAATATTCTATCTTTGATAATACCTCTCATTTACCAGAAGGTACTTAATTTGTTTATAATATTTATTTTGTACACGTGTATATATAAGCAGACTCTTTGTTTTAATTACAGTATTGTGTTTGAAGAAAGTTATCAACAACGATACAAATTATGTAACTCATGATTATACATACAGTGCTTTGGGTCCAGTTTGGGATTTATATAAGACAGTTCCAATTTTTCTTGGTTTATTAATATTTCCATTTTTGAACTGGAATAGTCCTACTTTCTTTACAAAGTTTAATGCTCTTGGTAAGAAAACAATTTTTATAATAATAGTAGTTTTATTGCATGTGAATTATTTGCAAACCTGATATTCTTTTTAGGTCACAACATGACTTTGATTTATAGATTTATATCTTGTTCTATCACATTATGACAATAATATCTATGTCACAGGAACCCTCTCAGTCATGTATTTGATTATGTTTGTCCTGATTAAATCAACATCATGGGGCATTAATATGAGTGAAATAGAATGGGAAAATAGTTGGATATTGAAATCCTCATTTCCTGCTCTTTCTGGAATGTTGGCACTTTCATTCTTTATTCACAATATCATTATAACCATAATGCAAAACAATCGCGATCAAAGTAAAAACGTAAGTAAATTTAATTGTCTCATTGATATTAAATGTGTTATTAAATAATTTTACTTTCATGTTTCAGGGAAGAGATCTTTCAATAGCTTATCTTCTTGTTACACTAACTTATATCATAGTTGGTGTACTATTTTATGTATGTTTCCCACTTAATAAGTTATGCATTGAAGATGTAAGTAAAATATAAAATAAAAATTTAAAGTGTATTGATCTTAAAACAAAAATAAGAATTATTTCTTTTACAGAATTTTTTAAATAATTTTCAAAAATGGAGCGGTTTAACGGTCGGGGCTCGTATTGTTTTACTGTTTCAATTATTAACAGTATATCCATTACTTGCATACATGTTACGAGTTCAATTACTATCATCATTATGTAAAACATACAACATGGGATGTGTTATTATTATAAACATCATTCTAATATCTATATGCATTTTATTTGCCATTTTTGTACCATATATTGGTACAATTATACGATATACTGGCGCTCTAAGTGGGTTTATATATGTTTTCACATTACCAAGTTTACTATATTTAGTAATTTTGAAAGAACAGCAGAAGTTATCAATATTCTCTGTACTTTTACATATAAGTATACCAATATTTGGACTACTAAATCTAGTAGCTCAATTTTTTATCACAGAAATATAAATATATTTTATTTAAAATTTTTCTAAATATTTTAAAAGACAAAGTTGTGTTCCTAATAGTAATAGTACAATTAAAAAGTAATTTATATTTATATATTATTGATAAGGTTGTATTTTATATGAGAGACAAATTTTTTAATAAAACTATATATAATAAATGATGTACTAGTATATAAAAGCTGTACTGAGCAATTAAGAACAAAAAATATTTTTATATTCACAATTTGTTCCTAATATTTAATTATACTTTAGAATAAATATACTTTGTAACAAGAAAACAACCATTATGTTCTTTTATTGTTTAAATCTATGCATATAATATTGATACTGTTATAAATAGGTCAATGTTAAACTTATATGGCACAGTAGAATCTTTCTTTATTTACTTCAGTATAAATAACTATGTAAAACAATACATAATTTATCTATATATATAATAGACATCTATAATTATTATAAATACCTTAACTAATTGCTTTAATTGTTTTTGGAATTTTGTATATCCAAACAGTATCAACTCCTTCACCTATTACCTTAATTACATTCAAGGTAGGAAGTGGAAATCTACAAGCAACTATAACACAGTCTTTTTGTAATTCTTGTATGAATTTTGCTTCAATATCTGTCATCTACAAAAATTTCAATACATTAATAACATCAAGTAAGCAGATAATAATACGTGAAGGAAAATAAACTATTATAAAATTACCATTTGGTCAACACCAAATATGACAACATTATCATAATTCTTTAGATTATATTTCCACAAATTTTGTTTTATGAAAGTTGTTTGTGATGATAATCCTGTAATTAAAGCTTTCAATCTAGAATACCATACCAACCAAGGATTTAATTCAATACCATGAGCTTTAAATCCAGCTTTTGCTGTTGCAAATACCTAATTACGATATTATGTACTAGTCTGTTAATATGTATTTTAATTAATATTAATAAATTATTTACTATTCGTCCATCTCCACTTCCAAGATCAATTAAGGATCCAGTACGTCCTTCTAAAGCTTGTAACACATTTTTTACTTGTTGTGATGTAGCTGGTACATAAGGTAAACATATTTTACGAAACGCCGGACTCACAAACGGAATGCATATTATACTAATAGCTGTTGCAATACCTCCTAAAAAATAATATATACATATTATGTATCAAAAAACAGTATTGTTTATTTACCACTTTATTACCTGTTACTCCAACAAGATATAAACCAATCTTTGAACCCCGTTGAGATAATTTTTGTCGTGAATTGATATTATTGTTATTACTTACAATGTAGCTTATGTCATTAACCTCTGCTAATTAAATTCATAAAATTAATAAAAATTCATAAATATAACCTATTTTATAATCGATAATTCATAAATCTTACACATTTTGTATCTTTAGCATTCACCAATACTATACAATCCATACAAAATAATCTGCAAATGTTATGAAAATAACTTCGTAATCCAAGATTGTGTTTAGGAAATCATACTCCACCGAACTCTTTCACGCAACAAAAATCTCCCTAGTACTAGCAACATTATATTGCTTTATTTCCGCTTCATATACTCGGTGGATTATAAAGTATGAATAATGACAAAAAGGATAATGTAGGAAGTGTTCAATATAAGAAAACTCATAATTTGAAAAGTTCCACCCCTTATGACATGAACTATAGTAATATTTCAGCATTGAAAGTTTTCCACGCTGTTTCCCTAGATTTCTTTGTATTATGCATCGATACGATTTTCTTGAGTAAGGCAATTCCAATTCTTGATCGTGATCCATCACGGCTTGAATTATTTTCTTGCTGCTGTACGAATTAAGTTTCTTATTATTTCTTAGTGAATCATTTTTGATTATTTGAAGTGCTGTTAATGTTTACACCTGCAACTCTGTCATTAAGTTCACGATCAAACTTGTATCGTATGAATATACAATTTTAATAATTGATATTTTTATATTTTCACGTCCGAAGCAATTAAGATGCCAGTATTTCATACAAAAACTATAGAAAGCATCCTTGAACCTGTCGCACAGCAGGTAATTACATTTATTCTTTAATTTTATAATTATTCAATCATTATACAAGTTGAGATGTTCAGCATTTTATTGTTTCTGAAAACGTCATCGATTTATATTGCTACTTGCCTGTAAATAAAAAATACCACTAATAAAAAAAAATAATTTGATCGATATTAATTTAAAAAAAGACATGCAAAATATCCTACAAATATTTTTTATGCATTTAATCTAACATATGTGCATAGCAGGTTTTATACTTGTCAGATTGTTTATTAAATAAAAACAGTTGGATATATCTTTTTATAAAATATGTTGAAAGAATAAATTATGATGTACATTTCATAACATCAATCACTGAGTCATTAAATTTATAATTTGCCAAATGACTTGTGTATCTTTATATAGAACTATGACATCATTCTACAAATATAGGGCAGGGATACTAAATTCATCTTTAGGTCTGAAAGCTTAGATGCATGAAACTTAATCTCATCAGTTAAGCTTCATAAAAACTTATGTTAACCATCTGAGATCACTTGCTGTTTCCAAAAAAGGACATGTTGATGTTGCTTATCATAAAATCATCCCACACATTACACACACAAAAATACCAATATTCTTCAAACTGAACAACCTTCTGTAGATGTTAATGACTTTATTTACAATGTTAATGTATAATCAACAATATACATATATAATTTTTATATTTAATGTCAGATATTTTGTAACAAAGCTGAATGCATAAAATAATAAACTGATTGTGTCAAATATTTTTTAAGTTTTGTCAATGACCATACAAATTTATAGCTTATAATTGTACACAATAATATTGTACAGTTTAATAATTTAATTATATATAAATAATAAATGAAATTTAAATTAATTTTTAATCATATTAAAATTTCCTTTATATTATATAGGTTTCAAGGCTTGTTATTTTACATGAAGAAGCTGAAGATGGAAATGCAATGCCAGATTTGGGTAGACCTGTGCAAGCAGTTAGCATGGCGGTAGCAAATCTTGTAAAGGTAAACTTAAAGAAGAATTAAACAAATGTTTATTAAGGATGTATACATTTTCTTAAACTTTGTTATTAATGCATAGGTTGGCAAAGAAACAATAAATTCTTCTGATGATGCCTTACTTAAACAAGATATGCCTGCTGCTTTACAACGTGTAGAAGGAGCTTCGCGTCTTCTAGAAGAAGCATCTGCAATGCTAAAGCAGGATCCTTATTCTGGACCAGCTAGGTAAGGGAAATAGAATATAAAATGTAATCTATTTACTTCAAATTTTTCAAAATGATTCATTAATCTTTTTTTTTTAGGAAAAAACTAATTGAAGGTTCACGTGGTATTCTTCAAGGCACTAGTTCATTATTATTGTGCTTTGATGAAAGTGAAGTACGTAAAATCATCAGGGAATGTAAGAGAGTATTAGATTATTTGGCAGTAGCAGAAGTTATTGAAACAATGGAAGATCTAGTTCATTTTCTTAAAAATTTAAGTCCTTGTCTCAGTAAAGTATCAAAAGAAGTAAGTGCTAGAGAAAAAGAACTAACTCATCAGGTGCATAGAGAAATTCTTGTGCGTTGTTTGGAGCAAGTAAGTATTAAATTAATTGATTTCATTTTATCACATTGATGTTGCTAATATTAACAATATGTCTACAGGTAAAAACACTTGCACCAATTCTTATCTGCTCCATGAAAATTTTTATTCATATTATCTCTCAAGGAGGTAAAGGAGCAGAAGAGGCAGCTGAAAATCGTAATTACTTATCTGGCAGAATGTCAGACGAATTAAATGAAATTATTAGAGTGTTGCAATTGACAACATATGATGAAGAGGAGTGGGATGCAGATCAGTTAACAGTACGTATTTTTTAACCCTTTTGATATTGTGAAGGTTGCAGTAAAGAAATTGAAATATTTGGTAAAAAATATACATTTTAATTCATTGTTATTTATTTAGGTATTAAAAAAAGCACAGAGTGCTATAGAATCTAGAATACGTGCTGCTTATGATTGGTTAGATGATGGACTTGCATTACGTGGTGGAGTAGGAGAAAAAAGCCTTCGTCAAATAGTTGAACAAGCACAAAGATTGGCAGAGAGATATCTTCCCCCCTCACAAGCAGAACCATTACAGAAATTAACATCACAGATTGTCACTATGACCAATGCTCTTTGTGAACTAAGACAGAATGAGAAAGGTTTATATAAGTTTATATTATTCTTATATAAAGTAATAATATATCTTGTATCTGAATTGTTTAAAATTTTAATATGTCCTCACAGGAACTACACCTCAAGCAGAAGCTTTAGCACGTGGCATAAAAGAAAAAACGAACGAACTTCGTAGCGCTATCGCGTCTGCCATAGTAGCTGCGGATAAATCTGGAACCACGCAAACTGCTCATACAGTTGCTGGCCGTTTAGAACAAGCTAATAAGTGGCTACTTAATCCACAACACGACGACAAAGGACTTGGTCAAAGGGCTATAGCGTTGATTATTCATGAAGGAAAAAAGGTATAGTATACTGAACATGCTTAGTTGTTTAAAGAAATATTATTTACTTTTAACAATTAAATGCCGCGAACGGAAAGAATCAACAACATGTAGCAAACGTAAGTTACATGTAACATTTTAAATATTTGATTTTAAAATATAACGTGATTTACGTATATCGATGGTATCAAGATTTCTGCATACGACAATCTTCTAATCTTTCTCATGTTTATCAGTTGGTTTATACTCTAAACATTAGGTTGCTGAGGGTTTACCAGGCATACACAAAGCAGAAATTTTGCAATTGTGCGATGAAGTTGACAATCTATCTCACCAACTGGGAGACTTATGTGCCCATGGTCAAGGAAACACTCCTCGTGCTCAGGAGATTGCTCGCCAACTATCACATAAACTTTATGAGCTGAAGAATAGGATACAACAAGCCGTCGTGTCAAGAGTGGTTGAAGACTTCATTGATATCACAACACCTTTGAAGCAGTTTACAGATGCTGTATTAGCTCCACAGGGTACACCAGGCCGTGATCAAAATTTCAACGATAAAACGCATGCTCTTCAGACATTCTCGAATAGAGCAGCAAAGACGGCTAGAATGGTCGCTGCTGGTGGTAAGTGCAGATATTAATATTATCATAGTAAAACTGTTTCATGTTTTCAAATTATTTTTTCTGAATTTTAGGAAGCGGAGGAAATAAAAAATTGGCAGAAGCACTGACTGCTAGTGCATCCCAGGTTGAATCTTTAACACCACAATTAATTAATGCTGGGCGAATTCGAATGACTTATGCAGATAGCAAAGCAGCGGATGAACATTTCGAAAATTTGCGACAACAGTATGCGGAAACAATGCAAAGAGCACGAACATTGTGCGATGAAGCAACCGATAGCGGTGATTTTATTCGAACCTCCGAAGAACAAATGCAAAAACATTCATTTCTGTGTGAAGAGGCTATTGCAAAAAGTCATCCGCAAAAGATGGTCGATAATACAGCTGCTATTGCTAGATTGGCTAACAGAGTAATACTTGTTGCGAAACAGGAAAGTGATAATAGTGAAGATCCTACATTTATTCAGAGAGTAAATCAGGCTACAGATATACTTCAAAATAGTGAGTAGTATATAATGACAAAGTTTCTTGGAAATCTATTATATTTATATTCTATATAACTAAATATTTTATTAATGCAAATATTGTAAAAAAAACTTTTGTTTAGGTGTTGCTCCAATGGTTCAAGATGCTAAGTTAGTTGCAATTAACATTAACGATAGTAACGCAGTTTCTCGTTGGAGGGAAAGTAATCGAGCGGTAAATAACATGACAATTGTATTTATAGTTCAAATTACCTTCATTGTACCATCACAATGATATTTGTATTTTGCAGCTATTAGCAAATGTCGGTCAAGTTCGTAAGGCCATCATTGTTCAACCAGATTTAATACCTCCGCCAGAGGTGTCGCAGTTACATCTTAATGATGGTGAGCATATAAATTATTTATTTTTATGTATCACAGTCTTCACTCCACAGTTGTACACTATACATATATAAGTATCTGTACAAATAGGTGTTTAATATTTTAAATGCAGAAGTATTCATTAATAATGAATATTATATTTATTTTTTATAATTTAAAGGCTCTTTTACAATATGATAAAACCTCTACACATTTCTGATATAAAAGTCTTCAACATTTCTTACAGAGGAACAATTGCCAAGCCGTCAATATAATTACTTCACAGATAAAGGTACTATAAATTTGCGTAAAGATAATTTATGCATGATGGATTACAATAGTGTAGTAGTGAAGTACTACTTTTATCAATTCATTAAATTCACAAAAATAAAAAATAATAATGAACAATCAGATATAATATTACATTCGTATCAGTATAACGTCATTATATTATTTTGTTTTATGATTCTAATGAAAAGTTTGAATATTCCTGAATATTTCTTTAAATACCAGTTGGTGAGCCTTTAAGAAATCAACCATCGCCAAGCAATTTACGTGTCATGAGCCCTAGTCTGAACACAAATAAATCACAACAACGTTCTATCAGTCCATTACCTAAATGGGCGCGTGAAGGTATTTACTATTACTTGACAAGAAATCAATTAAATTATGTTTTTAACTTACTCCTTTGCTTCAATGAGATTTCTTATATATTGTCTCAAAGTAAGAATATAAATATCCAAGGCATTATTTTTTTATATTTATGTATAAAAATAATTTTTTTTTTATCAGGAGATAACCCTGATCTCCTATATCAAGAACTGGCTTCTGATAACGAGTTAGAAAAATCAATTCACAATGGAGGTAATTTAAGATCAATACATTTGAGGATTGAAATTACATTTTCAATGCTCAAGATTCGGTTTATTCCTGGGAAAAAAGCATGCGTGCATTGCATTTATATATTATTATTTCAAGTAGTATTCTTTTAATATTAAAATTTGAAATTACAAAATATTATATTAAAAACAATAAAATTATGTTTTCAACGGCATAGAATATATGATATATTGCATATATCTTTTAACTTAATATGGTACATTTTAAAATAGAGATATGTATTAAACTAAAAGAACAAATTTTATCATTCTTTTTGATCATTTAATAAGACACTGAAGTTGTTTTAATATATCAGGATTATTACACTATTATATACTAGAGTATAGATTTTTAATCTTCATTTTTTATACTAACATTGTTATCAGTTCCTTTAAACTTAACGACATCTCTAATTTCATTAATGTATTTTGTTCATGTATTATTGTGATTATTTATTGCATGTATACTAAGATGGTTTTGCATCAAAATATAATTCAAATGTATTAATACGTGTTTACATCTTTAATGCTGCGTGAATGAAAGGCTATCATTATGATTATAATAATGATGATGGTAATTATGATATTTCTGCATTGTTCTTATCTTTATGATATGTTAAATATTTCTGTGTATAATGAATGTATTGAAAAGACGTTTATTGTTTGGATTAACAGATTTGAGGTTACTATATTTCAGTCAGTAATCAGGAAATTATTGTATACCTTTAATTTTATTTTAGAAGTTGCGCCGCCGCGCCCACCCCTGCCTGGTGGAGATGTTCCACCACCACGTCCACCACCACCAGAAACGGATGACGAGGATGAAATGTTTATGCATGCACCGCAACCTAATCAGCCTATAATGGTACATTCAAATTTAACATGTTAAACATCTTTAAAACAAACATTTCTAATATTATAATGGTACCATTTTTAGATGGCTGCCCATGGATTGCATCAAGAAGTCCGACAATGGTCCAGCAAAGATAATGAAATTATTGCTGCTGCAAAGAAAATGGCTATTTTAATGGGTAGATTATCGGGCTTGGTTCGAGGAGAAGGTGGTAACAAAAGGGATCTGATCGCTTGTGCCAAAGCCATTGCAGAAGCTTCTCAAGAAGTGACTCGCTTGGCTAAAGAGCTTGCTAGGGAGTGTACAGACAAACGTATACGTACAGTATGTACATTTTTTCTACAAGATAATGCATATCTTAAACGAACGTATTTTAATAATTTTTTAACTGTTTCTTTTAGAATCTTCTTCAAGTTTGCGAACGTATACCTACCATAGGTACACAATTAAAGATTTTATCAACTGTTAAAGCAACAATGTTAGGTGCCCAAGGTAAAGTATATAAATTATTTCGTATAACATATTTTTCTATTAATGTGTACTCTACTTGGTAAAACAAACTAGCAATAAAAATTAATCGAAGCTTGGGAATATAGTTTCATATCTTAAAAGTTTCTGAAAAGAAGAGACAGTTATTAACAACATTTTTTGCACATAGAGACGCTCCCCACCTGGGAAGAGCTGATGCTTTATGGTAAAAAAAGAAAACTAACAAATTATGTTTGATGTCTTGATCACTTTCTCTAGCACTTATTTTGTTTCACTTTCGGGACATTTCAGTTTTGCATTTGCATTATGATGCATGCATATTTTAGTTTTCCCTGGGGTAAAAATTATGAATGCATTTGGTAATCAGTCAATCTAAAAAAGAAACTTAAAGAAATAATGAATAACAAGTTACATGATATATATTTAATCAATTATAAAACATGACATTTAAAGCTTTCTTTTAAATTAATGCTTATTGATGTCTTATTTAAACTTTAATCGGTTTGCGGTTGATATGCCACTGCTCATCATGGTGTAGACGAATTGATTGGCTGCAGTAAGTTTATTACAACATAAGTATCAATCATTCTAGACAGTGCATATAATTGATAATCATAGATACGTGGACATTAATATTGTGTATATGTATCAAAAAATGTACTCATAAGATACATTTCACTTGTTGACAAATTAGTTTGAATTAGTTTAAAATGAAAGGAAGTAATTTATAATATACTTGTTTTATTAGTAATAGCATATGTTTAAGACTTCTCCATGCATGATTTACATATTCCCTATCTGTTTACAATAAACATAAGATATTGTGAACACTAAACAATAATAGCACTTATGTACTGCATGTAACTTATTTTGTAGTCTAGTATCGTTTACTACACTTACAAAAGTAGAATAAAGTTACAGCACATTTACACATACGTATTTGATCATCTAATTTTTAATATATTGAAATTGTTCAACTTCATTCATTTGTACTATTGTACTGTATATTTTTTATAGATATAGAAATAGACACTTTTATTTTGTAAAAATTGTTGAATTGACATTAAGAATTATTTAGCACTAACTCCATGTTTAAAATATATAGGTACAGAAGAAGATCAAGAAGCAACAGACATGCTTGTTGGAAATGCTCAAAACCTCATGCAGAGTGTGAAAGAAACAGTTCGTGCCGCAGAATGTGCAAGCATCAAAATACGTACTGCGTCTGGCATGAAGTTACGCTGGGTGCGACGTCAACCTTGGTATCAATACTAAATGAGAGGTCGCAGTAAGAAAAGTGATCTAGAACAGATAAGTAAGACTTCCTAATATTAGATTACATTTAGATTAATTGGTTCTATATACAGTGAAGTCTCGAAATATGATCTTTTTTATATATGGCCCATTGAGCGAATTTTCCTTTAAACAAACTTCCATCCACTATAATGATGATCTCTCATTATTACGAGTAATGATATTTCACTGTAATACCTTTCAAGAAAGTGTTCTAATGAGGGACAACAATCAAGTATTTAAAATTGATTTAATATTTCATAAATTATGTGTGAAAAATTTGAGAAATGTTTTTCAGTCTAAACAATATTTATTCAGTTTGTTATAAATTAACCCTTTGTTGAGTTAATTAACAACCGATAAATTCTTTCCTATATTAATGAAAAATCACATAATATTGCTAATTCTTAACATTTCTAATTTTGTTTACCTGTATGTGTAGAAACAAGTAAATCCATTTTAAATATCTGAATTGTATTCTTATAACTATTTAATAAGGATAAAAGTAATTATATGATAATTTATACTTGCATATACTCTGACAAACTATATGTTCATTATATATAAAATATAGTTTATAACGTAAAAAAAAGAGCTAGTGACTAATATTAGAGATATTTTACACAAGATGAGAGACATATCTCAATTGGTAAATTATAATTCAAAAATATTTTTAGATGAAATATTCAAGGGAATACTTAAATAAGACTATTTAAAGCCACTGTCTCTCATGATTCGATTAAAAATAGAAATTAAATAGAGATGACAAAGCTTATGCCTTATACAAATTACCAATTTGCTATATATATTTTTATGTGTATTTGCAATAAAGTGTACTTTACAGGTACAGTATATTGACCTAAAATCGGCACAATAGAACAAATTTTTATCTACATTTATTAAAATGTCATACGGATCCAGGATAGTATAATGTATTTTTTCAAACTAAAAATTAGAGTATAATTTTTTAATAGGTGCTATTTGCCGCAAAATACACGTAGTAGACATTAACATGCAATATTATAATAAGTAAATATATTTTTGTATTTCTTACCTAATAATCCTTTTTAGAGAACATATATAGTTGTTTTAGGTATTCTCAATGTTTTCAAACTGGTGCTAAATGTATGTGCAATATTGATAAAAGATACTGGAAAATAACATAAGTATAAGCAATGTTAAACCAAATACCCGAAATCAATTTAATATGTCCTCAAGAAATTTAGGTTAAATATTAATGTAAACAGTAATCTCTTTCAGTAATATAATCTAAGATAATTATGTAAAACTATTTATAATAAATATCAATTTTTATTATATATGATACAAAATATAAAAGTTTAAGAAAGATTAATTTGTATTATAATAAAATTATATACAGTGTTGATTTAAGAATGAATAAAATTAAAAAATAGTACTATCTTGTTAAAATATTTATTCAAGACTATCCCTTTTTATTGGATGTAAGCTAGGGACTGTAACTCCTGGTATTTTATTCTTTGGTATTTTTCCTGGCCTCAAATAAGGATTATCTATAGCATCTTGTTGTGTCGTGGTTTCTCCATTTTGTTCACTATCTTCATTTTGTCCTTTCATACCTATAACCACATTGCATATCATAAAAAACTTAATATTGTGCAAATTTTACAAAATCTATATTCATATTTGTTTATCATCTAATCGAACCTTCCTCTGTTTCTTCAATGTCTTGTTCTTTCTTCTTTTTAACTGGACTTGGTTCAAACTGAAAATCTTGATCAGCTTCAAATATTTGATCTTGTGGAAGTAATGCAGAAAGGTAACTAGGAAATTGTGGTTTACATGATATTACTGCAAATAATATCCTTAATAAGCTCCTTAGTGTTATGAGTTTGTACCATTTATACATAGTAGCAATTACTTACATGGAAACATACTATTATCATCTGTTAAAAATAAACTATGTGTCTCTCCTGTTTTTGCAATAAACCTTGTCAAAGCTCTTTCAATATCACGTTTTTGAGTGGCAGCTTTTTCTCTTATTGCTTCGTATTCTGTTACTGGTTGTTTATGAGTCTGTTTACAAGTAAGGTATGTGAGTATAATAAATATTGTAGACAAACTAAAAATATCAACAAATATATCAATTGCATTAATGTTTTATATGTAAATATGATTTAATTTTGATAATTATACCGGTGTTCTGATGTAAGCATGTGGATCAGGAAAAGGTGGTAGATGACTTGGTATATGAGCTGGATGACCTTGCTTTACACCAGCCTGTAAAATATTTAACTGCTTCGATTGAGTTTGTTGCTGAAGCGGTGGTAATACTGTTCTATTTGGTCTTTTACCATAATTTTCCAAATTGTCTAATTTTATACCCATACTTATTAATGCTACTATAATATCAGCAATCAGTGGCTCTGTCCTACCAGAAAGTTCGCAATAATTTCTTGCAGATTCACCAACTTCTACAATAACTGTAAAAATTTAAATAAAAATTTAAACAGAAATTATGAAATATATTATTTTTATCATATCGTAAGCCATAATAATCATTATAAACGAAATATTACAAAAATATATACATTTTTAATACTGAGAGGTTAAGAGTATTGAATTCTATTTAAATACATACAGGACTGTAGCATTTCTGTAAGAGTTTCTAAAGCTTGCTTTTCGCAGGTGTCATAACCACATTCTACTAAAATGCTACAGACTACATGATTTAATATTTTTCTTCTAGTATTTGTTGTTTGAATGTCCATGTTGTTCTATGCAACCACTGAATAGATGTATTAAGATGGGCGTCGTATGTATGTCGAAGTATCTTACGTGACATTTAAGCTATTTTTACAGATTAAAGACTTTTAATTCGTTATATCTATTATTTTAGTTAATTTAATTTTGAATCCACTAAATTTAAAATTATAAACGTTGCTATAAAATATTGATTGATTTCATTTTACAATTCTATCTTAAATACATCATGACGTACGTCATCTTAAGTGTCATTTATTTTATGTTTCAATTCTAATTGCTTACTTATGAATTTGTTGTTATTCGAAATAAGTTGATTATAAGGTTAAACAAACATCTAATGTTAATTGAAAATAATTTAGTTCTTAATCGTTGCAGAATTCTTACTGTAATTTTTGTTTAAAAAAGGATTCAGTATAGTGTATATTTCTAGAGTAGTAAATACACGTTTATAGTTAACCTGTATTATTATCACAAATGTTGAAATATATTTTTATGCAAGAATTATTTTAATGAACAACTATTAATTAATATTATGGCGTCAGGTTTAGAAAGTTACGTGAATCGTATCCTTTATTAACTCTTATGTTTACCTATTCTGAATTTTATCTGCCCTTTTATCCTTAGTAATTTATAGATACAGTTTCTATTATCACTTCTGATGGCAGAAATTTTATCGTAAGTGTCTGATTTTTAGTGTGTTGATAATTGTTATTTATTTAACACAATTGTTATATTCAGTTTATGTATTAATATTTTTAGGGTACGTTGAAAGGCTTTGATCAAACCATTAATATAATATTGGATGAATCACATGAGCGTGTTTATAGCACAACGCAAGGTGTAGAACAAGTTGTATTAGGTTTACATATCATTAGAGGTGATAACGTGTAAGTAATTGAATTTAATTCACTATTTTCTAATTATATACATACAAAATGTATGTTTTTTTTTGTAAATAATCATTGGGCTTTATAATAACTGTTTATAGGTATTCTGATATGTTCAAACATATACAAATTTGTTGTCTTTTTAAATCATGGTATCTGTTTTACTATAGTACTATTATACATAGTACTGAATAGGTATATTAAAATATAGGAATAAAAAATAACTTATGTTTTTCTTATTTTCATAGTTTATGAAATTACATAAATAGAGTGTAAAAAAATATGTTACTATATGTATAGTTTCATTTCCATCTTTAAACTTACAAATTTATATTGTTAATATAATATTTATATTGTTTCTTCAATTCTATTAAATATAAATCATGAAAAAATAAAATTATTATTGCTAAATAACAAGAAAGTTCTTAAAAATCAATTGAGAAGCAGTTGTGTTAGTGTCTTCTTTTCTTATTTTTAGGGCAATTGTAGGAGAGTTGGATGATGAGATGGATGCACGTTTGGATCTATCAGCCATAAGAGCTGATCCTCTAAGTTCTATTGTACATTAATGAAAAATGTTTTAAATTATAATTATTATTGCTTGACAATAATAATAATAATAATAATAATAATTTAATAAGAATATGTAACAATGAGTTACAGTTGAATCAAAGTACAACTTCTTATAGAGCTTAATTATTATATAAATTTGTCATTTTTATATCCATATTTAAAAGATTTGTGTTTTAAAAAGTGCATTAAAGAAATAGTGCATTATTTACATTGAACAATACAAAATCATCTTAGAATTAATGATAGTACTATACAGAAGTTTTACTATATAATAGTAAACTTTGTTTCTCGTGAATGTAGTTTTATTTTTTAGCATCATAAGAATAAAAAAAATATTTATAGATTAACACTGGATAATGACTAAACAATCTTTAAATTTAAGTGTACAATCCATTTCTAATATTATTTTTTAAAGAGGAAGTATTCTTAATAGGTAAGTATATTTAATATCGATGTGGAACAATGGGTTATACCATGAAACTAATAACTGTACTTACTAGATGAAAATTTGCTTAATAATGTAAAACTTAAATTAAATTATTCACATCAATTTAAATATTTTGTAGTTGCAACGTTTACCAATTTTCAAATGGAAGATTTTATACATATATTCACCTATACCTCTCAAATTCTAATGCAAGTAAAAAAGTATTTTCATATACAATTATTTTCAAAGTTCTTATAAATACAGTAACTTTACAAAATATTGCATTTTCATATTAAATTATGTACCATAATTTCATTGGTGTTTTAGTTTTCAGTAATAGGCCTTAAGCCATTTAATAGTTGACCAAGTTATATTGTTCCTTATATCGTTTCAACATAATTTAATAAAATTCATGTCTGTTCTGAAAGCCAAAACTACCGCGTACACATGAATCATATACATATATATTTGTGTCACGTATTATACATGGAAGACATAAAAAAAGATATAAATCAATCCGTATAATTAATGATTTTCATTTGTCGCATTTTATGTATTAAATGTCTTTTCAAATGAATGAATTCAATATATACAGATACGTATTCTCGCCGAAAATTTCTGTAACTATTATTCTATAGAGTAATAAATGTCATTTTGTATATTCCTCATGTAGAATATCCTTTATATTTTTAAATAAAATATAGAACGTCGCGTGATTATGAGCATTATTCACACCATTCATTGGTATGTGTATTTTATAAGAAATGCTTGAAAACATGTGTATGTATGTGTGTATGTATGTGTGTATGTATGTGTGTGTTCATGTACAATTTTTAATATTTTTAATACCTTAAAACTTTTAATTTACTATTTAATCACTAGCGAGCATTTGACACCATGTACAATTGACACGATCGAAACAATTATCTGGACCGCACAAATGAATGCATTATATCAATGCATGCTGTACAAATTTAAATTAGAATGAGGATTATCACCAGGTACTTCACTTATGTACCTACTCAAAATTGCTTTTTGCATTAATTATTAGTCACAATATTGGTCCTATTTCGATTTCGTCGTCTAATTTTACCACCACGTCTATTTTGACTTGTTCCATTCCACTCCGGCCCTTCCATTCCAAAGTTTGGATTTGGACCATTTGGACTAAAACCCATCATATTGGAATCTGGAGGTACTGGACCTGGACCTGGACCAAAGTTGTTAAAATTACCCCCCGAATAGGTAGGTGCACCTTCGTACGAGGGATTAACGTCTGGTCCAAAGCCTACGCCAGGTGCCGGACCCAGAAGTCCTGCACCATTGTTACGTTGAACATTAAAACGTGGATCAAAATTCATTTGACCTTGAGGTACAACTGGTCCATTAATGGCCATTCCTGGAGGCATATTGGACATTCCTGTCATATTCATTGGTGGCATATTTTGAGGACCTATAGGTGCATTCATCATAGGACCCATTGGACCCATATTTCCAAGCATTGGATTTGGACCCATATGGATTATACCTTGCCCTCCTTGCATATTTTGCGAGCCAGGTAGACCCTGAGGAACAGGCATTCCACCAGGTCCCATTCCCATATTTGACATTTCCAACGGTGATTGCTGTACACCCTTCATCATGGAAGCATTAATATTTTGAGAAGTTAAACTGGAAGCCTCAAGAGCTTTTCGACGCGGATCAGATCGAACCTGCGGCGGTGACTTCGGAGTATCTGGCTTAACTGGAGGCGGAGACATCGGAGAATCAGCTAATTCAACCTTACCTATTCTAAAGATTTTTCTTAGACGTGGATCGTATTTCACTTGAGCATCGTTTTTAGTAAGTTTGAGACCTGTATAATCGGGCCTCGGTATATCAACGACGTACACTTTGTACGTCATAGGAGGATGCGAAGAAATACTTGCATCTATTTCTGTGCAAGGTACATGTGATGGTACGGGTTTAAATGGTAAACTTAACATCTGTCGCAAATCAACATCTGATTTAGTGGACGAATCTGTGAATCCTGCACCGACAACGCGAAGATCAGTGTCACCAAATGTGGTCTGAAACTGTTGTCTGAAATCCATATCTTTTCTTCTAAGATCTTGATCTGTTTTGGTTCGAAGATCCGTATCCATGCTAGTATCGCTCGCAGTAATGCCAGAACTGTAAATACTTGTCTCCAATCTAAGATGCTTGGATTCCTTTTTACTTTCTATCCGACTCGGACTATTTGATTTTTGTTCGTCCCTACGTTGTCTAGGGTCTCTAGACATGCGAGGGTCTCTAGATATAGGCGCTGAACTTGTTCCAGGCGAAGAATGTGGACTCGACATTTCATTTTCGAGTTTGGGTAGTTGACTTGAAGCATTAAACATATTAGGAACACTCATTTTATCGTGAGCATTAGATTCTTCTGATAATACTCTATCCGGGGAGGTAGGTTTAATTTTCGAACCATAATCTTGCGCTGATTGTTGAGTGCTTTTGCCACTTGGTGAACTGTGTGCTTTAAGCGAAGACAGTAATTTTGATACTTCAGCGCTAATATCAATCTTACTTAGATCTCCGAGTTTGTCCACGATAGCTGCTGGTTGAGGTATGGTGGGTGCAGAAGCTGTAGATCGAAGTTCTTCTTTGTCCGCATTGTTCTGTACTTTTTCTGTGGTTTCACTTTCATCTTTCGGGTTATCTTTGTTAGAAAGTACTATTGTAAGATTTCCACCTTCGTCGTCATCGTCATCATCTTCGTCGTCAGAATACCAATCCTCTAAAAGTTGATCTGAGTTTTTTGTCGAACATTCGTTTTCTATATTTTTAAAACTGTCTTGAGCTGCTCTTTGTTGTTGTTGAATACGCATAAATAATTCTTGTGCCTTTTTCGGTAAATGTGCTGGTACTTCCTGTTCTTCTGAACGCGATTGTAAACTGTCTTGATTGTTACCTTCTTCATTGACGGCATTCGTTTCTGTAATTTGAACGAATTTCTAATTATATGAAATTTTATTTAAAAATCTTGAATATAACTCTAAGGCTCTGATTATTACATAATACATTAGTTATCAAATATAAAATTTAACAATGGTAAAAAATAATTCTACCTTCTTGATCTATACTTTTATCTTTTTGTTTGTCCTCTTCTTCAGTTGGCATTTCTATGACAAGGTCTGTTTCTTCATCTTGATCGCTTTCTTCGTCAAATTTGGATTTAGTAAGATTTGCCACTTCGTCAGCTATGCTAACAACAGGTGGTGGTTTTTTCGAAGTTTTTAACAATTGCCTTAAATCAACATCTTTTGAATTTTCAATTATTGAAGTTCCTTTCTTCTTCGCCTGAAAGTTTCAAAAAATACCATAATTTTCAATGAAACTCTGAGATAAAAAATAAAATTGCAATTATACCTGTTCCAAAATTTCATCCTCTTCTACATCTTTTGTAAAGTCTTCCCTATCTCGTAATTTGTTTAAATTAATTTTGTTTGATTCAGGATTATTACTTTCAGTATAGAAATCCATGTTTGGCATGGTTCGTGACATTAATGTTTTCGGTTGTAACTGTTGTTGAGTCGCTAAACCTAGCGCAACATTAGGAAGCTGCAAACCGAAGTCATTGGCTGACTGCAATAACATAATTTGTTCGTATGGAACTCTATCTTCGTCTGAACCCCATCGAGTTTTCTTGCCAGATGGTTTTCTTTCCCTAACATTTTTTTGCTGAGGTGTTAGTTCCTCTGTACATAAAAGTTTTGTATTTATTAGTAATATATTGATGCTTTCTATTATAACTTTATAAAAAGTACATATGATTATGCTATTCAATACCTTTCTCTTCTTTTTCAATAATTTTTTCCGTGGTAGTAGTTGGAGCGGGCACATTCAATTCAAAAAGACTCGGAATCTTTTGATTCGTCGTTTCTTGACCCTGTGCTAATGTTCTTGCTGTATTATTTATCATTAACATTGCTCCTTCCCTACTTAAACGTGGAAAATCTCCAAGAATTTCTTTTGGAGCTGTCTCAAGATGTTTTAATAAAATTCCTTTCACCTAAAATGAAAGGAATGTTTAGGTACAACTTTTTTACAAAAGCAATTAACGTGTTAGCAAAGTTTATTAGCTAAATTATTAAATAAACATAGCAACACTGTAATTACCTGTTCGTTTAAAGGTTGATGAGAAAATTTACAATTTTCTCCTTGATTACATTTTAATCCTGTGTGGAAAAATTTACATGGAAAATCATGATGCATGTACAGACATTTGTCTCTTTTTGCACAGCAGTCCATGAGATAAAATTTGCATAATTCCATTTTCCTAGGTGGTAAAGCATTATGTGAAAAAGGGCAATCATCACCTCTGTGACATTTCCCTTGCATATAATAAACGCAAATAGCATCTGGATCTTGATTGTGATCATTGTTTTGATTCCGTCGTCCATTTCTATCATTTCGCATTTGTCCACGAGCTTTATTTTTACCGCCGCGTTCATTTTTACCACCTCTTCGTCCTATTATTATACAATTACCATTAATTATATGTTTTTAAATTTTTATAATAAAAATCGAAGTGCATTAATTAATATTTTATTGTACCTCCTCCACCTACACCTCCTCTTGTATTACTACGCTTGTTATCATTATCTCTATGTCGGTTAACACTGGGTCTTTCATCATAGTCTGAATTGCTATCAAAATTTTCATGTTCATTCGTGTGTCTTGGAGAATTATTCTCTTGAGAGTCTTTCCTAACAGGTGAAGCACCTCTGACGAATAACATTTCATCTTCATCTTCATTAATGTTTTCATCATCACTCACCTTTCGTCTCTGTAAATTAGTTATATTTAATGAATTTATTTAATAAACCTCTTTTATATAAAACATTGTACAAGTTAACTCTATTTGAACTATCAACGAATGATAAACCTGTAAACCTTTTGATCTTTATTACGATCCTCTTCTCTTTCTTCGCGTGTTCTTTTCCTACTTTTACTTCTGTTATTTTTACTTTTAGATTTAGCATCTTGATTCCTACTATTATCTTCTTCTAAGTGTGCTTTAATCGCTTTCTCAACATCCCCAGCCCAATCTTCAGTTGGACTTTTATATTTTAAAAATCTATCATGCTTGCTACTTCCTTGAACACTTGATTTCTTATTTTTATTAAACTTAGAATCAAAGGTTTTAGGTTTTGATATATCTGTCTTTGAAGCATTTTTAGTTGCATCATCAGTTGCTGGTGGTGGTACAGGTTCATCATCTTCGTCAGATGGGATTTCTCCATCTTCCAAATCATCGTCATTGGTGCTACACATACATTACACATATATTATTAGATAAAAAGTATTATGACAAAGTTAAAAGTCATATGTTTGCAAATTATGTGATTTCATTATAATTTTTGCATGTAGTATTACATAACTGTTTTCAGTAAAGTGTTGAAATGAAAAATCTCATGTCTGTAACGATGACAAATTGTTTACATAAATTTTCATAACTTAACAAATAAATATTTGACAGACTTTCATAATACTGCTTCATTTGTATAGATTATTTTTAACATATAACATAAAAAATATGACAAAAGATCATGAAATTGTATACATTCCAAAAATATATTAAATTTATATTTTAAAAGTAGAAAGTAGGAATTGTATTTGATAGTCATTGTGTATTGCAAAAGAATGAAATACACAATTAAGTCTTAATTAAAAATCTCAGCTTCAAAAAAGAACTTCTACATATTTCTAAATATTCATCATAATATATTTAAAAATTCTGTATACTTTTTATAATCAAATTTTTTATCCATTTGATCTATAAAAACAAAATTATTAATGTTTTTATTTCTACATTTTCATCATCATTATTTATGATTCAGTAAAGAACGCAAAATGCATTTCTTTGTTGAACTGAAACAAGAAGTTTTCATAGAAATATCGAGCTATACTCGTAGGAGTAATCAAGGGCATTATCAGTCATAGGTTTGTACGTTGATTGAAGGAACATCGAACTTTGGTCGAGCAGAGTATAGCTGAAAGGAGTTCTCCGTACTACTTGACCTAAAAACATTAGCTTACTTCGAGTACCAACGACACGTAGCACAGTAGGCCTCGATCGATGCAACTTTGAAATATAGTTAACATCGTATATGCTTAAAATAATCATGTTCTCTATTAATATAATTCGTTTCTCGTCGAAATCGATCGTGAAAGAAGTATTTACCAGGAACATGTAGAATCGTGTTCGAACGTTAAGTCGCACAATGTAAAAAGCGTAATACAATGTAAAGAAAGGAATATTCGTGTAATATAAAGCGTATAACTATTTCCACTTTTAAAATGAATATAAAGTAACTGATAAGTTGCAGCCGTTAAAAATTGTTAAATTAGCACAGCAAAATGCATCGCCTGCACATCGTATAGGAAAAATAAATATGTTGGAATTGCCTTACCCACGAACTGCGTTCATCATTAGCATCATTATAACTATCATAAATCATCATCAACATAATAGCATCAACATCAAATCACATTATTTCGTAGCATATCTCATATTGTCATCGTTACAGCATTGTTAACAGGGTGAGCAACATCTTTTTGATACAGTAGCGTCGAAATTTCTTCGTGTGGAAGTCCTCGTCCGTCTCGTTCATTCACGTACATATGTGTGTACATAATTACAGTTGTATGTGTGTACACCAACGAGCATTGTAGACTTTCTTAGAGAAAATGGCAACATGGGTAGTAAAATATCCCAATACTTGATATTTGACTGACTAACTTTCAAGATCAGAAATTTTTAAATTCACAAACATTCAAAATTTGAAGATTTGAAAAATTAGGGAAATTCGGAGATTTGGAAATTTGTGAATTTGAAAATTTTTTAATTTTAACTTTTCATATTTAATCCCTAAAATATAAGGCGAATGTTTGGAGGATCTACCTCCTACACTAGCTTTACCTAAAGGAAGTCTACGTTACACTCGAATGTACGTTACGCATACTACGTGTAGCATATGTGGAGTCTGAGTGTTGTGTAAATATGTCGTATGCGAAACCGGGAATATGTATGTGTATAGGACCGCCTTACTCCCCGAAGATCCCGTGCATGTTTTTTTTTAACCCTTGTGCAGCGTTCAACTTCTTTATCGTACTTGTATCATTCGATTCATGTGTCTCGCTTGAAACGGAATCAAATAATACTTTACTCGATAAATATATAGTATTTAAAAACATACAGAAAAATCAGTATATGTCGTGTAAAAAATATTTCGATATTACATTTTTATTTCGGGTCAACGGTGCACAAAGATGAATTTCACTCATTTTTAAAATAAATTTGTATCAATAATTCTTCGATGCTCGCAAAAAATATAAATGCAATAACAAATCAATGTTTATACATTGAAATTTCATACATTTATTACTTTACAGCCGGTCGCAAAAATATTTGGACACGTTTTAAAACACAACAGCTTTTCAATATTGAACCAAACTACTTTTTTACTATTTTTCTCGTGTAATCAATGATAATTTTGCAATAAATTAATTTTATAGCATCTTAAAAAAATGTAAGTCTTGATTCTTAATTTCAAATAAGGTTGTTCTGTTTTATATCCAATTAAATTTTATAGCAATTTCATAATAAGAGAATGTTTTCGATACAACCACCTTAGTGTCTTAATTACTTTCGTAACCGACTATATGTTCATAAACGCGTCGAACGTATTCTTCAAATAGGTTCGACAATTTAAAGCCAAAATGACCTTGAACCACAAGAATGATTCAAAGCATTGAAATATCAAAATAATCCTGTAATGTCAGAGCAGATGATTAATAATTTCAGAGCAAGGAAGAATCATAACGAACGTATGAAAAAATGGTATGCGTGGTCGCTACGCGCGTTAGAAGTGAAACTTCTGTACTTATTGTTAATATAAATTTGGAGACATGGAAATTCAGATATTTGGAAGCAGGAAATTCAGAAAATTTCTAAATTTAAATTTAGGGATATGAACATATAGGGGATTTTAGAATTTGGAAATTAGGCTTTTGAGAATTACGAAATTAAAAAAATTTGGAGGTTTGGAAATTTGGAATTTGGAAATGTGAGAACTTGCTTGCACTTTTCTCTTGGATCAGACGGGCATCTGTAACTCTCCTGCGCTGAAACGCGCCCATAGAAGTTTCACTTCAAAAAGTTACGTCGTACCCAAACATCGTGTAATGGGTTCCTTTTTTCCCCCGCAGTGCCACTAATATACTTATATATCGAATGAAAGCGGTGGGACTAACACGGAGCTTCCGGGGAGGGGATCAAAAGTGTAACGTAACGCGAGCGGTATTCAGAGTCATAAATAATCTCGACTGTTTTGTCTTTGAATAAAAAATGTGGAGGCAAACCTTTGGATTAGAGTCTCAGCCGCGGAAACACTCTCTAATGCCATTGTTTTGTCCCGATCGATCGTGTTTTGTACCGTATGATATAGCACTGTGGCCCGACGATGATCATTCGATCGATTGACGCGACCACACTCGATGGTTCTTTGCTTGCGAAATAATCGCGTGCCTGAATTCTAGCATTTGAAATTTTGAAAAATACTCGTTACAGAGCACAAATTACCCTACGGAATATCTTTCGTGTGTCTCTCCGTTTCTCTTTCTCTCTTGCGCGCGCGTGCGCGTCCCAACAAACGTGTATCAACCTTATTAACGTTTTCCGCCTTTTTTTCGGCTCGACTACGCCCCTGGGTTCTTTCTCGAATATTCTTCTCGCCTGAACACAATGAGCTATTTTCGTACTAAAGTCTATCTCATTCTGTTTTTTATCCAATATATTATTGCACTTTTACGTTCGGTGAAGTATTTCACTGCGTTGCTTCTCCTTTTTCGGGCTATCGTAATTTTGTTCAATGGCGCGATCTTACCACTGCTACGTCATTCTGGCTTGACGTGGCATATGGCTGACCAACGATAAGCTCATATATTAACGTTTTACTTTTGAATATAAGAAATACGCGTACGTTTCTTTACGAAAGAAAGAAAAAAGACCGTAGCTTCCACTTTGACGACTCGTGAATTCGATAACGACTCTCTCTTTTTGTTTCTTATCGATAAAAGAGAGAGAAAGGGAGCGACAAATTAATTCGACAATTACGAATCGATCAGACGCGGGTCTGTTTGTTAATTAATTCGATAAGAAAATTCACGATTGCCTGTCCTCCTTGATGGATGACAGCGTTTACGTCTACTTCCGCGTTCGAGATTGTTGATCTCGGCAAAAGAAGAACATGTAAATAATGTTATTTGTGAAACGAGACTAGTCGCAGGCAGGCGAAAAGTACGATGGTCGGACAGAGCGTTATTACTATGCCAGCAGATTGTATAAAAATGTATCAGTTATGAGACGATGAGCGAAAACTTCAAAGATCAAACTAAACATGGCCACATCTGGAACTATTCTGAGCGGGCAGCTGCACGAAACCTCGGAAGAAGGGTTCAGGAGGAAAAGCGGAGTCGCTCCCTGTCGACCAATCAGTAGCCAGCTCGAACGATCACGTGCTTTTGCCTCCATTATTCAACTTCTCCCACTCCTACTGCCCCTCGCTTCCCCACTTTTCTTATTGCTTCTGTTTATCTGGAGCAAATTCCTGAAGCCTTCGTTGACTAGGGCTGTTGTTACTCGTTTTAGGACCCCGATTACACTGACATTTACTGACCCATTAACAATTAGCAACGTGAAAACTGATGCTTTCTGTAGTGCTTAAAATTTTGCACCTCTGAAAATATTTTAACTTAAAAATATTTAAATTTAGTAATTTAATCATACGATTCCCTTAAATTGGGTGTCCGAGGCAGGTGCCCCCTTTGCACAATATTAACAGCGGCACTGCTGTTGACCCTTTGTTTCCTACGCGCAACTCGTTTGAAAGCAAGCTTTCGAATGTATTGCTCGTATTAAAAACATCGCGCGTCAGAATTTTCTACTACATACACAATAACTTCATCTAATTCATATTTCTGCATGTGTACATACTATTTTTTAAAATAGGAAGATAAAATGTAATTGAACGGTTTTATATTTCAATGGAATTTTCCATTAAAAAATTATTTGTTAAATCTGCTTAACGAATAATATTTAACAAATATTTCAATCATAGAAAATATTTAAAATAGGAATTCAGTCTGTGTATTTGTTAATGCGCAGTTCTTTTAAAATAACATTCTTTTTTTAATTTTTATAACATTTTAATATGAACTACTACTTTGTACAAAAAAATATAAATATTATTATAATTATTACAAAAATAGTTATTTTGATATGTTGCTTTATACAAATATTATACGTTAACAAAGTCCAAGTAACGCTGGCAGCGATACAAAAAATGTTTCTTTATTGTAATGCAGGTGAATACCTCGCAAAATCTTATTTTACTTGTTCGTGCGATCGATGATGAAAAACGAAGGATATTCCACTAGACCAACATTGTCGTAATGATAAATCTGGTAAATTTCGCGGATTATGAGCGTGTCTCCAATCTGATAAATCTGAATTACAGTCTGACTGCACGGGTGGTCCTTTTACTTCCACACCATTAACACACCTTTTACATTTAAATCTAAAATAATATCAAAACATGAAGTATTAATTATATACAATCATAAAGAGTAACAATGGCAAATATATTGTGTTACGTGTCGCCGTTTCATTGAGCCTTTCAATTTTAAACTTACTTAGCATGAGTATCTGATATAGTATTTTCTTCCAACTTAAACAAATCTCTTAAATCGTTTAATGTAAAATGCCTTGCAACATCTTCTTCTTGATCAACGACCGTTGAACTTAATGCTTTCTTGTGTGCTTGTCTTTGAAAAATCTTTTCTTCAATGGTACCAGTCTACGATGTATATAAATATATACATAAATAACATATAATTCCAAGAATTGATTAAAAACTGTTAATACATACGCAAAGAAAACGATACACGAAACATGGTTTTTTTTGCCCATCCCTCCAAACTCTGGCCATAGCTTGATCATCGTTTGCAGGATTCCAATCAGGATCAAACATGACAAGACGATTTGCACCAATAAGATTTAATCCACAACCACCAGCTTTAGAACTAAGCATGAAAATAAAATCATTGCTATTTTCGTCATTGAATTTGTCTACTACTTTTGATCTTTTTTTAATGGTCATAGTACCATCAAGTCTAACGTAATTATAACTCCGTTTATGACATAATTTTTCAAACAGATCTAGAGTTTGAGTGTAATTAGACACCAATACAATTTTGTCTTTTGTCGTTGTTTTAATCGATGCCAATAGACAATCTAATACCATTAATTTCCCAGATAATTCTGGCAAAATTTCTCTGAAAATACAGTTCCAAAAGTAAGAATAATTTTTCATTATAATAAATAATTTTAATATTACATACTTGGTACTATAATTTGGTGGCATTAATTTTGCTGCATTTTCAAATCCATCAGACTGTTGTAATATTTTTTCGTAAACTAGATCTGGATGATTGCATAGTTTTTTTAAAAGCGTAATAGCCGAAAGTGCGGAAAGACTTTTTCCTTTTTTAGAACCGTCTGAATTTTCTATAAAAAACAAAATAAGCACATATTACTTAAAACTGAAAACTTTTTAAGAGATGAAAGGTTCATGGATGCATGTAACAAACCTTCCATTGATTTCTTTATGCTATCGCTTTGTATAAAATTTTTATATAGATCAGTTTGCAATTTTCCCATTTTTATACAAACGACTAGTTCGTGTTTTAAAGGTAAGTATTTAGAAAGTAAAGCACTAGTACGTCTAATAAGACATTTATTAACGAGGGTCACTAGTTCTGATAATCGTTCCTGGGCAAGTTTGCGTTCAGTATCCGTTGCAGCTGCATCTTGGCCTCGTAAAATTGGTATTTCAAATTTTTTTCGAAATTCCTGTAAAGTATATAAGTTATATCAAGTATCCTTCTGTAGAAAATATTTTTAATTATCTCAGATTATTAATTATCATACTTGTGCAGTCCCTAATAATCCTTGATTAACAAAATGTACAAGAGAAAAATATTCTAAGAGATCATTTTGGATAGGTGTTCCACTAAGTAGTACCCTCCTTTTAGCTTTTAAATTCATAAGTGCTTGATATGTTTGATTTTCAGAATTTTTTAGGCGGTGACCTTCATCACATAATACAAGTCCTACTTCATCTTGATGAAGAACATGTGCATGTAAGCGAAAAGTTTCATAACTGATTATTAAAATAGGATTTGCACATCTACGGCCATAAGTTTTCATAAATCCTGTAAGTTTTGCATCAATGTCTGCTTTATTTCCACCATCAATGGCTAATGGTTGAACTCTGTTTTTCAACCATTTGAATATTTCATTGTACCAATTTTTAACTAATGAACTAGGAGCAACAATAATAGCTTTCTCTATAAGTGGTTTAGCCTCAGGTCCTTCAAAATATAATAGCTGCATTAATTTAATGCTACAAAATTGTGTACATAATAATATTAAATTACCTTGTTTTAATAAAGTCCACATGAGAGTTATACATTGTAAAGTCTTTCCAAGACCCATTTCATCTGCCATAATACATCCATAAGCACCTTCTATACGTTGTCCTGTTACACATTCATACATAAACTTCACACCTTCCCGTTGATGAGGTCTTAAAATATTACATAATAAAGGATCTACTACTACATGCACAAGCTGCTTTGATCTGAAATATGAATATATTACATTCATAAGAAATAAAAGAAGGATTTTAAACACTTTATACTCACTGATCTATTTTCAGCCTTTCATGTTCAGATAATTCAGGTGGTGAATACACAATAAGTGCATTGGCTTCATTAGGATCATGTAAAGGTCTACGTGGACCAGATAAACGTGTTCCTAAAGTACGTCCTGATAGTTGATAACCAGGAATAGGTATTTTAAATGGTTTACTAAGAAGCTTCTTCACTCTTTCTTCCTACAAATTTCATTGCAAGCTTATATAAATGATATGACAAGATTAAAATGTAATTATTTTTATGTTTAAAATACCTACATGTTCAGAAATTACTTCTTGTGTAGCTTGAATGTTATCGGCTGATAGAGTAACTGCTTTGTATTCTGGTATTTGTACATCTTTGATGTTACGGCAAATCTTTTTTTTCACATGGTGTACTTGTGGCACAGTTGGAGACAAAGTTACATCGTTGGATATATCACTAAGAAGTGGACGTTTGCCTTTCTGACTAGGAGCCAAGGATCGAATCTTATATGTAACAACAAATACATAAATATCACAAAATAATTACAATAACAATCTTGCTACTGTTTTAAATGTATTCACTTATAAATCTCAAAAGTTAAAAACACATTGAGGTTACCTTTATTAAAATAACTTTTACAATATTTTAATAGTATTACAGTTAAGTTTTTAATTGAAAAATATAATTAACTTAAATAATAATCGAGTCTTCAATGAATTTTATGAAACATTACCATCTTGTATTAGTAACCAAAAGTCATGTAAGTCCAGCTCAAAATTCATCATCTCTTTGTAAAAAAAGAATAAATGTTGCTATTTACATTTTATTTATTAACTATGTTATTGTTTTTCTTTCCAGTAAAAAATCAACAATAACGAACTTTAGAACTTTCGCGGTTATGAAATATTACAGTTTAGTGCGCTTAGATTCAAGCGCGATCTATCGTTCATAATTGAAATTAAATTTGATTTTAATGTTTCCCACAAATTTAATTTTACGAGACAATCTGTCACCGAATAAATGGTAATTAAAATACAAGTAAATAAAATTATGGCTCTACAAATATATTTCCCAAAAAATTAACATTGAAATCATCTTCATCCTTTGCAATAAATTTATTACATTTCATATTAGGGACCTTAAAATTGCATTTAATGGGTTCAAATAATTTAGAATTGTTATTTGGTTTTATACCATAAGTATTTTCTAAAAATTCAAGTACAGCTGTTTTATTTTGTAAATTATTGAAAAATATTCTGCTCTTTTTAGGAAGTAATTTTTCTAGCATAAATACAAGATGATGATGAAAACATAGAAACTGTGTAGGTATAACTGATGTAATATCAAGCCAATCTTGTATACAATCAAGGGGTGTAACAGAATGTCCAGAAAAGAGTGCTGGATTAGTTAAAATGCCTCTTGCAGCCATCACTGCTTCACAATTACTTTCCATATATAATTTTTCTGCAGTCTGTAAGTTTTTTACATCTCCATTTGCAATGATAGGAAGTTTCACACAATCTTTCACCAATCTTAAACTGTCCAAATTAATTGGTTCATTTCTCATTTCAGGAGTTCTAGCATGAACAGTAAGAAAGGAAGCTCCTGCTTTTTCAAGAACTTGACAAAGCTCAATGGTTTTACGAATATCTTTCAACAATCTTATTTTCACAGATACAGTGAAAGGATTTGGAATTCGATTTTTCACTTGGTATACTAAATCTTTCACAAGATCTGGTTTTCTAAGTAAATCTGCTCCATATCCTTCTTTCAATGCCCAACGCTGAGGGCAACCACAATTCAAATCAACTCCATTGCAATACCTATTAACAAAAGGAGCTTGTAAAATCAAAACTTAATATTAATGTTTTAATTTAGCATTTTAATCAGGACTTACGGTGCAACCATCTCTGTTGCATTAAGAAAGTCATACACATTCTTTGCAGCAAATTGAACAATTACTGGTTTATCCTCATTATTTGTTGAAAATTCATTATCTCTAGCTTTTTCAGACTGTACAAATGAATCTGCCAAGATCATAGGTGTAAAACAAATGTCACAATTATATTGCCGCACTAAAGATCTGAATTGTAATCTGTTAAAGTAAGATATGTTAAACAAGCAGTAAAACAGACATTAAATTTAACATGTAACCTTTATTACTTACTTACTATATCTAACCATTGGTGCACATACTGTAATCATCTTAGGTTCTTTTAACATTTCTACTATATCAATTGACATTTTGAAATGTTTGAAAGCTTTACTTCAAGTAAGAGAAACAGTTTTAGAGTATTATAATGTAAAAGCAGGTCAGATTTACAGTTAAATGAACCATGACATATATTACCTTTATATTGTCAAAGTTATTAGCTTTAATGTTTGTTGCTTAGATTAATGCGAATATTCAAGATGCGTCACAATAATTCTCGTAAGTATTATGTGTATAATTTGTTTTCATTGTTTTAAACGTTCGAATATTTTAACATAACCTTATATGGTTTTATATGACATTCCAAAAACTGTATATTATATACGATAAATGAGTATTCTTTATAATTAAATTAAATGCAATAATAAATGTTTATATAAAAATGTTTTTTATAATAATTTCAATAACCCAATATTTACCAAGGAACACTAAATTGTGTTAATTTTAAAAGGACCTACAGAAGAATGCCCTTTGACAAAGGGTAAAAGTTACAAACATAAATTAAATATGTATTGTGGAGATGGTTTAAAATTTATCATAAGCTGTTTTACTATTCTGAGCATTTCTATTACAACAACCTTAATTCTACAAATACTTTATACCAATGGAACTCCTCAGGTACATACATTTTTATTAAAAAATATCTATAAAATATAAACATTATTTAATATGCTATCTTATATTAGGATAAAGCTGGTATCCATGGTGCAGTTGCAACAGATTATACAAATTGTTCACAAATTGGTACTAAAATTTTAAGAAAAGGTGGTAATGCAATGGATGCAGCTATAGCAGCTACTATTTGTATGACAGTAGTAGCTCCGCATAAAACTGGCCTTGGTGGGTAAGTTATAAATACATATAATTCAATCAATATATAGTATATTTGTAATTGTCATGTTTTAGGGGTGGCTATATTATGATATATAACCATAAGGAACAAACAAATCCAGTTATTATTGACTTTGCAAATAATACGCTTACAGGTAAAACTAGTCTTATAATAAGTATTTTGAATGTACATAAAAGATTGATATTATCTATATTAACTATATGCTAGGTAGTTTTACACAAAATGGAATACGTATACCAGCTATGTTACGGAGTTTAGAATATGCACACAACTTAAAAGGTAAATTACCTTGGAATGAAATTATTAAACCTTCTGTGACATTAGCCAGAGATGGGTTTGTTGTATCAAAGGAATTAGCAAGTGAAATATCAAGAAATATTAACTATGAAATGATATATGGACATCTCAGTGCAGGGGATATACTGAAATTACATGATCTTAGTGACACATTAAATGATGTGGCAGAACATGGCACTGATGGTATATTATTTTTATTGTGTTAATTATAATCATGAGAACTTTTATTTTGTAATGTAGAGATACTTGTTTACTTGTAGTATTATACAATGGAACTTTGTCACAGAAACTTTTACCTGACCAAACTGAGCTCTTAGATTTATTTGTGCAACTGGCAAATTATAAACCTGATATATATTTAGCAGAAAAGTCAAGTTTTTATAAGCATACTGTGTATTATCCTCCACATATAACACAGTTAAAGTCAATAATGGAAGCATTGGAGAATCTCCAAATAACTACTGAAAATGCATCATTAATAGGAACACAAGTTCATGTAGCTAAGGCTTTGATACATTCAACTTCAATCTTAGGACAATCAAAGCAAAATGGTTTGTCATATCATGATATGTATTATGTACATATTTTATAACATTGTTAATTTCATGAAATGATAATTATAGTCGAAGAAGAGAAGTATACAGGAGTTATGTCAATGGATTGGGAAGATACATATGTTTGCATTATAACGTTAGTTCTTAAAATATTTTTTGTCAAATTTAAATAAATCTTGGCAAACGAACCTAACAACTTAAATGCGTTATAGCGGACTAAGCACACCTTTTGGACTTGGAAATATGTCAAATGCTGGTTTTTTACTAGACAAGAGTGATACAAACAATAACTTGTCCATGCTTGTTCCTATAATTTTCCATAATGAAAAGGCAATATGTGGATTACGTGGAGTGTTTGGAACAGATGATACATTAATTATTGGACAATTATTGTACAATATTATAATCCGTCAATTAAACATTTCTGATGCTATTGAATATCCAAGGTAAAAAGCATATTTTATATTTTACACTTTGATACTTAAACATTATTTTCAAAACGAATTCTCCTTTTTCAGATATTATATTTTAACACATGGACTTGCTATAGAAAGTGATCAAAAGCATTCTGTAGATACTTTAATACGAAACCAATTGAACTTAATTGTACCACCATCACATGTTGATGCTTATTTAATATTAAAAAGCGTGAATGCAATCATAAAGAAGAAAGATTCGATGTCGAGTCATTCAGATAGCCGCGGAGGTGGTCTTTCATCAAGGTTTTAAAAATTTTTCTTCCATTTTTTATAAAGTATTATACAAAATTTTGTGTGTCCATCCAATTAACAATATATCTTTTTATACTTTTTTACAATTAATATTAGAAGAATATTAATTTTAATAACAACTTGTAATATTTTAAAGAAATAATTTTTAAAATAAAGAAATAATTTCATTTTTAATTTTTATATAGTTTATACAGATCTGTACAATAAATTTTTAAAAATTACATAGAGTATAATACTATTATATACCTAATTTGTATTTTATTTGAGGCAATTTATGTGCAAAGTTTATGTCAATTTCATTCGAATTTTTATCATACTTTCAATAGTTGTTTTTCTTCTCTATATTCTTTACTTAGATCAAGTTGTCTGAACCTAGCATACATTGCACTTGCACCAAGCACAATAAAATTACTCATCCACCACATAAATGATTTCTCTTCATTAAACCAATATGTTGCCAGAACTGTTTGCGCACAAGCTTTAGCAGTACCACTGATATTGTGTGTTAGAGGAGATGTTACTTTTATTTGAAGAGCAGTAACATAACCAATTGCAAATCCACAAATACCACCAACAATCATAGCAGACCAAAAAAATAGAGATCCAATTTTATCATAATTGTATACTGTAATATGTTCTCCATTAGCTACCATCAATGGAAGAAATATAATAACACTATATGCATTATTGTAATATGAAAGTAACCAAATATCTTGATTTACTGCTGGAAGGACTTGTTTCATATGAATGGAGTATAATGAAAGCATTAATGATCCAAGTATACCAAAAATTGTTCCTAGAACTGATAACGAACCTGCAATGTGTTCTTGGTCTACACCAAGCCAAAATCCAGTCACAATAAATGTGCAACATGCGATACACTTTATGGAAGTCCTTTGACCTATAAAATTGTAACAATTTACTGTATTTATATAACTTTCTCATGTTTTATAAAACCTCTTACCAAGTATAAGATATGTGAAAATAACATTAAATACAGTTGTTAATGAACGTCCCACATAATAAAATGCAATACCAACATATTTTAAACATAAATTGTTTGTTGCAATCATCCCAGTAAATAAAAGGGATAATGGTAATATCTATAAATATAAAAGTGCTTTATAGATTGAAAATGCATGGATATTTTGATAAATAAAATTTATAATAAATATTAAAACTTACTTTACTAAGAGTTTCCTTAGTATAAGGGTTACCATCTGGAAACTTAATGTATTCTGGGAACTCTTTTGATAATTTACTTAAAGATGCACAAATAATTAAACTTACTATACATTGGCACCATGTTACAAAAAGTGGTGCATCCAAGTTTATACTATTACTAGATAAAAGTGCTTTGTTTATAAATACTGTTAATATAGAAATTATCCTACAAAAATATTACTTATGTATAAAATATAAACTTTAAATGACCTTTTACTATATGAGAACAGTTAATAGTATCAGGTATTAAAGGAAGTTCTATGCAGAAATTTCTTCTTTTCATTCTCAAAGTTGAAAATCTTATGCAAAACTTTCTTTAAGACCTAATAATTTATTTTTGACTTACCAATATGCTACAACCACAATAGTTATATGTATGAACTTTGGTAAAATTCCAATTTCTAATGACATTGTTGTTTGTTGTTAGTACATTGATAAATGTTAACTTGAAAATAAATTCATTTTTTAATTAATAATTATAAAAATATGTATTACATTGAACACATAATATCAGAACTATTATTAATACATCTATATAATATTAATTAATTAATTATTTCTAAAACAAATTTTTTTTAAAAGATTTACAATTGCATAGTAAGATAAATATATTTATATTACTTTTTTCTATCAGTTATCATTTTGATAGGTTATGTTACATAAAACAGTGATAACTAAATGACAACTTAAATGTTATACTGCTTCAAAAACATGTTATAATGCTTCCTAATGCACAAAAGTAATTTTATTAATTTTTAACATGTTTTTAATTAACAATAGTCATATTTATATACAAATTCCTCTTTGCAATAGTTCAAATAAATTCTATTCGATATAGAATAACATAAACAATGTTATTTAATATCATATAATTTTCTGATGATACGATTATTATTATATATTTACGAAAAAAACTAACAAAAAATGATCTTACTGGAATTAAATTTCATGTAATTGTAAAATATAATTTAAATTAATACAATGTACACCTCCCAGCATAGTACATCTTCTGGGGAAAATAGAGATATAAGGAAACAAGCTCCACTATTCGTTGATTTGTGATTAGTAAGTTTTCAAATTTATAAACATAAATATTTGATAATTTGACACTGTGTGGATTTCGAAATTTAGATATTTCGAAACATACAAACTGGAAAATATATGATTTGAAAAATCGTACATTTGTAAATTTTTTAGTGTATATACCATTTGTAAAATTGAAGGCAGTGATGGAAGTACACTTCCCTCCACTTATCCTTATCTAAAAGAAGTCTGCGTCGCATTTAAATGTACAAAAACCTAATATCTATAAAATAGATATGCAGTACATATACACACACATATTTCCAATGACACATATATAAATGTTGACACGTGGTACGTAGGATTCGACTATTTTCGATTTTTGTCGTAGCGATGAAGGACTGAAATTAGTACTTGCATCAAATAATTTCTACATTTTGAAAATATGTTTTAAACTAATTGTATTCATTTACCATCAATAAATATTAAATTATGCTAGTGCAAATGTAAAGATTGAAGAATTTAATACGGGTGCGTATTAAATATGTCTTCTACTCGATCGTTCAGTCGAACTTTGTACTTACTAAATTGTTCTTGTTTCAATCTTTCATTTATTACCAAATGGACTTTTAAAGAATACAGTTTAGTACAAGTATTTTAATTTTATAGTAATTATATTTTTGAGTATTATAATAGTTTTGAATCTGAAATAGTGAAATTCCTGTATAAAAAATTGTCTATAATCATTTTTGCGTTTAATGACATTATTATCAACATTTTAATTTTACAGTAAGTTTTGTAATTAATTATATAATAAGTGGAAATATATACTATCTTAGTGTGATGACCTTAAATTGTTATTGTGTTTTTAAAATTATTCAATGCTTAGTTATATGACATTCAAATTTTTGGCTCTTAGGTTTTGCAAACTTTCAAAGCATTTTTGCTAACTAAACTTGAACTATATTGTTCAGAATAATTACCACATTGTAAATAATTTGTAATATAAGTTTTATAACTGTTAATATGAAAGTAACTGTTATTATGTTGAATAGCTTTTTATATTTTAGAAATCCAGAGTAATTACAAATTCTGAGATATGTCGCAATACGAGGATGTAATCATGGAAGACAAACTGAGTGATGAAAACAATATAATGGATTCAGAAGTTCGTCATAGAATTCCATGGAGTGAACGTGTATTATTAAATAGCGAAGTACCAGGTTTACATGAAGTTAAGGAATTATTTGAAGATGATGATGCAAGTTGTTTAGCAGAAGAAGAAGATGGAGTTGGTTGTCCATTACCATCAACTCCTGAAGATGATCATCTTTTGGATTGTGAGGTATACAATTACAATTTTGATTGCAATAGTTATTCTATTGATATACTATAAAATTAATTATATATTTTCATTTTTTATATTTATTTATGGCATAGATGACAGAGGTATTAAAAGCTGGTGTACTGAGCGATGAAATTGATCTTGGTGCATTAGCACATAATGCTGCAGAACAAGCAGAAGAATTTGTTCGAAAGGTAATTGTTATATATAAGTGTATTTATTAAACTACTATGATTTGAAATACCATGTCAACCAAATTTGATTAAGCTCTTTTTTATTTGAACATTTTCATGATTAAACTATTATTTAAAGGTTTGGGAAGCATCATGGAAACAGTGTCATTTTAGAAATCTTCCAAGATGGTTGCAAGATAATGATTTCTTACATGCTGGTCATAGACCACCTTTACCCTCATTTTATGCTTGTTTTAAAAGTATCTTTCGAATTCATACTGAAACAGGAAATATTTGGACTCATTTACTTGGTATGACCTATCATTTGTTTTTAAAATGTTTAATAGTTAATGATATAATATGTTATTAACTACATACATTCTTCAGTAAGTATTGTTTCATTATAGGATGTGTAGCATTCATTGGCATAGCTATATTTTTCATAACACAACCACCTATTGAAATACAGTTAGAAGAAAAATTGGTATTTGGTACATTTTTTGCTGGTGCTATTATATGTTTAGGAATGTCATTTGCCTTTCATACAGTACACTGCCACAGTGAATGTGTTGGAAAGTTGTTTTCAAAACTAGATTATTGTGGAATAGCTATGCTAATTATGGGTAGTTTTGTACCATGGCTTTACTATGGTTTTTACTGTGACTATCAACCTAAACTTATTTATTTATCTGTGGTTGTAATACTTGGTGTAACAAGTATTGTGGTATCTTTATGGGAACGATTTGGTGAACCAAGTTACAGACCATTAAGAGCAGGTGTTTTTATGGGATTTGGTCTTAGTGGTGTAAGTTGTATATTTATATTGATTGCAAAATTGTGTTATCAATTTAAAAAATTATAGTTGATAATATATTATTGTAATAAAAATTGAAATTTTTGTAGGTAATACCAGCAGTTCATTATGCCATTGCAGAAGGCTGGTTCAAAGCAATTAGTCAAGCATCCCTTGGATGGTTAATATTAATGGGATGCTTATACATCTTAGGTGCAATGTTTTATGCATTAAGGGTACCTGAACGATTTTTCCCTGGTAAATTTGATATTTGGGTAAATATAATTTTGATTCAAATACTATTGCAGTAATCAGTTTCACAAATTATTGCAATAATATCTTATTCAGTTTCAGAGTCATCAAATTTTCCATGTGTTAGTAATTGCAGCTGCATTTGTTCATTACCATGGAATAACAGAGATGGCTATGTATAGAATGACAATAGGAGATTGTACAAATCCATCACAGGTGATAGCTTTTTAATTGTGCAATGGGCATAGTTGTGTTATTGGATTTCATCTTGTATAAATTTATAAAGACTTAAAGATTCCTAAATCTTTATGTGTCAGTAGATCTGTACCATAAAAGAACTGCTGGAAACAATATCATCATGAAAATGAATGGCATAAGACTTTTCTTACATTTCATTATAATTAAAGAAGAATTACAGTAAAATTTACAAGTATAATGAAAATTTAAAATAAAGTACAATATATAATAATTAAGATTATTGAAGATTAAATTCACAGGATTTAATTGAAACTTTTTACACTTTCGTAAATTTAAATTTATAAAAACATAGTTAACATTTCATTAAATAAATAAGCTCAACGTTTCAAACGTTTGTTATTGTATTTACCAAAAATTTCAGAAGTACAAAGTAATTAATAATATAACTATTTATACTTGTTGATTTTTTATGTTTTATTTGAATAATTTATTTAAAAGATACGCCTAATTTATGTAATTAATTGCAAATGTATTAGACGTGAAACAAATGCCACATTAAAATAACATCGTTTCACTGTCCAACAATGACTTCCCCCTTTGTTTTGTGCAGTTCTCTCACTTGTAAAACAATTATAAGTACAGATATATGGCAACGAACAAAACTTAAAGTCATTAAGATTTAGGAACTAATTATAAATACAAATGATTTTGTGACATAAGCACGATAAAAATTGTAATATATTTTGAACACTGTTAAAGTAATGAAAACTATATATTGTAATGTTTGTGTGAACTAAAACATTTCAGCTTCATTTGGATCACACTTGCAACAGAAAGTAAAACGTTGTTTTTATTCTTTAGTTATATATATTCAAAATTTGTATACCATAATTTTGGCGATTTAACTTTCTTTTTCAAATATTGTTTGTCTCTATTAATTCAACTTCTTAGAGAGCACAGTATTTTGTTCTTATGTACTCATTCATATTATCATGATATATATATATATATATTTCATTGCAGTTCTGTTGATTTTTAGTGTAAAAGATGTTAAATACTTTTGTTATTGCTGTTATTAATTATAGAATCTAGTACTTATATAAAAGAATATTGTTGAACTTTTTACATAAATAATTCTTGATATTGGCAAATTAATAAAGAAGGAAATTATGCATTTCATATGTAAAATACAATTATCCTACTTTATGTAATTTCTCAAAATATATTTTTCTAAGTAAATATTGTAGTACTGATTGTGATCTGCTGGGATATATAAAAAAATATCGTTATCCAATATAATAAATGACAATCAGAATATTTACAAGTAAAGTTAAGATTTTAAAGTGTTTCCTCATATAATCTGAATTAAAAAGAAGTATCAGTCGATTAACAACAAATTTGAAATGAAGAAAGTTGACCCTGAATTTGATAAAGCTTGAATGACAATTATTGTGATTTTCTAACGTTGTTCTATTGGTATTTTGAAAAAATTCTACTCGTAACTTTTATGTTTCACGTGTAATTATTTCAATTTAAAAGTAACTTTTTGTATCTTTTGTACAGAATAATGTGTTTATAAAACACCTGTATTATATGTTCTTACAAAGTTTATATAATAAAAAGAATCATATGATATTACGTACAAAATAGAAGAATATTTATAAAAAATTTGTATATATTATTATATAAATATTTATTTGTCATTTTCTGAATTTGTTCTAAGACCATAAACCTTATAAAAATTATTAAACCCAATACAGTATTCGAGTGTGATAACAATATTGCAGAATAACAATACAATAAATATAAGTATTACTTGTAATTATAATAAATGTAATACTAATATAAAAAATTATATGCGCGACCGCTATGCGATTTAGAAATTTAGAAATCTAAAATTTTCGGGAGTTAGAGAATTTGAGCATTTGAAAATTATAGATATTGGAGATTTGACGAAATCTTTTTGCTACATTCACAAAGTGCGAATCAACGTTTCCGGTCATTAAAAATATTGAAAAACAGGAATTGTTTGATTTATAGTGTTCTAATACATTTTGATTAAACTAAAAAATACTGCATTCACTTTTTTTACGTGTTTTGGAATTAAATGATAAGCGTACATGTAAATTTAATAATTAATGTATTTAATTACATAATTAAATAATACATATATGTGCTTTCCTAAAACAGTAATATCGATATAAAAAAAGTGAAAATTTTATTATTTTACATATTAAAATACAATTGAATTAAATAATTTTAATCGTATATTTAATTTTTGCCATATTGTTATATATATCATATCAGCTACGGAAAGTATTAAAATCGATATGACTGAAAATGTCTCGATAAGACATCGATAAACACTTTCGATAAGAAACAGTTCGATACTTCTCTACGTCTTTGATATACAGTTGTATACAGTGCACTATGCAAATCTTGCAAAGCCACCTAACAGTACCAAAAAGAATGAAATGTTAAATTGTAAAAAAGAATACCTAAGATTCAAGTTATTTTTGTGCAGAAAATGAAATACAATGTCCCAGGAAGGATTATGGTCTACTTGCAGCATGAATAAATTAAGAACGAATTAGATATTTATTTAACAATTTTTCGATAAAAGAAATGGAATCATGTAACTGAATTTGCTAGACATTATGATACTTTTACGATAAGTAACTGAAAGTTATTAAAAATTAAATTTGAAAAGGTTTCAGAAGAAAACGAACAAAATAACAATATTATACAAGAAGCAAAGTTTTTGTCGAATTTTATTTTTAACAAAAATTTATTACAATGCATAATTGTTTATTTGATGTGGAATTCAAATCAATAAATACAATATTCATCTTGTTTAATTCACATTTCAGAATCCTGGATTAGTGATATGTTTATTATATATATTCTAAATACACAAAACACAGTGTCGCATATAACATTTTAATAAATTGATGCTATTAATGCACTTGTAGCACATGTTTAACGTTATGTTTTCTATATATTATGTACACTGTTTTCAGTACAAAGTAGACGAGCAAATCATATTGTATGATATGAAAATTTCAAAAAATGCAAATCTTGTTGGATCTGTTTTAAAATTATATTCTTCATTATATGAAGATTAATAATAATGAACAATAACACTTATTAATAATAATGAACAAAGTAAATATGACAGGTATCACAAATACCATAACATCCACAATGATGTTTGACAGTGTTAAAAATCATACAATGGCAACTAACATATCCAATGAAACATCCGAAGCATATGTATATTCTACAGAAGAAACTGGTAGTGCACAACAGTTATGGAATGTTTCTAAAGCCACCACATCATTCGCTAACAGTACACCAGTTTTCTTAGAGACGTCCAGCACTAGTATATACATGTCAACAACAACAGAAACATTTGATGAATTTGGTCCTCCAGAAGGGATAGAATACATTTTTGTACCACTTGGTGTAGTGGTCTTTGTTATTGTATTATCAGCTGTGGTATGGGTAGCGATATCACTCTTTATACTTACATTATAATCTCCCTTTAATCTTCATTTTCAGAAACAGAAAAAGTAATATAGAAATATTTGTTGAATCGTAATACTTGGATAAATATTTCTACGTTAGGTATTATTACCTCGTTTTACAATTTATGGTTTAGAGTTTTGTTAATCCTTATTTTGTTTTTGAAAAAAAGATGAATTTTTTTCCCACTGAACCGTTTAGATATCCTTTATCCTTCAAAAAAATGCAAATATTTTGTTATTAATGTATTATATTTTTAAAGGTAATAATAATCTCCAGGAAAAGAAAATTAGAACGTTTAAGACATAGACTTATGCCAATGTATAACTTTGATCCTGGAGAAGAAGAAGAAGATGATTGGGAAACTGAATTGTTGGAAGAATGTTATAGTAATCATCAAAGACGTGTATGTATAGTAAATTAGTTTTATTATTGTTTCATGTTAGCTTTACTAATGTGAAGTTTTGATTTTAGCAAGGCTATCAATCTATGGATACAGAAGAAAATGCTGAACTTTTCGGAAATCGTTGATGAAGTATTTACAATAGTCACTTAAAATCTTTATATTACTTGAAACTTATCAAATTAAAAACTCACAATATTCATTAGATTTTTACATTGACTTAATGCTTGAACAACTTGTATATATCTTAAATTTTAAAGATAAAATACACATTCGAATGTTTTATATATATATAGAAGATACATTATGATAGATCTAATTATCAGAATTGACTTACAACGAAAGATAGTAACTTAATTTACTTTGACATAATAAATATGAAATGAATTTGTGCTTAATATCTAAATTTTATAATAGAACAATATAGTGACAAACGACTAAAATTTGATTCCATCATTAGCATTGTTTATAAAACTACTATACTATAAAAACGCCCTTAAATTGCGAAGTATTAGTAAATAGCAATAGTTAATAAAGTTGTTTATTGAGAAAAAATATGAAATTTATTGGTGTTAAAAAATTTAAACTCAGTATTAAAATTTTTGAATTACAAAGTGCAAATGAAAATTCAAATTTTAAATATTTCCAATAATTTCAATGTCAGTGTGTAGCCACTATATTATAGTCTATTGGTAATACGAAGTGTATGTAATACAATAATTAGTAAGTCAGTTAATAAGTCTTTTATTTTAATACAAACTTGACATTCACAGAAATTGGTATTTGTATTTATAATTTGCCTCGAGAACAATGTTCACATGATCAAATTGAATTAAAAAATGATACTTCTTGCACATGATACATATAAGTAGTTCTCTTATTTCTTACAGTATTAGAATGATATACATATACCTAGGAGTGAAAAAGATAAGAAAATGTATAATATAATTGTATAGAATACCTTAAAATTAGTTCTTATTTGCAAGTCAATTTATGAGATCTAAATCTGAATTTAAAAATTCCTTTTCATTAAAAACTTTGTATATTTGATTACAATATTAAAGAAGTAATTCTTATACGAAGAATAATAATAAAAATGATTAAAGTAACTACTATAAAAATTTTTCGCATATTATTTATGCAAGTTTCATATGCATTTTATTTTGCTCTTACAGTTATGAAGCAAACTTAAATTTTAAATCTGTTATCATTTGTTTTAAAACTTTCAAAGAATAATTCTGATATATTGGATTTATTTTTTCATGTTTAATTCTCTTCTTCTTCCTCTTCTTCCTCTTCTTGTTCATCATCTTCTTCTCCAGTACTTTCAGGTTTTTCTTCTTTCTTTTTGGGTCTGCCACGGCCACGTCCTGTAGTTCCTTTAGGTAGTCCTTGCTATATAAATAAATACATTTTTAATTTTTTTATAGTAAATATATTATAAATAACTCCAAATTGAAGATTTTATCTTTTAAGCACCTTCTTTTTATGAGAACCTTTTGGTCGCCCTCTACCCTTTTTCACAGGGGAAGCATCATCTTCAGTGTCAGATTTTGCAGCTCGAACAGCACTATTTTTGTCTAACACAGATCTACCTCTTTTTTTAGTTTCCTTAACAGCATTTTTATCTGCTTTCGATGGCCTTCCTCGCTTTTTCTTTTGCTCTTCAATAACAGGTGAATTGTCATCTGACATGTTTCTCTTTTTGTATTACTATATAAACAGAAGATTTATTTCCTACATTATAAATGTGAATTTTTATGTTTCAAAAAATATATATAGAAATTTTATTATTTTACTTTCCACATAATTTAGTAATTATAAAACTGATACGTATACTTTGTTATAAATTTGTAGGAAAAACAATTAGTAATACTAATTATATTTAATGAAGAACAAATTACGCGCCTTATATATTAATAGCGATTATCGTAAACCGGCAGTTTCGAGACAGATCAATTGTTTTGACCGACACACAACAATTACGTGAAACTACTTGCATCAACGAGTGTTAAAATATATTTATGTATACAGAAAAAATTACTGCTTTTTATGCGACAAGCTAATTCTGATATCGTGATTACCTTAATAAAGGAAAAAATTTATACGGAATAATAAGCGAAAATTTTCTGAAATTCCGCGCCCGCCATTTTCGAAAATACTAGACACAATTATAAATTATTTATAACTTTGCGTGTACAATTGAGAACAGAGATGAGCAATATTATCAAATGATAAATATTTTTAATCTTTGGTTACAATAAGCGAGAGATAAGAAAAGGACTTGCTATTAAAGACAAACATACAAATATTGCTTAGCTGCTAAGGACGCCATGATCGACAAATCATGGCAACTCCAGAATCATGGTAGCGTCCATCACCTACCCCTCTGTCTAACCGAATGAATAAATATCTCTGTAAGTAATAATCGGCTCGAATCGAAATGTCGATAAAAAAAAATATTAAAAATATCGCCTACAAGTTTTTCTACCTTCAAACAATGAACGTACATATTACTCGGGTGAAATAAAATATTTACAGTGGAGAAAGCCGTTTAAAAAGCACTCACCTTGAATTTCTGAGATATAAACCGAGCTATCTTCTTTTTTGTGTATCCCGAGTATCTATATTATTAATATGTTTTACATATATTGCTTAGAACACAAAGAACGTTTTTCGTTCTGGCGACTTTTTACTGCTACCGCGCGCGTCACCTACTCGAAGTTATACTGTACAAGCGGGTTGTAACGTACCATCTGACTATTTACTGCGCGAATAGCGAAGCTCGACTGAACTGGTCGAGACGATGTACTCCACTGCGATTCGTTCGTTGTCCAACGACACGTTCCCCTACTCCATCCACACATGCCAACCGATTCCCGCCAAAATGTTACAACGCTATTTGTAATTATTGTATTTTAAGCATAAAAATAATGCTATTTTTTAAAATCTTTTTATAAAAATAAATTTTTGTATTGCAAATTTATTGAATATTTACTAGCAATTATCATGTACTTTAACACCTAGAAATTTAAGATCTTAACTTTCTTTGATAATTGCACTTATATTTTTTTTTTTAAATATTTTCAAATATTTTCTTTGAATTTAAGTGGTCGGTTATTAAAATACGTATCATTTATTTGTTAATAATTTAAAAAAAATTTATTTACAAGTTTTCTTCAAAAATATTTAAGTTTTGACTTTTTCTATAAATATCAATAAAATTGACGTTTGATACACAAATATTTAAATACTTAATACACTTCTGCTGAAAACATTAATGTTTCATGAAAACATGCATGTGATGTGTTTAAAATAATGAAAATTATTAAATGATCATTTTATATTTCAAATTTTAGTATTTTGAATTGTTATAAAATTAAATTAAAAACAATTTCATACAATTGATATATTTCTGTAAAATCTTATATAATTGCTATTTACAGTATTTTTGTTGTATGTGTACATTACATAGAATTTTGTACATATATTATTTTTAAACCTGTATACTGTAAGTTCAATTTGTATTCATAAAATTTCATTGAACAAAGTTACACTTGAGTGTACAGATCTGTTACAGCATACATACATTCCCAGTCTCCAACAGTAATTTTATACAAATCAAAATATTTCATATTTTACTTTTTCGCAAATGATATTTTCATTGCATGTGAGGGTGTGATCTTAAATCCTTGAAGTGCATCTTTTGCAGCTCCTGACTGAACTTCATTTTCAAATTCGACAAATGCAATATCATGCCTGTTTGGTACTAAACGTACTTCTTTAAAACCAGGAAATTGATTGAAAAGCATAGATAACATCATCTCACTAGTTTCATCTGGTAGATTCGTAAGAAACAGAATCTGATTAGGTGGTTGTTCTGGTACAGCTGCATTAACTAAACCAGGATGTTGTGGTACACCAGCATGATAACTAATTTGTTGCGAATGTTTAGCTTGTTCTTTGGCTCGCTTCTTAGCTCGCTTAGCTTCTTCATCAGCTGCAGGAACAACTCGTTTTGGTTTCTTAGGTCGTTCTGCATAAGTACCCTTCATTTTTGCAATTATATCACTATCAGTCTTTGCATATTGTATCCTCTGAAACAACCAATTGTAATAAACTGTTTTGTACTAGGTTACAATTAAAATTATTTTTTATATTTACCATTGGTTTGTCATAAAATGGAAACCCTTGCATTGACCTTAAAGCATTTGTAGCACTAGCAATTTCCTTAAAAATAACAAATGCTTGTCCACGCATTTTTAATGTTTTTAATGCTACAATATCCAGAATTTGACCAAATTGAGAAAAAATTGCATAGAGAGACTTTTTAAGTTCATCTTTTTTTATTTTCTCATTCAAATTATTTATATATATTGTATTGTTCGGTCGAATATCCATTGCCACTATAATTAGAAATGTAATATAAAGTAAAAAATATTTGTACAAGCGGCAAATGAAATTTTTAACGCTAATAAATTGAAATATATACAATCATTTGGAATTAACATGATTAATTAAACTCGCAATAAAAAAATTGACTTACTTAAATAATATTTAGAACTAAGTGTGATATATTGTTATATCTATAATACTTAATAATACTTCTTTTTGTATATTAAACTGGTTATATTCGATCGGCGTCTGTATCTCATAGGGGTTAAGAATGAAGTACAACTACAACAACAGATTATAGGAATATAGATTGGAAACTTATATATTAAAAGTTTTATATATTGTATTTATAATAAATCTTCAGTTTAATTTTATTAAATTTATTATAATAGCATCGTTTAGTTTCAAACATTCGTAAACAATCGGTAATTTTTAAATCTTATTTTTATAATTTTACATTTTTTTTACGGAATGAAAATAATAATATACGGACTATAGTGAATTCAAAACAGTGAGTAGAAAATGTTATTTTGAAAAGCTCATTGTACGATATAAATATTGACATTACAAACTTGTTTAAATATAATCGAATCATTTTGTATAAAACTAACAAAAAAATATTTGTAATATCTAAAATATGATATAAAACTTAAATAAAATACTGGATTATTACATTAAACTTAATAATATTATATATACTAATTATATACATACTATATATATTTTTATCACAGAAAAGCAGATTTGTGTAATAAGGATTACTATAGAAAATGATATCAGGAGAAAACATATTATTTTCAGAATCATGAGTTTGAAACCCTTTAGAAATGCTAAAGGTGTAAATAAACCATTTCGTTCTCCATTTACTAACACTCCTCAAAATAACAATAATAAAAATAATGTTACTGATACAACAGAATCAAATACTTGTATAACACCTGTGTAAGTAAAAATCTATATTATATTTCTAACAATTTATGTTAACAATGTGTTTTTATTTATATTTTTTTTTATAATAGAAAGCGGTGTGCATCAAAAAAGCTGTCCTTTACGTGTACACCTTCACCTAAGAAAGTATGTTTACAGAAAGAAAGTAATGAAGATCACATAGATATTGAAAAAAATAAAGTATTGTGTCAGAATGATTTGGAATTATTGAAAAAGAGAATACACGAAAAGCAGGAATCTATTAATAACTTGAAAAGAACTCTGTCATACAGAAAAAAGGTAAAATAACATATTATGTAGAAATTATAATTATTGATTTCTTAATACCATATTCATAATTAAAGAACAAAGCAGAAGATTTAGAAGTTGCTATTAACAAATGGCGGAACTCTTGTCAAGTTGCCCTTAAGGACTATCAATATGATTTGCAACAAAAATGTGGACAAACTGTGACCATTTCTGAAATCTTATCTTCATTGAACATAGATCCTAATGTGGTCCATTTTTCTACAGATGATGATACATTTTACTGATATTTTTTTGAACATTAAAAACATAAAATAATTAAAAATACAGTTTATAATTAATTCAATATTATTTTATTATAATAAATATAACATAAATTTATTTGTCTGTCATATAAATTCTAGTTAGATATGGAATATATTTAAGTTGTAACTACCATTGGTGTTTTCGAAATGGAAATGCTGGGTTAAATAATTTTGGATCATCAACATACTTAATTTCTTTTGTCATGTAACCCATTAAACCTGACAGAAGAAGCATTAAATATAATAAAATATTAGATATTAACTATTTCAAATTAAAATGAGATAAAAATTATTACCAGCAGATTGTGCTTTCATTATTTCTTGTTCTACTCTTTTTTGTTTGTATTCACATAATCCAGTTATGTGTTTCCCATAAATTCTACCTGTATGGCGACTTTGAAATTGGGACAAAAATCGTACATTTTTATAATCTGGGTCTATATTATATTTACATAAAATACATAACTTTTTTTCCTTTTTATATGGGTTTTCTGTAATAATTGGCTATAAAATAAAATAAGATAATTTATAATTTATGTAATTAGTATTTCATATAAAGTTTATTCAACGTTATAATACTAATGTTTATAATAGAGCACTACCAAATCTGGGTCCAACGAATCCGTTGATTCTGCACTTGAAACATCTATTTGACTACTTTTGTTACGAAACAGAAATGTCGGAATTCTATTTGTTATGTTTCTTAAAGTTTGTGTAACAATTAGTGCAGGAATCATACTGTAACCTCAAAAGTTCTATAATTTAATTCGTAACAGAATATTATTGACGAACAAATCTTCGTTCGTCCTGCGCAGATTGCCTCTAGTTAGTTGATAAGCAGGAGTAATGCGAATGAGCCCGTATAACGATCTTGTACTGAACATGAAGGCATACCCAATGATTTTTTACTTACTATTAGTACAAATACTCTTTCATATTATCTCATTTCGAAGATTCTACAAATTTTGCTTCCCAAAATGGAATGAATATTTGAATAATCATTTTATAATTCAAAGTTGATATCAGTGAAAACCAGTCATAAAGTATCGTATGTTAATTCCCATGTGTTACAATAGATGGCAAAGTCATTGGCAGAAAATCAAATCCTATCTATGAAGCTAAAATAGTTAATGGTTTATGTCACTAAACGGATTCTGTTACTGAATCCTCTGCCACTCTTTTTCCACGAGGCAGAGGCGAGAGTCGTACTTTTGCAGGTTTCGTAACAAATAATTTAGACTAATATAATTATTACATAGAAACTATCATTGATTAGTGGTGTGTACAGGTGAAGTGATAGAAACAAGATGTGGCCCTCATTGTTGGATGTAGCTAAAATGAATCCATTTGGAACGCCGTATATGACAGCTAAATGTCAGCAGGGGCAGTACGACCTTACACAAGCACTAATTAAACATCGTCACATTGCCGCTGCCGATGCTCTACCAGGTGGTCAGTAATCAATTATTTTATCATAAAATCAATACAGTTACTAAATCCTACATCAATATTTCACACTGAATAAGTTTTCATTTATAACGAAGATCAGTTTTCAAATCTGGTTATATACATAAGAAAATTTAGTTCCTAGAATGCTATTACATAATTTATAAGTCATATTTATAACATTAATTATGGATTCTTTTACATAATTTAAAATTCAGTCGTAACACGACAGTTAGATAGAATGGTAACTTAACAATTAATTAACAAATATGAAAATTGGATACTTTCATCATTTTTTGAGTAACATGCCTTTTATTGTGATACAATTTCTGCAATTAAAGATTGATAACTTATGTAACAAACAAATCTAACCGCATGGGCGAGTACGTTTGTATACCTTTATTTTCATTCTATTTTTAAACGTGTTATTTTAAAGTTATATAACTTTTGAAAGAAATAAGATGATTTGTCTTGTAAAATATTACTATATAAAGTAATTCAGAAAAGAATCTGTCCTCTTCGATTATTTTTCGTATATCGAAAGATTGCATAAGGAGCAGCCATTTTGTTGAAAATGCGCGTGCGGATATCGTCCTCGTAGCCTTGGTTGACATTCGAATAAAAGTGGTACGATGGCCGCGACCGAGAAACAATTAAAGATATCTTCGTGTACTTGAAAGGTTTATTATTAGATGACATCAAGGTGGTAAGGCCGTTCATGCGGATTTTGAGATTTTGCCAGAATCAAATTCCGCACGCGTTTTTGAACAGCTGATCAATAGTAGCTCTTCTACTTGAGCATTTTTTTTAACGTAATATTTTAACAGTTAGATTTTATGACTTATATTGTATGAATAAATGAAAATTATTTTCTTATTTGCAATGTACAGACAGCTGTGAATTTGGATCCAATCATTATTTTATGCTATGTGGCTTGGGAGGTATCTTATCATGTGGCATTACACATACCATGGTTACTCCCTTGGATTTAGTGAAATGTCGAATTCAAGTAGACCCTGCAAAGTACAAATCAGTTTTCAATGGATTTCGAGTGAGTAATAAATTATTTTTAATATTTTTTTTACAAGTGTAGGATAATTATGCTGAAAATTATTATTTTATAGGTAACCCTGGCTGAAGATGGAACCCGTGGTTTAGTAAAAGGTTGGGCTCCAACATTCTTCGGTTATTCCATTCAAGGAATGTTCAAATTTGGACTCTATGAAGTTTTCAAAGTATATTACTCTGCTTTGGCTGGAGAAGAGATGGCATACGAATATAGAACAACATTATATCTAATTTCTTCCGCATCTGCAGAATTCTTTGCTGATATTGGTCTAGCTCCTCTTGAAGCTGCTAAAGTAATTATCTTATATGTATACATAATTGATATTTTTTTAAAACAAGAATATTTAAATCGATACTGTCCCTGTTATAACTTTGAAAGAATAACAGATACTACATTTGTATTATCTGTGCATTCCTGTGACTTCTACTCATGAAAGACAAGATAGAATTGTTCTTTTGTACCTCCACCTTCCTATTGATCCTCATCTTTACCTTGTTCTGTCTAATAACATATGTATTGTGAGTTTGTTGAAATAGCTATTGATTTAAACACTGCTGTATCTGTATTAAATCCTATAAGTCTTAGTATACAAAATACGTTTTTGATTTATACAGGTCAGGATTCAAACTATGCCAGGATATGCGAATACATTAAGAGAAGCTTTCCCAAAGATGTATGCTGATGAAGGTCTTGGTGGTTTTTACAAAGGGCTGGTACCTTTGTGGCTTCGTCAAATTCCATATACAATGATGAAGTTTGCTTGTTTTGAACGTACACTTGAACTTTTATATAAGTATGTAGTTCCTAAACCAAGACAAGAATGTACAAAGGGTGAACAGTTGGTTGTCACCTTTGCTGCAGGATACATTGCTGGTGTATTTTGTGCTATTGTATCTCATCCTGCTGATTCTGTAAGTACATTTTTCGTTTGCTAACAATATACATTTTAATTTATATTATTAATATAAACCTATTTTGCTGCCTCAGGTTGTATCAAAGTTAAATCAAGAAAAAGGAGCATCAGCTGTAGATGTTTTGAAAAAGCTTGGTATGAAAGGTGTATGGAAGGGTCTTGGTCCTCGAATTGTTATGATCGGTACATTAACGGGAGCGCAGTGGTTCATTTATGATGCCGTGAAAGTTTGGTTGCGAATGCCCCGTCCACCACCACCAGAAATGCCAGAATCCCTCAAGAAGAAATATGGACTAGCTTAATTATTAAGCACCAAAAGTATTTTTAATTATATTGTGAATCAGTTACAATTAGAAAGAAAGGCATAGATAAATTAATTCATTACAGTACATTGTCGAACAATGTTTTGCCATACATTTTGAGTATTTATTCTGTAATACAGATATCAGTGCAAGTTGTCACTGCCCAAGAATTAGAAGTAATGATGTGCTATATACATGAATTATAGTAATTTGCTACCAATTCTGTGATTAAAAGAGGTAGCACATTTAAAAAATTCAATTAATGACAGTAAGTTACTTATCGTAACCACACTGTTACTTTGTAAATAGAGTGATCACCATAAATAAATGGTCTGTGATTACTCAATTTATAATTTTAATTCCTCTTTTTTGCCTACCCACAATAATAATACAAATCATGTTATCATATTATCTTTTATCGACATTTTTTTTTTTAAACTTGTTTAATATTGTAATTTATTACAAATTTATTTTATTACAATATTTATTATATTAAGTACTTTAATACAGTATTCAAAAATGTCATGTAACAATATCACATTAAGAACTATAAAAACGTAAATATATGACTACATATACGTTTTGCTATATAAGTACATTATAATAATTTAATTACACTACCTTAAGTACAATTCTTTTTCATAATATATTTTAGCATCTTGTATGGTTGCAAAAATCTTGAGCAAAACTGTTTTATGTAAATACAAGTTACATTTTTTTATGGTCTCAAAAATAGGGCTTGTACAATTTGCAAAATAAAATTGTACATCAATTTGTTGAAATTCTTGTATTACTGAATGCAATGTGCTTACGCCACTAGAATCAATGTAACTTAATGCACTCATATCCATTATCACACATTTCAATTCTTGTTTCTCATCTGAATCTTGTGCTTTCATGTAAATTTCTTTCTCTCTGAACTTAATTTTCTGTTCTATAACTTTTTGTGGATTTATTCCAATTAACTTGTACAATTCTGATTTAAAGTAATTACTGTTTGCAAAGTTTAATGTACCGCAGTAATGATATATTTTCAATCCAGGAACTTCTACTGCCTAAAAATAACGAAAGCATTAAAGTATAAATGTAATATTTTATACAACAATGTTCATTATATAATGCGTACCGTTTTGAATCTACTCAAATCTAAATATAAATCTGTATTTGGTATATGTCCCAATAAACAGGTATATGGTCTAAGGCTTTGTAATAAAATAATTACAAGTGACATTATTATTCCACTCAGCAAACCAATGTCAATGTTTACTAATACTACTATTAAAAACGTTACAATCCAAATTATGGAATCATATTTACTTAAATGCCAGAATTTTCTAAGTTGATTAGCTTGCTGAAACATCCCTTTCAGCGCTACCTAAGAAGGAATATTAATTCATATTAAAGCAATAATAAATACAAAAATATTTGTATTCATTTCTTTTTAACTATCCCGAATGATATACTTACAACAATAATTGATGCAAGAACACATCGTGGCAAGGCTTCGAAAAATGGGCCGATCCATAAGAGAATTGTAAGTAATATTAAACAAGATACAATACTCGCTATCTGTGTTCGACCACCAACAGTTTCTTGAATTAAAGATCTACTTAAAGATGCTGATACTGGCATACATGAGAAAAAGGACCCCACTATGTTACTCATACCCTGGAAATACACTTCATAAATATACAAACTTATCCGTTTTTAAAACTAACATTAAAAGTTATTATCTTACCATAGCGAGAAGTTCTTGATTGGAATCAATTTTATAATTCAGTTTTTGCGCAAATATTAAAGCCATTGATATAGTTATTGTATATGAAACCATAGTTATAGCAATACTGTCTATTGCTACCAAGCTTAACAAATTAAGTGTTGGTATTTCCGGTGATGGTAGTCTGTTAATTTTTTAATTTAACATATTTACAAAGTCAAATTATATTCGTAGGATATAATTAAATTATATTATTACATACCCTGTTGGAATATTACCTACAGTTTGAATACTGTATTTTTCAGACAAATAAAGGTATTTTGAAATTAATGTTCCACTCACAACTGCAATCAACTCGATTGGTATCGGAATATTGCATTTTTTGCTTGCCCAAGGCTAATATTGAAATAATCACATAATAATTACTTATACATTATAAGTATAATATAGAAATGTTAATACTAACCTTTAAAAATTCATTATTACAAACAAGGCATATAATTGTTATCAATGATGTGATTACAGCAGCCAAATTTGTATTTTGTATTTCTTTAAAAACATCTATTAATGTCTAGAATAATATTTTTTATTAATTCTTTGTTCTAACAAAAATTTGATACTTTATACCTACAAAAATAAGTTTAAAATATCCTTTTTGTTTCGGTATTTTTAATCCCAACAGATCTTTGATTTGGGACGTGAAAACATAAACAGCTGCTCCAGTTGTAAAACTGTTCACTAAAGGTTCACTAAGTAATGTACTTATAATACCCAAATGAAATATGTACATTATGATCTAAAAAAATAAACGAAATATATTATTAACTATCCATAAATGTATCAAGAATTTATGAAACTTTACCTGATATATTCCAACCATTAAAGTAACTGCTGTTGCTACTTGTAAGGGTGTATATAAATACTCCTCCGGATGATTGGATATTGCATTTGTAGTGTTTGGACTTATAATTTCATTTTGTGGTATTGAAAAAGTCATCACTGATTTCCCAGTCATCAAGCAAACCACAGCGAATGTTCCTGATGAGTGCCAATAATGTTTCATTGTTTTAACTTGTCTAATAATTTTCTATTAAAAGGAGTTATGTGTAACTTTTCTGTAATAGAAGTAGTATTTTACAAAATATGTATACATACTGTAAAACACTAAAAAATGTGGATCTTTATCAAATGCTGAACATTTTCCTCCCATGTTACAATCGTTAAGATATAATTATTAATTTTTTCTTACCCATGGATACATGTCTGGATGTGCCAAAGAAAAAATATACTAAAACAGGAAAAAATGCCATGTATATACCAACTACAGGTGGTACATTTCCTAAAAGTGCATAGGCCATCCCTTGAGGAATATGCATAATTGCTACTGTTAAACCAGAAATTATGTCAGACATTATATTTGTTTTCCATCTATATTTGCTCAACCAATGTATTGATGGAACTGCAGACGTAAAACAAGATTTCCAATTTACTGATTTCAAACTGCTTAATGCATTTCGAAGTACTATAAGAAATAATTAATAATTATTATATAGCAGACATATTTGTGTTTTCTAAATACTTTTTACATACCAGATATTTTTGGCTTTTCATACTGATAATCCCTGTTTAAATCTTCCTGTTCATAAATAGGCCTTTCTAGACGTACTTGTAAAAATATATCATCTTTCTCCATGATTGAACTGTGGATGTCTGAAAATATTAAAAGTTTAATTTATTACCTGTTATTCATTTTGTGATATACTTATGCATTTCCAATAGTAAGGTAAAAGTTCATTATATTAATTTCAAATATGAAATGAATGCAAAAATATTAAAAACATATTTATTATGTAATATTCTGAAACAATCAATAATAAGATCATACAATATTATTGAGAGTATATATTAATACAGTAATTTGAACTTTACATTTGCAAAATTTTAAATAAAAAATATTAAATTATTCCTATTTGCAATTAAGTGAAACAAATTAACCTTAAAGTAGTTTTAAAAATATTTTGTTAATGATTATAATATAAATAATCGCACATTATACTTTCTGTACTAAATATATTTTGTAGTCTAACTTACTTTTACTCTTATTATATTATATAATAATTTTGTATCACTATATGATTGTGAAATAATTTCCAAATAATTATTAAATCATTTCGTTTCGTGGCAGACACTAATTTATAAAGTAAAACGTGCAGTATATTTACATGTGTGTATATATACTGTCCCAATGCATTAATCACGTGGCATTGTTGAACGTGTATACGTGAATATAAGAATGCTACCCCCACTATTGGAACTTCCAGATTCCAGACTGTGTATAACCGTGTTTTTATATGTAGAGTTGTGGATTATTCAGTCAATGGAAGATTGCATTCGCGATTGCATGTTTGATACCGTGTATATCATGCGTTGAATTCTAAATTTTTGTTTGTATTTACAATATTTGATCTATTAAAAATGTCAAATATGGCAATTCAGAACATAAGTAGAATGTCACGATTGTTCCAACCACTGTCATCTAGGATTAGTACTGCTAAACAATCAGAACCTATTTCAAAAAGTTATGAGGTATATTATATATTATTTCTTTTATTTTTTATTGATTCCTTGTGATACTCAATCATTATAATCCGTACATTGATTGCAGAATTTAACGAGATATGGATTTATTAAACAAGTTAATAGTGGCATGTATGCATATTTACCCTTGGCATTACGTGTTTTAAATAAATTAATAACTATTATTGACCATGAAATGGAAAAGATTGGAGGGCAAAAGCTATTACTTCCAGCTTTGACATCAACCAAATTGTGGAATAAAACAAACAGGCTTGATGATAATTTATCTGAGTTATTTATACTGAATGATAGATTCGCAAAAAAATACATACTTAGTCCAGTAAGTCATTATTTAAATCAGACCTATAAACATAAAAATTATTAACATTTATTACATTTTAGTAAATGTAATGTTTTATTTTAACATAGACATGTGAAGAAAGTATTTGTAACTTATTATCAACCATAGGAACAATACCGTCACACATGATACCTTTGAGACTGTATCAAATCTCGAATAAATGGAGGGATGAGATGAAACCACGTCATGGATTTATAAGAAGTAGAGAATTTCTTATGAAAGATCTATATACATTTGATTTTGATTTAGAGAGTGCACAAAAGACTTATGAAATAGTGAATGAAGCTTATGAAAATATATTTACAAAGATAGGTGTAACATTTATAAAAGGTAATAGAACAAGTGTCATCATGTAGTGTTATATGCTAAGCTAACATTAATTAAGATTTGCAGCTGTTGGTGATACAGGAATTATCGGAGGTTTAATGTCTCATGAGTATCATTATAAAGGTAGTATTGGAGAAGATACTGTCTTTATATGCCCATCTTGTCAGTACACTATTAACAAAACTATTTGCAATGATACGCATTGTCCTAACTGTAAAAATGAATTTTTGAAAGAGCAAGTTGCTGAGGTAATAGAAAAAATAAATTTGGATTAATCTTACACTTTTTGATAAATTTTATCTTTCATTCTAGATAGCACATACATTTTTATTAAACACAAAATATACAGAACCCTTGAATGTAGTATATAGAACAAATAATTCATCAACACCCTTTGTAATGGGATGCTATGGAATTGGTATAAGTCGCATCTTTATGATGCTGGCTGAAACATTATCTACTAAAACCGAATTGAGGTGGCCAAAACATTTAGCACCTTATACAATTTGTATTATACCACCAAAAGTAATATACACTATTTTAATACTAGTATATTATGTATTATATATACTATTGAAAATCATTGCATTTTTACAGAAAGGGAGCAAAGAAGAAATTGCAACTCAATATCTAGACAAAATAATAGGACTGTTAAATCATTTACATATCGATGCTATACTTGATGATAGAACAAATTTGACTATTGGAAATCGATTGATGCATGCTCGTGTAACTGGATTTCCATATGTTATTTTAATTGGAAAATCTGCTATGCAATCAACACCTCTGTTTGAAATCCATAATACAAATAATGCAACACAGTGTGAAGTAACTTTAGAAAACATATATACTTATTTTAACAATGAATTTAAAGAAGATGAAGAATTATTAGAAATTAATAAAATAAAAGTACAATAAATTTGATTAGATTTTTCCTCTAATTTTTAATCAGAAAATGTACAAGAAGTTTACATAAATGTTTTCAGAAATTCATTGCTCTAATTTAATTTGAACTTTGTGATATGCATTACAGAGAAAACCTCGTAGATTCCAAATGTTTTTAAAACTTTCTGGTTGAACATTGTATGATGCATCTACAGCTTTTGCCCAAATTTCCATTTCTTTTGATTCTTTATTAACGGGAAGATCTACATTCCATAATGTCCAGCTCCAATAACGACCTTCTTTAGCATTGCTATCTTCCGCATGAAAATTAGCTGTATACCAAGTTTTACCGTGATCATTTGTTACATCAACTCGAATAATTTTTCGACCTCCTCCAGACCATGCATATCCTAAGAAGAAGGTTTGCTTATTTTTACATACAAAAATTTTTAAATGCACTGAAAGTTATATACTTTACCTTTGACATTTACTTTTCCATTTACTACTTTAACTGTTTCTGATGATTCTGGTACACAAATTGCAGAAACGACAGGCATTTCTTGAATAGCAGGTGCTTTAGAAAAATCTACATTATTCCAATCAGTACTTGGAGAAAAACCTTTATAATCACGTCGCTGCCACTGTGACTGACTTTCTTCTTTTGAGACAATTATTTTAGCTAAGAATATTACAAAAATAGATTATTATTCTGTATTCAACATTTATTACAATTATAATAATTGTTAGTTTATTACCAAGCCATTTCACATTTCTGGCACCCACCACACCTGGAACAATTACCCTGATAGGAAAACCATGATCTTTTGATATTGGTTTTCCATTCATTTCATAAGCTAAAATTATATCTGCTTTAGGATCCATAGCTTTACTAATAGGTATACTTGCTCCATATGGTGTTCCAGAAGGATCTAAGTCATATCCCTCAAACTTATTTAAAGAAATTATTTACATTTTAAGAAACTATTGTTTTTAGTTTATTTTTAATATCTACTCCTTCTGTTTCCGTGATTATACCTGTATATGATTGTAGTCATCTTCTTTAATTCCCAAATCCTTCAATACATCATATAGTCTTGCCCCAGTCCATGTAGCATTGCCCACTGCACCTACACCCCAACTAAGCCCTTTCAATTCTTTTTCCTGTTATTAGAAGACAAATGTATAATCATATTTATTACATTACTTACAAGTAACTTGCAGATATTTATGTATTTATAATATACCGATATCCCCAAAGTATTCATAAATTACTTTGGAGATTTTTATATTTTACAAATGTATGAACATTCACAATTTACCAAAGAAAGAAAAGTAATTTACTTTTGCCATTTCAGATCGTCTGTTTCCACCACACATTATGGCACTTGTTATTGTATACTTGGGATACCTTTTTATATCTTCAAATTTAAGGGTCTTCTTTGTTGTTTCCTCCACAGCTAGTTCTAAAGTATAAGTTTTTATGTCTATGTGAGGAACAGGGAGATGATTTCTGACATAAAATAATTCCCTGAAATAAAATAACATGTCAAAACTAGTACTATTTAGAAACTTCTTAAAATTCTTTTTAAATTAAAAATATATATACACAGGTGTAATGAAGCTTTCAATTAATAAAGCAGAAGGTGGTTCGGCACAAAATGGTTTATGTCCATTAATTTTTAAAGCTTTATGTCTAATAGGTTCATTTGAGTATGGGTCACTATCATTCAGTTTATTGGAAATAGTATCTTCTTCAGAAATATTTCCAATTCTCATTGTTTCAAGAAGCTCATATATTTCTGAACTATTGTGATTTGCAAATATTGCCCAAAATGGTTCAATCGAACCACCAGCTGCCATTAATAGTTTGGAGGGACCACCTGGATGTTTTTCAATAAAATTTGTTACATCATATACTCCTTGTTTAAATGTCACCCAAACACCATCTTTTTTATTATCGTGTTTTCCTACTTCCTCTAAACTGTAAGTTTTCAAATTTGCTTGGAATTCTCCACATTGAACATCCTTTTTATTCAAGGCATAAACTTCTTTACGGGTTGTGTAGAAATAGATACCCAGTAGAGATGTAGCAATGGTAATGTATGCAGTGCATTTTGCATAAAAATCATTCTTAGATGTGTTCTGTGTAAATTGTTCACTTTTAAATGAATACTCTCTTTTTGATCCAACATAACATGGAATATAAATATTTGACACTGATGGTAAAGATCTGAAATAAATTTTATTTATTATATAAATTTCATGTTTGAATTGTTATTAAATAATGATTATAATTTGAAATAACTTTTTGCTTAGGTGGTACAAAAATTTCGAACGTAAAAGCATAGTGCTAATATTTTGAACGATTCAACAATCAAAACAATGGAATGCTCATTTAAAAGTTCGTTCTTCGAATTATGTATACGAAGTGATCATGTAACATTGTATAATAACTTGTTACATTTTTTATCCAGATTAAGAAACTGTATCTTAATAATGCTTAAGTACTGTTATCTATCTGTTTTTTTTATAAATGTTGTTTTTGGATGATTACATTATGATAAGAATAATACATGCCAATCATTCTTTTAGTAATGGTTCCCTGTCATTTCGTACTTTGATGTTATCGTAATGTTTCTCCTCCAATATTTAGAAATTTTTCAATGAAAGCTTGAAAATAATTGTAATATAACAAAAAATAAAATTACAAACACCCAGAACTGTTTTTTAAATAAATATAAAGATTCTTTATGCGATATCAAGGAAATATGTATCTATTTTGTTAGTAAGTAAATATTCACTATTTACTTTTCCAAATATGCTTAATACTTTTAAATTTGCTATATAATTAAATAAACATATTTGTTTCAAAGCTGTTTTGATCATTAAAATATTATTTATTTGTTTAAAACTATTTAGGAGTATAGGTTATATTTAACAGTAATAGATTCTAAACTATAGATTGTATTAAATATATTATTAAAATATCATATAGTTTTTATAATACGTTTGTATTAAAATTATATTTGTACTGCATGATTTGTTGTAATTTAAAAAATTCTATAAAAATTGTATACATATTTGTTTATTTGCATTAACACATTTTATAGCTGAAAGAAATGAAATATAGTGAATAAAATATTATGACAATGGCTATGAGAAAAAGGAGTGGTTCAGGCTCCAAACGCCAACATAAAGGGAAACTTGTACCAATTTATGAAAGTTTTTTTAAAGGAGAAGATTTAACGTTAGCTCATCCAAATTTTTGGAATGAACTGTTCTTAATTAAACCTATGGTGAGTCATTTTTATATTCATTTTATTAAATAGCATATACAAATATAAGTAATAAAAATTGCAAATTGGCAAATTAAAATGTTGAAATTCTTCATATTTTTTGAGGAAGCTTTCCTAAAGATATTAAGCGCATTTTACCTGTTATAGAAAAATATGTTAGAATAAGTATAGTTATTAATAGACTATTAATGTTTTATATTTATTATATTCTCCAGTCTAATTACTTATTAATTCAGATTATATGCAAATTATGCTTTTCTTTGTTTTTTTGTTCTAAACTCATCGCGCATATAGTAGTCCTCTTCTTCTTGATATTTTTTACTGTCAGGTTTCTGATGTTTCTTTGATATATGAGTGGCTTTTATATCAGTAGATGAAGTTTTTACATTTTCCTTATTTTTAGAGGCTTGTAATTCTTTTTGCTTTTTGTGATCTGTTACATCAAGTGGCACTTTCTTTTTTACTTGTTGTTTACTTTTATCCTCAACTAAAAATAGTAGAATAATATTATTCTGAAATTAATACTTTGCAATAAAGTAACATTGAATTCTTTTTTAATAAATACCCTGTTTTTGCTTAGTTTCTTCACATTCTATTTCATTGTGTAAACTACCTGGCATAAATTTGCACTTAAAATTAAACCATGCTTCACTCGTTTGAACTTTATATTTTAAGCATTTTAATTGATATATACATACTCTTCCATAATATTTTGTTACTTCCCATGATGGTAATGACTGTAAATTTTATAGTTTAAATATTAATGAACCTTTACAAAATACTTGCAAACTTACTTGAATAAATTTGGTAACAAATTTACCGATCATTATAATATTATATCAGTAAATATGTATCAACATATAATAATTATTAGATATTAAAATTACAAGTTTGTAGTATCATTTTTTATATAACAGAATTTTTTAATTAACCAAATAAATCTTTGTGCTTCTTGTTGACAACAAATTTTTATTGCCACTTTTTTTGTCAAAAAAAGAAACAAATGAACTGTTAAATCTTACTATATACCCTGTGATTATGTGGAACTATCATTACTTTTATATGATTATTTCTTACATCTTTAGGTCCCACACATTGAAAGTGAAATTTTACATATGACAGTGGAGCAGTTAAATGCAAGCAGAGAAAATTTAAATGCCTTGGTTTGTCACTGTGTAGACACATTAGTTGATGAACATCCTTTTAGGGTTGTATATGCTCTACAAACTTTAGCTGCTGTCATTCAATCCATGTACAAGAAAGCTAGTCAAGGCGATTGTGGATTTAACTTAATAGACATCTTAGTGGGATTTGATTCAGCAGAGCAAAGGATGACAACTTTAATGCAGCATTGCAATAATTTTTTAACAGGTAAATTAAAAGTATTGTAATAAATAATTGATTCAAGAAATCAAAGATTCAAATATACATTTAATGTGTGAATAGTGATTCAGAAAATTGATTGTTAAAAATTTCTGTGATTTCAGGTGAATATCCTGATAGCTTAAAAGCTTTGTGCTTGAAATTGTTATTAATTATTGTAACTGGTATGGACAATGTTAGTCAAAACACTTTGTTGGAATATGTTATGCTTAATAGTGTTTTTGAATCTCTGGTTCAAGTAGGTATTACAATTTTGTTTAAACAATGTATCATTGAAAAACACAAATCATAAATATTAATACACAGTTTTCATGTAGTTATTAAGAGATACGACAGCTAGAAGTCGTCATGGACACGATGCAGTATTGCTATTAACGCTTCTAGTCAATTACAGAAAACATGAAGGAGCAAATCCTTATATTGTTAAGTTATCAATTTTAGATGATGAACTAGCACTTAATGGCTATGGGCAAGTAATATCAAGTTCATTGACGGAATTTTGTAGGCAATTCGCTCAGCAAAGAGCAGGTATAAAGGCATTTATGTTGGTACTTTTACACTACTTACTGAAAATTATTAATACAAACATAAATATATTAATAATTTAGAAGTACAAGCGTCCTGGTTATCTTCTTTGACTAATATAGTTGGAAGTATGTTTGTTGGAGAAGAAGAAGCAAAAACGCAACAAGTTCGTGCTAACAATGCTTTGTTGTTAGCACTTTACGAAGCTACACATTTAAATCGGAATTTTGTAACAACTTTGGCATATACGCAAAGTGATACTAGTGCACCACCTTCGCCAAACAATACATTAGGGCCGAATGCAGTAGCTCCAGGAGCTCAGCTGCCTGATGTCATGGCCCAGCCATTCAATTTATTGGCTACATTTTTACAATATTGGTAGGAAATTATTTATTAAATATCATATTAATAAAGATGATTAATGCATTATATCTTGTGTTATTTCAGTTCAATAGTTATGCAAGTTATCAGAACAGAAGCAATAATGAATAATGTTAAGTTGTGTTTCCTTATATTAAGCTGCATTGCAGAAGATCAATATGCAAACAGTTTGATGCATGATGCAAATTTAGCATTCAGAGTACAACTCCATCGAGTTCCAATGCATCACAGAAAAATACAAGATAAAGCAGCACCTGCTCAACCATTGGCAGCTACGTTACTTGGTACAATTATTACTCATTTAAGGCAAAAGTTTGATTTATTTGAATAATTATTGTAAAATTGTAGATTTACTTGTTGAATTTGTTACATCACATATGATGAAGAAATTTCCACTTGAACTGTATCATCAATGTATTGGAGTTTTACAAAGGTTGCTTTGTTACCAGAAAAGATGTAGAGTTAGACTTGGATATCAATGGAGAGATCTATGGACAGCATTGATCAATCTACTCAAATTTTTAACTACACATGAAAGTCATCTTATTAAGAAAATGAATATTTTCCCACTAGCTATTCAGGTAAATTAATATATTAAAAATATTATAACAATTATAAATCGAAAGAATAAAATAAATTTTATAGGTTGTAAATATTTTAAATTTATTTATAACTTACGGAGATACCTTCCTATCATCTCCAAGTAGTTATGATGAATTATTTTATGAAATCATCCGAATGCGGCTTATTTTCACAAATTTAAATGCAATGGGTATGTAACAATGAGTAATTTTGTATATATTGTTGTTTAAAACAAATGGATTGCAAGCAACTAATGAAATTATAATATGTACATTTAAGCACTACGATATTCAACAAGTGAATCTTACGAATATAAAGAACATGCATTAAAATTAACAAACTGTTTAGTCAATATGAGAGATATTGTAAATCATTTTCCACCAAAAATAGCGGCATGGTTGGCAAGTGAAAGTTTATCAACTCCAACAGAAGAACAAATTTTAGCAATCATAATACAAAATTATGATAGCCTTACCCTGAAATTACAAGATAATTTAGATCAATATGAAAGATATTCTGAAAAACCAAACCACATTGCATTCTTTGAAGAAATGGTAATAATCGATTAAATGTATAAACATGTAATTTTAAGCATTTATTTCTTCTATTTTTTTTTATTATTTTTCAGGTAACAGGAGTTGTAATTGATACCCGGGGTTCGATAGATTTAAATGCATTAGATACACAAACTATATTACAAGAACTATCAAACATTTCGTAACACAGGTTTCATGTGAAATATAAATCAGATCTTGTGTGTCATCTTGTTGTCATAATGTATTATAACATATTTTTTTTAATACAGTCAGTCTTCTGTGTATGTTCTCACTATTGCAAAGAACATATGACAGCTTACACAAATAGCATAATGTAGTATTTTTGGTTGTTGCGCTATATTTTTATGGATTATGTATACAAGTTTCAGAGTTATTAAAATTTAATAAGTACCAAATATATACATATATCTCTATTTAACACTGTTTTTATAAAAATCTTAAGTTATCTTTTATAGTTTATATCTTAAATATAAATTAAAAACTTAAAAATGTATATTTAATATAAAAATATATTTACAAACAGCTTTTTAAATGTTCCTTTGCAAGAAGTGCAATACCAACTTTAGAATGATTTTGTCTTTGAAGTTGATTACTGATGAAATTTCCTATTGATATTATTTCATTGATATCTACTCCAGTTTCTAAACCTTGTCCATGTAAAAAATAAAGTAAATCTTCAGTAGCAACATTTCCAGAAGCACCAGGTGCATATGGACAACCTCCTAATCCAGCAACAGATGAATCAAAAATCCTGATACCCTCCTCAAGACTAGCATAAATATTTACCAAAGCTTGACCATAAGTATCATGACAATGAATTGCAAATTTATTTGTATTGCTTGATACATGTTTTAATTCATGTAATACTTGCTTTATTTTATTAGGAGATCCTATACCAATAGTGTCTCCTAAAGAGATTTCATAACATCCACATTGTAACAGAAATGCAGCTAAATTGGCTACAACTGTTGGTTTAATTTGACCTTCATAAGGACAGCCTACGATACAGGATACATAGCCTCTAACTTTAATATCATGATTTTGTGCTTCTTCAACAACTGTTTTAATATTGTTCATACTCTCCTCGATAGAACAGTTAATGTTTTTTTTTGAAAAAGACTCAGATGCTGCCCCAAAAACAGCTATTTCTTTTACACCTACTTTCAATGCATTTTCTAAACCTTTTATATTTGGTACTAATACTGGATATGAGATATCTGATCTTTTCTTAATTGTTTGATAAACTTGCATATTATCTGCCATTTGTGGGATCCATTTTGGAGATACAAAACTTGTGACTTCTATATGTTTTAATCCAGTTTGTGATAGTTTGTTGATCAATTCAACTTTAACTTTGGTTGGCACAATAGTTTGTTCATTTTGTAATCCATCTCTTGGACCAACTTCAACTATTTTCACAAAATTACTAAACATCCTTATCTTCTTAAAGGACACATTATATACATTACTTGTATTAATTATTTTTAACATTATTAATAAAAAAGAACGGTTTCAGTAAAATATATATTCTTATTTACACATTCAATCAATATTTATGCATGGATTTTCTTTAGATATCTAATTTAATACATATGCAGAACTGATAACAAACACTGATAAAATACATAGTAATAATAAATTAGTTCTGTTTGATTGAGGCGCTCCGCGCCTAACCTAACAATGTTGAGTGAGCGAGTAAATTTCACGCTAAAGCAAAAATAATCAATGTCATCCGGTTGAATTGGTTGAGTGGTGCAAGAGAAAAACGTGGACAAAAAAGTTGAAAAGTCAAGTACATAAGCGCTAGCAAATTCAATTTTGTATTAAAGTCTACGGGCATACGTTTTTTCAGTTTAGTTCGCAGTTTCGCCGCTAGATGGCGCCACAATTTTTCTCCATAAAAAGACATTTTTTTTATTTTCTTTCTTAAAGCTTTCAGGAAACTTTTATTGCTCTATTTTGCTTCTAATGCGATCACATAACAATTTCTGAGCCTCAGAAGTACTCAAAGTTCACTAATTTTCGAGAAAATCGCATTTTTATGTTTTTGTAGTTCCAACTTTCGCCGCTAGATGGACGCCAATTTTTTAGTCCATGTTTTGACCTATTTTTTTATTTTCTTTTCTAGCGCTCTGAGGAGGTTCTAGTGGCAATATATAGATTCTAGAGGGGTTACAGAGCAATTTCTGACCCTCAGAAATACGTAAAATTGCCTAATTTCGGAGAAAATCGAAATTTTAGGTTTTTCGTAGTTCCTCCGCTCGCCGCTAGATGGCGCCACCTGTGCCGTTTTGGACCGAATTCTACAAAAATTGATTTTCTGGCTTTATTAGGCATCAAAACGCATCAAACCCTAATAGAAATTTGTTTCTAAATGCCTCAGGAACCATACTACGTCGTCAAAGTGCCGAAATATTCATTTTTTTATTTTCCTTTATATATAAAATGTGGATCACCGAGTATGTATGATCAGTGTTGACATGCGCAGAATGACAAAAACTTGTCGAATAATGGATATGATCTTGTGCTAAACGAATTCTGGTTGCCATTTTTTAAATGAAATAAATACCAGAACATTTTCATGATCGACATCTTCTACGGGATGAAAGTGTATACCATTTTTTGTGAAAGATACATCTGTAATCTACATTTGTAGTGCGTGATGATTTATTACTATAGAGTGAATAGATGCTGTTAATTCCTCTTAATTGATATTTCATTATTCATAAAACGAGAAGTACATAGAACCAATTATTTGGTTAGGAGAACATGTTTCCAGCGTACGCCTACTTGTCAGCGTATGACAGGCATAAGAAACTTATAAATGATTATTTGACGTTACATGATGATTCAATATCATCCTTAAAGCGCGACACGTATGTTAAATCTTTTAATTAGTTTAAAAAAAAATTGATAATATAATCACTGTTTATAATTCTTGTCTTAATTTCGGTTTGGTTGAGATAAGCTTTAAGATCTTATCAGATATTTTTGGATCAGATTTATTTAAATGCGATAAAGAAAAATGACAACTTTATAAACCTTAAACCGAGCAGCTCTTGACGTTTCGGCCTGTGTTTCGAGGTCCCGAGATAAGACGGACTATGACGTTATTAGAGAAAACCACAAATTTCTATGGGATCAGGACAATGATGAACCAGATACATGGGGTGCCAAGCTGGCAAAAAAGTATTATGATAAATTATTTAAAGAGTATTGTATAGCCGATCTAACATATTATAAACAAAACAAGGTAAATTACAAATGTATTTCAAACATAGTAAAGGTTTCCACAATTCCTAAAAATCAGTATTAAATAGGTTGCTTTAAGATGGAGAACAGAAAAGGAGGTTATCGTTGGAAAAGGACAGTTTGAATGTGGAAATAAAAAATGTAATGAGAAAGAAGAACTTAAATCTTGGGAAGTAAATTTTGGTTACATAGAACATGACCAGAAAAAAAATGCTCTTGTCAAGTTAAGTAAGTAATTATATATTTTTTTAAACATATATACTTAAAATATATATTCATTGTTACAATATATTTTAAGGACTATGTCCCAAGTGTTCAATAAAATTAAATTATCGTTCACAAAAACATGAAGCAAAAAGACATAAGGCATTGAAAAGATTAGGAACAAATTCTGACGTTCAGAATACTGCATCTGATATGCCTAGTACATCTGTGGAGAATGTTAAAACTGAGGACAAAGCTGCAGATAAAATAACTGAACCTGTGGAAGAAATGAATAAAAATGAATCTAATATTTGGAAAGAGAAACCAGCTGATAATTTGGAAAAAACACGGGAGGAGGAGTTTGAAGAATATTTAGCAGATTTGCTAATGTAAAAGGAATAAAATTGTTTTTACAAATCAATATAATATCAAAAAATTATTTATTGCTGATACCATTGAAGAAATATAACAATTTCTATACAGAACACTAGTCATATTTAAATAAATGTAATTATAATGATCACAACTTTATTTTGATTGATACATAGTTATAGTTATGTTATTAGTATGTTGCATAATAATAAGGCATAGCATATATTTTTTAACTTTGATACATGAAATAATTCTGGTTTGCAAAAGAATTGAATTTGCAATACAAAAATGTCTAGCACCAACTAACATATATATATTTATATATATATATATATCATACAATACAAAATACATATATTGTATAATAAATAAACATAACAGTATTTTATTGCAGTGAAGAATTTTCAATTTCAGTAATATACATATCTGATTATGATTTCTGGCATAGTCATTTACAATATGCAAATAGTTTTAATGCAGAAACTTCATTTTTTCTACTATTATCAGTACATATTATACTTCATAAATTAATAAAATAATACATTTTTATAATAATTTTCATTAATTCATTTGATATTACTATTCTAATTGTATAACTTCAGTGAGCTAGTTTCCTGTAAAAAGACTATCCTAATTACTCAAACTTACAGTATCCTCAATGTACGTTGTAACGCTTACTATACTCATATAATTTATGACGAAGTCATATCTATATTTCGTAAGACTAAATTTATAAAACATATTGTACATATCTGAAAAAGTTTAATGTCAATACATTTTGTGTATTGCAAAATATTTTTATAAATCCCAATTTGTTGTGCGAGAATCATATTAAAACTAAAATATAATCAAAGAAAGATATTTTTTATCAGAAAATAATTATCATTATTAAACGATTATATTTTATATTCGATTAACTTCTTTAAAGCATAATAATAATTTATAAACTCGCAAAGGAGGACCTAAAGTCTTCATTGTATCTCGTATCGTTTTAAGCAGTATTTAAATAAATATGAAGCAGAGTCAACAAGATATAGATTAACGTGCAAACTAATATACACTGTATTTTACAGTAATTCACAATTTGCAACTTTTTAAAGTTATATTATACGACGATAAATTCAGTTTCAATACACTAACACCTATATAACTACGTTTATTTCGAACTGTTTACTTGGGCACCATTGTAAAAATAAAAATATTGTAAATTGGTACGTAAAGAAGAAAATATTACTAATTCAAATTTTAAGAAAATTTTACAACGTAATAACCAAAGTCATATTATTTTATATATGAAAAAATATTGGAATGACATGAAACAAAATATAATTTAATAAATTTACTCAAGATCTTTAAGTACAGCTATGACGTAGTAAAATCGTACTAAATCTTTGAATCATTGATAAATTGTCAAAGAGCGTTACCATAAAACATAGAATAATCATAATGAAAATAATTCATTTACAATTGGAATTTCTTGGACAAGATCTTACATGATTCGCCTGTTTCTGGGAGTCACTGTCTTCGTCGCTGCAATCTTCATCGTGTGTATGTGTTACATTGCGTGGAGTTTCAGGTCTAGCATGTGGTATTTGATTATTGGGACAATCCACATATAATGTTTTCTAATAATGGATAAAATCAATTGAGACTCTTTTTTCATATTATATAAGGTACGAAATAATAACAAGAAATATATACATACAGGAGGTTTACTTTGTTCTTCTTCTTCGTCGGTGAATTTGTAAGTTCGAGACCGACTAATCATCGGTGTTTCCATAACGAATCTTTGTTCATGAGCTACTGTACTTTCGTGAGGCATCTGAAAAATATCAGGTCAAAATAAAATAACGAAATTTATCAATCAATAAAGGAGAAGAATCCCATCAACTTACCAACATAGCAGGAGCTCGAAACATGTACGAGAATGGATAATAAATAAGATTTAAGAATGTTGCTGCATATAAATCAGCATACCTCACTACTTGACTACTGAAAAAAGTTTGCCTACTACCACTACGGAATAACGAACCCATCATTCCGTAAGCTAAATCCATTTTGTGCGTAACGTCTCTTATTGATGCTCGCAGTTTGGAAATGTCGGGTTTTTCTTTTGTGCTACTATCTAAATTTCTGAAGAAAAACGGAGATAAGCAATAATTATGATATTCAATAACTATTCCGCGTTAATAATCGTATATTATTTTACTTACTTGTACATTTCTCCTAACATAACATCTAAATTTTGTAATTCAGCGAATAATTGACATTTGTCTGTCCAAACGTGAAGCTCTTGAACTAGTTCAGGTACTATTAAAAATGTCCTCCATCCTCTGATTTTCTTACTCTTTAAAATATCACCGAATATATGATCTCCAACATACAATACGTCTTTGCCTTTTGCGCCTATTAATTCCGTGAAAACATCGCAAGATCCTCCTGAATAAACTTCACCTGTTTACACATAAAACACCGTTTTATTACAAATATAAATACAGGTATACTGCGTGCATCTCGATTTTACAGCAGATGTAGATGTAATGATATCCTTTTAAAATGTTAAAAATAATTCTACCTGTATGAAGTGGGCCTTTATGCGTTCCAAGTTTCAGAGCTCCAGTTTTGGTATCCACTTGTCTTAAAATTGTACCTTCACCGAAAAACAACGGCTTCCTAGCGTCTACTACGATAGTATCAAAATATGTTTTCCAGTTCCTATGTGGTTCGTCCGGCTGTAATACAATTAGTATATACTAATACTTGTACTTATATAAGTACAATTAATTTACAATTTTTCTTACTCGCACATTTCAACAACATACCTTTGCCCCATGTGGAAAGTCAAAAAGATAAGTCATAATCTTGTCGGTAAAAACGTAATCGCTATTCGTTAAAAGAAATACTTTCGCTCCACTTTCTCGGATTCTATTCAAAATGGTGGGCAACCTCTGGTCTTTCTTTACGTATTCATCCAAATTCTCGATAGTTTTTGATTTAAGATCACCGTGTAGATGTATCCAGTCCACCGCGTTTCGGACATCTTGGAATATACTTTTGAAGCTCATCGTCAGTTCTCCTTCTTTCACCCCGGTTTTTTCGCGCGTGTATTGTGGCGAATTCGTGAAAAAGTCTATCAAACATGCTAATAAATACGTTTCGGGAAGATTGAACAACGTGTTGAGCACATATACCCTGGACTCGTCTAATTGTAAAAATTTATTCGGATAAAGCTCGTATACTTGCGAACTGAAATAAAACAAACATTTTAAATGAACAATTTTATCTTTGAAATATAAAAATAATTTAACATATTTAATAAATGTTGCTCACTGTTTCAAAAACTCGAAACCGTGAACGCAAACTAGGATGTTTCCATAGGCGTCCACTTTGAGGAGATTTCCGTAAAGGGTGTCGAACCACAGTCCTCGTACCGGAAAGCTGGGATCATATTCGAACGCTTTGATTTCTTGCGGGTATCCCAATGATACAAGTCGATCTTTCAGTAACGTGAAACCCAGTTGCTCGTATTGTGGTGATTTATACTCTACAACATTTATAAAAAATTAAGTTAGTAAAAAATTAATAGCACTTGCTTATTATTATAAATTTGTATGGAATAAATTTTTAAATTAGAATTTATGAATTTGTGATAACCCGGGGTATTGGTTGGCCATTAATTAAATAATTATCTATAACTCAGATAATTTTGTATCTAGATAATGGTTACCATTACTAACCCCACTTTCCAGTTATCATAAATTTGCAACTTTGAAGTTACTACTCACCTGCTAATGTGTAATCCATATCAAAGCCATAGAATTTGATATTTTCTAAATGAAGACTGCGGTTGACAAAAATTCTGTAACAAAAGTAAACGAACAAAACTTAATAAAAAATATTTTCCCATTAAAATACAGTGACATTTAGCAGAGAAAAAAATACATGTGAAATATTTGCTTTTTATTTTTTCAACCCCAAATAATACCAAACCTGTTTACGGCAATATTTCGAGCTCTGATAAAAGATTCTGAGTTAATTATCGATATAGTTGGTATTCTCATAATATCGCAATCACTCGATTTTGTTGCTGGCGTTGATGGGTTATCTTTGGAATTGCTCATTTTTTCCTTTAAATCGGAGATATTTAATTATATATTACAGAAGCGAGGAAGTTTAGTACTTCTGATAAGATGAATGTCATGTATTCAAAATAAAAGTAAATAGTTAACATTTACGAAAGTATGTTTTATTTCAATTGTCATTACCATCGTTACACATTGCAAACGAACTTTTTACGATCACGTTCAGGTGTCAATGAAAAAGGTGTAGTACAACATTTTTAGATAAAAATTATATAGTAAAGTTTGAAGCACATAATAATAGTATATGTGGGAGGGAAAAAGGAAGAAAGTGTTTAATAGAACAGGAAATGCATCAATTCCACTTGTGGAAAGAGTAATACATGTTATCCGGTCGATAATCGCATCGATTTATATCGAGTTTGTAGTCTTAACAAGTGTATTTATGCTTTTTAATTAAAGTGAACATTATTTTATTTATATGGTGATAGAGTATTGGCACAAGGTGCATTTATTCGGTGTTCTTCCCACGTTTATATTAAATATATATATGCGTCAAGTTGACGTCGATTCTTTGTCATTCGGTTACATAAAATATCTCTAATGACAGTGAATATTGGGATATCGAGATCTAAAAAATAAACTCGCCGGTGTCAACGTGCGTCGTAATCGTAATCGATACCTACAGATGTCGATAGTGACTCTCAAAAGGATATTCCTTTTTCAAGTGAAAAAAGTTTGTCAAAAATAATTGGAGAATATTAAATAGAAAATAAATATAATTTCTGTCTGATGTTACCTTTGAAATGAAGTTATTTTTACCGGTACGTATTAATGATGTCAAATTCACTCGTAAAATTATACGTTAATGTAAGTTACTGCTTCGTATGTCAATGATATTAGGCGCTAACTTATCGACTGGTTTGGACATTGAGCAATTTCTAACACAAGAGAAAAAACGAGGAACTTACTCGTTTTGGACGTTGCGTCGCGAATTCACGAAATTCGCAGCCGGTAAAGCGTCGTCATTCACATCCTTCAGCCACATTTTTCGTTATTTTCAAAAAATCATCAGCGCCTGGTGATCGATATGCGTACCTGTTAGTCGGTAATAACAGCTTCGATAGAATCGAATCGATAAAATGGATACATATACGAGGGAAAAATAGCTTTCTGAAATTAAAGTGAAAGCAGTAGGTGTCGTCTCATTTCATTTCGCAAGTCTTCGCAACTTTTATATGTAATTTCTAAATATGTGACGCAATCGATGCAATAACTGGAAAGCTTACTCTTCACGTTCATCATTAAGATTACTTTATAATTTATCAGTCGTGATACAGTAATTATTGTCAAACATGTTTGCTCATAAATCGTTTCGATCGTATCGATTGTATCGATTCCGTAAAAATATACGAAATATTCGTAACGTCTTTACAGTACTCTCAACGTAAGCAGCGTGTAACATTTCGCGCGAAAATATCGAACAAAGATTCGAGGAAACGAGGATCATTATTCCACGTGAGTGATGTCTCGTAGATAAAATGACGCATCAATTCGACGAACATTCGACGCATCAGCGCATTTCAAATATGATACAGGTACAAGAAGAGTACTATAGAACATACAATTGTATGAACAGCGATAAAACATGTCATGCAAATTTTAACTGTAGCTTCTCTTAATCATACTATATATAGGAGTAAGTAACAAGTGGCCACCGATATAATGGATCATTTTATAAAAGTCGAAGACAATTGTATGCGGATAAACTGTGTTGCAATAACATCAACGATAGTTGTCGAGACTTCAATAAAAGAGACGTCATTCTGTATACTGATAACATTTCACGTCAATATGTTTTCCGCATCGTCAGAATTTAAATTTACTACGCTCCATGTTTGTCATGACGTATGTTATATTATCACACGCAAACGAAAATATTTCTTCAACTCGGTTTTGTAAGTAAAACTTATCATTTTGAAAGGTATATTAAATCTGTTTCTATATAATTCAGGTCTGCAAACATTGATACGCAATGTTTTGAATATCAACGTCAAGCGCCTGTTTTATTATGGAAAGATTATGGCTATGGTCAAGAAAATACTACAAACACAGAGATCTAAAAACATTGGAATATAGGTATATGTATAGGGAACTTAGGCTATAGCTTAGGGTAAGATCTAGGAATGTAAGAATTTAGAAATTTTGGAATATAAGAATTGTTTAATTTTTGTACCGATATACCACCTACATATATTTTACTTTTAGTACCGAATTTCTCCTTTGGCCAACTTACCCAATATAATAAAATAAAATAATATCAAAGTTAAAAAAAAACAGGTTGTTATTCGCTAAAGAAAATGGCCAAAGAACTATATTATTAACAAAGTAAATTGTTGCATAATTATATATGTATAATCGTATAACGTATAATTTATGCCGAATACCAATGCCGTATTGAGTTACATTATTCCAAGAAGCGGTATCTACAAAGCAAGTACTTTATGTCCGTTATTTATCCACATTATCTCAATTGAAGTGTCTTTTGAAGATTAAAGGTTCCATTCAACTCAATTTATTCCTTAATACGAATATTCTTCCCTTTCTAGGAGCCACATAGAAAACTACATGCAAGTTGAATTGACGAGGATTACGTTTCATGTCCCTATTAAAAATACGTATATCCAGTTTATGGTTTTACGATCTAATTACATGGGTTTCTGACAGATTAACGTAGTTCCGTAAATTGACGCTAATAAGAAACGAGAAAGCCAATTATACACATATCACACCATGTCTCACCACCTACCGAGATCCGAAAAAAAAGTAGAGTCTTATCGTTATCGTACTACAGTGGAAACATTAATAATCATTTAAGACAAATTCGACAACAGCGAATGAACTGGAATGAAAGTACGGAATAAATTTGAAGTTCACGTTACGTCAATTTATATTTTACCTTCATACAGATAAAATTTTATTTATGTCCACTGACGTACACAATTCCAATTACACTTATCGCGTCAGTAAAGTTAATCTCGTAGTTAATTACGTACTTAAAATATGAACAAAATAATTAAGTAATATATTACTATTTTAAAGAGTATTCTCTCTTAACAGAGTTCAACAAGCCAATGAATGCGCGTGTAATGTGCTTAATTGACGTCCTAATTAACTACCTGCTATTTCCTTTTTTATTAAATTCAAGGTCGGTCAAAACACTAAATGTTTCTAACAAAATGTCACTGTTCTTTGTTGCAAATATAAGCACAAGAAAAATGAGGTAAACAACACTGAATCGAAAACAGAAAGGAGATATCGAACAACCCAAATCACGTAACAAAAAACTACGATGCGATCCGTCCGATGATCAAACGTCAACTGATCCTTGACTTGCCGAGTAAGTGGTTAATATGTGCCGATAGGAATTAATTCATCGTCTTCCGGACGTGAATCCGGCCGGCCCCTGGTAATATATCTTCTACATATAGACTCTTAACATTACAAGATACATTCTTAAAATAAAGGAAATGAAATTAACTAGAATTTCATGGTCACGTCATTTGTATGTTGCAGTGTAGCGGTAGTTGGTACATATTTGGGAATACACCGACGGAGAAACGACTCATGCCAGAAGTGACCTATGAACGTCTATGGTTATTACGCAATTGTAATTTAAATACGATATTAACATTGTTCCTAATTTTTTGAATATACAGTGGTACATGGTAGTACATATTATATATTGAATACATAAAAGTATAGAGATCCATAATATAATGCAAGGAAGGTGGTTAATAATTCTTCCAAATTTTGGTGACTGAAACATTTGATGGAACGTTTTGATTAATGATGGAAAATCGTTTGAAAATTTGAAATCTCCTTGAACTTAATAGCTGCACATCCCACTCGGTGCCCGTGAAGTTTATTGGAAGTTACCATTTAACAGGAGGAATTCTCGTCTCACGAAATCGCGTGCAGTACGGTATACAAAATTACACTCGTGAGACTTTCATTTATGGGTATGAACACGAGGTGTTGCAGACACGAAACTGTAATCATAGTCAAGTGTCGCAGTGTTAAACTTACAGTTTTCACATTGTTCCTTGACAAACTTTGATCCAGGAAGTAACTTAACATATTTGGAAATAATATGTTGATTTGTACCTTGTTCCAAGAAAATCTTTTGTAAGAAAGGAAGAGGTTTTAAATACTAGAGTATATTTTAGAAGCTTATCAAATGTAAACTGATGAGAATAGATATGCATGAACAAATGTACTTTTTTAAAAATTGTATACAAGTGGTGGTACTGTGTGTCGCTGTTTGTATACAACTTATCCAGTGATTTTTGCTGATTTCGTTATCAGCTAGCTATAAATTTTGAAGCTATTTTCAAACGAAGCATATATGAATGTACATTTACCACTGCACAATCATGTATCAAGAGTCAGTTGGTTCCTGTTCAGTTCATACACGGGAACTTCGTTCTCGACCTAAAATTAGACCTCCCAAACTCGACCTTTCAATACAACCTAGATTTTATAGAAACTTTCGATCCACCGTTACGCAATCAAAGATAATTGCAAGAATTTCGTTTCCAGGAATATTTGGCGTTAGTCATCGACAAGTATTCGATATAACGCTTAAGTTTGACCAACCGTCGCTGGAAAACAAAATGGATGAACCGTTTACAAATAAGTAAAACAAATTCGATACCGCATATCAGTTGAAAGGACTGGAAAGCCTCCCTGAAATACTTCTAATCTGAAGCCGAATGAGTGACAAATGTTTTGGGACTTTGAAACTTTCCTTTGAATAACAAGTGAACGAGGAAATGCCAATCTGAAAGCGCGTCCATAAAACTGATATAAAAATTATAATATTTGTTGCGAGGTAATCGGATGTCGTTAAATTATTCAACCAACACGGTCAAGCACTGTTTTAATTGCTCTAACATGAATTTCTTTCGCAGCTTGGTTCACGCTATTGACTTTCGGTTAAGTCGGTCAAGCATTGCACGAGGATGCACGCACACATATCAGTTTCTGCTAAGATATGCATCGTCTATGCTTTCACTCTGACTTATTCACTGTGTGTACCACATATGCAGAGTTCATTCGCAACAAAAGTAATAGTACCGCAGTCAATCAAATCCTGAGAAAACCAGCATTAATTCTGACTACGTTTTCAGGAAACAATAATGTACGATGGAATGAACGAGAAGGAATGACTAATGACGGATTGCTACATCTCGATGGAAAACTTTTCTCACTCTGTTATCAGAGAAATTGTTTCGTATAGATAAAAGCGGTTGAAATTAAGATCACCGTTTCAATCGTAGTTCCGACACACGTACACGAGGTATGTCTACTTAGCTGTTGGCGGCTAAAATTAAATTCTAAACATAACTAAAAGCACACGCCGCCTTTGTTCGAACAACGACTTCGGTTGAACATTGAATGAATACAACATTGTTGCAATATTGTATTATATTTAATATTTGAACAGAAACCACGAATTTTAAAACCAAGTGCTCAAATAAGGTTATTTATTTTCTCTAATTTTACATCAATTTTAATTTTCTAACTGGGTAATGTTATGTATAACATTCGCAAGAACAATGTAGAGAATTAAAGAAAGTAAATAACGGAAGTTTCTTTTAGCAACGAATATGTTTTGAAATTCATGGTTTCACAGAAATAATTACGACATAATTAGGTATTATATAATTACACTCGCACGAGTTTGTAAAATAAGTATTCAGTTTTTCCTTGTAAGCAGAAGGCAATTAACTGCCCCTTTTCCCCAATGAAATAATTATCTTAACGTTTGTTATTATAGATACTTGTCGAATGTCCGAGAAGGTGATTAAACTACTTAAAGCGATACCAGTAATCAAAGTTGTAGCAAATACATCCACATTTTCCTGATAATGTGGGTTCTTAACAACGCCAAATTACGGTGTACCAAATTACGATGTACGAGGAACAATGGTTTCACTAGCATTCCGACACGATATTCGAGAATGTAATTCAATCTCGCAGCGATCGTAACGCGTATTTCGTTTTGCGCGTCAAACGAATGTTCACGCACGCATACGTTTAATAATAATTTAAAAGAATGAAGAGACCTATTTCTCCTAAGGACGTTTACGTTTCCAACGAACATGGTATTCGCTGCATTGTTTGGCTTGAAGTAGCTACGCGTGCACCGTCACGTATCCTTTCAATTTTGAACCTCCTTTAGATTTGGGCACAGTCAAATCGGAATACGTTGTGTATGTCACGTAGGTAGAAATAAGCGACTGCAGAGAAAAGCAATCTCTGCGTTATTAAATTGGAACAGGAAGTTAAAGGAGAATTCAGAGATTTGGAAATCAGAAGATTTGAATATTTAGAACTTGTGTGATACACCGTCTACAATTAAGACCATAAAGATTTAGTTTCATTAGTTTGCATAAAACTGAATCTTTGTGGTTTAACGAAGACTGAAAATTTATGATGAACTTGGAATGGAAACTGTTGACTTGATTACAAAGTAATTTATTTTCTGTTCTCGCTTGAAAATAGTCTAGACAATATTTGTTCCTTCACTCGTTATCGACTTGACAATAAGAGAGGAAAACAGAAATATTATTTGGTGGAGCTAACGTTTCTTTTGAAATGCGTTGTACATATTACATGGAGGGTGCAGATCGTTGCAGATACGCGCGCGCGCATTATTGTCATGCCCGGAAGAGACTCAAATTCCATTAAATATATCTGAATCCTTTGACAAACTCAACTGTCGAATTTTTATATACGGTAAGAATAATCAATTAATATCATTAATTAGTCAAATTTGTAAAATGATTTTAGTTATTATTAAAAGACTAAATATGTACATTTCTAGGAAGTAGAAAATTTAAGAATTTGGGGATAGTATGAATAAACAAAATTTCTGCAAGGAAAGAGAATTAATTTTCAATAGTCAAAGTGGAAAAATTTACCTGTGACCTAATTCTCGCTTATCTGTTCGTATGCCGTAGTTGCCCTCATTATAGCTATCCAGGTCTTGTTCGCTACGATTGTTCCTGGTCATTCTTATTCCACTATCTAAAGGGAAGTTGAACAACGACTGATGAAACGAGTCCTGATGGAAGATGCTGAATTCATCCGGGAAGCGAACTTTAGATCCTGCTTCAGAACATTCGAATTTCGAATGCTGGTTACTGGCCAAGAAACAGTATCAACAAAAGGTATAAGAGGGTGGATTGTGCGAAAGAATCAAAGCCGTATCGGTTTCCTTGGCGATAATTTTTTCTTTTCTTCCATTTAAGATACAATGTAAAATCAATACCGAGTAAAAGAAAGCAACACTGAAATCTGAGCCAGTAATGAGTAGGCTCGTGAGAGCATCAGTGTATAATCCATTAATTCTCAGAAATCGGGAATATTTTCAAGATAATATTTCAAGATAATACTAGAATTAATAATGTAAAGCTACTATTAATTTTTTTAAACAAATGAAAAAGGAACATAGAAAAAATAAATATGATACTGGTGCAGATAACTTATACCTCTATTGTATCTTATCAATGAGGACAGTACAATGCACTTTCTGACATCACGTATATAAGCACAAGGTAAAATGAAGAATTACCAGTCTTGTTTGGCGAGGTAACCAGCACATTCACATTCTGACGACTCATCACGGATCAATTGCGAAATGATTCTTGAAGAACTAATCAGTTTCAACCAAGAAGAATCCAGAATATTTACTTGTTTCATTAACTGACCAACGCGAACGACAACGATGTAATGACCGAGCATAGCGAACATTTTTGGTCGTGTATATACGAGCAAATAACACACGAAAATATAGCGAGGATAGCAATGATGATAAGAAGGCTGTAGGGGTCACTCGCGTGACGATGATAGGCAAGAAGGAAAAGTACACAGAAGTATGATAAAGAATTAATTAAATAAACATTGGATTTGCTGCAGTCAGGAATGGAGGAAGGAGAGTGAATCTAAAACAATCATTTTCCAATTAGGATATATTTAATAATAAAAATTTGAAGAAAGATCAAGTGATATGCGTTGTTATTAAAACAGTATTTTTTTGGTTGTAGTGGGTAAGTGGTTCCACTTTTTGTGTGTCTACATTATGTAAGAATACATGATATGATGTCATTGGATATTTTGTATGTTTCTATGATCATTAAATAAATGTGCATACATTATCAAATAATCAGAAACTTATTTCATTATAGTGTGAGTGCAGATGCGCGAGTAACATGGTACATCAGTGTTCAGACTGGTACGGATTCATGGAACCACAATTTGTACCTTCCAAATATATGAATATTTTGAAATTCGAGACACTCGAGGATCCCGTACGCACGTAAAAAGTTTTGGATTCTCGCCCGATTTCATCCGATCTGAGATTTACAGATAATTCCATAAATTATCGATAGCGAATGAAAGAATTATTTACAGTCATTAATGCTCGAGGTGCAACGATGTTATCAAGACAAAACAATTCACGATAATGTATTGATAGTATTATCTATGGGCTTTATCGCGTGACCACAAATATTCATGATCGAGGTGAAAATAAATTACACTAAAATCAGTTATTTTTGCACGTATGATTGTGCGGCCTTTTGCAACGCGTAGGCCGCTTGAACGACCTTCACAATCTTACAAATATCGCGTAAAATTTTACGCGCAAGTATATTATAACTGAACGACTTATTCTAGTTATCGCTGCACAATGTAATATACTTTATACGGACATGCCACATGTCAATATTGAAATAATGATAAAATATTATCGGTCGATAAAAGATGAAATAATAATTGAAAAATCATTTATTAAATCGTTTAAATGTCTTAAATTTAATGTTCAATAAGAATGTTTTATGATAAAAGTATCGGATAACTATTATAATCACGACGAACGATAATTAATTTCCTTGTAATAATACCCAAGTAAAGTTATAAATTAATTTCAAATGTACTTTTGTTTCCTTTAAATATTTAAATTAATTTAATGAATTTGCAAGCAATTTTTCTCTGTGCAATCTACTGTTTAAATAACGTTTTTAAAACAAATGTCAATTGACACGAAAAAAAAAACACTAACCTTTGACTAGCTTGCCGATACCACTTTTTAGTTCCAGTAGGATCATTCTCATGCAGAGGCGTATTTGGTGCAGTATTATCATGATCTCCGTGCGAATTGCAATTTTCCACTTCCATGATTATCTGGAAGATAAAACGATTCGTTAATTGATTATTCATTTAGCTAATAAGTATATATCAGTAATAAGAATCTTTTATGAATTTTTTATCTTTTCCATTTCATTCATTTTTGTTTGTTAATCATACATTTCGATGATTTGATTATTTGTGAAAGCGCACAAAAAGCGTGAAACATATGCAACATTGCAAAATGTATGTATTATGAATAACAAAACAAAATATGTGAAAAATTTGTGAACCTCTGTTAGAAAAGTTAAAAGACTGCCATTAATACGGTATGTGTTAACAAAATTTCTTATCAAAAGTATATAAGGACGTACCAAATACAATTGGATTTTTATGAATATATTTAATATCTTGTATAAATATAAATAACACGATTCGGGATACTTTTCTTATATACCGACACACGATACAACCTATCATTCGAGTACTAACTCAACACTGAAATTCACTGTCACACAGTGAAAAGTCTCATTGCAAACTTAGGTCAATTCACTGAACTGCGTTGACCTCCGCACAGGTGTACCAATGTAGAAAATCGAAGTGTTTCTATATTGTTTAAATCGTCGAAATACTCACCGCGCATGTGTTACAATATTCAAAAAACACACGATTAAATATTACGATATTAGTTTATAATAACATGAATTTTCTTTATAAACAAAAATTTATAACGTTGGTATATCTAACCTAAAAGCAGTCATAAGTACTTGTCAAATTCTTTCTTTTCACACCCTAAATTCAATTCGCATTATAAAGCGTGAAACATGACGATAATTATAAAAAAATAATTATCAATAATTCGTGTGACTCATCAAGTATGTATTCAATTATTTTAAACAAGTGGATGGCGCCAAATTTAAGTACCTAAATATAAAATTGTATCAATTGACATTACTATTTCATAATATATAAATTACTATTAAAATATAATATTTTACCATGTTATAAAAATACAGCGAAACTGTTTAAAATGATTTGTGAAGTAATTCGCACAAATACGTGCTATTATATATCTATAACGTCATTCAATAAACTGAAAGTATTAAAAACGACAGATACTTTAAGAAAAAAATGTAAAATATTAAGGTAAACAGTATAGTATTTTAAATAATGTACTCAAATATTAATAAAAATGTGTATATAGAACATGACATACTTAAAAGCTCGTTGATTCGGCTCTACATTTCCACTTTTCGTATCAGCGTATGATCGATGATATTCAATGGAAGGATGGAAGAGGGTAATTATCAGTAAATGATGCACCTGCCAGTCAGTTGAATTGTGAATCGCACGCGGATCACTTTGACCTGTAAAGGCGGCAGACGAATTCGTTCGTAGCGCCGTGCGTAACCCGTCCGTCCGCTGTCGTCTGAACGCCATAATTCGAGGTAAAATTCCATAGTTCGCAACTTTCGCAATTTTCCACGCGTCCGCGGTACACATCGTGTAATCGACAACAGTCGAAACGTCGTCCCGAGGCCCCTGTGGCCAAACAATTACGTTGCATCCTCTCTATTGCGTAAAATTAATCCGATTTAGGTGACCTCGACACGACATAACCTAACAACCTGTCTGCTGACAATTCCGGATGACCACAATACGGATCGTCTCTATGTTTACTCGGTTCTGTTAAACGCACGTATGAAATTACGGCTCGGAGTGTTTGGAATGCGTCAGGTAGTGCATGATCGTCGAAGTAACCGCCACATAAATTTCATTGCAGCCCAACCCACTTTTTTCACTCTGTATTTGGGCCATCTCACGAAATTGTGTCACGATCAAATGACCGGTCTTTTTTCTTTTATTTGTTTACAAATTTCAACGTACACCTTATTATAATAATCTTGCGAATCGTTTTTCTTCCAAACACGTGAATACATAAATAATAAAATCACATAACCTTTACTGTTGAATTCATTTATTTTTAATTGCAAAATTATATTAATAAAACACGTTTTTTTGACATTTTGGACCACAATAATTTTTATGATTATTTTCATAATTTTGGTTATGTGTTTTAATTAAATTGTTTTATTTCTTGACATTATATAATGATATTTATTTTCACAGCCTTCTGTTTAATGTATAAATATGTTACTGTAATGCAGCTATAAGTTTTTTAAGTTATGTACTTATTCTTTTGCATGTTATGATATGTAATATTTAATTTTTTGTATTCTTAAATGCAATGTTTTAATAAATTTCATTTTGATACGGCAGAGATTTGTGTTTTATTTTCTTAGGTATTATTGATGCCATTTCATCTTATGTTATATCGAAAACACAAAAGTTGATGTTATTTGTTTTGGAATTTATAAACAATATATAATGTAGTAGGTAATAAAATTTTGCTTTGAATATAATATAAATACCATAGATATTAATAAAATATTAATACTTATGACATTAAATATGGAATTAAACAGTATTCTTATACATTACAAATACTTATTATCTTTTGTGTTACATAAGGTATATTAATACATTGTACATGGGCAATCTTGCTTCTGTTATTCTACTGTTTTGCAACATTTGTGGATATCTTTTATTCTCAAATGTTTTGTTTATTAACAAATAGAGAATAGCATTATATGACCTGCATACAGTGTATTAAAAATGAACATTATCCCTAATTTTATAATTATTCTAACAAATTAATATTAATTATTAAAAGCAATGGTGTGTTAAAACATCAAACATCCTAACGATTGTGGCCTAAACGCTTGAAGCAGTTCAATAAATCAGGAAGATGAATAATCAGGCATTCAGTTTGGCAGAAAGACTTATTCCTGCAACTTATGTGCAACAAGGTTTGAATGCAAAAAAAACACGAGAAAATCTTATAAGACATTTCATTGAACATGTAAGATGTTATTTAAAATTATAATAACAAATGTATTGATAATTTATATTGTATGATTATTAATACAAATTTTTAAAATAGCAAAAGTGGCCAGAAGAAGGGTGGGATGATGCAACAATTGAAGCTTTTCTCTCAGATTTATCACAAATGGATAGCAACAACTTTCCTTCTAACTGTAGTGTAGGAGAACGTGAAGCAAGAATTGTATCAAACATTGTAGCAAGGCGTCATTTTCGGATGGGTCATGGAATAGGTAGATCAAGCGATTTAGAAGAAGTACAACCAAAAGCTGCAGGGAGTAGCTTAATGTATAAATTAACAAATGCTTTAGTACTTGAAGTTATTCGATATATGGGTAAGATTATGAATTTTAAATTCTTTAATTCATATTTCATAAATGTGATACATCAATATCCTGATTACAGGTGTAAAAAGTATAGCAGGCTGTTTTCTATCCCCAATGGCTACAGGCATGAGTTTGGTATTATGTATGCTAACATTTAAGCAAGATAGACCCAGAGCAAAGTATGTATTATGGCCTAGAATTGATCAAAAATCAAGCTTTAAGTCAATAATTACAGCTGGTTTAGAACCAATTGTTATTGAAACAAAAATAATTGGAGATGAATTAAAAACAGATATGCAAAGACTTGAATCTCAAATGGCAGCTTTAGGTGAAAGTGTTGCTTGTGTGCTTACAACCACTAGTTGTTTTGCACCCAGGGCATGTGATTCTATTGATTCTATTGCAGCTCTTTGTACTCAATATAATATTCCTCATTTAGTAAATAATGCCTATGGGTAAGTTTATACATGTTTAATAAGTACACTACATATAAATAAATATTACATTAATTTTAATCATCAACAGGTTACAGAGTACAAGATGTATGCATCTTATACAAGAAGCGTCTCGAAAAGGTCGCGTCGATGCCTTTGTTCAAAGCACAGATAAAAATTTTTTAGTACCAGTAGGTGGTGCAGTTATTGGATCATTTGACAAAAATCTTTTAGATCGCATATCAAAAATGTATCCGGGTCGCGCAAGTGCTAGTTCTATTATGGATGTAATGATAACATTGCTTAGTTTGGGAATGGCGGGTTACAAGCAATTAATTACACAACGTAAAGAAATGTATTCATACTTAAAAGAAGAGCTTGGAAAATTAGCAGCAAGACATGATGAGAGATTATTAGATACTAAAGGAAATCCTATATCAATGGGAATGACTCTTCAATGTTTAAGTCATCAACATGACAACAAACAAGTTACAATGTTAGGATCAATATTATTCCTTCGCAATGTTAGCGGTACACGAGTAATAACAACAACAGAATCTAAACATATTGTTTCGCATAAATTTGAAGGTTTGTATTTAATATACTTGCAACTCAGTTTTAATGATATAATTTTTTATATTTTACGTATCTTATTTTACTTAGGGTGGGGAGCACATAACAGTAATTACCCAGTACCATATTTAACTGCTGCCGCCGCTTTAGGTATGAAGCGATCAGATGTGGACATATTTATACAACGATTAGATAAAGCTTTGACTAAAGTAAGAAGGCGTTCAGCTCCAGTCACACCAACAGCATCTCTTGCTGGATCCAGTATTAATGGAGATGCAGGAGGTACTGGTGGTCCTGGAGAATCAAGCACAGCTTCGACTAGCCGAGCAAGTAGTAAGGATAGTTTAAGGAAATGAACCGTAATCAACGCAACTGGCCAGTCGAATCAGTACATTAATTTGTAAGTAAATTCTTACTTACAACTAATACACATTGCATACCTCTAAAGAACAACATTAACATTGGAATATTCAAATTAATATTTGAAAAAAAAATAGTCATACTTTATTTTAAAAAATAATTATTATACAATTTGTTTATTATATAAAATTTGTTTAATCCATATCGAAAAATTCTTGTCAACTAATTAAAATTGTTTATTACATATTTGGTCGAACTTTTTCATTTTATTGATTTATTAACAGCTTATATTTTATTACAACAAAAATATTTTTCAAAGAGGTATGTAATAACAAAATGTGCTGATTCGTCTGCCCAATTGCGTTGTAACATCGTTAATTACTACGAAATCAAGAAAGGGAGTTCCATATAAACCACATTAATATCTGAACTGATATTTGAGAAGAAAACAAAAATGTTGGAATATTATATTCAAAGATATTAATTAATAAGCGCTGGCCGCAAAAATATCTGTTACATTTATTATATGTTGTAATATTTTTGCAGTTTAAAGCAAAGCATGTTATCAAATCTTTGGTTTTTCTCTTTTATTATTTATTTTTACCTCATTAAATATCAAGGTACAAGTTATATATAGATCAAGATATCACAAACTACTTAATTTACATCTTTTAGCCATTTTTCACTGATTCCTTTAAAACTATTATTTTATTAATAAGCACTATTATTGTTGCAATTGGCTTTAGTATTATATAGATGAGTATTTTGAACAGATTATTATCCTGTATCATTTTTTTATGATTAATTTCATAATTAATTTATATTATTTTATTGTCATAATCTCAAATTTGAGATTAATATTTCAGATTTATTTTTATTTACAAGTAACATAATTCTATTGATGGTTATAGTAAAAAAGCGTGTTATTACTTGTAAAGAGAAGTTTATAGTAGATACAGTATTTGCTTAATCACATGTTATAGAAAGTGTATACAAAAATTAGGAGCACTATACATGCAAAAATATATTTAAAATTCTATATGAATTAATTCAGTGTTTTTAATTTTCATGTTATTTATTTTAATCTTTATGATTATTCGATTAGTACAAAATATATAATTATATATATATATAGATATACACATCTTTTATATATGTATCAATGTATCATTCATATGTATCAATTTTATTCTTACAATGTACAATTTAATTTGAAATTCAGTTGCAGTTCGATTTCATTTGGGTCAATGCTTTCTTTTTATAAATGATAAATGCATAAAAAGAGCTGCACACGTTTGGATGAAGTATTATATTAATATTAAACCACTTTTTCTAGATGTGTATACAGATTTTCGAGTATATCTAAATATCATTATTTGTATACACATAATAAGAAAGTCACAACTTTTAAAGATTCACCTTTAAATAAACCAATATAATAATTCCATTTTTTTATACATTATCATTTATTACTATGAACATTATATAATAATGATACTATATTTATCTCGTTTTCTGTTCTTTTTCTTTGATTTCAAAGTTATTAGTTATTATTTTTATATTTTGACATAGTCATTTTGGAGTAAAATTATACTACTTAAATTCTCCTCATATACACTTCATTAATATAATATAATATAAAATTTATTAATGTATATACATATATTTAAATTGCTCAATGAAAGCAATATTATGTATCAACATAATTAATAAATTATATGTATTATTATTTTCTATAGCAAATGATGAAAGGATGAAAGCAAGATTAATATTATGTTTCATGTATAATTTAACTAGATAAACGACCAATATTTATTGGTTTACAGTGTATAGTAAACAATGATTGATAAAGTTATTCGAAATATAATTTTTAAATTAGTAAAATACAGCAGAATTTTTATTCAGGGTGAATCATATATGCTATTGTAGAACGTAAGATCGTTATAACATTAAAAAAACGTAGAAAAAATGATAAAAAACGTAGAATAGTACATGATATTGTACTGTATACATACTAATGAATTTCAGTATGTAAAGAAATGTTTCAGTTCTGTACATCATACTTTATTTAGTTAGTGATATATTTCAGTTTATTTTGTTACTTTTTTTATGGTAATTTAATATAAGAAAAGGCCAGCTCACATACATGTATAATATATGCTTTTTACAGAAAACAACGATCCTTATGGACCTACTTCATTAATGTTTCTTCATTCTTTTCGTATTTTATACACTGTAATTCCAATCAATACCATTTTTAACAATAAATTATACTTTTGAATGTATACAATAGATAAGGCATTTGAAAAAGAAAATGTCTTTTACTGAAAAACATTTTACACAAAATGATATGAAATTGATTAAGTGGGGTTCATCTAATTACATTCCTAAGTTTATTGCAGTTAACATATACTATCGGCTGTGAACATATTTTACTGAATATATGTTATAAATTAAGAAAATTATTCATGATCCTGGACTTGGTTACATTCTTAAGATAAATATTTTGTTGTTCAGTCTTAGAGTTTAAAGGAATCTATACATTGCTGAGATTGTATATACGCAATTGTTTTAACATTTTTAAAAAAACCAACATATGTATAAGATATACGAAATATTAGACTAGTCAATGTAAACTGTAATATGTATTTTAACATATGTACAAAACATTCACTAATCCCAATATTTAAATTGTCCCAATCATGCTCTATTATCTAAATGACCACGCATGTACTTGCTTAAAAATTCAGATGAAAATTGAATTTAAAATCAAAGATACATAATGAAAGCAACACGTGTACAAAACATTCATAAAACTGTGATTAATTTTATCACGCAAAAGTTAATTTAATGTTTAAACATAAAGTAATATAATTGTAAGCTCTTCCTCGATATGACTACTGCGTGATAGTTAATGCTTTATTTGTAACATATGCGACTATTGGATAAATAAAAATAAAAATCTAAATAAAATTGTTTTATTTATTGAATATTTCAATCTAACATGATACAGTTGATTTCATGATAAAATATAATCGCTTTGCGCAGCTTGATACAATTCTGGGGGTCTCACCATTTATATTGCTCCTCCATAACTCATTTTCTACATTGTCAACTATATACACGGTGACCAAAATATACAAATAACCAAGTGGATACTAATGTAAAAAGTATACAAAATAAAAGGCCATCAGTATATATGCTCAAGAATTGGAATTTCATGAAAGGCACATGCGCATTGCTCTTTATTGCAAGCTAATCAAAATCAACATGTGCAGAATGAACGAAAATCGTTTGTCCGACTACTCTATTCTTTCATGATATTGACTATATATTTATATTTATACATTGACCGGTTTTATCAATATTTGACATCTGTAAAATGAAATGATGTAACTTGTAAGCATATGTGTTGATCTATTTGTACAGTATTTTCTTTAACATTAAACCGTACTTTATTGTCCAATTTGTGTCATTTTCATGATAAAGCAATCGTCCAATATAACCTATAAGAAATGAGATACATGAAATGTCACGTGGAATGATATTTCTACTTTAAATTAAAAATTAATTTTTTTATCTATTTTAATCATTATTTTATATTAATTATATTAATAGTTGTAATACAAAGTATCAGTAATTAAGGTATTTATCATTTTATGTAGATTTTTTTAAAAATTATTTTATAAATTTATGACAGCAGCTGTATCTAACATGTATGATTTGTTTTAGGATAATTAGAATGGCAAAAAATAAAACACAGGAGAAGTTTGCAAAGCTAAAAAGTAAGGTCCCCAATACTAAAAAAGAAAATAAATTTAAGATGTCAATAATGAATACTTCAGCTACAATTTTATGTATCAGTATAGCTGTTTGGTTTAGTTATAAAGGATACCTTGAAACTAGGGTAAATACTCCATATGATACAAAGAAGGTAAGTTCTATGTATTTTTACTTTTATGATACATTATTGATAATTCATGTTGTCCTTATATTTCATTTGTATCAGAATTATTAATAAAATTATTACATTTTATTAAAAAATAGCTGGTAACAACTTCTGGGTTAGATGCTCCAGATAGATATTGGGGTACTTATCGATCAGGTGTTTATTTTGGATTAAAAACAAGAGATCCACATTCTTTAGTAACAGGATTAATGTGGTATTTCCCACATTTATTGGGTCAGGATGGTAGTGGCCTTAGACATTGGTGTGAACAAGGTGATAAATTAGATAGGTGAATAAAATTCTTTTTTTCTCAATATTATATTTTATAAACATGTATAAAATGCTTATTGTTTAACTTAATTTAGATATGCATGGATGGAACATGATGGAAGAACTTTTGGTGTTCAAGAAATTGTAGACAATTCAGCTATTTTAAATACTACATTTGTTAAAAGATCTGGTGGTAAACATGGTGGTGATTGGACTAAAAGGATTGCTGTAACTTCTGAAAACCAAGTACGAAATGGTGAAGAAATTTCACTGCTCTTTTATACTGCTATTGAAGAGCATACCAATGGATGGATTAAAGTCAGTCTTGGTGATGAAAAACGTCTAACAGGTGTAGAAGGAAATACTCGAGGATTGGGTTCATTTACTATAAATCTCAATGTAATAGAGGGAACTTTGGAGGAGCATTCATTTTTAGCAACTGTAGTGCCTAGTTTCACTGTTCTGAAAGAAGCAGTCCTTCAAAATCTTAGAGTAGCATCTCATAAAGGATCTTCAAAAAAGCACATAATATTAGCAGGTGAACAAGTACCATTATCAGCTGATGGGCAGAAGAAAGATGCAAACTTTATTGTGACACAAATAACTGGTAGAATTCCTTTTGAGATCGAAATTAGTTATGAGTCTGGTAGTTTCATCAACAGAGTTGACAGATTAATTGGTGAAAACTATGTGAATGCTTTGAAAAAGCAGCGGAAACTATTTGATGAAAAATTCGAAAAAATATTTAAATTAAGATCAAAAGGTTTCACAGAAGATGAAATTACATTTGCCAAAATGGCATTATCAAATATGATGGGCTCCATAGGGTATTTCTATGGAAGTTCACAAGTACAAAGTCAGTACACTAAAGGGCCTGTGCCTTACTGGAAAGCACCCTTGTACACTGCTGTACCTAGCAGAAGTTTCTTTCCCCGCGGCTTTTTATGGGATGAAGGTTTTCATGGCTTGCTTATATCGGTGTGGGACCTAGAAATTGAATTAGATATTATAAATCATTGGTTTGATCTAATGAATGTAGAAGGTTGGATTCCACGAGAAATGATTTTGGGTCAAGAATCTCTGGCAAAAGTACCAGATGAGTTTGTCACCCAAATAAATACAAATGCAAATCCACCTACATTCTTTCTGACTTTAAATTTCATACTTAAACACAAAGGAGAGGAAATATTGGAAAAACATTTTCAATTCCTTGACAGTTTATATCCACGACTTCAAACATGGTTCAATTGGTTTAATACCACACAAACAGGAGATATACCAAGTACATATAGATGGCGAGGCAGGGACGGAACAACTAATAAAGAATTAAATCCAAAGACACTCACTTCTGGATTGGATGATTATCCGAGAGCTTCTCATCCAAATGTCGATGAAAGACACGTCGATTTACGGTGTTGGATTGCATTTGCTGCCAATGTTATGTCTCAGATTAGCGAAGTTTTAAATCAACATAATAATAAGTACAGGGAAACATATCAATATTTATCTGATAATAATTTATTAAATAAATTACACTGGTCGCCAAATACTCAAACTTACGCTGATTTTGGGTTGCATACGGATAAGGTAGTTTTGCGGAAACCAACGTCGCCTCCAAGATCACATGCACAACCATTAGAAACAATACGAATCGTTTTAGAAGATCCTACATTAAAATACGTTGATACATCCTTCGGTTATGTCTCCTTATTTCCATTTATTTTACAAATTATTGATCCTGAGTCTCCACAATTAGGCAAAGTATTACAAGATTTAAAAAATTCTGATCTTTTATGGACTAAATATGGTATACGATCTCTTGCAAAGATATCACCATTTTATATGAAATATAATACTGAACATGATGCTCCTTATTGGCGAGGAGCTATTTGGATGAATTTGAATTACTTGACAGTAAGAGCAACACATTATTATTCCACTGTTGATGGGCCATACCAGGATAAAGCAAAACAAATTTATCAAAGCTTAAGACAAAATTTAATACAAAACGTTATTAAACAGTATAAAAAATCTGGATATTTGTGGGAAAATTATGGCGATGTTTATGGAGAGGGCAAGGGCAGTCATCCATTTACTGGTTGGACATCTTTAGTTGTACTACTTATGGCAGAGATATATTAATTGTAAAATCATATTATGCATAGTATGACATTCACAAGTATAAACAAGTGGCTTAAACATTTTTTATATTTTCAGATAAATATAACAATGTGATATTGTCATTGAACTATTACAATTACTTATAGAAAAGAATAGCGCAAATATTGATGAAATATAGACATACAAGTTTTACAATTATACAAAATAATGGTAGCATAAGATGATCATTTGTAATAAATATTATAACCACATGATATAAATTATTATGAAAACTATTTTAATGATGATCTCCAGTAATGTTATCAAGTTATATATTTTTATGTTAATTGTAGACTGCATACCTGAAGATGATACAAAGACATATTTTTAGTCTAAATCTATATTATATATAGTTGCTAATTTTTATTATTGCAGTTTTGTAATATTTTAAACACAGCTGTTGTTTCTTCAACATTGAAATAGTGAATTGTGAAATAAAAAGAAGCAGTCTATATTATTTCAATATAAAATCATTATAAGTATGAAACATTTTCAAATCTTGGCTGTGAATTGTTAACAAAAATTATGCTGTAATGTTAAGTCGACTTGAAATACAAACATTAAAAAATTTTTAAGCATTTTCATTCAATAAATAAATGTACAACCGCAAAATATTATAAGTTAATAATTTTATTAAATATGTTACAATACTATAATGCATATTTTAAAATTTGAATTATAATACATTATTTGATGTTTCATAAGAATTAAGTAATTGTTATATAATGTAATGTAAATAATATAACAATTTATAATTCTTTGTATTTATATGTTGCATCCAAGAGCTCAAGTGAAAATTTAAATGAACTATTGGCAATCCTGTTTGTAACTAGCAAGGAGAAGTAATTTTATTTCGTTTAGCTGTCAATAACTCCCTTCAGACTTCACCAGAGAATAGGTGTGCGCCTGTAGGGTTACGATTGTGGTTTTTCAAAGTTTTTACACAAAGTGGTGCAGTTTTTAAATAATTATGGAGCCCTATGATGTGATAATTAATCAACCCGTAGTTATTGATAATGTAAGCAATGTATTAAATTTAAGAATTATTCAATTTTATCATCCTTTATTCTGGTGTGTCAAATTCAATTCTACCATAATGTCGGCTTCTAAGTAACGCCAAAAATTTGTCGCTTTCTCTTTAAAATCTGAAATATTATTCATATGTTGTAGTCTCTCTGCATTTTTTCGTATTATTGTTGGTATATCGGTTTTTATACGGTTATGACATTTTAATACTCTTTTATAAATAAAATTATTTATATTATTTAAAATCAATAATAATATTGTTAGTATAATATTAATTTTTACATCTTTAGGGTTCTGGTGTGATCAAAGCAGGTTTTGCAGGCGACCAGATACCAAAATGCAGATTTCCAAATTAGTAAGTGAACTTAATTAATATTCTTTGACAGTTATTGCTTGGAGGTTACTGTTAGGTGTAAAATAGCATTAAATGTTTTGATTAGTTTTTAATTACTTATTAGTATTTGACAATTTTTTGTTAATGTGCACATTTATTTATTTAATTCTTTAAAGATGATACATATGCTAGAACATATTAGAATTTCTACATCATGGTGATTTACATTTGCATAACAGATTTGACAGTGGTTTGTATTGATACAGGAATCAAAATGCTATTTCAGAACCAATATGACACCAATTATTTGTCAGTTGTAGTATGTTAGCATCAGATCAAACAAGTTGTTAACAATAAGTTATGTGCCCACATAACAAAATATCAATAAGATTTAAAAAATCTGTAATCTAAGGTATCCAAACAGTTATGTCTCAAATTATTTAAACAAATATAACTTTTTATAGTATTGGCAGACCCAAACATGTTCGTGTCATGGCTGGTGCTTTAGAAGGAGATCTTTTTGTGGGGCCAATAGCAGAGGAACATCGTGGCCTTTTGTCTCTTCGTTATCCAATGGAACATGGAGTTGTTACAGATTGGAATGACATGGAGAAAATTTGGTCTTATGTATATAGTAAAGATCAATTAGCAACATTTAGTGAAGAACATCCAGTTCTATTAACAGAAGCTCCTCTTAATCCAAGAAAAAATAGAGAAAAAGCTGCAGAAATATTCTTTGACACATTTAATGTTCCAGCTTTATTTGTTTCAATGCAAGCTGTTCTCAGTTTGTAAGTATTTGATTTATAAAATAATATTATGAGTGAAGAAATAATGCTGTTATTATTTAAATATTATAGATATGCTACTGGACGAACAACAGGGGTTGTTTTAGATGCTGGAGATGGTGTCACACATGCAGTACCTATTTACGAAGGTTTTGCTATCCCTCATAGTATTATGAGGGTTGATATAGCAGGACGTGATGTTACAAGGCATCTTCGACTTCTTTTACGTAAAGAAAGTATTAATTTCAGAACTACAGCAGAGTTTGAAATTGTTAGAACAATTAAAGAACGAGCGTGCTATCTTGCTAGCAATCCTCAAAAGGAAGAAACAATTGAAACAGAGAAATTTCAATATATATTACCTGATGGCAGTTATTTGGAGGTAATAGTTTGGTGTATATTTAACTTATAAAATTTTAAATTATGAGTTTATTAAACTGTCTGAATAATTTACATGCAACTAATGATAACATGTTTCAAATTTACATAAATATATTTATATTTTATGATGAATACAGAGTATGATATGTATTTACAATAGATTGGTCCAGCACGATTTAGAGCTCCTGAAGTGCTTTTTAGACCAGACTTGATTGGAGAAGAATGTGAAGGACTTCACGAAGTGTTAACATATTCTATTCAAAAATCTGATTTAGATTTAAGGAAGGTACTATACCAAAATATTGTCTTGTCAGGAGGATCTACATTATTCCGTGTAAGCATGAAATTAATCAAATGTATTCCTGTATCACTTCTTGTTATGATGAAAGAACAAAGATACTATAATGTATGTTTTATGTATTAGGGGTTTGGTGATAGATTGTTATCTGAAATTCGTAAAATGGCACCAAAAGATATAAAAATTAGGGTATGTATAATGTATCACAAATTTTACTTCATACTAGAATGTTCCTTGCTAAAAATATTTTCAATCGTAATAGATATCGGCTCCACAAGAACGATTATATAGTACCTGGATTGGAGGATCCATTTTGGCTTCGTTAGATACTTTTAGGAAGATGTGGATTAGTAAAAGAGAATATGAAGAAAATGGGATAAGAGCAATTCATCGCAAAACATTCTGAATTTAATTTAGGGAGATGTAAGATGTTATGTCGAATAATTTAAATACAACATATAAGTAATGGCACACTCGGCACAAAAGAATGAGATGTACCGTGTTTACTGTGCTCTTTGAATGCTTTTAATATTGCAATTTCTTTTAAATCTGCTTTAACTTTCCTTTCTAAAACTGAGAATATATTCCAAGGGATCGTAAAGTATAGGTACTTAACGAATTCAAAAAACCGAACAATATTTATTAATCTGAATAAAACTTAATATACAATCATTCATTAAGAATTGTTAAAACATTAATTTATTAAGATTCCTTGGAAATGTACATAAAAGATTTCTAAGGTTAAACATATTTTATCTTCTCAAATTCAATGTAATTAAAAAAATTAAACTCTATTTAATTATGTCCTTCTGTAACATTAAATTAAATTCTTCGTTTTTTAAATACTATAGTTACAATTTATATATTTGTTTTTTTATTATTTATAATTTTGTTATATCTGATATGTTGAAAAGACCAATTAAAAACAAAGAGAATAGAACACTTTGATTAACTGAATTAACATTATAATAGAAATAATGTAATCTTTATTTGCAGTAACAATTTTGCAAAGTATTTGTAAATATGTATGCTTTGGTAAAATAAATCTATAAACACTTTTCACATATAATGGTTACATCGATTTTTATAATCAAGCGGTAATGATTGCATATTCATACTTCATACAATTTCATATGTAATAAATAGAATGTAATAAAATAAGTAGTAAGTTCTAAAAATTTAAAACCATTAAAGGTGAGTTCATTGTAAAGGTACTAAAACAAGGGATTAAAATATTTGCCTAAGTTATTTATATTTTATCTGTGATAAAATGATTGAAACTTAGTTAATTAATCGTACTCTTATTTGTTATTCTTCAAATAAATTTTTACATTTGCAAATGTTAAGTTCATAATTGTTGAACATCATATTTTCATATAGCATTGAAAATATTTTTTTCAACAGTGCAGCTATTTTTAAATATTTTAATATTTTGCATGTACATCACAAATTGTATCGATTACGAGCATTGTATAATTAATATATGTAATATTGTTCACTTTAATAACTGTATCTTAAGTTATAATAAAAGTACATTATTTATTATTGACGTAAGTTTTATTAGTCAAATAAAAATATTATTATAAATTAAACACTTATGTATGTACATAGCCGTATAACGACCTAGAGGAAACGAATCTTATAACAATTAATGTTTTCTAATTATTGATTAAGAAATTCCGCCATGGGATCATCATCACGTTTCCGTTTCATTTGGAACGCTTCGATTTCATCCATTGTTGGTCTTTTTACTTCGTACATACTATTATAAGGACGCTTCCTTTCATCCATTTGCATTAATCTTTCTGCTTCTTTCTCGTTTTCTTCCTCTTTTCTTAACGCCTCTTGTAATTTATCCTGTTCTTGCATCTTAGCAGCTTTCTTCTTGTTTTTTCGCCTTTCCTTTTGCTTCTGTTTTTTATTTTTTCTCTTAGCAGATTTTGACTTTCTTATAGTTTTTGATATTTTCTCTTCTTCATCAGATGAGCTATCACTACTCGTCGATTTTTCATCGGACGATTCTGCTTTTTCATCGTCGGATTTTTGTTCCTCGTTTACGATTCTTTTATTTTCAACGATTGATGATTCCAATGCTCTTTTACCTGCTTCTCCGGTACAATACGAATTTTTTATAAAAGAATGACAACATTTGTATCCCCATTTGCCTGCATACCAGTAAGAACCCCAAACAGATGTATGATTATTTGGAAATACATCTTCTTCATATTTTGACCGAATCACTTGTCGGTCTTGCCCTTTAATAATCTGTAAGTAAACGTGTATTATAAAAGTTGCTAAAACTTACTAAATTGTGATACTATAGAAAGTTGCGGATTTACATACTTTTCCATATCTTGAATATTCTACATATTGCTCTGTTTGTGCTAATAAAAGGGATGGTGGAGGAGCATCCAGGTGTTCTTCTCCACCATATCTATTTATTATACTATCGCGAGCTTTATCTTTTAGCTCATCGCGTTTTTTATCATATTCCTGTTTTAATAACTCCAGTTTTGTGGGTTCAGCAAGTAAATGAACATCAACGCCCCTTTCATGAGCTTCCCATGCAAACAGTTGAGCATTTGCATGTTGCTGCGTATCTCCCGAAAAACGTGCAAAATTTTCGCCCTTGTAATCCACTCTGTAATTCAATACAAATATTTAGATACGCTTTAATCATAAAATCAGAAATTTGTGTGATACATACTCTCTTTCAGTACCAGCATAAGGATTATCGCGCATGGATCTTGTTTTAGGATCATAGTATGCAGAATTTGGATCCAAATTTCTTAAATATTTTGCAGTGTCTTCTCTGATTCGTAAATTTCTAACAGTGATACGCTGCTTGGAATCTACCTTTGTTCCAGGCATATCAACTTCATCAACATATTTATCTTCATCCTTATCTGAATCTTGTTCATCATTTTCTTCTGCGTTTAATTTTTCTGCACGCATTTGTCTTTTTGCTTCTTCAATTTTCTGATATTCTTCAACAATAGCTCTATGCTGAGAAGGATCATATCCAGCCCACCTGTATTAAACAAATAATTAAAGATGCATTCAACCTAATAAAGCAATAATTAATTATGTAATTTATATTACCTATCTCTTTTACCATCATAATCCATAGATAGTTCAGGTTGTGTAAATTCATCTGGAGCAATGTTTACATTTGTATATTTTGCTCCTACTTTACGTGGACGTTCCATACATTCTTTCCTTTTGTGAGTCATTGCTCCACAATTTTCACATGCACCTTTACGGTACTTTGATGCAACTTTAGAATTATCTACACCCCGTTTATACCATTCATCTATACTACTGTATTGCTTCTGTTTTTCAGGTTGTGGCCTTTGATGTTTTAAAGTAGGTCCCTGAAAATATTTTTAACTAATTAGACGTTGTGACAACAATGATAATAGTAGTGTTAAACTAAACGATAAGTACCTGTGCTCCAAAATACCATGGTGTAGCACTAATATATTGTGGAATATGCGGATTAATGTCTTTTCCTTCTTCATCTACAGCTGCTGGTGCTGTACCAGCTTTTCTCGCTTCCTCTAATTCTTTTGCTTTCCGCCAATCTTCCCTGCTTTTCTTCCTGGGCTCATCTTCAAAATTACTTTTACTTTTTATGATTTTTGATACAGGTACATTAGTTAAAGTGTTAGCCATTTTTATAACATATTTCTTTATTCACAGAATAGCTGAAATTTATTTTTATAATGTTTTCTTCTTCCGTATTACAAAGAACTCGGATAATTTGTACAACTAACCAAACATACGAGGCAATTAACTAATTGACAGAAAACATTCCATGAACTTAAGAATACATGGATTGTAAGCTTAAACTGAAAAAGCGAAATTAGCTCCAGCAGTTCGTATTACAAATTTTGATTGGCTACTTTTCTGCTCATTTTGTGTCGTTAATAATGAAAATCTACAGATCATTAATTAATGCAGATTTCTAAGTTAATAAGCAAACGTATTTATTTTTTAGTATACATCAGATAAAAAATTTCAAATTTTTAATTTGGATTTGTATTATCAAATTATAGCCAATCAAAACTAGGCACCAATTTGTATTTAGTTAAGGAGAATTTACAAATGAAACTAAATCAAAAGTACCATATAGACAATAAACCTGTATATGTATATCTGTTTTTCGATAACCATATTATTCACATTTTTTTAATGTATATTATTCTTTTATTTTGCATTATAACATCTACAAATAATGTTTTTGAAATTGATCATGTATGATAATTATTGTACGTAACTGAAAGTCAAATATCTCGTAATTCTTAATTATAAATTATGAGTTATTCAAAACATGTAAATAAAAATCTATACAAAAATAATGCTATAATGTTAATTATGGTATTGTATTAAAAAAAAATCTTTAATCACAATGTTAACCGATGAGAATCGCCTTAATAGTACCCATTTAAAAAGTGGTGATTTATCGACAGTATTGGGCCTTTATGAATAGCATGTATCAAATCTGATACTTTCGCTGCAATTTTTTTGTTCAAAGAATGTAATTAAGTGAGTTATAATATATATATTAATTAATATTTTAAAAAATCTTAGTATATTTTAACTTGATTATAAAAAATAGTTACGATTTCCAGCTGCTTCAAGAATTGGAATGTACGATCAAAATGGAGGCACTGCCTAATAGATCGATATTGTTCCATAATGTCACTTATTATTATTGATTTTTCTACTTGTCGCACACTTGTAAGTAAATATTTATCAAAATTTGTATGATACGGAACATTGTACTGTTTTATTTATGCACTAAGATAATTGATAAATAATCGATACGCCCGCGAAATTTAAGTTTTAATGTTAGAATTAAAAAAAATGTATATAATTTATTCACTCTTTTCATATATTTTATTTTTCAATATCCTATATAGTAATATTAAATAATTTTTAATAAATTTTACGTACAATTTATAGATAAATCTTTATTTTTTTTTTAATTTAGAATAGAGCATGGAATGGATGGATCATGTCCACTTCTCCTTCCATCCTTTGGGGAAAAGAATAACTCTGAAAGGGAAACCGCATATTCATCTCAGAAAGTGGGTGTATATAGACCAACTTCGGATGCCGTTGATTTAGGGTACCATACCTTAGACAATAATGCATGTCGTTCTACACCTTCATCAACTGTTATATCTGCCCCAATTAGACACCAAACTCTGTTGCAACAAAAATGCATTTATGTCACTGATTTATGTCAGTTAAACGATACTTTATTATTGAAGATATTTAGTTGGCTAGGTACAAGAGATCTCTGTGCTGTAGCTCAAACTTGTAGACGTCTTTGGGAAATAGCATGGCATCCGACTCTCTGGAAAGAAGTAGAGATACGTTATCCTCAAAATGCGACAGCTGCATTAAATGCTTTAACTAGACGAGGATGTCACACGCATATTCGTCGTCTTATACTCGAAGGTGCTGTAGGATTAGCTGGGATTTTTGCCCAGTTACCATATTTAAGTTTAACTTCTTTAGTTTTACGACATTCCCGACGTGTTACAGACACAAATGTCACTAGTATTTTAGATAACTGCATACATTTGAAGGAACTGGACTTGACTGGATGCATTGGTGTAACAAGGGCACATAGTCGAATAACAACACTACAATTGCAGTCATTGGATCTCAGTGATTGTCATGGTGTGGAAGATTCTGGTTTGGTCTTAACACTTTCTCGTATGCCACACATTGTCTGTTTATATTTACGACGATGCACACGCATAACTGATGCCAGTCTTGTAGCAGTTGCTTCCTATTGTGGCAATCTACGCCAGTTATCTGTTTCTGATTGTGTGAAAATCACAGATTTCGGCGTACGCGAATTAGCAGCACGTCTTGGCCCATCATTGCGTTACTTTTCAGTAGGTAAATGTGATCGTGTATCAGATGCTGGTCTCCTAGTTGTTGCTAAGCACTGTTACAAATTGAGATATTTAAATGCTCGTGGCTGTGAAGCACTTAGTGACAGTGCTACTTTAGCTTTGGCACGTGGATGTCCACGTTTAAGAGCTCTTGATATAGGAAAATGTGACATTGGTGATGCAACTCTTGAGGCCCTTTCCACTGGATGTCCAAATTTGAAAAAATTATCCTTATGTGGTTGCGAACGTGTAACAGATGCTGGATTGGAAGCATTAGCATATTACGTGCGAGGATTGAGGCAACTCAATATTGGTGAATGTCCTCGAGTTACATGGGTTGGATATAGAGCAGTAAAACGTTATTGTCGCAGGTGTATTATAGAACATACAAATCCTGGGTTTTCAAGTTGAATCTTTTAAATTATTTTTTACCTACATTATTTACAATGTATTTATTAACAACATTTGTTTTAGTAAATATCTAGATACTAATTTGTAAAAAGATAGCTATTTAGTAATTGTGAAACAAAAATATATATATTATATGTATGTAGTGAATTACATATTGTACATGTATAAGTATGTATGGTAACGTGTGTGTAGTGCATTTATATACAAAGTACCCCAAATTTTTCTCGACAAAATACAAGAAAACATTCTGTAGGTAAAAGTAAAATACTATTCACTGATATTTTGAAATTAATTGTTCAGATAAAGTTACATATATACTGATAATCTTATAAGTTTTCAGTACTTCATATAAAAATGTCAAACGATTTAATGTTTTATGATTTTCAAATCTGAATGGCTAATCTTTCCCCTAATTTTATATGTAGAATAAATTCTTGCACTTTGTTGTCAAAAACTTAGGACACCTTGTATATATTTATTCATGTGTGTAAACTAAAATTTCCAAAAATTGCTTCCCGCTATTTATTGATTTTATAATTTAATAATGCAGAAATAAATCTTAATTTCATGTAATTTGTATAAAATTTATTTTATAACGTAATTAGATGAAAGCACGTGTTAAAAGTTGATAGCGTTTAAAATCGATGTGGTAGCTCTTGATTGGTGAAGATATTATTACACCTATAAATATTATGCTGAATCTGTCAAACGAAATAACCTGTTGAGTACAGCAGTTACATCTCTGACACGAGGCAGAAATTGTCGCAAATGTGAATGGTAATTATAAAGTGCAAAATAAGCAACGTATAAAATATTTCTTTAGCATTATCTTTATTTCAGTTCATTTTCATATATTCTAACCTGTATTTTAAAATAAACAATACAATTTTAATTTTTAGGCAGTTGTATAAATTAAATAAAGAGGTTTGCTGAAAAGAAATATTAAATTGGTTTGTTTATAAATTTGTATAAAATAATGAGACCTATTCAAAGGAGGCAACAAGGTCTGCAATATGGCATTTATTTGCTGTGTTTGCAAGCTATAAATTTTGGTATTGATAAAATTCCACCAGCTACTTTAACATCAATTATTCTACAAGTGAGTATTTAGTCATAATCTACTCTGTACATAAGTGAAAATAATATATTCGCATATTGCAAAATACAAAAGTTCTGGAACTAGAAACTATTGTTTCATTGTAGGTTCTACTCTATATTGGTTTAATAAAAGTTCCATGGAATGCAGAGGAAGTATGCATATCCACAATAAAAATATTTAAATATCGTGATTGGAAATCTTTTATAATATCAAATTTTGAACATGGTTCAGATATGCACTTGTATTATAATATGGTATCTCTAATTTTAAAGGGTTCGTATTTAGAACCCATGTATGGAACAATGAATTTTGTTATTTTGTTGGCTGTTCTTTCATTTGGGTGCAGTGCTATGTATACATCTTTGGGTTATGCCTTAATGCAGTTAACTGGAGATTATGGATATTATACCCAATGTGCTATTGGATTCTCTGCTGTTTTGTTTGCATTAAAAGTTATTGTAGTTTGTGAGGAACAAGATAGAATTCATGATGTTGGGGGATTACGTGTTCCTAGTAAAATTGCTGTTTGGGTTGAATTGATATTGATCCATCTTTTAGTCCCACAGTCTTCATTTGTAGGACATCTTGGAGGTATTTTAGTTGGTTGTTTATATTGTTATACTTTTGTTGGTGAAATGATTGATAACTTAATATATACTATGAGTGGTACACCAATTATACATGAAGAACAGTTTTATAGAAGACGAAGTTTAATTTCTAGATAAAGTTTAGGATAAAAACGTTGAAAATAGGTACAACTTTATTATTGAGACTGTAAATTCAAATCGATTTTAAAAATATTTATTCCTATAAATTAATGTTATTTAAGGTATCACTCATTGGCCTGAAATATCATTAAAGTATCATTTATTACAGATGCAATTCAATATTTTTAGTACCAAATAAAAATTAACATACAAAGACTTGACATCTTTTGTAAAGATACTTATATAATATGTATATATGTACATATAAAAACGGTAAAATTGTATTTTAGATTATTTTATACAATAAACGCTATTTATTACAATGTATAAAATAATAAATTAATTTTCCATTAATATAACTGTTAACTTATTTACATGTTATGGATAAATATTCCTACTAATTTATTTAACTATATGTATTGTACAACAAAACAGATTGATGAAAATCAGTCTATGTTCTCCACATTTTTCCATGATGAAATATAAATATAATTTAATTCAATGATCTATTCAAATACATTACACAAAATTAATTTCAATTGCTTGAAGAGATACTAACCTAATTAATACGATTTTAATATTTTATACAATTTACATAGGGTAATATTAGATATTTTAAATCTATTCTCCGGTTTTAATAACAATGTCACTAAAAAGGGAAACAATAATAGCATTATAGTAATGATAATAATAATAATGTAAATACCAGTATAAAAATATATCTGTAAATAAAGTAAAAAACTTACGGACTGTTTGGTAATCCATTTTATGGGGTATATCATAAAATACAAAATATGAGCACATTTTTCGTAATAATGTTATGTCACCTTGAATACTTCCCGTAGTTAGATAAGAATTAATATATGGCGTTAATTCTGTAATACAAAAAATTATTATTAGCATTAGCATTAGTATTAAATTAGTGTCCATTTTAATAATTACCATGTTCCCAGCTGTCCATAATAAAGGAAATTTTTTGTTGAATTGCAAGTACACTCTCTGCACTAAGCAGTGGATTTCTATTTTCTGTACAAGGTTTTTCCAACATATAAGATGAAACAAGTTTTATTTGCCATATAGAAAAACTGTTTGGTTCTTTTTCTGAAATCTCCAAACTTTTCAGCAAAGTCACCCACAAGGGAAGAAGACTCACTTTGTCTTTTATTACACATTCGTAAACAATTATAGCAAATGCGTGTAAGAATTGTTCTTCAAATTCCGACATATCAGAATACTGTGTTTCAGATTTATAACTATTGTCTTTTAACTCAGTTGATAAATCTGCAATTTCCATTTTTTCGTTATAAGAATTTGACTGTTCATTCCAACTACCACTTATTTTTTCAGATGTATCGCTTAAGCTTTGAGTCAAATAGCCAGAACTGCTTTTACCTAAACTACCATGAGATTGCATTTTTAATTTATTTTCAGTTTTAATCTTTTCTTTTTTAGGCCATTGTAAGAAATATTTCACTATATTTAAAACAGTTTTATCGTTTGTGAACGAGGTTACACATTCCGGGCGGGCAGCCCATGCAATAACATTTTCTGTTGTTAATGTTTGGGCGATTAAACTTCTGAAACCCTAAAATGAACAATAATAAATATTAGTCGATTTAATTTATATTACATTATTTTCTATAATGTATTAATAATGATTACATGAGGATCCTCTATGTACGGTAAACAGCCAGCTCTCTGTTTAACACTTAAGGGTTCGCAATTTTTAAGCACACTTTCTAACTGTTGCCAATTGTGATTTTTTTCAAAAACGATTTCCCAATATCGATCATCTTTTAGTTCAAGTTTGTTAATGTTGCACAATTGTGGTAGTAAACACGGCGCTTGAAGTACTACATCTTGTCCCTCAGCTTCTTTTTCTGATGCAAAAGTTAGATGTACCATCGCATAGCAATACTGACCACTGTCAATGTCTCTGGGTAAGATTACGCGTGGTTCAGCAGCTAATACATACAGATGTCGTAATGCCTGTAAATGATATCTACAAACGATCAATTAAATAAATTATCGCAATATAAATAATACTGTAAATAATTTTATATAAATAAATTGAATCGGCACTAACCTATTATCATTACTGTGTGTCGGGAATTTTGGGAAAAGAGAAATTATAAGAGCAGCTACTGCACTGGGGCTGTTAGAAAGTGTGTACTTTCCTCCTCCAAGAAAAAGAAGACCGAGAGCCATGTGCGTTGCTAAATGAGATCCATATGTAACTACACTGCTTGCTGGTCCTACACGAGTTCTTATGTGTCGACATATTCTCATAATCTATACAATCAGAAGATAAATAATGTACTCAAAGAACATATGAAAGTATTAAATAATACAATTATTAAATGTACCTCCAAGTTACCCGTTCCTGCCATTACAACAGCAGCCGAAAGTAAAGTAACATTTAAACAAGTTTCAATGGTTGATTTTCCAGCTAATTCAGCAATAGTTTTATGGGACAATGCCGTAAACATCTGAGCATAATTATACAAAGTTTTAAAAGCATTCTTATTAGCAGTGCCAGCATACTTCAAACCTAAAGCCATACAGGCACCCGCAATTATGTTACAATAAGCCTGGCTGTAAATTAATTAACATTGATTAGTATTGAAAGTAATAATTATTATATTATATAGATTCTATGTACTAACTTCATGGTTTCCAAATCCACGCTTTGCGCTATCTCAGAAGTTGGTTTTTGTAATCTGTATTTGTAAACGATATTAGGAACATGACTAGAAACCCAAGATTTCGTTGGTTCAATTTCATCCCAAAGGATAAGTGACTTCGCTAATATTCGCAGTAACAAGAAATCAGGTCGTACAAAATCTAATAAATATTGGGTATCAGGAGCTTGCATCCACTCAGCCACTGCTCGATTTCCCGTATTAAAATACATAAGACCTAAAGCTATGGTAGCTCCTGGACTTGTTACATCAATATTTATCGAATCACCTTCTCTTATTTGATAACTGCAATTGTAAAATGGGAAGAATAGAAAAAGAATCAAAAATTGTAGAAACTTTTATACCAGAATATAGAAATATGTCTACCTAGGTGATTTATATTTATCTTTTTGTGCACCGGTAAAAGGTCTAACGTGTCCACCAACCATGTAATAATGTAAGGTATCTGGTATGTTAGCTAAATCGGATCCACTTCCACATCTTAAGACCACTAAACCTAATGCTAAACCTGCTGCTAAAGAATATGATTCTCGATCCACACAATTTTTCATTTCTGGGCCTGGTGGTCTACCTAGATATGAATAATTTATATATAAGAATATAGTGGAAAACTAATTAATAATTATAATATGTTATTGAATAGTTACCAATTTCTGATAATAAAGCATGGGAAATGTGTCTATGAGCAGTTCCTTGATACACTAACCCAACTCCCATTAACGCAGCAACTTGAACATTTTGTTGAACATTTAATTCAATGCTTGTTGGCGGTAACAATGTTTCCACGTGTAGAGATAAAAGTTTGGTCATCGAAACATTCATTGTACCACGATGAGTTGCCGACAATCCCAAGAGAAGACCAACGCTAGTAGCTTCGTGGCATTCAACTAAATATTCATACATACTAAGAGGCGCTAAATTTTTTAGGTGTCCATTTAAACCAAGAGCCATCAAGAAACCTGAATGTTCAATGCCAAACTCGCCTTGCTGTTGCTTATTGTATACTATCCATGTTGAATCGATATTCGACGCATCCGGATGAATACGAAGACCCGCAGCTACACCATTATGAAATAATGGCCATAAATTCATGTTTGGGGGAACATCTATATGAGCTAATTCTATAGTAGTTCCGCGAGGAGGTGCTTTTCCTGTGTGTGTAATAACAATATTTTATAACTGTCAAACAATTTGATCAATATAAGTAACATTTTATCTGTACCAGTTAAACAAAGCCGTGGGATTGGTAGTTGTTCCGTGATAATAGGAGTTGAAGTTCTGAGCGTAAACATCCCTCTAGCTACTGGAAGTGCCATTGTTCTCGTACATAGTGCATGCAAATGTTTCTCCTGTTCTTCTATGAATTCATGATCGCTTACATCTGGCCTTTGTACTATTGCTATTCTCACTGGTTTTGATGAATTTAGAAGTTTTCGCACTTCTGCTATTCTGTGATCTTTATTGAATCTTAATTTCAGTACCTTGAAAAAATGATAATTAATATATGCAACTAATAAAATGTTAAATACAAATATAATAACATACAGCATCATCAAATTCCATGCCATCATCTTGTTCAGGATCTTTGATAGAATAATTTTTTCCTTCATTTTCCATATGTTGATTTGATGCAGAAGACTGTATATGTTTGTCTAACGCAGCCAAGTCTTGGCGGTCCACTAATTCATATGCCTGCATTGGCCAATTTGATGGAGGTCGCTCCCTACATCTGTGCATTACATCTTTTAATACTAATGATACACCGGGAGGTAACGTTTCAAGATCCTTTTTATTCATACCTGAAGAGAAATTGTCATGAGATTTGATTTCAATGTAACATTATTAATAACAATACTCAAAATATAAAAACTTACCCATTTCATGATATAATAATACTATTCTATCTATTGCAGGATATTCAATTTTTTTTAATAATTCCCTTTCATATTTATTTCCACCTTCTTGAAAATCTATTCGACTTCCAATTGATATTATATGTTTCACAAATTTATCAATTTCTAATATGTTCGTCTTATTTTCATTTGCTATAAGTGCCATTAAATAAATTATATTTTTTGTCTTTTGATTCACTTGGCTCAAATAGGGAAACGGCGCTACTTCCACACAATTTAATAAATTATTCAATGTTTCAAATATGTTGGGTGGTTTTGACGGTATGTAATTTGGTATAGTGATTTTTTGTAAATCCGCTTCCTTGATTTGAGATGAAAAATTTAATTGACAAATGGACGGAAAATCGACAAAATAATGATGAGTGTACATATCAAACCTTAAATCTGAACTTAATTGATAAAGCAATTGTGCGAGTAAAGGCAAGCTTTCTGACATTACAGAATTTAATTTTAATTCTTCGTATAGAAGATGCAAAGAAAACAAAACAAGTGGAAAATATGGAAACAGAATGGATTGCACATTTATTTTCCCTGCATTATTCGATTCTACGGAATTTGGTATCGACATTTGAAACGTGCTTGAAGTTTTCTGAAGACCAAGTATATTTGAGATAAAAGTTTGAGAACTTCCACCCTTCACAAGATTAATCATATACTTCCAATCGTCACTAGAGCCAGAATTATTTGTTTTCTGTTTCTTTGGCACTACCATAGGACTATTGCGTTCAGCAAGTTGATCTTTCTCGTGCTTTTGAATTAATTGTAGTTTTTCGACTTCATATCCCAATAATGTAAATAAAACTATTAAAAAAAGACACCATTCTTGTTCTGGTGAAAAATCTTGAGGTCCAGGAGCATTTCGAGCACCATACCATTTTACTAGTAATTGCATTGCCAAATCCTTTTGTAAGACACTTCTTAACGTTTGCAAACATTTAGTTACTGCAAAAAGTTTGGAACATCAATATATCATGATAATATAATATATATATAATTTTATATTTACCTAAAGGTGAAGTACTCGACGTCGGTAAAGTTATACGAAAGTAATTTTTACTTCCATATTCCAATGTAACTTTATTTCCGACAGTTTCTTTTAATACAAGAAAATTTGAGTCTATTAAAGAATTTTCTAAAAGGATAGGTGGCCTTGCACAATTACCACTTACAGGACTTAGTAAGTGTAATCCTTCTTCGAATTTAATGTCGTGAGAAGCAACATAGTTTTGAGAAATCAATGAACTTCGTCGTGGAAACGGAGAACCTAATTTATGGTTATTACTAGATAAAAAATAGTTACACCCAGTCAAATTGGGAAATATGCCTGTCACGTGTAACTTGCCAATACAAGTTACACCAGAATATAGTACTACTCCATTTGCTAAATCCATTGTTGCTATCATATGTAAATTCTGAAACAAGGTAACTTATATTTCATTTGTAACATTAACTACATATAACAAAAATATGTTAATATATAAATACTAACTGGTACATTAACAGCATCCTTAGCTACAATACTTGTTACCATACCAAAAATAATTTGTTGTTGTTTGTTGGTTTTTTCAAGTCTTACTAAAAAGAGTTGAGATCTATATGGAGCTAAATAACACAAATAGCTTTGACCTACGAGATCTGACGAGAGAAAAACCTTAGACGCTCGGCAAGATGCAGTATCCCTTAAAAAGATAAAAATATTTATGTTAACGCTGTTTTGCCATAACGATTACCTATCCGTAATACCTACTTTGGAATTCCAACATTTTCAGTCCAAACATGATCAAGACAAATTTCAGGATACAGAGGTTTACTTGGTATAATAATATCTTGTAATTGCATATTGTTGAAATTTCCAAAAGGACTATTTTGTGTATGACTCAATGCAGTAGTCATAACTGCTTGATGTAACCTATTGTGGTGCATAACTGAACTACCTGATGCACCAAGTAATGGTGAGAAAGCAGAATGAGTAGGAGATTGACAACGAGAAATAGTTGCCATTGGACTTTGAGATCTAGAATGTTGTTGCTGTTGTTGAGATGGTGATGGTCCTCCAGAACAGGTAGTTGTATAAGATGTTCGAGAACTAAATGGACTGTTTGAGATTCCCAAGCCTATACTTAGTTGTGGATTTGGTACTCCTAAAGTATAAACATGCTTCTTATCATAAATGATAATTACATAAATTTTTTAAATCACGGTTATATAACTTACCAAATATACTTAAATGTCCTTTATTTGTACAATTTTTATTATATGAAAGATTACTTCCAATGTTTAATGAAGATATACTTGAATGATTAAATATACTAGGTGTAGTATCATTACTTCCACAAACTATCTGACATTCTTCTGCTAAAGCTTTACGTATTTTATATACAGAATGCAATCCAGTCTTTGCATCATATATCACAGCCAAGGATGGTTCAGAACTAGTAAATAGAATTTGTTGATTTGAGTCATACATATACGATATGTTTCCTGTAAATATTAATTGCATATGTATTGAACTTTTCTGATTTTTATTGTAATAAAAAAATTGATGAAATTTATAACAGTACCATGTTTAATAAGTACAGGACAAATTTCATCCAAAGGATGCATAAGAGAAAATGCTATTGGTAAATTAATGTCATTATGCGATTGTAATCTATTCCCATCTAGTGGCATGTACCTGCTAATAATATAAACACAATATTAGCACATTTAAATAAATTAAAATGTTTATTTTTCATTTTTAAAAACAAACCTTATTTCAGTTACAGGCACTTGTGTTTTCTCCAACAAAATTCCATATTTTGTTGGCCAAACAGCAGATACCTAAATCATAATCATATAATCAATTTTCTAACACAAGATTGTACATGGATTTTCAAAATGTTTTATTTGATTTATCACCTGAAATTGTAAACTAGATACATAATCTTCTCCAGTTTCACTAAACACTTTAAGAGTATATGAATCAATTAAACAAATGCATTCTACTGTTTTATTATCATTTTCCTCTTCTTCTATTTCTTTGGCTTTTGATGAACGATCAGGTATATTAGCATGGAATTTACACCATAGTGCATGTTTAATATCTGTTTCACAAGTATAACTTGTTTGCAATACTCGAGTAGTTTGGTTTCCCTTTGAATGAATTGCAATTTTGCCTGAACAGTATAACTCTTCTTCACCACATGTATCATTCTCACGTACAATCCAAAATTCTCTCGGTAATCCTTCTGAGATATTTACACGACTAAATTTTTGTAATAAAATACTATCTCCTTCAATTTGATTACTTAATGTGTGCTGATTAACTATTGATTCAGGATGTCGTAAGATTGTTTGTCTTCCACCAGGAATATATTCCTTTAAAAAATATATTAATTAAGTAAATCAATTTTTTGTGAAATTATTCAATAATTACAAATTTTAACCTAAAAAATGTTCCGCTTACCACCGGTTCTGAGGCGGCAATCATTTTCTCCCTAGTTTCATCCAGATTTGCAGACTGTAATTATTAAAAGCTGAGAAAACAATAGTACTTGATATTTATTTCAGAGCGCTTTTTGGAATCGTTTGTGAATACTTTTGTAAATAAACTGTTAAATGGTTAGTCGTTGTAAACATCGCCATATTCATATCACACGAACTTCGTACCACCACATATCAAGCGTTCAAGTATATGTATTGCACTTTTTTAATACTCTGTTCTACAAGAGAAGAAACTAACTAGACCACATTTTACGCCCCCTGGCGCTTAGGGAAGTTACGAAAGTGATGCTTTCCTACAGTCTGTTTTTACTTTCATGATCATATACATGGTGAGAAAAAACGAAGAAATAGCAACAACAGGTGATAGTAGGATAGATGTACAATTATAGTTGTACAATTATATTCGTAATTTGTACAATTTACGAATATTAATTAACTTTTGTTTGATGAGTTTTGAATATTCAAAAGTAGTTTTTCATGTAATAAATGAAACATACTAACATTAACGAGTATTCAAAATCATAAAACTTTCTGTGCCCATGGTATATATATTTTCGGTATCACATCATCATAATTGCGCTTGCGTATTACCATAGATTATAGAGTATATAAAATCAAACTCAGTCGATAGGAATAACGAAGACAGTTCCTCTTTTCTCAGAACAGAGAATATATGTTATATCTTGTTGAGCTGCGTATATATTGGCGTTTCTTTAAATATTTAGTGTTTTAATGAAAATAGAGAATCTAATGATCAAGAAAATAAATGTAGTCAAAATGTTTATGTGTAAAACGTTGGTTTGTTATTAATTTTTACAATTCTTAAAAATTGTCACTAGATGGTACTGCAAAACGCGAGTTACCACAGTGGTGAATCTATAATATTGGTAACAATATACCTAGATATCGTCTTCTTTTGAGAGAAACATATGTGTGTGTACGTTTACGTGCATGCAATATGTGTACATACATGCATACACACATGCACGCCTATATATAGATATAGGTGTATATATCACACCTAAGTGTTCTCTTGAGCAAATTATGGCATTGTCTCTTATCCGGGCTAAAGGTCTGCAGTACGGAAATTCGCAGTTACGTTTCTTATCCAGCATTTCGACCATGAAGGTAGTTATAGCTTTATTTATTCATAAATTGACAGTATACGACATTATCTTTATATCAAAAGAACAATATGTTTCTATTATACAAAAAGAAATGTTGAAGTGGAAAATTTTCATTTTAGTAATCAAACCTGATACGAAGATAAGGAGAAAACATTTTATCTACAAACATGAATTATAAATAACTTAATTAGAAACGTTATTAAACTTTTTTTATATCTTTTTTTTTTGTTATAATGAAATGATTTGAATTTTTCGAGGATAGGTTTCACTATCCTCGATAGAATTATTGTTCATTATTTATCCGTGATATTTTAATTTCCAACAGAAGGGATTGGTGCTTGGTGTATACGAAACAGAAGATGAATGCAACGTTTCATTGACTCCCACGGCGGCTAAATATGATGAACTAGTTAACGGAAAGCTACAAAAGAATATTTTGTTGTAAGTTTGAAATTGATACAGTAACCTATAACATATTCCATATTGTAATGCCGTCTTTTCACATAATCTGTTTATGTAAAATCTATGTTAATATTATTTTTACTAAATCCGTTTTTTGTATACACAATATGCGAAACCAGATTATACATGTATGCCCATATTCAGGTACAGTACCGAGCATGGTAGGCTTCCCTAGGGAAAATGGCGATGTAGGGAAAGAAAGCTTGACCATTCACTAATAACACTTGAGAGTTATCGTGTATTATGACAAGCTTTACAAAAGTGATGGGGATTTCCTTTTCTTAAAAATCGGAAACTTCGGAATTAAAAAATTTAAGAACACTAATATATAGAAATCAGTAAGTTAGAAATTTTCTAATACACAACAAATAATTTTCTCGAGTGGTACAACCTTCTTTCCGTAAATCGCTATTTTCTTTAGGGATAGCTATCGCGTGTAATAATTCGCTATGACTTTTTTTTCTACATGTCATTTTCTCTAGGAAAAGCTTAAAATGCTTTCTGCTGTACAATGATGTATCGTGTACCTAGAAAGAAGATTTTTGTCTTATGAAAATGTTTCCCTACACCTGTCCTAAATAGGGAAAATAAACAATAATTTAATCAAAAATATCAGTGGATATGCATGATCATCATTGGGGCATGTACATGTTACTCTTGGTTGCAGAAAGTATTAAACCAAACAGAGCCAACATGCGCAGAACAAACAAAAATTCATCATTTGATGATCAAATTCTCTCATGAATCACTTCATATGATTATTTCATTTAATTGAAGTTAAATCAATGTATACACTAAATAACAGAATCACGGAAATAATAAATTATAACACCAGACATAATTTTATGTATTATTTTGGTATTTTCATTTTGAAAACTATGTGAATTAACATTAACAAACATTCAAGTTTCTTATTCATAGTTCCAGCCTGAAACAATTGTCATAATGCTGCCTGAGCTTTTACATATAATGTTCAGAAGTGCTTTTTCTTTGTTTTAAAAACTTTCCCATAAAGTATTTTTTTGTTAACAAAACTCTCGAATTTGAGTGAAATTTATATATTGTGAGCTCACTGGCATTATTTTCATTGTTTCAGGAGTGACTAGACTGAGAGACGGTATTGTACGCATGATATGAAGCAAAAACTCACTGCACAGAAGGAGTTGCCAGACACATACATATTTTATTGTATAAAAAATTTTAAAAACCTGTTATTTATAAAGTAATAATTTCCTTAGACTGATTATTAGATAAGTTAAAATTATTGATGAGGAGTTTGACAAATTTAAATGATATGAAGTCCAAAAGATCATGTTCAAATTATTAAATGTATTTTAAGAAATATTATTTGGTCAAGTATCATAATGTCAGTTATCAGTGATAATAACCTGGGAAATGATAGCACTGCTGGGAGCAGTGGGGGAGTAGATGAATGTGGTAGTAAAATAAGTAAACATCATTCGAAAAATGTTCTTCATAGGATTAGTGGTACACTTGAAGATAAAAATAATGATTTTCTGTGTCCTATTTGTTTTGAGGTAATTGATGAAGCTCATATCACACGCTGTGGTCATACATTTTGTTACCGTTGTATAGTAAAATCTTTGGAAGCTAATGGGCGTTGTCCAAGCTGTAGCTACACATTAACGCAACAAGATATTTTCCCAAATTTTTTGTTACATGAATTAATATCCAAACATAAAACTAGAATTAAAGGTCTCACTGAATTATCTACATTGCCATATGATGGATTGAGAGATATTGTAGCTGCTGAAAGTGCTAATCTTACTTTGCCAGATGTGAATATAATGTTAGAAGTATTAACACAAAGGAAACATTTACTTGAAGCAGAAACATGTGCAGCGCAAAATAAACTATTGCACGAATTTTTGAAACATTTACTACAGCAAAAAGAAGAACAAAAGAAACAGTTACAAAAAGAGATAACAGTGGTTAAAAGCGATATGGAAGAAGTTGAAAATATTTTAAGGGATGTTCAAAGTAAATGTCCTAAAATAGAAGATATAAAGAAATCAAGCGAAAATGATACTGCACAAGTGTCAGCTATTAGAAAAGAAATGATTGGTCTTATAGATACTATAGATTCAAATATGGTAAAACCAAATGAAAAAGTAGGTGCTACTGGAAATGAGACATTTATTAATCCTACAGGAAATCAAAAACAAATTGATTATACAGTTGGATCAACTTTGGCTATACGTAGAAAGAGAATGCATGCTCATTTTGATGATTTTGTTCAATGTTATTTTGATTCACGTGCTAAGCAGTTGCATCTTGGACATAAACCTCAGAACCAAAATGAATCATGGCATGGTACAAGTTCAGGACTTGACGTTTTTAGAGAAAATCTTGTTAAATTTTCAAGATATAATTCATTACGTCCATTGGCAACTTTAAATTATTCATCAGATATTTTTAATAATTCAACAATTGTTTCAAGCATAGAATTTGACAAAGATAACGAATTTTTTGCGATAGCCGGAGTAACAAGACGGATAAAAGTATTTGACTATAGTGCTGTAATAAGGGATACAGTAGATATTCATTACCCTTGTGTAGAAATGGTTTCTAGTTCCAAAATATCATGTGTTTCATGGAATTCCTTTCATAAAGGAATGCTAGCATCATCTGATTATGAGGGAACTGTAACAGTATGGGATGCTGCTACTGGTCAAAGAACCAAAGCTTTTCAAGAACATGAGAAAAGATGTTGGTCTGTTGATTTTAACGATGTAGATACTAGGCTCATAGCATCAGGATCAGATGATACTAGAGTTAAGCTATGGTCTTTGAATAATGATCATTCCGTTGCTTCTTTAGAAACAAAAGCTAATGTATGTTGTGTAAAATTTAATCCACGTAGTTCTTGTCACTTAGCATTTGGATCTGCAGATCATTGTGTCCATTACTATGATTTGCGTAATATGAAGGAAGCACTATGTATTTTTAAAGGTCATCGCAAGGCTGTCTCATATGTTAAATTCATTAATAAAGAAGAAATAGTGTCTGCAAGCACTGATTCACAATTAAAAATGTGGAACATTAACAATCCACATTGTTTGCGTTCATTTGTTGGGCATGTTAATGAAAAAAATTTTGTTGGTCTTGCTACTGATGGTGATTATGTAGTATGTGGATCAGAAAATAATGCACTATATATATATTACAAAGGACTTACAAAGCAATTATTCTCTTATAAATTTGATGCTGTTCGAAGTATATTAGAAACACAAGAACGAAGAGAAGAGGATCTGAATGAATTTGTGTCTGCAGTTTGTTGGAAACAAATGTCCAATGTTGTGGTAGCTGCAAATTCTCAAGGAATTATTAAAATATTAGAACTTGTTTGAAGATAATTAAAAATGTAATGTAACATTTAGTAAATTTGATATATGTATTTTGAAATTAATTCAATTTAATGCTCAGATACAAGTAACAACGAGAAGTAAAAATTCATTCTAAATGTTGTAGTGATTTGTTGTAGGTTAAATTAAGGAACTGTATAATACATTGAAATTTAAATTGTTAGAGACTGACTTGTTTGAGAAAGTAATACTCTGGGTGTTAACCAGCACAAATATTTTTTATAATTATACTTTTGTTAGATCCATGGGTACTGTTACTTACATTACTTTTAGTTAAGTACTTCACAATTAAGGTATAATTTGATGATAGCAATAAATAATTTATATAATTGTATTAGTATCACGTATCTGCATCTGGAAAGAGTCTAAGATAAAACGCGGCCTTTAACTCTGTATTAATTTAGTTAAGTTTAATGTATTATAAAATTGATACATTTACACAGTGACTACCAGTGATTAGCACAATTCATGTATGATACAATATTCTTGTTAGATAAATTTCATCTTAGTTTTATATGATATTTTTTATTATACTGTGTTCCACTTTATATTTCTGGTTATAATTTTTAAGATATACTATCAACATTTGTTTATAATTACAACAGACAAATTATTGGAAAATGATTAAATAATATTTTGTTGTAACTAAAGCGATTCTAGTGTAATGATTTTTAAATATAATGGAATGCAAAATTTCATTATTTTAGACAATTTACTATATAAAAAGTATTTTTATGATTTGTAATAATGTATAGAAAGAGAAAATAATTTAAATTATAAACTTGTAAAAAGTTGTAATGTAAAAATGTAACTGTAATTACTTAAGATATAGTTCATATAGTAAATCTTGCCAAAGTAGCCTAAAAAAAATTAAATGGTAGTAATATACAGGTTGATATCATGAAAAATATCAATATTGTTTATTAAATTCAATTTGTGCCAAGAGTATCATATTAGATAGGAAGTAGTAAATGTGCTTGAATTGCATTAAGTTCCTATTATCAGTGTTGTAATGACTGTCTTTGTATGTTAGTGTCAGAGCTAAAGAAAAATAGAATTTATAATGAAAATTTATGAATTGGAAATTTGTTCAGTTATACTTAAAGTACTTATAAAAAAATAAATTAATTTAATTATTTTATTTAGCTCTGATTAGAATATTCTAAGTAAATGTACATGATGGTTTATTTTTTAAAATATCAATATGTCAATTTTATATTTCTTCACTGTTTGTCTAATAATGTTTAAGCAAACAATATAAACATGATAACACCCCATGACAAATCTACATACTTAAATCAATGTACACACAGAAGAACCGAATTTCGGTAATAGAAATATAGTTTGTAAATAATATTGTAAATTCTTGTCAATAATATGTACATTCAAAATAATTATAATACCTACTTTTGATGTATTACAAATGCAAATCAATTATCTCCAGAAATCAGAGAACACAATTATGTATTAACATTGTTCTAATTATGAATAGTAATTTTAATGTAATTTTTATCTATTTAAGAATTAGCACAATTGTTAGAAAAATAATTAGAATATATTCTAGGATGTATGTAAAGGATAGTATATTTTTAGATTGTATTTTGAAATTGCAGATGTTATAGCATATGCTATACATGTCCAAGGCGCCTAAACTTTATTGTAATAAATAAATTTGTGAATATGTGTTTTAGTACAACTTGAAACAAAATTTTTAATTTCATATAAACTTGCCCCCCACCTTAATTATAATATATTTTAAATGTACAGAAAGTTAAAATAACATTTGAATATTTATACCACTACAGAGCAGGTCCAAAAATTGCTAAAGGACATGCTAGAGTATTTTGGGGTTTGGATGAGAAGGATTATGTCGGAATTGCAGTTGTTGGTCTTGGAAAAAAGAATCTTGGTATTGATCAACTTGAAGAAATAGATGAAGGAAGAGAGAACATACGTATTGCAGCAGCAGGTAAATATTTTTACTAAATGTTTGAATATGTTTTCTACTTATAATATAATACAAACTTTGAATGTATATTTTTACTAATAATCTAATTGTTTAATTAGCTGGTTGCCGTGCATTGGATGCAGTTGAAATAAAAGACATACAATTAGAAACATTAGGAGATGCAGAAGCAGCAGCAGAAGGAGCTGCATTGTCAACTTGGTTTTATCAAGGTTCAAAAAGTAAAGAAAAACAAAAAGTATATCCAAAAGTTTCTTTATATGGGCAAGAAGGAGAGTGAGTAGACTATTTTACTGAGATATACATTTTTATATTTAAATCATACTAAATCAAATTGATTATTATTTTTTCAAGGGAGCAATGGCAAATTGGGAGTATCAAAGCTCAAGCTCAAAATTGGGCGCGCCTACTTGAAGATACTCCGGCCAATCTAATGACACCCTCTATATTTTCTCAAGAAGTACACTCTGTACTTACTAAATTAGGAATTACTGTACATGTACACGACAAAGACTGGGCGGAAAAGAAACAAATGGGTTCTTTCCTTAGTGTATCTCATGGTAGTTGTGAGCCACCAAAGTTTGTTGAAGTTCATTATAAAGGTGCTAGTGATAATTCTCAACCAGTTGTCTTCGTCGGAAAAGGTGTTACGTTTGATGCAGGCGGTATTAGTCTTAAGGTAAATGACAGTACATAAAAATTTTCAAGTCATATATTTATGAAGGTATGTATTAATTTCAGCCTTCAACTGATATGGATGAAATGCGTGCGGATATGGGTGGTGCAGCATGTGTTGTAGCTGCAATTCGAGCTGCGGCTGAGCTTAAACTGAAAATAAACATTGTTGGCTTGATGCCGCTTACGGAGAATTTACCCTCTGGAACTGCAACCAAACCAGGTGATGTTGTATTTGCAATGAATGGAAAAAGTATCATTGTAGATAACACTGATGCAGAAGGTAGACTCATCCTAGCTGATGCACTTTGCTACGCTCAAGAATTTAAGCCAAGGTAATACTATTAATGACTTAAGAGACCATCTTAAGTCATCTTGATCATATTGATCATCTTTTACATTAAATACTTATTGTACTTTAATACTTTACAGACTTATTTTGGATATTGCAACGTTAACGGGTGCGATGAAAATCGCTTTGGGTGGAGTAGCAACAGGTGTTTTCACAAATGATAGTAGCTTTTATGAGATATTACGAAATGCTGGCACAATTACTGGCGATCGAGTTTGGAGATTTCCACTTTGGCAGTATTTTACAGATGAAGTGACAAGTAAGTAAATAATTCGCTATGTAGCTTCGTCTTTAACTATGATTGTAAATAGCGAAAGAAAATAATGTATGATTTATTTGGTGTTAATTATAAAAAAAGTTAAGTCAGCGGATGTACTAAATGCCGCAAGAACCAAAGGTGCAGGTGCATGCACTGCAGCTGCTTTCTTACGGGAGTTTGTTGCGAGTGATATTCCATGGATGCATTTAGATATGGCAGGAGTAATGGGTCCTGGACCTGATAACTTACCGTACATACCAACTGGAATGACAGGTCGTCCGACTCGTACGCTTATTCAATTTTTACAAGCATTGTGTTAAAATTTACGATTAGTTTAAGTTGTATGGTGCAACTCTATCTATTCTCATATATATGTATCCATATGTATACACATAGTACACGTTTTATATAAACACCGCCCGCCTTCCTTGTTACATTCCGATATTCAAAGCAACACAGAAAAAGTTGAAATACAACGAATTGGTCGAAATGCAACTTATACAATTAAAATATGGCAATATCCATAGAATATAACAAAGAGACATGCAGTAACAATGAAAACAATATCAATGCATAACATACAAAGCAAAATATAATATTCTAAACTTGTATAAAAGATAATTTAATATGATAAAACATCCAGGGAAGGTGTATTATTAATTGGGCAATTTATACTTTATTTGTGTTGTCTAAAATACATCCGAAAGCTTCAATCAATACTGTGTAAAATATTACACCTTGTAAAAGTGCTAACAACTATTCGAACTTAATATAATAAAATACAACATGATTTATTGTATGAAAAAACTGTGTCTCTAATTCTATGTACATGTGAAATTTATGTTAGTAATTTACCACACAGTTGTGTTATGTACAATTTTTACTGACATCCTCTTGAACAGTTCAAAAAAACATACCGGTCATTCCATTTCTAAATTCTTACAATATGGAAAATATAACAATTTATTAAACTAAAAAAAGTGCAGTTTATAAATTACGAATAAAAAATATTTTTATAATGAAACTTATGTAATGCTATATATTCATTATTTATAATTGAAACGATTAAATAATGACATCATTTAATTATTCATTTTTAAATGAATCCCTGATTATTCAAAATAACGATATGCTTCGTGCGTATTTTTATAAACCTAATATAAAATCACTGTAATACAGTTTTAACATTAAATCAACTAAATATCTCAATACCTGTAAGTTATGCCTTAGACATAGGAATGATTTCTTACAATAAAAAATTAATCGTAGCAAATGTATTCATGTACAAGACGGTGGAGGCTGCTGCTGTGGAGAGGGAAGGGGCGCTGCCGCAGCAGCTGCAACTGCGGCAGCAGCAGCATACGATGACGGGTCCGAAGTATCGAGAAGTGGTGGTGGCGGAGGTAAATTTCCTCCTCCGCCTCGTCCTCTTCCTCGGCCTTTTCCTCGACCCCGGCCTCGGCCCCTCCCCCTTGCGCGTCAACTCCGCCTTTCGGGCATTCCTATGTTGCTCGTTGTCTTTTCCAAAAAAGCAAGTGGACCCTGAAGAGCACTGCTTCCTACACCTCCAACAGGAAATCCAGCTCTTGCTCCAGTTACACCTTGTGTCATGAACATTCCTTGTTGTCCAACTGAAACTCCAACTCCTTGAAGACCCGATGTAGGAGGAGCACCAGATCCTTGCTGCACCTGGAATGTTATGCCAAATATTCTATCACCAATGATTTTGTTCAATATAATATGTACATTTTCTATTCTTGTATTCTATTAGATCATATAAAATGATGCAAAATGATAACAAAGCGCTTAGAAGAAATAATTGAATTGGTTAAATTTTATGAATACTGTACATACATGCAACATATGTAGATACATAAATTTATAAGTGAAAAAAAAATAGAATTTTGATGATTACAAGCATGTAGGATATGAGGAACAGTAATTAGATAGGCAAGGGAAATGAAAGAAAGCACAATATTTTTTTACCATGAATAGAAATTTATTCTGTAAACATCTATACTTGCATGTAAACGCAAGTGCAGTAATACGAATAAAAACAATGTAGTTGAAATGGCATATTTCTTTGCAGTTATTCATTTCTACGAATAGCTGCAACATTTTAATTTAATATCACATCTAAAAATTTATGTTAAAAGAATATATGTCAATTTGTATCATACAGAACAGGCAGAGTAGCAATGAAAATAAATTTGACATGTAACTTCTATAGTTTATCATGAATATGACTTATGAATGATTTTTAGAATATAAAGGTTTTGTTTCTTAATCTTTTTACATCAATGCAGAATGCATGCACATATGTTTACATGCAAAAGATATTTATTATGTTATAAACAAGAAGACTTATAAGTATTCAAAAACACTTTAAATTTTTAACAATTTGTAATGTATCACATTAAGAAATGTATTATGTAATATAAAAAGATATAAAAGAAAAATTAAAATGTATAAACAAAGATGTATATACATTTGCAGGTATATATTTTAATTAGTAGTAATTATCTGATTCTAATTATTATTTATAGGTTACAGGAATCATTAGGTTTACCATTAATGTCAAGCAAACATAAATATATGTTTAGCTTTCTTTTATTATTGCCGTTGTCAGATTTATTATAGCAGTTTTTGGCTAAATATTTGTACATATTTTAATATTAGTTATTTTGGCACCATTTTACATGTTTATGCAAGTATATCTTTTTAATACTTCTCTATTTTCTTTATAAGTGAAATTAATGCATTTATGGTTCTATATCGCAACTATTAATAAAAGAATTTCAATTTATCCATTTCTGCATATTACACTTTTGTCAATAGGAATTATATAAGGCACTGATTACACGCAACACTAATATACGTTGCTCTTTTGTGCAGTAGGACCAAATACTTTTATGTTTTAAATAACTATTATTTTAAGAATAGGAGCAAAAATAGTTTCTACAATTCTGATAGGTATTTCAATCACAAAAAATTACTTAATTTAATTTATATATGTACATTTTGCACATTCACACTCAGATGCACACGCACAGGCATTTAAAACCATTCAATATTGATATTCGTTCAATTTTAGATGTGACAAATAATATGGAAACCTAATAATATATCATTTCCATGAAGATGAGAACATTACAATGATTATAAATGATCTTGTGATATATATGTATAACCATATAGTGCAATGATATTTTGTATGAAGAAATTCAATAATTTACATTTTGATTTACAACCAAAATAAGGTAAACAGCTAAAAATGTTGACCCAAGATGTAACTTCTAACTATAATCTCCATGATAAAACAAACTTTCTGCAAATATATGCTGCAAGTTTTCATTGTTATACATTTTTTAAAATTGAAAAGTTTTACCGATGTTCTAATTTTAAATAGCTGCCTGATTACAGTTTCAGCTTTGCTCGTAACGGTATTACTTAAATACCTGTTGCTGATGAAGTTGTTGCTGTTGCATTTGATGTTGCATTTGATGTTGTAACTGCTGTTGTTGTTGGAGCTGCTGTTGATGCTGCAACATTTGTTGTTGTTGTTGTATTGTTGCATTTCCACCTCCATTTGTAGTTTGTTGATTTTGTCCACTCTGAGTTCCATTTGGCAAACCTAAAATATCATTTAATTATTGTGTGTGCTTTTAGCCAATATTATTTTTTTAATTATTATTAATACCATTAGGTGCAGGACCTTGAGCAGGAGATTTTGCCCAACCTTGCAAATCTGCTAATAAATTCTGCCATACTGTGATTTTATCATAATGCCTTTTGATAAGATCTTCTTTACGTGCTAATTCTACTCTAAGATCACTGATATCCTCTTTCACTACCAATTCTGGTTTCAGTGCAGATAATAAAAATCTTTTTTGCAGAAAGAAAGCTTCCATTTGTCTGGCCAGGTCTATAAATCTTAACGTAACTTGTTCAACTTCACTACGAGCTTCTTCTTTATCCACAATCAAACCACCAGTTACCCCAATCCCATTGTTTCCTAACCCTTCGTCTTTTGTTATTAATATACTTAAACATTGCTAAAAGTAATGTTTAATATTAAAATACTTTTATCTTTAACAATATAATATAACCATTAAGTAAAAGGATATGTGTATTATACCTGGAATGCTTCTTCAAATTCATCGACGAGATTACCATTTCCATTAGTGGGTGTCGCCATTATATTTGTAGTACTTACATTGACTATTGTAGTCACTGGTACTTATATGCAAGAACAATAATATATTATAAATTACAATTACTTTATTTTTAAGATGTGTCCATTATAAGATTATAAAGATTTCTTATATATGTATAATCCACGTTCAGCAACTAAGGAAACAATAGAATCTTATAACCAAGTAAAACATCACACACAATCGTCAACATATCAAACACAATTTCTAAAATCTTGTATATAATATTACATAAAATCTAAAACACACCTACATAACTATATAGTTCAATCATTCTTTTTTTTTAACTTTCGTTTTTACGTGTATTTTATTCGTTTCACCGATCATACTCGTCAAATGACGAATTTTTGATCACTCTGCGCATGTAAACTGTGATTGGTTTTAAGTTCGTGGTTTGTAACAAAAGACAATATGTACGCATGTGCATTTTCGACATTCTTGATGCTGATAATGTATACCCAGTGACCTTTTATTTTGTATATTTATCTAAATTCCTAAATACCTACTTATTTTAATTAAAAAAGAATAAATTATAATAGTATAATAGCTATTATTAAATACAAATTTTTGTCAATTTTGAAGCATCGTTTAATTATTATTAGAATTATAGCTATTTATATGGGCAAAGCAATTATATATCACAAGCAATGTAATGTTAAAGTACGTGTATCAATTGGAATATTATAAGACAAAGGAAAATGTTTGATTAATCAAATTTTATTAGATCTGATTCTTCGAACTCCATTAAATCTGGTCCTTCAGGTTCGGGTGGAGGTCTAAACCATGGATCATCTAACTCCCATAAGTCAGGATGTAACTGTTCTCTGCCAGGTGGTGGTCCACATTGAGGACATGGTGGGAAACGTTGAACATCGAAAAATTGTTCTAATTGTTCTGGGTCAAATGGATCATACTCATATGCCTTTTGTTGTTTAGGAATGGGAGATACATAAGCTTTAACCCTAGATGGACGAGGCATAGCCATGCCAGCTTCATCTTCTTCCCAAGATATATCTCTGTCCTGGAAAATTTCTTCCTCAACAGGGACATCTAATTGTAAATCATCAGACATTTGTTCTTTAGCTGCTATTCGTTCAAATTCTTCCTCTATTCTTCTAGCTGCTTCTCTTTCTTCTATGAATTTACGAGCAGCCAGAACATCTGGGTGATCTCTTCCATATTCAGGCTGAAGGTATTTATCCTCTAAGTCAGGGACTCTATTATGTAATGTAATATGGCATCAAAATTTTGTGTAAATATAATCTAGAAATTAAATTTAGAATTATTTGAAGGTTTACTTCACTATATGTCTGGGAGGTGAATAGAAAGAAGGAGGAGGAGTTTCTCCTTCTATATTAACAGCATTAGAACCAACATGTGCTACAGCCATAACAAAATCCCTTCTAGCCTGTTGTAATTCTGATAATCTATTTTGTACAGCTGAAGTTTCTAAAGCATCTTGTTCATCAAGAGTATCACTGTTAAATTGATAAAGACCTATATTATTTTGCAATCAAAAACAGGACTTTATAAAATCACCTTATCACTTGAATCGAACGATTTGCTATTTGAGATTCTGCACTTGGTTGTTGTATGCTAATAATGGTGGTACGATTATCGCTTACAACTCCAGGAGGTATCACAATGTTATTAATTGGTCCTGCACCAATTGGATCAGCTTGAACTATATCAGCATTCATCATTTTAGCTAATTCATTAGTTTTTCTAGATACGCCTGGTTCAGGTGTTCTTAATGATCTAGGATCTCTTTTAGGAGTGGTAAATTGACTAGGTCCAGCATCAAATTCTCTTCTAGATGGTGATCCAGCTCTTGGAGTTGTAGGCCTAGCTGCACTTGGACTACGTCTTCTTTCTCTTCCTGGTATTCTTTCTCTACCCATCCTAATTAAAAATGATTTGTGTATGATAGCAAAAATTTCATATTAAAGAAGTCATTGAATTACTCAATTTATTTTTTAAATTTCTTCTAGTTTAAAGACATGAAAAACGGAGTAATACTTGTTATTCATTTAACAAATGTTAGATCATTCATTTCAATCAAATTTAACTGTCGTTGCAACCTGGCATCACCTCCTATTGGTGCAGGTGTTCTCCGAGGTTGTCGACTAGTAGTTAAAGCTTCTTGTTTACGTTCGTATTCTTGTTTGAACTTCTCTGCCTGTTTTACTCTTGCCATCATTGCTTTGGTCATTCCAGGTTTAGTAAAATCTACTTTTTTTGGTTCAGGTCTTAGTACTGTACGTCTTTTAAATGGATCTGCTTGATGTCGTGCCATATCTGCTTGTTTTTTCTCAAAATCTCTTAACATCGCAGCAGATTTTGCTTGACGAAGCTGTTGGGTTTTAGTAAGACCTGTACAGGTCCCAGCTCGTGGAATTCGACTCATATTTTCTTTATGAAGTAACAATAAAGTGTTTTTGATAAATGGATGTTGGAACTATTAAAAAGAAACTATTTTATTTAAAGTTTTAGGCATTTTATTAATAATATTTATCAATAAGTATAAAATACGAATACATAATATGTAATAACCTGTTAAATAATTTCCGTTTACTGATAAATGCTATTTTCATTAATATTTTACAAATAATTTATCAAGTTTCCATATTGGTCGTATTTTGTGAGATTAATAATCCATTACGGTGAAATTAAAATTGTTACATATTCAATAATAACTTCTTTTATAATTCATTAATTACAAAAATTTGTACTGTTAATAAACCTAAAGTCATGCAATTTGGCAGGTGCGATAAAAGTTTTGTTTTTAACAGCATACATCTGTTGAAAAAAAGAGAAGGTTTCGCAAAGTAAATAAGTTATATTTCGGTATTTCGCAAATTGCATAAAATTCATTCGTTTATTAACAACAAATCAATAAGTCTAGTAATAATTAATAATTATTAAACAGATAAATTGTAGTAAATAACAATTGTATTTTTATATAAATGTTTGTTTTGAACAAGTTCAAACGATTGCATCGTAATTTAAATATATCGATATGAGTCGATATGCAGTCGATATGTTACAAACGTAAGTTACTTAAGTCTACACGTATATTGTCTAAAATCATATTAAAATTACGTTTTTTCTTTAATAATGCCAACCAGGGCAGAACGCCCTAATTTAATACCTTTCCAGGATACTCAATACAGTTGGACAGATGATTTACCAGTATGTAAACAATCTGGTAGGTAATAATTTGCACACATAACCTAAAATTGAACCTGCTAACATTACATTTATTTCTACAGGAGTAGGATTTTCTACAAATCAAATATATCGGGAAGATGGATACAGGCAAGAAGAACATCCCTTTGAAGACTGTAGCTTTCATTGTCGATATGATGATTCAACTTTTCTTTATGGAGTATTTGATGGTCATGATGGAACAAAGGTTGCAAATTTTGCTATGCAGCGAATGGCTGCTGAAATTTTACTTGGACAGTTAAATGGTAAATCAACTGATGAAGAAATCAAAGAAGTTCTTAGGTAACAGAGTACAATAATAATAGGATTCAAATTTCATTTAATGAGATACTTTTTATGAAATGAAATTATTATAGACAGGCATTTATAGCTGTTGAAAGAGGATATTTAGATTCTATTGGAGATCTTTTGGCTGAAAGAGCTAGTTTACAGTTTGACATACCAGATGGGTTAAATTCATATGAAACCTATCAGAAATTTCCTCACCTGGTTAGTTGATTTGATATAATAATAATACAATTTCAAAAAGTTATAAATATTATTTATGTGACAATTTCTTTACATAGGTTGATAAATTAAATGCATTGAATTGTGAGTTATCAGCAGGTACTAGTGCAGTTTTAGCTCTTATATACAGAGGAAAATTATATGTTGCAAATGTTGGTGACAGTAGAGCTTTACTGTGTAAAACAGATAGTAATCAAGTTTTAAGGGTTGTGCAGTTGAGTGTAGATCATGACTTAAAGAATGAAGATGAATTACTAAGATTATCTCATTTAGGACTAGATATCGAATCCATAAGGCAAGGTAATTTAACAAAGTATATTCAACTTTTGTAACAAATGTAAGGTGTGAAATATTTAATATTATTTTAAATCAAAGGATCTCATCTGGGAAACCAAGAAAATACACGTTGTCTTGGAAACTATCTTGTTAAAGGAGGATACAGAGAATTTGAAGAACTAGCATCTGCCACAGCTGAACCTGTTATTGCTGAACCAGAAATCCATGGTGGAATAGAGGTTGATGATTCTTGTAAATTTCTATTGCTTATGTCTCGAGGCCTTTATAAATCATTGGAAGAAGTGACTGGAGTTGATCAAGTCAATATAAAATTAATTAATTTTGCAGTTCAAGAGGTATAAAATGATTGAAATATTCATTGATAGTAATTTAACTAATTACATAGTGATATATTTATACTTTTTATACAATGCATTTCAGTTTCAGGTGCAGTCCACTTTGACAGGAGTTGCTCAAGCTGTCGTGGATAAAGTTGTAAGAATTCATCATGATATTAATATGAGTAATTTGCAAAGTACCGTTACTACCGGTAAACGAGATGACATAACTCTTCTCGTACGAAATTTTAACTTCCCACTTCCTCATGCATTGAAAAGTCCAAATAATCCGTCAGTTAGATTTAATCCAGTTGTAGAATCTGCACCGATACCAACGGTGTCGTTGAATGATTATTCGAGTGGAGGTATCACGGAAGAAAATTCTGATATGTCAACTGAATCATCATCTACATCAGATATGTATCCTGGCGCAAGACCAACAAATAGAAATGCTAGAATTAAGCCGTACGTTAATTTTTCAGAATACTATGAAAACGTTGAGAAAAGACGTCAGGAAGGAACGTTACCTGAAGGTATTAATTTTTAGTAAAATATAAATTAATGTCAAGTGTAAAATATATTTATAAATTAAGAAATTATTTGTACATACATAGTGTGTTTATATACGTGGTTTTTAAATAATAATTAAAAACACTGTTCATTTTGTAAATAAAAGAACATTGGATATTGTAATAAATATCATAAGTTTTTGTCGATCATTAAATATTTAAAAATAACGTACAAATTTTATATTTCAATTAAAAAACAAAGTTCAAATTATTGAGACTTAAGACTTCAACGTAATAAAATTTTGATCCGCGAATTATAAATATTTTGTTGGAGTAGTTTTAAGTCTTTCGAACGCAGCTTTTTCAAGGCATTCTCTATGATCAGGGTGGGCAATTTGAATCAATGCGTTTACTCTTTGTCGTAATGTTTTACCAAAAAGTTGTGCTATTCCGTGTTCAGTAACTATATAATGTGCATGTGCTCTTGTTACCACAATGCCACCACCTAGTTAACAAATAATTTAGAATATATTTACCGTCAAAATAATATTCGACAAATTCATTTTAGTTTTAAGAAACGATTTCTCACCGAGAACATTTGATATCTTACCAAGTCTAATTACGGGCTGAATTTTACTTTCTCCCTTACTCGTGACCGAAGGAAATGCAATAATAGCTTTTCCTCGACCATCTGAACCCAGCGCAGCACCTCGAGTGAAATCAAGTTGACCACCAAAACCGGAATACAGTTTACAGCCTAAGCTGTCAGAACATATTTGACCCGTAATATCCATTTCTATACATGAATTAATAGCTGTCATTCTTGGTTGTTGCGATATTACACGAGGGTCATTCACATAATTGATGGTGAGCATTTCTATACAAGTAAAAATGAAATTACTTACAAAATTATGAGAAATATTGCCAAAAATTTAAAAGTTTTAAAAAGTTATGTTGTACACACACCTACAAAAGGATTATTATGTAAAAAGTCATACACCCTTTTGGTTCCAATCGCTAAAGAAGAGACCATACGTCCTCTGTGCTTTGTTTTCATTCTATTTGAAATATTTCCTCGTTCTGCCAGATCTACCATCGTGTCTCCAAGAATTTCCGAGTGTACACCAAGATCTTTATGATTACCAAGATTGCAGAGGACAGCATCAGGAATATTGCCAATACCAAGCTGTAAAGTTGCTCCATCTTCTACCAGTCTTGTTGCTATAAGCTTTCCAATTTCTTGCTCAATTTCATTGGGTTCAGTACTGGCTACACATGGTAAAGGACAATTGTATTTGACTGCCCAATCGATATGGCTAGAATGGATAACTGATTCTCCAAATGATCTTGGCATGTGTTCATTCACTTGAGCTAAGCAGGAAAAATAATATTTGTGAATTATGAGTAACATTTATCATTAAATGTCCATTACTTACCAACGATAACTTTAGCTGTAGTAAGAGCAGCACGCGTGCAGTCCACGCTTACACCTAGAGAACAGAAACCTCTAGCATCTGGTGTGCTGACATGAATTAAGGCGACGTCAGGAACGATTCTTTTTTCATAAAAAAGTTTGGGTACTTCGTGGAGAAATATTGGAATGTAATCCGCTCTTCCATCATTGACAGCATCTCTGAGATTAGCTCCAATATAAAAACTTATAGATCTGAAATTTTCTGAAAAGTAATAATTACTTGATAGTTATAATAGACAATTAGAGTTATATTACAACTCTATATAGAATACTATGTATTATAGAACACTATACTTTCAAACTCAGGACTTGCAAACGGCGCATCTCCTTCAAGGCCCATATGAAGTAAACGAACTCCACGTAAGTTGTTACAAACACCATGTTCAGTCAAAGCACGTATTAATTCATTAGGTGTTGCTGCTCCTCCTTGTATAAAAACTAAATGTTCTAGAAAAATAAATTTAAGGTAATACGAAATCCATTTAACACAAATTATTATATAAGAATTATAGATGAATTTTAATATTGTATTTGAGGCATTTGAAATCACTATAAATACCTGAATTTATAATTTTTACCGCGTCTTCTACGCAAACCCATTTTGGACATCGATTCAAGGGTTGCAGTGGTTCTCGTAAAATAAATCTTACACCAATCTTAAATGGTTTTTTCGGTATAATTTTTGAAAATGTTGACTCTAAATTTCGTCGAAAATTAAACATTTTGTCGAATAATTACAAGGCACATAAAAAACTGTATAAGTAATAAAGATCTAGAAAAATTTGCGGATGCTTGATTGATGGTAAATTATATATATCAAGTACATTCAAATTTGGATGACACATAATCTAAAAGATTTCTTTAGTCTCAATTATCAGTTAACATCAGATCACATTACATTCGTTGCCATCTCCACGATAAGTATTTGAAAGTCGCATTTAGCGGTATTCGATTTTTCAGTTTTTCGATACACGGTACATACGATTTATTTTTAAACCCTATATGCTCTGTTCCAAACAGGTAGACAAATAATCACGACTGAAATATTTATATACATTTAATTTGTAATTTATTGTTTCAAATGCCACGTACTTCCAATCGTTACATTAATTGCATTGTACAGAGGAACGATTTTAAATTTTATATAAAAATTATTCATTGTTATTATACACTGTTTTGGTTATTACTAACAATATTTCAGTTATATTCCTAAAGTTGAATATTGATTAAAACTAAAAGTTTTTTTTTCATTTAACCAATTGTAAATGAGTATTTTTTTATCTGTTTAAAATAAAACCCTCTTCGTTTCAGGGCAAGACGAGATCCTTATTGTACGACATTTAAAATTTGCTTTTCATATTTATCACCTCCTTTTTTGGCAAAAACACGACAGTTACACGAAATCAAAGATATTAGGTTTTTTTTCAACGCAGATCGATGTTTACGCGAAGAATAAAAACAATTATTGCAAAATGCTATTAGAAATATTCTTTTCATATGATTTTATTGAAATGCTTATGGTGCTGGCATAACGTGCAAACGTTCAAATGCTGACTTTTCCAATGTCTCTCTGTGATCAGGATGGGCAACTTGAATTAATTCGTACGCTCGCTGTTGAAGATTTTTACCAAACAAACTAGCAATTCCATGTTCCGTGACTACGTAACGAACAACTGCTCTGTTCGTAACGACACCGGCACCTTCAAATGATAAATGAAAATTAGTATTTCATCAAAATTGTAAGCATAGTATTTTGTTCTCAAAGGATTAAGAACTATATACCTGTCTTTAAGGCGGGCTGAATTTTACTAACGCCTTTGGAAGTAACCGATTGCAGTGCAATAATCGGTTTCCCACAACCATCATCACTAAGTGCTGCACCTGTGATGAAATCTAGTTGTCCTCCAAATCCAGAATACATTTTAGGTCCAATACTGTCAGAACACACCTGTCCAGTAATATCGACTTCTATACAAGAATTGATAGCTGTCATATTTGGTTGTTTTGCTACTATTTTGGGATTGTTAACATAATCCACCATCAGCATTTCTGTAACATTAATTCATTCATTATTTTTCATTGAATACAATCGCACAAATGAAATGGACTCACCGATAAAAGGATTATTGTGCATAAAGTCGTACAACTTTTGAGAGCCAACGCAAAACGAACCAACGATTCTGCCTTTGTGCATTGTTTTACGATTATTCGTAACGCATCCTTTGTGTACGAGATCGACTACGCCGTCGCTAAACATTTCACTATGAATTCCAAGGTCTTTGTGATTACCAAGAAGCGACAGTACCGCGTCCGGTATGCTACCGATACCCATTTGCATAGTAGCTCCATCCGTTACCAAATTCTCAGCGATATATTTACCGATTTGCTGTTCTTCCTTCGATGGCTTTTTTACATCATGAACTGGAAGTGGAACGTGATGCTCCACAGCAAAGTCCAAATGACTTACATGAATGATAGCATCGCCAAACGTTCTTGGCATATGTTTGTTTACCAAGGCTGTAAGCAACAATAAAACAAACCTTTGAAAATCAAGAAGTAACAATGATACTATGTACAAGCATTGATTTGTATATAATATAATAAAAGTGAAACATGTGGAGGTTATGATATATCAAGGTTGGGCTAGGTCGGGTTAGGTTACATTCGGCGTTAGATTATGTTCGGTTAGATCGTGGGTGGTCTATTAAGATAATAAGAATGAACTCGAAAATTTACCTACGATGTATTTAGATTGGCTCGCAGCAGACCGAACACAGTCTACGCTAGTACCGAGTGAACAAAATCCATGTTCATCGGGTGGAGATACATGTATCAGAGAAATGTCTGGTTTGACATGTCCTTCATTGAACACTCGTGGAATCTCGTGTAAGAAAATTGGAATGCAGTCAGCAGTACCTGCCTGAACAGCTTGCCTCACATTGCCTCCAATAAAGAAGCTGATGGACCTGAAATGTTCTGCATACAAAAACATTATAATTCAGAAATGTGTAGCTATTTTTATTTATTTATTATAATGAGATTTTACACGTTATTATAAATCCTCTATATAGTGGAGGCTCTATATAGCTTTTTAAATTGCTAAATTTGAAAAAAAAATTTGCCATAAGACTCGTTTACAAACGCGAGTCCTCTTTATCAGTCTACTATCTAATCAATTTTAATCTACACTTAGTTGCACAATATTAATCATCCCCTCAAAACTTTAATCTGACAAATCCCTTCACCGTCTGTGCCAGAATTCATATGTAGGGAAATTTCTAATAACAGATCCTATCAACGTGTGAAATCTCATTTAAATCGTTCGTTGATAAAGCGTTCAATTAAAATTTTTGCGCCACTTAAAAAAAACCGGCCGATCAATCTATCACGACGATGACGTACTTGCATTTTCTGGTTTTGCAAATGGAGCTGGGCCTTCTAGATGCATATGATACAATCGTACATTTCTGACGTCACATCGCACACCGTAATCTGTCATCGCCCTTAATAATTCAACCGGTGTTGCGGCAGCTCCCTGGACAAACACTTGTTGATCTACAAGATAAAATAATTTTGCATAATGTCATGGTCATCAAAATTTCTCTTAAATTTTTACGGGAAATTTAACGTAAGAGGCGTTAATTAGAAGTACATTTAAAAGAAATGAGCGTATGTATTTATACTTTATATGCTTTATTTTTGTAACTGGGTTAACGACCCTGTGTCTGCTGAGCGAAGGTCAAAGTAATAATCGTTAATCCATTCGGTTGTTTAATATTTAGTCACCTTAGAATAAACAATTCATTCTTTGGCTCAAAGAGGCTCGCGAACCTTGACTTGAACAGTTTCTTCGTTTGGCAAGAAAAGAATACGTTTCGGGCCATTTGAATTGCATAGCAGTAACATGCTTCTTACACGATTACAATTTATTGCTGTGGGCTCCGCAAACTCAAGTGGCGGCCTTGCTGCTAGTGCAGCTAGATGAGTTAGCTCACCCCAGAAAAAATGTTAGTTACGCCAATGAACGTGTATTAAAAAATCTTAAGATGTCATATGAAATTGAATTTACAAGGAAGAATGGAGAGTTTATATCACATTTATATATTATCGAGAGCCTGAAACCAATAATAATCATCACCAAAGATATCCAACCGCATATTTGCATGTTGCGTATGCGTGTCGAGGTCAATGTTTTTCGTGGTGTTCTATATTCGACAATCCTAGCTCAGTAAACAACCGTTTTAATAATAAATTTTTTGATGCGATTTCGATCCATTAGATTACATAATATCCTACTGTTTATAATTGACGTGGCTTCAATTAGCAATTGAAATGATAAGATAATGATACAAAGATTCATCAGTTATAAATCGATTAATAAATAAGCGTATTAGCAACGAAAGTTATTAGTGACGATTAGAACGATTACATATAGAACAATGCTTATTCTGTAAAGTGTACCGCCGTGAAAGACGATATGCTTTATCGTCCTTGACGTTAGCTTTGATTCACTCTTAATCAAATGTTATACTACATTTGCATTAATTTTATAATTGTATATCGACAAAAACATTACGTTGTCGAATCATTTACAAGAATAGATAACGTCATCATCTGTTTACATTTCTTATAATAAAATAATATTATCAACGAATGACTGACATTTCGTATATTTCAGATTTATTCTGTGCTCGAGTTAATTTAAAACGAATAATTAACCCAATTTTAAGAACACGGGAAATTCAATGTGCAATAAAATATTCGATAAAATTAATAATTTTTATTTGTATATAAAATTACACATGTTTATCGGTCTCAAGCAATAATCGATTTTTCAAAGCCAGGATTGAACAAAGATCGTTTCTCCTACTCGATTGTCCGCAATGTAAATATAGCATTCGACTGCATTAATCGAATGCGAGATATGTCTTCATTGATATTTTTTCCTTACTACGATATTCCATTATTCGATTTCAATGTAACTACATCCGACTCTTTTTAAGACAATCATTGGTAATTTGTGTTCATTGAGTACATTATGTATAAAATACATTACGTAATGAATATTGTTTTACTGAATTAAACGTTATTTAAATTCAAGTGTAAATACATTGCATTTTTATTCATATAAGAGAGAAAAAAATCATTCGATTTTAAATAAAAAATGGTGTATAATATCGGTTAGTTATACTATTGTTGAAATTAAAATAGAAAGGCGCCAAAGCCAACATTTATGCAAAAGATCATTACCTACGTTCGATACAGTCAAATCGAATACATTTAATTTAATGCAAAGTTGTTGCCCCACTCGTATCTTTTGCATAATTTACAACTCACAAACTTTATTTGCATATTAAAAAAAAATATAAAAAAATTTTAATTACAATCTATTTACAAACTATTTAATATAAATTTAAGCAGTAGATACTAAATTTTGTTATATGCGTAAATTTGCAAAAATACAGACCATTAACGTCTGATCCTTACTATAGTGATTCTTCGAGGTTAGATGGCAAAAAAGTAGACTTTAAACTAACATGATACTGTCTTTAAAAAAATTAAGTAAATAAGTGTTCAATTTTTCGTGAAATTAAAAACTTTTTGTATCAGTAACATGTATGATATGATCAAAACATATTAATTACCTGAATCTAATTCAGCTTTTTCGATGGCTTCATCGGCGGTTTTGAGCCAACAAGGATTTTTGTCTAATATTGGCATAGCAATTTCATTCACATACGTAAAATACGTTTTTTTTGACGTTTGCAAACAACAAGGACGAGACGTGGTCGTCACTGTTTTAAGACTTTTTGATAGGTTGATCATACATTTAAGAGCCGCCATGGTTCGGATATACTGTATTTTTCTGTCAGTGGAGCACAGTGTCGAGTGGAACGACGATAAAAAAATAGATCTTTGAAAAAAACTAATAAATTATATTTGATAAATGACTAAAAAATGTGTCTGACACCACTGTAAATGAAACGAACGTTTTAAATGCAAATATATCCCCGAACCAGCCGCCACCGTGTCTCACTGCACACTAGCGCCTTCTCGGCGCGAAATTATCGGTAAAAGCAGTACCACTACATAAACAAAACTAAGTTTAGGTCAAGGTTTAGAACGAGCGAGTTGTATTATATTTTGCTTTTAAAAGTGGTTAAATACATATTAAAATTATTATTACAAATATATAATTCGTGATAACAGAGTATTATTGATAATAATTTCCTTTTATTAATGATCCTATAGAAGTAACAACTAGCACAATAAAATAAAATATATAGGAATTCAAGTATATGTAATATTTTTGTGTGAGATTAATTAATAAATATCTGAACATTCTTATTAAATTATTAGAAATAAACTATTTGTATTTAAATAAACCGCGCGTACGACGTATATCTAGATCATTGTAATAACTTATGTTCATATAATGAAATATTACAATTTTTCTATGAATATAATCCTAGTATCTTTTTTTATAGCATAATATTATTTTACCAGCTTATTTTAAAGTAATTCCATTTCAATAAAATGTAAAATGTATCTCTTAGTACAAGCCACGTGATCGCACGTGCCATTATATCTATCCTTGTCGAACAACTGTTGTTCACTATTTTCATCAAATGTACTAAATTCAAAATCATTTAATTCCAATTTTATAAGTTGTAAAGTTCAAACTATCGATAAAAAGATTTAATGGTTATTCGTGTTGACATTTCTAATTAATTTGATTCATTTTGAAGAATATTCTGCTACTTTCTTTAATTTAAATTTAATTTTCGAAGTTGTCCCCACTCTTGCAATCTAGTTTGTCTCTTTCCAACAAAGCGCACCTAGCAGTAGCACCTTTAGCTGTTTGATCGACGTAACGGACCAGGGAAACTGCTTGACAAAATGTATTCGAAAAGTATTGGGGAACGCCAAGCCGTTAAAGAACATGTTTTGGCTGTTTCAAGAGACTTCGTTTCGCAGCCACGACTTAGTAAGTATCTACATTTATTTTATTAAAATATATAAACGTGAATCTAAGAAATCACATATACTTCGTACAAACTGGGCGTAGCAGCGGATCGATTTGCAACTAATCAGCTGATTCAAAGGGTAGTTGTTTTTTAATTGTTTATAATAAACGAAGAAACTTGTTTTAAACGTAATAAATACTTTGAAAGATTAAATTTGTATATTTTAGTAAGTCAATTGTGAGTAGAAGTTTTCATGAAAACATGATAAATCTGTCATGTGACTGTAGACAGAGATACTGATAGACTTATAATTGTTTCTTTCTACATTTATATTATTATTAACATTTGCTATTAAACTTCATGTGTATGACAATGTATGAACTATCTAAGGTCCACTGTCATATATCTGTGACACTGAATATTATATTTTAGTAGTATATATCTAAAGACATCCATTATTTCACATACAATTATGAAAGTTGGGAAGCTGGGATATGAAGTAAAATAAAATTTAAAATAATTTATTGTATATTCATTTTTTGTGACATTGAACATTTGTTTTTACTTTTTTAGCATATAAAACAGTATCAGGTGTAAATGGTCCATTGGTGATATTAGATGAAGTCAAATTTCCAAAGTTTGCAGAAATTGTACAATTAAAACTTGCTGATGGATCTATCAGATCAGGTCAAGTTTTGGAAGTCTCTGGATCTAAAGCAGTGGTTCAAGTATTTGAGGGTACTTCCGGTATTGATGCAAAAAATACTCACTGTGAATTCACTGGTGACATTCTTCGGACTCCTGTGTCTGAAGACATGTTGGGCCGTGTGTTTAACGGTTCTGGAAAACCAATCGATAAAGGTCCCCCAATTCTTGCGGAAGATTTCTTGGACATTGAGGGACAGCCTATTAATCCCTGGTCACGTATCTATCCCGAAGAGATGATCCAAACTGGTATTTCAGCAATTGATGTTATGAATTCTATTGCCCGTGGTCAAAAGATTCCTATTTTCTCTGCTGCTGGTTTACCACATAATGAGGTACATAAATGAAGATAATATATCTGTGTTAATATAAATGATTTCTTAAACTTGTATTTTACAGATTGCTGCACAAATTTGTCGTCAAGCTGGTCTTGTAAAATTGCCTGGAAAATCAGTTTTGGACTCTCATGAGGACAATTTTGCTATTGTATTTGCAGCTATGGGTGTAAATATGGAAACTGCTCGTTTCTTCAAACAAGATTTTGAAGAGAATGGTTCTATGGAAAATGTGTGCCTATTTTTGAATTTAGCCAATGATCCTACCATTGAAAGAATCATTACTCCACGACTTGCTTTAACTGCTGCTGAATTTTTGGCTTATCAATGTGAAAAGCACGTTTTAGTTATACTTACTGACATGTCTTCTTATGCTGAAGCTCTTCGTGAGGTATCAGCTGCTCGTGAAGAGGTACCCGGTCGTCGTGGTTTCCCTGGTTACATGTACACTGATTTGGCAACAATATACGAACGTGCAGGGCGAGTAGAAGGTCGAAATGGTTCTATTACTCAAATTCCAATTCTGACTATGCCAAACGATGATATTACTCATCCTATTCCTGATTTAACTGGATATATTACCGAAGGACAAATTTACGTTGATCGTCAGCTTCATAACAGACAAATTTATCCACCTGTTAATGTACTTCCATCTTTATCTCGACTTATGAAATCTGCTATTGGTGAGGGCATGACGCGAAAAGATCACTCTGATGTATCTAATCAATTGGTATGTAATTTTTTGTTCTGATGATTATTTCCAAAAGTTTATAACATTGTAAAATCATCCATAATTTTGTTTCAGTACGCTTGTTATGCTATTGGAAAAGACGTACAAGCTATGAAGGCTGTTGTTGGTGAGGAAGCCTTAACACCAGATGATTTGTTATACTTAGAATTCCTTTCCAAGTTTGAGAAGAACTTCATTTCTCAAGGAAGTTATGAAAATCGTACCGTCTTCGAATCGTTGGACATCGGTTGGCAACTACTACGTATTTTCCCTAAGGAGATGCTTAAGCGAATTCCTGCTAGCACCCTTGCCGAATTTTATCCAAGAGATTCGCGTCATTAATTTTCTCAATCCTTTAATTCAATTATCTTTTTCATGAATTTATGAGAAAGAATGTAAATGAAATATGGTAAGAATAAAAAGACCTGACCCGTTAAGAACAAAAGTAGGTTGTTTATAGTATGATGAAATTGTAAGTACAAGATCAATAAATGCTTTTTATGTTAATGAAAATTTAAAAGGTAAATCAAAGTATCAAATGGAATTATTTCATGTAATACATGTATAAAAACATTGAATACGAATTGCGTAATGTTGTTTATCAACATTAAAAATATTTGTACAGAACTTATGCTGAAAGGGTCAGTGCCATGTTATACTATTTAAAATTAATCTTGTATGATTAATATAATCTTCATTATAATGTTTTGTTTTGTGCAAATGTTCACTTACAAGTGATTGTGTAAAGTGTAATATATTCTACAGTATTAACATAGAAAGAGAAATACAATTGTAAAATCATATTTTTTGTCCTACATTCCATTATAAAATTTGGTTTCTGAAATGTTACACTATTTCATCTATACAAAAAAAAAATGTTTAATGTTATTTAGTGTTGATGAAACATGTTTACGAACAAGTAATCCTTCAGATAACACTGTTACTTAAAAATTGTAAAAAATAATATACTTGTTTCAAATAAATATGTAAAACATAATTTAAGTATAAACATATATGCATTTCTTCATACTGTTATTGTAATTATAGAATCAAAGGAAAATGCATGATATAAACATAAAATATATGTATATACATTTGAAAAGTTCTTATGCTAAGTCGAAACAAATATATACATGTACATGTTCAATATCCTTTTTTGTTTTGTTTATTATTTTACAAGAGAATAGAATAAGTCAAGAAAACATGATTGTAGTAACATCTTATAAACTATATATGTTCATTCTGTGCAAAACATGTTACATATCTTCACAATCCGTGTATTTTTTTATTACATTAAAATATTAATTCTTATTTAACGGTCAAGTTTTGGCTGCTAACTGATGAACTGCTAATTGAACACGGAGTTCGATGCAAGCATCTTTTTCTTCTATGATACTTCGAATTAGAGTAGTCATTTTTTTCTGAAACAAGGGGATACAATGTACGTATAAATTACGTTAAAAATGAGTGAAATCAGAGATACAGGGATCTAGGAATCTTGTATATAATATGAATTATTAGAGATAACATGTTATATGTACCTCAAGTAATTGATTTTCTTTGACTAATTGAATCATAGCTGTCATTTCTGCTTCATTTGGTGAATGTATCCTATCCTTTGGTTTCTTTTTTTCCGGAACACGTTCGGATAACATTTCCATCAGTCGTTTGATTTCATTTCTTTCCTGATTTATTCTTGACTTTAGTAACGCTTGCATATTCAACAACTCTTCGTATATTAAACTCTCTCTTAATTTGTCTATAGCATTTTCAGGCTCAGGCTCTGTGACTGAAACTAAAATAATATAATTAATATTGTTTGTCATAAAGTAATTCTGATTATGATAATATTCATGATTTATACCATTTTCATTTCTCCTAGATGTATTTTCTTGCTCATTAGATTGTGATGCAACCACAGATGTTTCAGCAGAATCCACAATATCCTTGTCAACAGTATGAGTGTTTCGTTCATTTTGAGCGGTATTTGTACTTGTAGAGTCTTTATTGTTTTCGGAAACGTGTACTTTATTGTTTAGTTTCAATGTCAAAGTAGACGATGCTTGTGTTTCAGGTTTTACATTTTCTGTATCCTCTTCTTCTGTTTTTGTTTTTTGAACATTTAATTCTACTGTAGCTTCATCATTCACTTTAACTTCTTCATCTAAGCTCTTTTGCACAGCACCTTCCATTTTTTGAACTGTTTTATATTTTCTCTATACAGAAGGAAAATGGGACTTTAAAAATTGCTGCATAATTTTGATAAATATTTATGAACTGATAACGTTATAATCTGACCTTCAATTGCGTTATCATACGTTGTACTTCCCATAATTGTTCCTCACGCGATTTAGTCACGAAACCTGCGTTCATTTGCATGTGTATTTGTAAGAGTAAGGATTCTTGTTTAGATAACTCAGCAGCTATACTTTCTACAGTATCTGGAAGATTAACGCTGCCGGCTGAAAGTGGTGGGATATATTTTGTTAAGTGTACATTTGGGAACAAAGCTTTGCAATGAAACAACAAAGCTAATAAGAGTCTATGACTCATTTGCAACACAGGACTCAATGTCATTGAAATTGTTTGAGCATTCATTTTTGTTGTCTTTTCCTGAAATAAAATTTTACATGAAACGAAAATACGTATGTATACTATACTCAAAAATTAACTTTTTGCATACTCGTGCTGTAACATGATCTAAATGTAGTATAACCCACGCAAGAAGAACTTTGTTGCACTCTGGAAGTTGTTGAGTTAGGTGTATCAATTGTGCTTCTCTTTGTGCTACATCTTTTGTGGATGCTGCTTGTTCAAATCGAGATATCATTTCACTGTTCTCTAGCACAGGTTCTGGCAATTCCCTATAACAGCAACATCTTTGCTTCTAACTTTTCCACTTAACAGTTTGTTTAAAAAGTAAAGATTCAAATGACAAACCTAAGGAACAATATTAATAAACTTGTAGCTACTGTGGGTTCAAAATCAGACATATTCACAGCTTCTCTGTAGTTGTACAACTTTTTCAAATACTGAACTTTTGACTTTACTCCTGGAACCTTATATAATCCTTCTATATTCATACCATGCTCTTCCACAAAGTCAATGCAGTCCCTTACAACTAAGGGTAATTCAACACCATCATGACAACGACTTCGTTCCACTGCCAAATGTAGACTAACACCAAATATTGGTTGTTCTTCTATATAGATAATTACAAGAAATTTATTTAGCATACATATAGCTCCAAAATGGATTTATAAAATACTTTACCTCCAATGTCCAAGCCTTCTTCTCCTGTATGCTTTCCTTTCTTACGATCTTTCAATTTCTGTTTAGTTTTATCTTTCTCTTTCTCTTTACGCTTTTCTTTTTCTATGTCTTTCTCATCTTTGTCCTTTTTCTTCTTATCTTTCTCTTTCTCGCCATCCTTTTCTTTGCCCTCTTTTTCTCTAGATTTTTCACGTTTCTCCTTTTTTGATGGAAATTTAAAAGCTTTGGTCTTTTTTGATTTTGAAGGACTTCTGTGAGTTAAATTATATGCTAGTTCAAGTAATAAAGTAGTTGTATATAATATATAAAACAATTTTGTACTATTATAATCTATAATTTATTTATATTCTTTAATCTATGATTTATTTATCACTTCTTTGAATATACAGTACTAAAACTTTTATAATAAAGTATACATTTACTATGGAAATAAGGATTAAAATAATTAATAATATGAGATCATAAATATTTGCAATAAGTTTGTTCTCCATTAGAACAAAATTGTTTTTCTAAAATGTTAGTATGTAAAATACAATCAATGAAATCAATAGAACTAATTTTAGACCAATATGAAGTTTAATTAATACAACAGTGCTAACAATATGTGAAAATTAAAGTTACTTTGTGATGTAATTTTAATTCCAAAAGAAAAAAGATACTTATTTAACTGAATAGCATATAAAAAAAGTGGTATGAATAAAAATAACTGGTTTAAAACAGATGTAACTGTCAGTGGGTAATCAGGCAATTTAAAATAAATGAATAAGGACATAATTTGTAAAAGAATTTGATGTAAATTATTACTTTGTTTCTTGATCTTCGTCAGGGGAACTTTCACCTTCTAAGGTGGCATATCCTCGATCCTTTCGATCTTTCTTTTCCTTCCGTTTACCGCCAAGAAGTTCTTTTTTGGAATGTTTTTCGTGTCCGCCTTCATCACTGACTAAAAATATATGCGCGTATACATTTACCAACAGATTAATTAGATAATAAATACTGTATTTTAAATATACAATTAAAACGTGTCATTGAACAAAAAAGGATCTATGGTGTTTGACTAACTCGTATGACAGATGCATAACCTCATTTATTAAAAAGTCTGTTCCTTCAAAACGATTAATTAATTTGATAAGTAATGATACGTACAGTCACTTTCGTTACTTTTTTTCGCAGATTCTGACGCGTATAATCCTGGAAATTCTTTTTCTACATCCGGACTCTCGAAATCCATTCTCCGTCACTTATGATTGATACCTTAACCAACTTAAAATCTTCATATCGAACTATCGATTGTTACTCTCGAACTTTTTTCTCGAGTGTTCAAAATTTAGGCGCCAATTATTACATTCAAATAAAACACGTTTTTAGCTCATGTCTTTTGCTTCACAAGGAAGCCATGGTTTAAAAACATGACCATCGGTTTCTTTACTAGACATGTAAGTAAAATATGCTTGTTTAAACGATGTTGATGGGAATTTTCCGTACTCCATTGTATTCCACATTAGTCGCGCGTATAAGACACGATGGTTACGAACTTCATTATAGAATATCTGCTTTTTCAATGCGATCTATAAATGAATTAAATGATAATACTGCTGCAATGCAATTTGCATGTCAGTGGTTCATAATCGATATTTCGCAAAATTATCAGAAATCGATTGTATTCAAAATTGTTCCAAAATTTCAAAAAGATTAAGAACCACTGTTTTGTACATTTACGGCGACATACTTTTTCTTTCATTTTCTTTGCACTATCATAAGTTAATTTATGAATTTCATGTTTTTCTAGTTCTATCGGAGGTGGTTTAATTTTAGGCAACCTTTTTGTATCCAGCATGTTCCATGTGAGAGTAGTTTCAGTTACAGATTTGTCTAAAAAAATAGTATATTGTAGCATACGAAAAATACAGTTTACTTACAGTTTACTTACGTTTATCCGCATCACTAAGAGAAAATCCTTTTCTATACATTAACCAATATTGCAACTGTGGCATAAAAAAGCATTCTGGTAATTTTGCAAATAAAAATCCTTCCGATGCCATTTTTTTCAATTCAACCTAATCATGGAAGAATTCAAATATTATTCTAATTACTTTAATTTCAAAGTTATTAAAAATAGATTTTTGTACTTGTACTACGATCATGAAAGGATCTCCTGTATCGAAAATATCGTCTTCAATATTTTCATCAGAAATATCTACATCTTCCATATTGGAATCAGTAGACTCTTTTTGTGACTGAATAATATTTTGGTACTCATATGTTTGAGGATTTGGCGAATATTTTTGACTATTTCCTTCATTTTTAACAGTTCTTGTTTCTTTGCGCGAGCTCTTTATTGCACGTTCAGTAGTTTTCTGTACTGTGCTTAACTTTTTTCTCTTATCTGTATTTTTTAATTCTGACCGCCGTTGTTTCTGACTCATCAATCTACTTCTCATTCCAATGTTACCCCTGCTCTGCATTGATACTAAATCATTATCGTCAGAATCTGGTATACAAGGTTCCTTACAACTATGTCCATCATGTGTATCGTACACTTCTTGAGGAGCATAAATTTGTTTGAATGCTTCTATTACAGCTTCCTGTCTACGTTTTTTATCTGCAAGTAAAATTTCTTCTGGTTTTGGTAATGGCCCAGGAGGTACACTTACAGCTGACCAATGTTTATGTGAACAAACGCATGGTAATTTCTCCTCGCTTGGCTCAGGTGTTTGAATGGGTGTAGACATATGTATGCCACCTACTACTTGTGTGGGTGGTAACTCAGAATAATTTTCAGCGACACCGGTTATACAATACTTAATATCATCTATGTATTCATTTTCTCTTGGAATTCTTTTTACATCTGATATTACTAATTTGGTATTTGCTACTATTGGCTTTGAAATGTCCGTGACATTCTTAAACGGTTCTTTTTTAAGGGATTTCAGTTTCTTTCGACGTTCTTTCCATCTTTGTTTCTCCTCGTTATTTTCTAATATTTTTCTTTCATATTTACATTCGCAAACTGGTCTTATGGTTTGGAGTTTTGGGAGTGGCAAAGGACAGCCTACTTTATTAAATTGAGCACATTTGAGCCAACAAGGCATACTGTCCCGGCATCTTGTAAAATAGTCGATTAATCCTACGTCGTTAACTGCTAATTTCCAACGTTCTTTTGGTGGTTTCGCATTCACGAATTCTTCTCTAATTTTATCAAATTCTTCATTCTTTTGATCTATTGTTGTTTGAATACCGTATGTATCAATAAATTCGTTACATCCACAAGAGTCTTGATTTTTTGGCCCTTCTGATATTTGAGGTCTACTATACCGTTCGATAAATTTAAGACCCCTATCTTTACGTTGTGTAAGGCACATATCATACGGAGATTTATAGAGATCATATTCAGGTACGTATTCGTCGCTCCTACGTGGACTTGGAGGTGGAGTATAATAAATTAGACCATCTATAACTTGCATTTGTTTGTCATCTTCATCTTTCTTTTTCCTGAATAACTTCTTCCCCTCGTCATCTTTTTTTTTATCTAGAACTCCTCCAATATTATACTTTAGTATCTTTTTCTTTGCTCTATTTTCACGGCAAAGACATGGCTTGCCCCCTGGCCGTACTGGTACTGTTTGTGGAGGGTAGTCAGGTTCAGTAAGGTGAACTAAAGTCTTTTTCGTTGGCAGTTTTTGTTCTGATTTTGTTCTCCAACCGCAAGGACCTTTACTCGGTAATTGCTTGTCTGCATCTTCATCAACCTTTGCAGAATCATCTACAGTTTCTGTGTATTCATATTCTGGTTGACATTTTGCTTTAGGTTCTTCTGGAAGATCTACTGGTTTAACATCATAAGGATAAAGATCAGAAGATTTTAACATGCTCTTCAAATTTTCTATCTGATTCCTTCTAAAGATATCAGAATCCTCATGTTGAATAGTTTGTGTATCTTTTCTTTTATCTTGTTTTATAGGCCTTTTCTTTTCACTAAATGATTTAGCTGTTTCTCTTCTAGCAACACTTGGTGGCACAATTGATTTATTACTTAAGCGTTTCGCTTTTTCTACTTTACTTCGTTTGATATTTCCAGAATTACTTAATTTTCTTTCAGATTTTTTTGATTTACTAATTTTTGGACTTTCTAACATTTCCTCTTTTTTTTTAGTTTTAATGTTAAATTTAACACTTGAAGCTTCTTTGACTGCAGTTGGTTTTTCACGTTTGGATTTTAATTTTGGATTCTCAACAGTCGGTTTAGATGATTTCCTTACGTGATTTCCTTTTTTTAAATGTTTAACAGACATAGTTTTAGTACTTATCTTTCTATAATCGTGTTTATCCTTTGTTGGTTTAGCAAGTTTACGGTCTGTCTTTTCATCTAATTTAGCACTCCGTAGTGTTTCTTTAGATGCCTTTTTCATTTCAATTTGAGTTCCTCTCTTGACGGTCGACACTGATTTTTTTTTAACTACTTCCTGACTGCTTTTGGATTTTACGGGTACCGACTTTCTAACAACTTTGGAAGTATCTTTTTTTATATTTGAATCTGAAATAGGTTTCTGCGATACACTTGAAATATATTTGCTTTCACTTAACGTTACTTTAGATTGTACAGGCGTTGCCGGTGGTTTTGGAGAACTGAGCTTTAATAACTCTTTAAAATTTGTTTCTGATTCTTTTTCTGATGGTGCTGTACGAAATACATTCCATGGATCATCGTAACCAGGATAGGTGGGATCCGGAATGAATTTTTTGACCTTTTTTTCCATTACTTGTTTCTTTGCTGCTATTGATTCTGGACTTGTGTAGCATTCCTTCTGCCGTTTCTTTTCTTTTTCTTTCTTAACTGGAGGTTCTTTCATTTTCTCTTCCTCTTCTTCTTCTTCAATTTCCTCTTCGTCTAGATCTTCTTCTCCTGGAATTTCATCTTCGATTTCAATCCTCTTTTGCGGTTTTATCGAGATTCTTTTTCCAAATGGCCCCTCACAGACAGCTCGCCCAGGTCTTGTTCCGCATGGAGGACCCTACAATTATATTATGTTATTATAAAGTGTAATATTATTTAAATTAGATAAACACAAAGCATACTCTTAGTATTTCCTTCCGTAACCTTTCTTCTTCTGCCAATTCTTCTGCAGTTAAAGTATGCACAGCACCCCAAGGACCTCCGCATATACCCATACCATGTTCATCTCCGCACGGTTTAAAATCTGCGATACTATACATTTTTTTCTTGGAAAAATCTTTCTCCTTTTCTTGTTTTGCTCTCTCAGCTCTCTGTCTTTGGTTAATTATTTCTCTCCTAAATGGATTTCTTCTGCATGATTTATCACCAGGATACTTTTTACAAGAATATGCACCAGCTTCGTCGGGTCTGAATTTTTTTCCAAAGCATAAACCATCTTGTTTTGTCCATGGTATATTGTCTTGACTCAACGTTGGAGTTATGTCTTTATTAAATATTTGTTGAATCGCACAAACACATGATGGAACATTTCTAGGTGGTGGAGGTGGTGGACGTTCGACGATTCGACGTGGTACACGTACGACATCTTCTCTAGTACCCGATATAAAGTATTGTGTTTCACCTTCTTCGTTTGTGACACCATTTATAACAAGATTTGAAGTAAGAACATCTTCTGAGGCTATAATTTCTAGCAAATTTGTTGTTGATTCTGGAGGAGTAGGCGCTGGGGAATGCAGTGCCATAGATCCTATGATGTATCTATAAAACACCAAAATATTTTGAAGTTATAAAATATTTAAAAAAGAAGTATAGATTGATTTGATAATTGTTGTTACTTGTTTTTATTATCATCTTCAGTTATTGTATCTATCACAAAATAAGGTGCTTTTGTTTCTTTTGCTTTCAGGTACGATTTTCTAGTTTGTCTACAAGAACAACAACTGTCACACGTAGGTTTTGGAAATACCAGTTTTGTTATAGCTTCTATATCTTTTATCATTTTGTTTGCTTCTCTCTCCACTTTTCGAAATTCTTCATCCACATTTTGTAACCATTCTTGCCAATGTCGAGATAAATTCTTTCTACCGCTCGGATAAATCTTTTTTGGTCCATCTCCTAATTTTAGTACAGCTAAAAACCTTTCATCACTATTAGTTGGCGTTACATTTGCAACACCAGTCATTTCATATGTTATGGGACAAGTTGGTGGATCGTCGGCAGCTCCAGATATTATATAATGCGCATGTTTCTCACCTAGCCAAGATTTTCTATTTGGCCGAGGCGGTTGTAGTACTCCTGAAATATATGTATAAAAGAATGACAATGTAAAAGAGTAACTAATTATGATTTGCTTATGTTTGAGTATTTATTTACCACATAGTTTGTACTGTACTGGTCCTGATTTTTCACAAATTCCATTGATTGTAAAATCAAATAATCTGTTTCCTCCATATAATGGTGGAACATCTAGAGTAGCTACTTTCTCATTATAGCCTGTGTTATTTACTGTATCATCTTCTATGCTTCCTTGTTCCGACTCTTCACTTGTACTATCTATTATACAAATGTAAATAATTACAAATATTAATGTTTAATAATAATGTTTGATAGTAATGTAGTATACCTATACTATCGTTTTCTTCTCTAACTCTTTTAGTTTGTTGCACTGCAGTAGTGTTAATAGGAACATTAACTGACATAACATTTTCTTCCACTATATTAGGATTATTAGCAGAATCATTAATATCATCTGTTTTTACTTTAATTGGAGTACCATACTTCGATTCTGTGTTAGTGGAAGTGTTCACATTTTGTTTTCTTCTCATTAAAACATTAGGCTTTTGCATTTCTTGAGGATCATATTTAAAGACATTGAATTGGCTGTATTCATCATCTCTGGTTTTTTTGTAATTTGTTAGAACACAATCTTTAGGTGGTAATATTACTTTTGGTAATGGTAATAATTGATACTGTTGTTGCCAATATTGTAACTGATTTAAGTAGGATGCCCAATCTGGACGTACAAAGAGATTCTCTTCATAAGGAGAATCCATTTTTTGCCTCGGTGGTGGTACAGATAGTGTAGCTATAATATAATAAAATTTATATAATAAAAATATTTATAAATATTCTATGAATTAATAATGTATTAAATATTACGTTTAGGAGGTAATTCTGGCATTATCACAGGAGGTAATCTTTTGTGTAGTTCTACAACAGTTTCTGGCAAAGTTAAAAATGCAATAGCTGATAAAATTATTCTTTCATTGCAACCATAGAATTCTTCTAAAATTAACAATAACATAAAATTTAGAAAAAATTTGTTTTGTTACAGGAGTTTAAAATATATAAGAAAATACAAACTATATTTTTCTTCTTCAAAATAATTCCCTGTTAATATTTTATAGGTCTCTCTCAAAAATTCTATTACATTACAATTAGTAAATTCTTGTAATTTTTTAAGAACATCTGGTGGAAGAGTAAAAAATGTAGATACAATTCCTATTGACAAAAGTGATCTTTGAGTACGTCCTATCACTGTTTCTTCACAGTCCTGATGCATGAGACATTGTAACATTATTAGATTCTTCATCTATTAATTTAAAAACATTTATTATACTAATGAAAATTTTAGTAATTATTGTGTCACATATAATGTTACTGCTAAGTATTATACTTGTTCAATAGAAAAGTCTTGATACCATCGAGGACATGCATTGGTATCTTCTGCTATTGTATATCGTACTAACAAAAGAAATTGAAAATTTTTTAAATTCTACTACATGAGTTATAAAAATACTGATTAATGGATGCAATTTTTACCCAGTTGCTTCATGTAAGTTTTATCTGTTTCTTGATAATATGTTCTGTGCTTCCGTTCTTCTAACATGTCTTTTACCAGTGGTTTTTCTTTATGTACCATGTTGAATTTTTGCTTTATAAATTTCCAATACTATTGAGAATTCTTTTAAGTATTACATAAGCATTATTTAATATCTTTCTTTTGCTCATATTCTATGTAACAAGTGAACAGTATTTGATATTTCAAAGCATTCATTTATCAGATATGTAGACATCAAAGATTAGTGAAACCATAATTGCAGCCATATTTCAGTAATGGATTAAAAGTACTGATCAAATAATAAATACTGAAAGATTTTATAACCCTGTAATGATCTCCATATTTTCTATTACTTTATTTGTAATAGATTTATGATGGAAGCATTTTACATGTATTTCTTCATGTATGCCGAGATAAAATATTAGACATTCAGTCCAAATGAAGCAGTAATGTAATTAAAGAGTATGTTGTTTTGTTAATTTCATTTAATTTGAGTTTTTGTTATACTTGTAAATTTGTAAAAGTATGTAATTAATGTATAATGTATAGTTCTGTTAATTTAGTATTTACTGGAATGAATATATCAACAGTTATAAGTTCTATAGAGTTTATATACATACTATGAAACATTATTATTTCAGATATAACACATTACTTTTCTTACAAATTGAAATATGTTATATTATAATACATTTTACTTCATTTTTATCAATTGTATAAAGTAGTTGTAAAATTGCTAAAGTTATATTTGACTGTTAAATATAATAAATATTGTTATAATTAATTAACAATATAGTTAAAAGAAATATTTGACATAATATTATTAACTATAATTGAATGAAAAATATACTTATTGTAATAAGTATCAATTTATAAATAATATTCACTAATGTAAAGTAGAAAATTTAAAAATATTATCAGTGTTTTTCTTAGTATACTGCTCGATTCAACTATAACATTAAATATAACTTATATGAATTTAAACATTTGCAGTAATTTTTTTAATTTGTTCATACATCTATTACAATTATAATGTAACTTTTATTAACTTTTATTTAAAATAAAATAACAATGAATATGCCATGATCATGAATCTAAGAAAATGTAGAGATGAAATGTAAGCTTGGATTATAAACGAGGAGAGTGAAGTTAACAAGCCAATCAAAATAACACATGTAATTATGAAAATGATTATAACTAGATGGCGCAAAAATGATACTTTAGTAAGTGAGTAGAATATCTTGTTTTACTAAGTTTCCCCTGAGCATTTTTTGTCTCGAATATATTGCTTGGATGTCGGTGTTTGGTCTTGTGGGGTTGTAACTTGTTATAAAAAGGCAGAAACTTATTACTTACTGTAAAATAATATTAACATAAATTTGTTTTACCAATTTTTGGTAAGTTTGACTTACTTTTAACACTATCGTTTAATCCTTTGGACGAGTATCTTCACTAAATACTTATGATGCCGACAAACGGTGTTGTGGTTAAATTTTTAATTAACGTTTTGTTGATTTAAATATTAGTTTTTATTATGCATTATTAATCTTTGCATTATTTAATTTTGTACACTCAAAAAAGATTGAAATAACTTCGTTAAATTCTGAAATGGATCTTGAATTCAAATATTGATAAAATATGCTATATTTCTAGAATACTTTTGAGTGTTTGTTTCTATGATTAGACATAACATGGTACGTGGTGGTCGTGGTGGAATGATTAGAGGAGGTAGAGGTGGCATGGGACGTGGAATGGGTTTTCCTAGGAAGCAATTTCTTCCACGTCACCCATTTGACTATACATTGTGTGAAGCTGCTTTTCCACGAGTTAAACCAGCTCCAGATGAATCAGATTTCCAAATGGCACTATTGAAGAAGAACACAGACATGTGTCCTACAGCAAAGGAGCAAACTTCTATTTTAAATCTTGTAACTAAGTTACAGACTGTACTTGACAATTTGATTGTTGCTCCAGGCAGTTTTGAAGCTTGTGTAAATATCATTTTTAACCATTTGTGTTATATTTTTCAAAACAGCAAATGTTTAATAATAATTTCTATTTGTAGCAATTGGAAGAAGTAAGGCAAGTTGGTAGTTTCAAGAAAGGAACAATGGTTAAAGGCCACAATATAGCTGACATTGTTGTAATTCTTAAGACATTGCCTACTAAAACTGCAGTAGAAGCACTTGGCACAAAAGTCAATAATGACTTGAAAAGTGTTAATCCAAAGGAAATCTTTCAACTTACTCACACAGAACGTGGCTTTGATATTTCTAACAATGAAGCTACAGTACGTGTCCTTATAACTACTCTACATCAGAATCTACGAAAATTAGAATCTGATCAGCATTTAGATGTGAAAATATGCCAAGGACATCTTGCTGCAATTAGACATTCCCGATGGTTTGAAGAAAATGCTCATCATTCTAGCATAAAAGTATTAATAAGATTACTTAGGGACTTGAGAAGTAGATTTGAAGGTTTAGAGCCATTATCTCCTTGGATGTTGGATTTATTAGTGCACAATGCTATAATGAATAATCCGAGTAGACAAGCACTGCCAATAAATCAAGCATATAAGAGAGTACTTCAATTATTAGCTTCTGGACTCTTCCTTCCTGGATCTGCTGGTAAAACTTAATAATTTTCATTTAAGTCATTGAAAGTAACTTGTACTATATTATATACTGGTTTTGTTTAGGTATATCTGATCCATGTGAAGGTGGTAATATACGTGTACATACAGCTATGACATTAGAACAACAAGACTTGGTGTGTCTCACAGCTCAAACATTATTACGTGTATTGGCTCATGGAGGATATAGACCATTACTTGAGGGTACTAACAAACTTGCTGTAGAGATGAGTGTATGGGTAGGCGGTGTAGTCGCTAGTCCTTTAGATAAAGCATATGAACCTCCAACAGAGCAAGAACAACAAGAAGATATGGAAGAAAGCAATGAAGAAATGATAACTGAGAGTGGTTAAATCCCTGTGTAGCATAGTTGTATTTTATTTTCTGATCTTTTTGTTACGTAAGAAAGCAAAAGATTCTATACTATTTTTTATGATCATAATTAATTTGAAATTTTTATTATTTAATATAAAAGTTAATGTATTCAGTATTACATATGAATTTCAGTGTTGCATCATTTTCTAATAACAATAACATAATCATTAATGTTTATACATAATGTGTGTGTATGTAATATTCAATGAATTACAAAGTATAGTTCAATTTTATATGTGAAATAAAATCTAGATTACATCTATGCATAGTACTTACAATATATTTCAAAGTTCTTATAATGATACCAGAATTCATATGTACAAGAATTCAAGTTTAGTAACTCACGGAATAACAAATCAAGTCTTATATTTTCAGTTCATACACATGGCAGTGTTTAATACGTGAAATAACAAAATTGCAATAAAATTGTTTTTTCTATCCTATCATAAACAAGGATCATTTTCAGGAGTTCTACTTATACGAGCACAATTCACTGATCGGCTGTTAGAACCCGTGCGAACCGCTACTTTAAAAAGTTTTCCTTGTGGCATACAAATGCACACTTTGTACTGTTCTTGGCCGGGTGGATTTTGCAAAAATATCGGAGTAACAGGTATATTTTCAACGTCGATAGCAACGCCTTCTTTCGCGTCAAGAACAATGCTTCCATTGATGCTCTTTAAGAAAATATCAGTATCCGCACTCCAAACAATATCTTTGCTTTCCATGCTTGCACCTTCTGCACCTTGCATAGAAATTTGATCATCAGAATTTACAGTGAGACTTTCGTTCACTGGTGACGTGATTCTGTGAGTCTCCGCAAGCTTCACATCAATTTTTTCTACACCCGATGGTAATCCAAAATTTGGAAAATCAGTAGTAAAGTAAATAGCTCCCGACCTGGGATCTCTAATCTCGAAAGACTCTACGTGTGCTATTGAGGTACCATTTGGTAAAACGGTAACTTTCACGCGTGTTTCATCCTGTGTTCTTTGATTGTTCACGTCTATTTGTATGCCAGCTTCATCGCCAGAGATTTCCATCGATTCGTCGCCATAACTCTGACAAATACCTGATCGCAAACACACCTGCAGATAGACATGTTATCAGCAAAGTGGAAAATATGGTAACGTTACATAGAGTAACACCAAGAAATAAACAAATTTCTATATATACAACTAGTAAATTTTTAATTTTTATATTATCTATCACACTTTGTTATATGTAAACAACTGACCCTATCTAAGTCAGTTTTTCCATAAAACTTCACAAGATTTTCATCAGGTATCATCTCCATCGCCTCCATTCCTTGACTGATCCGCAAGACGGCGATAACAGTTATATTAAGAAAAAGATTACATAGCCCAATTATCGCCAGGATGAAAGTCAAGATCCACAGGCAATAACGTCGTTTTGTCGATTTTTCGTTGGTCGTCGGCATCGTTCGAGAGATGAGCATTGTTCGATTAATGTTTTCAGAACTGGAAGTATTATTATCCAATAATTCATACGAACGTTGTAACTATTTCGACAAACGTACCCCTTGATGAGTGGACCGTCGCTATTGGACAAATTATCTTCAGCTTTGGATATCGAGGGCGAACCAGTACCATTTCCACATTCGTCAAGGATGACCGACATTGAATTAGAGTACTACACGTTAAGTATCCTGTACACTTCTTCCTTTTCGCTACAACAGTTATCAATGTAACGCACTATGATTACGAATCAAACTGCATTGATATTACCTACCTAATAAAATACTGTCCATTTTTACGAGAATGTATCTTTGTGTGTGTTTTTTTATGTGAGTATGTCAGATAGTATGAAATCGTGAGTTACATGTTGAATCTTTCGTTTATCCGTTTACAACAGTAATTACGTGTATAATGTTTTGTTACGGATGTGAAACAATTCTTACCTTGGCCACAATCGGTTCAAGACCGTACAAACGAAAATAGATGGCCACGGTATAGTTGTCTCCACTGAATGAATGCACGAACCGTGTAACGAAAACTATTATATACGTATGATCTGCCGGCTGGCGCTTGCGCGCCCAAAGATCAATGCTGAATATCATCCGAAATTTCTACTTTAAATATATGTATCGAAGGTAGCAATATTCCAAATTCCTTGAAATTTTTTGGATATTTTAACAACCTCTCCAGTCACAAGAATTCATATTTTAATAGATTGTAATTTTAGAATTTTCGAACACTGGGATTCTGGAATTTGGGACCTTGGAACTTGAGGAGTTGTGTGTTGACTTTGAGGTCATATATCAAGGTCATTAAAATTATCAAGATTTTTATAAATAATTATCACTATATTCGTTTGATGGTTGACCTTTGTAAAGATAAAGAATAGTCACATATGCTACCTTCTGTTTACCCTTTATTAGTACATGTTCTCACTTTATTTTCAATTTAACAATAAATGTGCAACGTCATTAATTTTAGTATTCAGGTATCTTAAATAGTAGCTCATTGTACATATCTTTTATTTGGTTTTAATTTTCTTGTGGCCAAATTATACTTTGTATCCATGGGATATAGGTAAAAACACGGGTATATATACCGGGAGAAATACTACCGCAATCTCTTCCTATGCTAGTAATACCAACTAAAGTATGCAAACGGGGATATTTGCTATTTATGACAGCCAGCGGACCACCACTGTCGCCCTGTACAGAAAATTAAATATAAAATTGTACTGTCACAATAATTCTACGACTAATGTCTCTAGAATATAATTACCTGACAAGTGTCTTTTCCAAGTTCACCGGCGCAAATTTGCCATTCGTTCACAATACCATATGGAAGTCTAATGTCCTTAGAATTTTGAAAGAAAGTGACATTGCATTCCGCATGAGGTACCAACTTAAGGCTGACTTGTATTAGGTCATTCGACGGATCTCCAGCTTAAGGAAAATAAGAAACAACTTGAGAAAAATAAAATATAAAAACATTGTCTTTACGTACCCCATTCAAGGAGCCCCCATCCAGTAGCGACTGCTGAAGTATGTTTACCGGTATCCGGAAAAGTATAAGGTAAACACGCAGGTACTACCCACTTGCTGTAAGATACGTTTGTTTCTAATTTCAAAAGTGCAATGTCGTGGTATTCAGGAGGTCTCTTGTACCAAGGGTGTCTTATTCTTTCGACAATTCGAATGTCCTGTGGTTGCGCATCATCGTCTGTCCTATTAAGATTTAAATCGCCCACGCGAACCCACATTGCTTCCCCACTGTAGAATAATTAAAAAGAAATAAAATGAATGCTCTTCAAAATTTTAGCGCTTATTCAAAATTTGATAATCAATTGTAAATTGTATCTTGATTATGATCACCAATCAGAATTTTGTTAGAAAAGTATGGACTATACAAATACTTACAAATCTCTACTAAAAGTACAATGCGCCGCGGTTACAACATATCTTTCAGAAATTAAAGTACCGCCACAAAGCCAAGCAATTTCTCCTGTACTGGAAACGAATCCAACTGCAGCCATGTGCAAAAATGTTCTCGATATAGCTAGCGTTCCACCGACGGCAGGAAAACAAGGGACTTGTCCACCGTCAGGAGTAGGGCACACATTAATTACTTTTCTAAATGCCGCCGCATACTCGTCGCATTCTGAAATGTTTTGTATTGCTTTCAAAATTTATGCAAAGGACACCATGGAACATGGGACATGTTAGATGAGACAGAAAATGTACATACTTTCATTAGCTATATCATAAGCTGACTTATTACGATTTAATTGACTTGCAGAGGGTTTCGGTGTCGTTCTTGTTGGTCGAGCACTGGTCGTTGTTAATCGGTCACTGATTATTGTTGGTCTATTGATAGGACAACATACAATAGGATCAAAATGGGAATATCCGCACACACTACTCGGAGGAGATCCATTTCGCAAATCGTTATAAACTGGTACACATTGTTTCAGAAGCGTGCACACGCCTGGTGATCTGTTAACTGTGCATGATTCACCTGAAAATCACAAAAGATCTATATTTATACCTGTTGCAATAGCCATGTATGTGCTTTATACAATAAAGCGAAAAGAATTGTTTATACCTTCGAATTGTGCTGTAATGAATACTGGACCACTTGAGTGGAGAAGAAAGGATGAAATGAGTGATAATATACCATTGATAGTTATTCGTAACATCATCATTGATCATTGAATCCTTTTGCTTCTATCGCTGCCGACCGCAGCTTCTTTATTCTTTTATGTATCATCGACATGTACCCTGATGACGTATCCCCTCCATCTTCTTCGATTTAAGCGGGAGAAAGAATCTGCGACCATGTATTCTATATTACCTTCACGTATAGAAGATACAAGAATGTATGAACTGGTCAAGCAAGACCATATAAATATTTCTTATTTTCCTTGTATGCAGAAGTACCTGATGTCATTTGATTCTGAATAATTATTTTAATATACCTGTTTTAAATAGTACTGCTGCTAATTATACAGTACTGCACAAATTATATGTCCATTATAAACTTTAAAGTTTTAGTATGTTTGTGTCTGTTAGTGTTTATCTGCTGGAGTGTTCCATCTCGTTTTTTGTTTCTTGAGGATAAGAGAAGTTCTTTGTTATGGAAAATCCAAAGATATTGCGTTGTCTTGTTTTCTGGAAGGATACTTAACTTACAAGGACATGACATATGTTAATGACCATATGTAAGATGACATTCGCTGTAACAGCATTATTTATCAAGAGATGCGATGAATAAATGACGGAAAATATCGAGAAACTATTGCTATGTTACGTTACTTTTTTCAAGAGAAAATTAAACAAGCCCTACACTTTGTAATAATGTTTATTATTACACAAGGTTAATCATATAAAGTACCGAGTTGATTTTGAAATTTAGCGTTCAGACCTTGAATGATAAATTAATATGTAAATTGCATATGTAAAACAGCAACTGACATGAAGATAAGAGACGAATGGTTTCCGTTTTTACTGCAATTTATATTGCGTACATCTAATATATTATACCTGTTGCTGTTTAGGTAAAATTTAGTAAGTCTCATACTCTAAACATTAGTTTTTATTGCAGCCCAAGGCCAATCATATACAGTGCAGTCTTAATTAATTCAGGTTCCTCAATATGCGAGGCTACTTTCAATTATATATTACATGATATTGTTTATTTTGAAATTCACATTACTCTATGAGTAATCATTACTTGTAATTAAGTTGATAATGTAAAATAAATACTTAATTATAAACTAATAGTTTTGATCATTTTTTCACCATTTGTATCAGTTTTTTATTTTAAAATGTCACGATTCTGGCCAAACAATACTTTCTATCCATGATATGTAATTGTAAACACGAGTATATATGCCGGGAGCAGCGCCACCGCAATCTTTTCCAGTACTTGTGATACCGATCAAACTATACATACAGTAGTAATCATTATTCAGTACAACTAATGGTCCACCACTGTCACCCTATGCAAAAAATGAAATATAAAATAGTATTAATCTCATGAGATAATTCTGTAATTAAATGTTCTGAAGTACAATATCATAGTCTACTTGAAAGCGGCTAAAAAAGCAAAAATCTAATATGGTGTGCAGTATTATACCTGACAAGTATCTTTTCCAGAACTACCAGCGCAAAGCTGCCAATCAGCTACAATACCTCTTGGAAGTTTATAGTCCTGACTTGTTGCATAGCTATCGTTGCATTTTTCTTGAGGAATCAACTTAAGGGTAACTTTTAACAGATCATTTGAAGTGTCTCCGGCTAAAGGGAATAAATGCACAGTTAAATAGCATTTCATCATTAATTTGGCTACGTTTATGAAGGTACAAGACTTTTAATAAGTTCTTCATTTACCCCATTCAACGTGACCCCATCCAGTAGCGGTTGCGTTGTTATCTATCCCAGTATCCGGCAAAGAATAAGGTAAACAACAAGGTCTTACCCACTTGTTGAATACTACATTCGTTTTTAATTGCAGAAGAGCAATGTCATGGTATTCAGCAGGTCTTTTGTATAATGGGTGTCTTATTCTTTTGATAATTGGAATGTCCTGTGGTTTGGCATCATCGTCTGTTCTGACGAGATTCAAATCACCCACTCGAACCACAGCAGCTTGGCCACTGTAACATACAATAATGAAATAAGATGAATTTAGACTCCTAAAAGCTCGGCATTCATTGTCACTTCTTTTTTATGCATCATATCTTGTTCTGATTATGAATTATGTTATGAAACAGCTGCGTACAGAATTTGTAAGATAAGTGATCAATGAGCTAATGAACATACGGATTATGAATGACACTTTAATGGAAAGTGTCTCCATTAAATGAAGCTAACAAATATAAATATTTACAAATCTCTATGATAAGTACAATGAGCCGCGGTTAGGACAAATCTTTCTGAAATCAAAGTGCCACCGCAGCTCCATGTAATGCCTCCTTCATCGTTATTGAACCCAACAGCTGCCATGTGTGGATACTCCCGTGCCTCAGCTTTCATTCCACCAACAATAAGCTTGCGAGTTGTGATCGCGCAGACGGATGTATTTTGGGGTTTTCGATTGGCTGCTAACGTCGGCGGATCTACCAACTCGAACACTGCCTTCGAGTATTCCGCACATTCTGAAACAATTAATTTCATGTATTGAAACATTATTAGAAAACCTATCCTCAAAGTAGTAGCCCCCGTAACGATGCAGTGAAGTCGTAACAGTGTGATAATTGGTTACAACTGTTATGTATCAAGCCTGATGTCCTTGTTTTATCTATAAACAACATCGCAAATCCTTCGATAACGTGACGCACGCACAGTTTGGGAATCCCAGCAAACATTACATTAATATTCTATGAAACATTTCTTTATACAGTCTTGATCAAAAGTTTAGATCCTTATACTATAATTTAAGGCTCGATTATAGAATTTCGGGCTTCCAAAATATTCTACGACTTCATCATATCATAACAGAGTATTTCAAGTACTTGATATTGCAATATTATAATATAAAAATTGTAAAATAACATTCGTAGCTTTAACTACAACCTAATATTTGTACAATATTGTATCCAAAAATATATATACTTTCTCTTGCTGTGTTAATCCTATTATCGATCACAAATGTTGTAACAGGCGCAGCGGTTGTTGTCGTTGTAGTTGTTGTTGTTGGTCTTGGTTTTGGTCGTGGTTTATTTGATGGACAGCAAATGATGGGCTCGAACTTTACATACCCACACAGCTTACGAGGGTAAATACCACTTAACAGTGCCTGATGAACTGGTGGACATTGTTCTATATGTGTGCAAACTCCTGGTGAATCATCAACTGTACAAGATTCGCCTGAAAATTACAAACAAAATTAATTCTTTGGTCACAAAGGTCTTGAAAATATTTTTGCGTTGATTGTGGCTCTATAAAACTTTGTAAAGAAGATACAAATATCAAGGCCATAAAAATCTCATAAACCGTTTGGTCATTTGAAGCGCCATTCTGGTCGTAAAACGGGGTACGTGGTCCACTCTACACAAAGACCTAATGCTGATAATATTAATTTTTAACAAAGCTTCAGTTTACCATTTTATTTATTTATAATATTAAAAATTGCCCTATTGTTTTAATTTTTTATTTCACAGAATTAAATTTGTATCGGTGGCCGGTAAATATCGTACATGTGTAAAAACATACTAAAGTTAAGATAAATTATTTATTACAACACTTAAAGAAAGAGTTTAAAATCACTATATTTTTTTAAATAACTATTATCTGATTTATCTAATCGTATCCTCATAAATGATTCAAATAACATAGATTCCATTAATGTCCGATAAGAATATTTGAATGGAGAGAATCTGGTATACCTTCAAATTGTGCAACGCTAAGTGGCGGGCCAATAGTAAGCAAAAGAAACGACAGTGACGATAACACCGCGGACGATGATTGTAACACCATGCTTGCTCGACGAGTCCTTTCGTTACTGTCCACTTCTTACTGCAGCTGTTCTTAGCTGTGTCACCACTTCGCATCTTTTTTCCTCATGTTTTGCGTCCCCTCCATTTTCCTCAATTAAAGTGGGAAGAGGAATCTGAAAGAGGACAAGAAGAACCAATTACGTTTCAGTTTAATAGAACAAAATTCGATTATACATGAATAGGAAGATAAATACCGCTTCTACTTTTATCTATCTTGTTGGAAACTGTAAATAGCTTTAATAGTATTATTGGTATTTGACAAAAAATGTTTCAATGTTATATGCGAATTATTCTCTCGTTAACACTGATATGGAAATACGCGGAATATTCCATGCACAAAGGTGACTCTGTCATCTGATAAGAATTAATTTTTATATTTATTCCTATACCATTGGCTAACTAGAAACAGACCAAGAGGTCTCCCACTTCTTTATTGCAAGAATTGTACCATTTATAAGCTCATGTACTTCACATTAGAAATTCTCAAAGCTGCATACTTCTAAATATCTATTTCCAAATTTGTATAATTTTTAAATTTTTAACAAATTTTATATCTTCATTTACAAACTCTCAAATTTACAAAAACTGGACATGCTTGTTGACTACAATTTATTGGATGATTCATTTCCAACAAATATGTACATTTATAATTAATTAAGTAAATTCCATTCAACTGGATGGTGTATGCAATAAAGTTAGTATATAAAATAGAGATTTTGGCAATACATAAAAGGATTAAGGCGCCGGAAGTCAAAGGTATTCCACATATATTGCATTAGAAAAATATTAACACACTAAATATTTGACATAAGAATTCATTTGTAAGCAGTTAAAAAATATTGCTTATTATTAATGCAACTGTGCGTCAATACTTTTCTAATACATTTTACAAGACTTTTTACAAATAAAAAGAAATAATATTAACGAATTTGATATACATATATATATTTTCTTTCCAATATATATCATTAATATTGAAACATAATTTCTAAAGCCTATCCAGCTTAGTACCTTTCGTTTTACGCACTTCTATTTTGTCGCAATCTTAAAAATAATAAGTTCAACGGCACATAATGATTTCCACTTAAAAATATTTCATTTCCAATTACTATATGTGTATATATACGTATATAACGTGGTATATATACGTATATAACGTGGTATATATACATACATACAATATATATACGCATACAACACGCTAGCATATTTACAATTCGATATTCGACACGTACAAAAAATAAAACACGTTCACTTTATATAACAATGAATTCGCAATTATAATACATAAATTACTAGTTTAAAAAATCATTGATTAAGTAATCAATATTATTGCAATCTATCTAATCTAAGCGCAGGCTTCGTGTTAATAATATACAATAGAAGCAAAAGGAAAATATACATTCCATCTAAAGAAAAGAAAGAAAGATTATAACGCGAAATAACGTCTGATAAGTTGTAAAGAATAGCATATATATGAATATATATATATATATACTCTTATTTTTGGGAAAACTTTTTCGCAAAGCCTCAAACGAACTTTCACGGGTCAACTTAACACAGGATCTACCACAATTCAAGAAGCGAACTTTCGATAGAACTTAGCTTACGTGATTTTGTGACAAAAAGAAAAACGCGTGGAGTATTCTGTTTAAATGTTCATTTCACGTCGTTGAGTTTCATCGAAATTCGGTCTTGCAGCTTATTATGATACTATATATACAACAGTCTGCGTGATCCGCGTTAAGTTATCAGTCTTACAGCTCTCAAAAGGAAATCTACGATTAAATAGGTAAACAGCGCATTCCGCGTGTATATATGTTCATCAATAATCTCGTTTATATATTTAAAATCTGTAGGCATTTAAGAAAACGAATACGCATCACAAACAGATATAGTCTTCGGCACTTAAGGATCAAATTTTTAAGTCTCTCTTGCATAAAGATCCTGTTGTATTGTGCCGGAGACTATACCTTCACACATTAGACCTCACAGAATCATGGCGACAATTGTATCCACGCGATCACCTTATTTTCGTTGCACGAACTTTATTTGAATACCACGAATACTTGTCAGAATGTCGCACAATGACACAAGTCAGAAATTACAGTTTAAAAAAAATTTAAAGTGTACAAATCTACTTTTTACCAGTAAACGGTACAGGCAAGAACAGTTACTTTTGTGCTAATAATTTAAAAATTGTACATTTTCAGTTATGTCATTGTTACAGTAAATGAACGTTATATACATACTTCTTGAAACTTTGAGGCATTTCTGGTACTGAACAATTGACAAGCATATGCAGTGACAGTTTACTTAGCACAATATAAGGCATTCAAATAATTAATCTATTACCTGTTCAAAGTTTTGTATCAGTACTGTCCATTGAGCTACATGATTCTATTAATGAATCAAGGAAAAACTATCTCAGTCAAAAATATTCAACATTACATGTTTACAAATTCCCTCATTTGCAACTTACAAATTACAACATCTTTAAATTTGCAAATTTCTATTTTGGAAACAATGTTGGTCAATAAGAGATGACAATATAAACTAATCAACAAAGCACATAAACTTTCTGAGGACAGTACTGTCACAGGTGCGGCAACGTTTTAAGCGTATACAAGTTTTATCTTAACAAGTTTCATTTGATCCGTACCGGTGAAACGAGTTCTTCGCGTGAAACGAACACAATGCATTTGATTATATTGGACGCAATGTAACACGGAAATATCGCGAGGGCTTGCCGAACTCTATCGGACGAAACGCGAATTAAACCGTTATAACACGCTTTTCTCGGTTCGTTGAACTCGTCGAGACTTATCTGTCGCTATTAATATACATGTATATACATAATATATCGCGCAGTTTATATATGTATATTGTACATATATATATATATATACACATATATGTACAAAGAAAGAAAGAAAGAAAGAAAGAAGAAAGTTCTATTGCACTCTAAAGTGTGACAAGTCGTGTTCACCTAACTTAAATCCCATTTAAATAATTAACATCTACCGTCAGGAGCCAATGATCACATACATGTGCGAATATCTAAATCAATGCATTATCGAAGAACGATTCGTTTTCTTCGATTTTGTATATACATTCAGTCGTTCGAAATATTCTTCCGTAACTAACTACTTTATTAATGGCAATTTAGTGTACAATATCTGGAATGAATCAAGTACAAGATATGGTACAAAAAAAAGTCAGAGACGTCTAGAAAATAATGATAAAAGGATTAGTGTACAGCGAGGAGTAAGTTGAGTTCAATAAGTAGATCATTCTGTCTTGCCTTTGTCTTCACTGGAATTAACAAACGCTGGATTATTATATATGAATAAAGAAAACGTCGAACCTTGTTTATGTACAAAAAATACATTGTCAACAACTAAAAAAAACAAATGACAGATAAAATAGAAAAGATGCATGTACGTATCTTTCTAGGTCATTAACTGACAGCCTATTTGCCGAAGATGTCCGTTTACAACAATACAGGAACAGGTGCATACTAATGGAGTGATCAATTAAAAAATAGTGTTAAGTACAAAGTCAATTTATCGTCGATCTTTGGGCACGGTTAGATCTGCAAACATATTTGACATTCCCTGTTCTTCTTTTATTCTGGTTGTCCTCCTATAAATTACTAACTCCATTTGTGTTATTAAACATTTTCCAACAAAGTCACCGACTCTCTAGGAATCGTTTACAACTGCAAAGTTCATAAGGACGAATGCGGAAGAAAGACGGTACATCTGACGCGGTATGAAAAGTGAAACAAAACCTAAGAGAGTCACATGACTCCGAACAAAAAATGACGAAGAGAATTACAACGACGTTAAGAAAAAGAGCAGGAAGATCTGTTCAAAATGTCCAGTGAATAGTTGAACTTGTACAGTTTACACAGAGGGCATCAAGAACGAAGAGGCTGCTCTCCTTCCTGCGAGGCTGGTGACACCAGGCAAAATCAACTTAAAAGACATCCAAAGCTGGACTATGCGACCGGCTTTAAAGTAGTAGCAGTAGCAGTCAGTATTCCAGTGGTTTCCAGTTTCAGAAGGATCCCTAATTGCACCCGTTTATTCTATAATTCGACGCCCTCCCTCCTCTCGTCATCGTGTTCATTCCGGGCAGTCCTTCGAGATAACCATCCTTCGAGATAACCATCCTTCGAGATAACCGTCATCATCACACACCAACGTCCCTGCAACGAAAATCTCGTTTCCTGAATGTTTGTTTTTCGTTAATGCAATATTTAGGGCAAGAAAAGCCAAAGGAGGGAGGCTCATATATTTTGTACGCACGAACCAGTCGTATTTAAAGTATTCTACGATGGCATGCACATTCCATCATGCGTTGATAATAATAATAACAATAATAATAATTAATAGTTTAACTTTTGTACTTCTTGGGGAAACAGTACAGAAAATAAAGCAAGAGAAAGTGAATCGAATTTCATAGTCGGGGTGCAGCGGAAAAATTCTGTCGATAAAAATTCAAGATTCAATAATAAATAATTTGTGGCCTTTTTGTCATGGTACACGTGTCAACTGTCTAAAAATAAATTTTCAATTATGCTCTCTGTTTTGAATCCATGATTACGATACGTTTGATAAATGCTATTTTTGGCACGTCCATGGAACATCTGATTACAAATTAATGGTGTCACGATACGAGCACGACGTTAAGTCATCCATAAAATGGAGGTTGAAATATGTGTTACGAAACTTGCGGGAAAAGATTATGTACACATGAATATCGACGCGTCTAATCGTTGGCTAATTTGTCGTACAAAAGGCGAGACACGCGAGCAGATTATTCATGTAACTGCGACGAGTAAATGGAACACTTCTTGACCTGGATCACGCGTTTAGAGAAACACCATATTTAACTTTCAAGTTTTACAATTTTCTGACTTTCTGACTCTTAGACCATTAGCTTTTCAAACTTTCAAAATTACAAGCTTTCAGAATTACAGATTTTAAAACTTAGAAATTCGGACACATAAAAATTGTCAAGTTTCCTTATAAGTTTGGAATTTTCAAATATGCAAACGCGTGGTAATATAAACCGTAACAATGTAACGTGTACTTTAGATTTTATCTTGATAACAGATACCAATTTATCGGACGATAACAACCAATACGGGATTAATCCAAATGTAATAACGTTGTGTAACTTTAATCTCTTCACAGTACTATCGTGAATTGGTTGAGAATAAAGAGACAGAAGTTAGCACTGGTCAAATAACAAAATAATCCCCGCATCGGAAGGTAACAGTCCTTTCTTTCTTCTTCTTTGATAATTATATCTATACATAACGGTCATAGCTACGGTATTGTGTTCATGGAAACTATTCTTATAACTGCCCTGTAAGCGGTTAAGTTCACATGTCTTAATGCAATAGTAGGAACTCCCACAAAAATTTATTATCGTTGACTGTCAATATGAAAATATGGCACAACCCATTATAACAATATTACTGATCATTTCATATTATAATTAAATTCTTAAAACATAGATTCCCACGACAGTCAACGAGTTATTAACAATGAATTGCAGATGACGTTGTGTCTGAAACCGCTCGCAAGCATCACTTTTCATTCTCATAATTCCTTCGGTTCCTGATACTGCGTTACCTCGCGTTGATAATCCAAAGACCATGCCCAAAAAATAAAACCATTTAAAAGAATTCGTATAAGTTCGTACACCGTTGGAAAAATTGAAAGAAGCAACAGAGAGAAAAAAAAAGAAAAGAAGAGAAGAGTTAGAAGAAAGAAAAGAAAGGATAAGAATTAGGGGAACGGGCGAGACCAGCGAGATTTGGTCAACTTTTAAGGTGGAAACTTATCTTGATGGACATCCTCGGCTGTGGCAGCCAAGTTCCAGGAAAGAGGAAGAGGAGGAGAAGGAAGACGACGATCGAGAAGAAGACGCATGACGATATCTTCGATTTGGTAGAGCTTAGGGAAGCTTTGGAATTAGAATCCATCCAGACTGATATTAAATAACGCTCGGCGAAATCTTGTGTTGCACGGCTTGTCTGTATGCGTTGATATCTGCACGTTGCAATCTGAAACAAGAGAAACAAGAGCTGTAGCAGTTGTTCGCTTCATAATGAATTGTTTAACGAGCTAAATAGCGTGAAGGACGCGTCACGGTTCGCTATAACATTTGACGGTCATTAATTCAAAAACGTATACGAGTCTTTCAAGGGCTGATCACCCTGATACACATACACACAAGAGTCTTAAAAGCTGTTGATTTTGATCGTCGAGAATTATTTTGTTTTGGTGCATCTTGTCGCGTATAAAAAAATCTGAATATTTATATTTATATACATTTTTAGACTTTCATTTTTTATCGTTCCCTTTTTTACATTTTGTTTACTCACTGTCACGCGAGAATTTTGTTTATCAATAACGCAATTAAAAGCATGTTATCGCATTCATAAAATTACGTTTTTATCGGTAATTCTCACGTAATCTGGTATGTTGTAAATTCGTAATTAATTAATTTCTTTTTATAGACAGACCAACAATTATGATGTACGTTCGTGTACGAACGACAAACTTTAAAAGAGAATTTCTAATGCACGGAAATCAATAGTTTCGATACTATGAATACAGGGCTAACAACTCGGTCGCACAGGGGAGTCGACGATATCCAGTCAGCCCACACGTCTAGACATCTTAAAGTTTTTACAGAGCTCTCAAGGCGTGGTATGGCATGACTGCAACGCACCACAAGACATATATGATCTTGTACTACCACTTTTTAACCACGCCTCAACCGGTATACACAAGTGTGTACAGATATTCATACATTGTAGTTTCGTGAACTGCATCTCTATATGCAAATTCCAAACATTTCTTGTGGAACATAGTCTAATCTAGAAAAGAAAGTGTTAGTTTAAATTCAATTAAAATATAAATAGTTATATAAGTAGTACAATAATTATTTAAAAAAAAGGAATATATGGAATCTTAGAATTAATCCACAAGAGATATAATAAGTAATAGTCTTAGTCCACGAGAACTATGTTGAAAAATTTATTAATCTACCACCTGCTGTAGTATCTGAATATATATATAGGTTTAACTATATCGGAAAGTAGGTTAATGTGCGCAGTCTAGATTTTGTAAGTTTGCCGATTCAACTCGATTGCCATCGTTTTATTTACGATTCCATACAGAAACGTGGTAGTGAATCAGACGTTTTCGACAATGTACGAAACTACTTTATATTAACCTGCACGCACATGGCGTTCACATTTGTCAGTCGACTGGCAGTAGGCCAAGGATTCGCGAACTTATTCTTTTGACCATGAAATCATTCGTGATCTATAAAATCAAGGCGTTCTTAAATTATCTCCGTGATTTGAAATATTTAAGGCGATACATGTATGGACACGTGTTAGGTCCTATGAATCAACTTTATATAGAATGCATATTGTATACAATGTACATATTCGTCTGATGACAAAAGTAGTACAGTTTTTTTATGGTTAGCTTTTCTGACAGACTGCAACTTCTTGATAAGATTGCGTATATGTCTCATTGAATCTGTGTGACCTGAAAGAAGTTCATTCGCACCCGGCGAAGGCAAGTGACTAGTGGAATGTAAAGGTGCCTACTGTTAACTTACATTTCCCAATAAAGTCATTTAAATAGATGATAACAATTTGAAACATTTTCCTCTTCAGATAGTTAAACATTCTCTCTAAAAGCAGAACGTAAAAGATAATGAGATGTACAAGTGAGAGTACTCTAAAAATATTTTACAAAATATTCAGTCTATAGCACTTCTCAATTTTGAATCGTTTTGTGTATCCTCTTTTATACCCGCAGTGCGAATGAAGTTAACGAACGAAAAAGAAGAAATAAACGTATCGTGTCACGCGTGGTAACAACCTTTAGTTAAGGCGATTAGAGTTAGGCGACTCGCCGATCGCGACTGTTATCGTCGCACCACGGCAGATTGTTATTTATAGAGAGAAAGTTTAAGCGTACCGCGTGCTCTTGCGAAGAGAAACGATGGCAGCGTGAAAATCTTCGCAAATTAATTTGGGAAAAAAGCAGATATGAAACGGTATTATAAATTACAAAAAATTATCATAGGTATAATTAATATTGCGAAGATCAATCTTAGTACGATAAAGCGTGGCTTTGCGTGTGGGCGATCTAACGCCCTCAACGTACAAACACGTGTAAGTAATAGTAAAATAGCGAGCATAAAATTAGAACGATAAAAATTGTCCATTGATTTGAACGTCAACTTACCATAAATGTAACGCGACCAATGCCTCCATTCCCGTATGTTCCGCGCTATCGACCTCCAATTATATCCTTCCTCGCAAGCATGTCCTTATACGAATTGAACTCGATCACGATCCATTGCTTCCCTTCTTTCGTCAATGTTCTCTTCTCCATTCCCCTATTCCTGGTGTCCGATTGCGACACAAGTTTCAAATCGTTTTCCGTGTGCCATGTGATGCAGTGACAACACCTCGTCCCGCGTGATCTACGCCTCGCTGATTAACCAAGTAAACTGGAAGAATTCGTACGACTCCGTACATCGTTTGAGGAAGATTCTTGGTGATTCACCAGTATGGGGTGTCGTTCGTAAGATGCTGCCAGGAAGCGAATTCGCTCCACGTGCGCATATTCGCCCTCGTCGCGTCTGTGATTCGAGTTATGTTGTCTCGAGCGCCGTTACTCGAGAATCCATCGCAGGAAGTCGTCAGGATATCGTACCTCTTGGGAGGTGCTCGAGGCTGTAATACAGAAATATTTAAGCATAAGAAACACTTAACGAAGCAATTTGTGTTGTCAAATCGAAGAGAGAGGAAAAGTGAAATGTACAAGGAGCCTCTACCATACACGGCACTGCTCCAGGGTATTTTAAGACCTTGAGTCTTAACCCTGGATTTGTGAGGTGTTGACCAATAATACGTCCTTCTACAGCTCAACCAACTTTCAGTGACCTCCTGTAGGCTTGGACAAGGATATAGATAGGAAGAGACACAACTCATTAAAAAAAATATCTAAATTACCTCCAGCTTTTTGCGAACGATATAGTTCTTCCCATCGTTGTTATCCCAATATTCCTTCCCATCGGTACGATACCGTACGCAGAACTCTACCACGTTCGATGCGAGTGGTAGAGTTAACCGGAAACGGAAAGTGTCGTACAGGATTAAAGCTGGAGCGCCAGGTTGTTCAACGTAGGTGCAATGTACGTCCTCGTGGGTTTTCCAAGAGTCGTTGCTAGCTCTGACTACGACTTCCTTGTCGTACGCCAGATTTCGTACCTTGACCGTGCCTACTAGACACTGTTCCGATTCCTTTATTATCACATTCTCCAAACTAACATTCTCCTGGTCCAGTTTTCGACGAAAGGCAAGATAATCGCTGGCTGGTTGAGGAAACGTCACTTGCCATGGTGACATAAGCTCGCTGGGTTCGTCGTTTTCTATCTTAGAATTAAGTAGACGGCCGGTTAGTCCGGATAGGTATGCCGTACTCCAAAGGGGTGGTACGTTGCTGGGTTCTGACATGACGCGGACCTATTGGAAGAAAGTATAATAATTAGGATTTTTGAATCAGTAGATTTTGTTAATAAGCAAGTATGGATATTATAAATTGAAACAAAATTAGGATTTAGAAATTGAACAGTGTCGAAATTTCCAATATTGCACCCTAGCAAGTTGTAAACGCTAGTATTCATGCAAATGTTCCGAGTAATGACAGAAGAACAAGCTGTGTATTATAAACGGAACAGGTATTAACCTCGCATAATCGGTATTACAGGACAAATACCTGAGTAAGAGGGCGACCACGGTCGTCAGCAAACACCACCTTCTTTTTCTGCTTATTATTGCCATCGTTGCTGTTTCGCAGACTGTCGATAGCCAGAGAACCGGACGAAAGGCATGGCCGTATCCTGGGTGGCACCGACCTGCTGGTAATCGGTGGTGCTGTTACGACCAGGGGACTGTACAAAAGCGGGCTGTAAACCGGAGGACTATGCCCCAGGAGCAGCTCGGCAGGCATCGCTATGGAACACATTTATATCTGAAACAAAAAAAAATATTTCAATTATTGTATTATAGTCGTCATACAATATATTCAATCATTACTTCATTTTGAACAATTTTTATTATGTTGGATTAAGAGAATATGTTAAGTTATTTCTCAAACTTTCTTAACTGGTTTCTTGTGCTCTTGAGAGGACTCAATTTCACTTTGCACTTTCGATAGTTAATGCTTGCAAAATTGGAATTTTGAGCAGTCTAGCGACAAACTTTTAATAGTCAGGAACGTGCGTCGATGTTTGCCAAAAATTTCGTCAGCAGAATGAGATCACGTTGGATCACGTGAATCATTGTAATGCGACTACCCAAAATTGACTACGGTCATGCTGACAAATATTTGCTTACGTTGAAAAGCTACCGAAATCTCTCCGAACCCACTCATAACTCTTATCTTGTGGAATATAAACTAAACAAGTCAACTTCTTCCTCAAGAAAAAGTTATGGAAGCGTTTGTAGATATCTATAATATTCATCTACATTTACATTGCATATGCTGTATAAATAAATATAATAATTTTGAATATTTATATCTAAAACTTCTGTTCAAAGTAACCTACAGTTACCTATTTAACCAACAGTGAATATTGCTTATACCTGAAAAGTATTCCCAACACTATAGAGTCTGCCTCCAGACCCTTAATAAAGCTAACTGTTATGCTAATGAATCATTGGAAATACTTTCCTGCTGCACTTAAACCCAACCTATCAATCTGGACAACCAAATACCTAGCCAGCTATCTCCTTTTATCAATTTTATGTGCATGCATTAGGGTTTGGGAGAAATGAACCGGGATCGGGCGAAAGGCAGATATTTTCCACTACACAGACGCAGGTATTCCTAGAAAAAATAGTGACACAGATTTGTACTTTAAAAATAATTTAAAAAAGTGAAGCTAAGTACCTGGTTGCTAATTTTTCTTATCGAGTATTTTATACTATTTTACTACGGTAAAATGTTTTGCGCGTTAGAATAGGTGTACAGTGGTCATGTTACTCCAGGAGTGGAATTACGACTTTTAAATGTGGCAATAGTCTCTTCTCTCGTGTCTTGACTTGCTCGCAAACCAGACTCTACGTCTACCAGACCGGAACGAAGTACGTATGCACCACTAAGAATCAACCGGTATCACAAAGTCGGATGTTTCGAGTTTCAGCTATTTAAACGTGCATTATCCTGAACTGTTCCTTGTTTCCCTTATTTGCCGATGTAAATGACAATAACATCAGTAGGGGTTATCGTGTTTCTATAAGAATTAAATAAGTAAATAAACAATTATTTTATCAGCTTGTTTTCATAAACAAATTTACAATCTTCTCTTGTTTACCTCCAAACATCATTCCATTAACGACATCACGTGTTTATGTCATCTTCATCGAGTTACCGATCGTTAATAATGTGTGATCGTTTTATAATAACTGATTACAAATATTCATGTGCAATTAGTAATGTTAAAGGAAAGACATTTCAAAAAAGAAACTAAGTAAATATTACGCATAACGTTGTATGTCATGAATAACAAAAGGTTGAGGTCAAAATCGCTGCTCATTGTTTATCATTACGAGAATGGATTACCAGGGTCAAGCAGGAAAAAAAATTACAGGAAAAAAAGAGAGCAAGATTATCGTATTTTCTGCACAGTTTTCAACAGCACTCTCGACATATATTTGAAGACACTCCTGTCATTTTCAATTTTTACGCGGCTTCTTTATTTATATCGACGCAAAACGATACGTCTCGTTAACTTCTGAACCCGAAGACAATAACATTCTTAACGTCCTGGAACGAAAATTTTCAGTTATCATTCTTTTTCGAACTTCAAGTTCTTGCATAATTATTGTTTTGCAACCGATAAATGATTAATTTTAATGAGGAAAAAAAGACAAAGATTCGACGAGTAAAATTATCCGTGATTACGTAGAAAAGAGTGTAAACAATGCAAGTGATTACAATGGCGAGCCCATTAGGATAATAAAGAGAAAATGGCTACGTATGTCAGAAGAAAAGCTCAACAGCTTCGGTTAATAAATCTTCAATTCGGGAATCTAAAAATTTTAAATTTTAAACATTTGAAAATGTTTAAATTTATTTATTGGCTCACCCAAAATAAAATAATAGTAATGACAGTTTCCTTCCTCCTACTGTCATCCTTAGAGAGAAAAAATCCTTGTACCCATAATGCATCATTGTATCAATCACCCTTTACGAGGTTAGGTTAACAATTAGATCGGTAATTTTCCACACCAGACATTGCGATCTACGATATTGACGTGCCGAAATCATTGTATTCATTCCAGATTTTTCAAGAAAAATCTAAGCTTGATAAAAGTTTAAAGTTCAAATTTGTAATAGACCAAATAGATGCGTTGTGACTAGAAGTGTTTACCAAATTTGAAATGTCTCGGAATTACGCAACGGTATTACGATCGATCAATCGATACGTTAAAATCCTCGAATTAATTCGATATCAAAAAGTAAATAAAATAAATCATACCTGTATCAAAAGTAATTAACAACGATTATATTCCACTTTTGGTCTACTTGACATAAGACACGTTTCTGTTGCGACAACATCGATATCAAATTTTTCGACGTAAAAATCATTATTTTTGCTGATAAACTTGTTCATGTTGTGTCCTCGATATATCGAGGCGCCATCGCTCTCGTTTACAAAATCGACCAGCAAAAAGTCGCGAACTTGACGTAAACTGTTTTTTGGGTTTAAAAGAAACTCGTAAGAAATAAAACTTGTCGAGCGATCGATACATTATTTCATTTAACAAAAACGCACTGTTGTGTTATAATCGACGTGTAAAGGGCAGTGTCAATAATCGTGACAAATGATTGTGCGTCTGAACCGCTGAACTGGGAAAATTATTGCGCGAGAAATTTGTCGACTTACGTAAAGGTCATATAAAATAACTTTTGTACTTGTTTGTTTACGAAATATCATATAAAGAGCAGAAACTAAGAAAAAAGAAGTGTAGATAATGGTAAACTCGTTTGTTCTAAAAGGATATTAATTGATAGGAAATAGGCACGTGAATGATTATTTACCACAGCTGAGACGGTGCATTCTTTCGTCATGATATTTCATCATTCGTCCTGGGAGTCGATATAATGGTCGTCGCGAATTATAATATGTGCGTGCGACCAAAATAAAACCGCGAGACTAGAAATGCTGCTATCGATTATCGACACACTATCGATATGTTATTGATATTTAACGACATAGCGATAACATCGTTGCGATATTCGATCTTTTTTAAGTTACTGTCGTATCAACGTTATCGACCGATATTATTAATATATTTAGTAATTGGACATTGAAAGAGTTATCGAAGCGGTCAAAAGTGAATCGCAAACAAGTTTTGGCGCCCTCTTCGTCATAGAAAAAGTATATACGTATATACGTATGTTCATGTTCCGTGACTGGTGAGAGGGAAAATTGCGCATCGTTAGGCTATTTCGAATCTTACGACTTAAATTTAGCGCGATACATCTTCTAAATGCTGTATACACCGAGATGCGTTACGCCCTTGGAACTAATCCAATTATTTGACTTCTAGGGTACACACGAATCTCTACATCGAACATTGAAAGGCCAGCGTGGAATCGTTCACATTTTTGAAGAAACTGAAAGACATTTCTCTGTTGACTTTGAAATCGGTTTATCGACCTGCGAGTGCATGGTAAATAACGAGCTACTAAAACGAATCGTAAAACTGCGTGAGATTGGGCACGAGACAACACACGTGTGTCTACAAATCGATGCACGGCCTGCAGCGTCTAGTCACCGGCTCTCTGACGGCTTAAAATAACCGTCTGGCCGATCGAAAGGTAACTTGATCCTCGTTTGACTTTTTCCCAACCATGCTGTATTTATTTAGTATCATATATATATATATTCAGTTCCCCGCCGAAACATTCGTGTACAAATGGATATTGCGCGTTAACATTATGCGTTCGGCGTTCGACCATTAAGGATTCACTGCGCATGCGCAGTCCTCATCTAAGGACATAGGACACAAGAAATATGGAAGCTTAAAAGTTTAATGTTCCCGATTTCCTAAAATTTATCGTCCGAAAATAATTATGTAATAATTAGGTCTCCTCTTTCCTCTATGCTGACATCTTTCTTAAGGAAGCCGTCAATGTACATCGAATATTGTTTATCTGCTTGTTATCTAATAAGTGTTACAGCTACAAGTAAGTAACGCATTTCAATACAATCGTTTCAATTATAATGAAATTCACTTCTATCGTAGTTAATTACTATCAACCGTCACTGATAACAAGAGGTCACAGGTTATTAGGAGTCATGCATGGAATTAAACTACGATTAACCCGATAAAGCCAGAAAATATACGAGTCCTTGACTTATCGTAGATGACAGGAATTTCGCAAAATGGACAAGCCGGAAACATTAATAACTGATAATACCATGAACGATAAACTTCTACAGGATAATTAATTAACATTTAATTAATTAACAGATTGTCGTACGATACAAGAAACGCTTATAATTTCGTGAAATATGTACACGATATAAAAGGACTTAAAAAATATGGACATCTTTGATATTTTTAACGTTGAAACAACGAATCGGGAGACACTGGAAGGACAATGTGCGATTCCTCTTTATCAGCTTGCAACGAGCCAGTGTTCGTCAGATAAAGAACGATTGGTATTAATTTGGGTCAATTTCGATATATTTATTTTTTCTTCGTTAATTAAGTATTTCACTCATCCATTGTGCAAACTTACAACATGACACGTGACAGAAATTACTTAGGATAGCGAATAAAAAGATTGAAATAAAAATAATCAATATTCGAATAATGTCCAACTGATGAAAAACATATTAATAATGTCATCATCCATTACGTTAACCAAATAATACACCGATAACAGCAAAATAACAGTGTAGTTCTGTCGATGAAACTTGTTATTCGGCATTTTTCATTTTGGTTTTTTAACAATGCAACGATATCAATTATGTAAATAATTTTATTATACAACTATCCATAATACGTCTCGGTGCACGTAAAAATGATAACAAAGAAACGGAAGTGGGGGTGTATCGTTTTGACCACGAGACTCAAATGGCTCGACGAATGACTCGTTGAAACCTTTGAGCATGCCTGACCTACGATAACGACCATTACCATATATTACTGGTAGTGAACTGTAAAGAACGATTATTTTTGTCGATGCGTTAATTTTCGCTATCTTGTTTTATCGGTTATTACTTAACACTAGGCAAATTGAGGTCTTCCTATCAACACGATTGTGTTTTTCGTTTATCAGAATATTTTCTTTGCAGAGAACAGTCACGTTTTCACAGAAATTCCACTGCCATTGTTTACTCTGAAAGATTCTACCAAAGAAATCCTGTCAATCAGTTTACACATGCGTGACGTAGAAAGAAGAACATCAATTTGTGTAAGTAAGCATGAAGACTCGGTGCAGAAACCTGTTCGCAAAATTTAAATATCTTCTTTTTATAGCACGACTGTCGCGTCGTGACAACTGTGAACCATTAAAGAACAGCCTTGAGAAATATGTGCTAATCTCATTCATCCTTGAACGGCTGTTTATTAGGACAAATGCGTAATAAATTATTATCTGATTCTGTAGCGCGAAACAGGAAGAATAGGATTGTTACAGAGTGGGGAGGTCAGTACTTAACTTTTTGCGTTACACAATACAAATTCTAACTCTTTTGCCTGGAATTTTGAAAATATAGGAATTTGGAAGCTTGGAAACCCAGCAAATTGAATGTATAAGATAGCAGAAGCAAAATGTGAAATTATGTAGAATAACTTTTTATTCAGGAACTGAAGCACTTGATCATGACTTTAAGGACTGAAGAGCTTACATGAAAAGACTTTTGCTGTATTAAAAGACAAGAAAAAAAATAGACAAAGTAAGTTATACCACAAGTAAATAGGATCGACTAAGAATATATTTATTAAAGTTAAAGTGTTACAGCAAGAGATATTCAGTCACAAGGAATATGTAAGAAGAAAAGGTAAACAGGATACATGAAATGAAACTCTTTTGTAGCGAGAAAACGAAGAGCGCTATTCAAGTTATGAAAAGCTTTGGCACAATTCCTCCGGTCATCTAAAAGCTGACTACACGACTAGAATAATCGGGAGAACCGTACAACTTTCTCTTCATCACGTGCACGTCGTCTGCAACCATCAGCCAATGCCACGAGGCGAGCACGTGTTGTAAAAGCATTTATGAAAATTTTATCGGATTATCCATGATTAGCATTGATGCCCCGTTAATAAATGGCGTCACAAAAATGCTCGGCATCGAAGGCGCCACTGAGGTCGGTCCTTTGTTGTTATCAATCGTCGTGTTTCTGGTTCGAAGAAGCCTGATAACCGATATATATCCTTGCCGACGCTAACACGCCACCCTCCAGAGCGCGGAATCTTACCGGACAAAGTTTAATCACCGAAACCATGAAGATGCAGTGTGCATAGCGTTAGGGTGCGTTTAGATTAAGCGAACGAATGCTTATTCTTCTTTCTTCGTTTCGCTTCGTCAAATTGCAGTGTAAACCTTGGAATGTTTAACAATTTAATCAATTCGACGTAATGCAATGTAACGTTTCCTATTGTTCTTGCGTTACATTTTTGTTTATCTGTTTCAAACACACCCTTACGCATCACGTGAGACGCTATTGTGTAACGATAATAGGAAGAACCGCATTCCAAGATAAACTGAAATCAAACGTATATTTATCTGCTCGTCGGATTAACTTACATTTTTTTAATTTTCCACTTAACGAGCCAATAAAACAAATATACGACGACCGCAACATTACTAGGCACGTGACAATTTGCCAATGGTCTATTTCTAATCGATGAAAGAAAAATGCGATATTCAAGATGTCCGGAGCGACTCGATTAAAATACACGCGAGTCGCCGTTGTAGTTCTAAATTTACACGAACGATAACGATAAATTGCGTTTAGGGTATAATTACTTAAAGAAACATCGGGGATTCTTCAAGCATGGGTGAAAATGATAGCCTTTTGACTCTCGCTGATTTATATGTGGAACAATATACCGTGAAGCGTTGATACGCCGACCCATAGTGAAACATAAATCATGTACAACGTAACGTGTACGTAAGAACAAATGCTCGAGCATAATTTAATGCGTGTCTCGCGTCACGCAACAATTCATTTCCAAACTTAATTGTAATCGCTTGAAGAATTAATTTTATCTGCTATATGGATGATAACAATACCGATTCAATTTTATAGGTAATTTAAAATTTAAACTCATGCAGGCTTATAAGTCTAGATTTTTTTAAAGAGAAAGTAGGGTCAAGTACAAAAAGTCCCATATGAGTTTCACTTAAAGTTTGTCACATCATTCATGGATCATGTGGTCCCTAAAATCGTCGCATTTGAAACGAACAGATATTGCGTAAGACTCAAAGGAGCAACAAACTCCACCCGTACGTTCACCGCAGTGTATCGTACCTTGTCTGGAACTTATCGACTACACCAATCGAGAGAAAAAAACCTGACTTATTTAAGTGGACTACATTCAAAATAAAAATTCGGCTATATAAACATATGCTCTGTAATCATTAACTCGACTATAAATACTTACTTATCTTGTAGACATTATGGATATTAATATTTGTTATCTTTTAAGCATTACATATATTAATATTCGTTATCTTTTAAGCATTATATGTATGTGAATATTTGGTATCTTTTAACCATTAGTAGGTTTGCGAGCCCTTCAAAATATTTGCGGGAGGTCCTCGCATCTTGTAAAATGATGCAAATTACAACGCTCTCTGCAGCTTTCTCCGGAAGTGCATATATTACAGTTTACGCGTAGGAATTTTCTGCGTGCGTACAACTCGTTTTGTGTCCGCATAATTGTTTCCAAGATGTAGGCGTTTACGAGAGACGAGTGACCGAAGAATAGGCGTGTACCCGGTACAGCGCGGTAAATTCAAATTAAAAAAATTAAGGATTTGGAAATTAAGTTTAAGAATTTGAATACTTAAAAATTCGAGAACTTCAGAATTGGAGACCATGAAAACTTGGAAAATGTAAAATTTGTATACTTAGAGTGACAGATTAATTTGCAAGTCTTAAAAAATTAGTAAGGACGCGCCAAAGAATGGTTTCACCGGATGTACCATTTACCGTCAACCGGCCCTGAATGCGGGGGTACAAAGCACGCGCGCATGCGTATTGAAAAACGAACAAGGTGCTCTTTTAAAAGAGCAGTCAAGCCGGTTGCGAGAAGAAATTGGTCAACATACTCGAAACACGATTCCAATAAAACATCAACATTATTTCCACAAATTCTGATTTTCTTATACGTTAATCGTGACCAAGAAAAAATATTAGGTTATAAATACTGACATTAAGTTAGGTTGCTACTATGCATAATATAAAATAATCGAATCGTACGACTTAAAAGAAATTTAGTTACAATCGGTGTAAGAATGAGAAAAAGAATGCGAGTAATATTTATTTATTTCCGTTGTCGTGAGGTCAGGAGTCCGCCAATCAATCCCTCCGCGTCATTCAAAACGTCGAAGTAGATTAAACAATAACATTGCTAATAATGTTCTTCCCAGTCATAACCAGCCCGCTAATCGGTCCTGTCAATTTCTTTTCTTTGCTGCCACGATAAAAGCATTTTTTTGAAATTCAGATAGGCGTGCAACAGCAGCTTTCTGCATACCCCTACACAATACTTTCGTTTTTTCCCGTTCATTATCTTACGCACGTGTTTCCCGAGAAACGCGTGCGGTTTTCCTATTGTTCTAACGCAATTAACCGGTTAAATTTAGTAGACGATCACGATATAATTATGTATATAAGATAGTAGAAGTACGTGCCGATAAACTGGGCGTTTACTTTTCGTCTGACATTCGTAATTTTCGTCGCGAATGTTATCTCAAAGTTTGTTTGTAAACAAAGTCTTTCTCGCGTAAGATAATACCAATACTAAGAAAAGCATCACGCCAGACTAAATTCGAACGAACTTTATCTAAAATTATAGTTGCATAGCTCTGCAATTGGTAACGGTTAAGTAATTCTACGCTATTAGTGTTGCATAATAAATTGTTGCAGATGAGCCATCGAATACTTTCATGCACCGCGTTGTAAATAAATTACGACACAGCGAGTGTAGTACGCTTCCGCAGGGAAAATGGCGATGTAGGGAAAAAGGGCACCACCGTTGGTTTTTCGTTGGCAAGTTTTCCAAAATAAAAATATGCAAATTTCAGAATTTGGAAATTTAAAAGATTTGAAAGCTTAGAACATAGTAAACATGGAATAGAAATTACAGTATTTAACTTGGAAATTTGATCCCTTAGAAAATTTATAAATTTTGGGGTTTAAAAGTTTTCAAATATAAGGACTCCACCCTCTACGTTTGTCCTTATTAAAAAAATCCTATATTTCAGCTAAATGTACATTGTGCCAAAATAATGTAGTACATTGTATGTACAATACTATTATTTAATTTATTAATATCAGTTCTCAAATATAACACTGTCTCATGATAAAATATAATTTAAGCAGAAAAAGTAAACGAAAAGAAAGAAAAAACTGCTTACTTGTATTGTTACAACTTGGGAGCAGTTCCACCGGAAAGTGGGATGAAACGGGGCTGAACTTTTATGCACTTTTCTTCCAAACGTGTACGGGGATGTCTTCCAAAAATCCTGAAGTTTTTAGTCCAGACTTACAAATCTTCGATCTTCGATTTCAAAAATGACAGGAGCTCGGTATTATCTTCTTTAATATAGTCGAAGTGAACACATTGCAGTATTTAAATAAATTTCCCGAACGAAAAACACGTAACAAATCGATTATAAATTGCCGGAAACCGTATGGATGATTTTCACGCGATGAAAACGATGTGGTGCATCGCTTATACCGGTTTAATGAGTGTCACGAATTTCGATTCATCCTAGTTATAAGACACTTACGGATTTATTTCCGTGGAGTCTTTTTTTATTGGACGCAAGAGGCTTTTGAGGTACCTCTGTTACTGGTTGCCGACGCAAACCGCGCGACTTAACCTAGTCCTCGTTCCAACTGCGTCTGACTTGTGGACCGGTGTCTCGTTCATCTGACAGCAGGTCGCCGACGAATCGGCAATGTTCGTTCTGCGCATGCGCTGTTTTAACCTCGTGCGTTTCACGTGATCGCGTTAAATCTACGAATCAGAGAACTGCTTAGCCACGTGTCCGGCATTCTTATAGCATGCCGGCGACAGACCTGATTCGTAGGCCAGAAGTTAATAGGAACCAAGAAAAAGACGGAGATGTCAACAATCATCGAGAGTACCGGTTTTTACCTGAATTTTTCTTAACTTTTGTCCACGCGTTTCCTAAAAATAACATTCTGTAGATAAATAGCAGTGGGAATGAGCGGGTAGCCTAATCGTGTATATACCCGAGCTTTGACTCGGGTTCGGAAAAATTCGAACAATATCGATAGAAATAGTATATACATATCCGAATGCTTGGGGCTGCGGAATTTTCGAAATTTCAAAATTTGTAGCTTTCTGATATGAAGTACTCTTGTACTCGAAATCAATAAATATGATACGTATCTCATATTTTAAACGCAATTTCAAATAAATATTTTATCGAACTGAACCGTGTTCATAATTCTGGGTACCCGCATATTCCTAACAAATAGTTATTTTTTATGAATTAGTGTACATGTTTTTCTCTCTTAAAATATGATAAAAATTTAAATTGTATATTTAAAAATTGTATAATACTTTCTAAACTCTCCCATCTTTAAATTTGTATTCATAGTAAAACCGGAAATTTGTGTTACTAATAAAATATTTATATGATATTATGTATAATAATTACATTATTTCGAAAAATATTGTACATGTCAAAAAATTGATATTAGATATCATTCTGTTTGTTTATTTTTAAATATGTCTCTGTATTGTATAACATAGAACCGATTACTTGTTTGCCCGCCATATTTGAATTTTCAAAACATCCTTTCCAATTTTAGTAAATTTGTCCAAAAATGATTAATCATAAAATAAATTGATGTTTGTTCAAATATTTTATAAATACTACAGATAATAATTTGTATCACTGTGACACCAAATTATGTGTACTGAAAAATGCATATAGAAAATTGGTATTATCTTGTTTGGCATAATTAGGATTTTTGGTTGGGATGGTTCAGATCCCCTAGTTCTAATATTGTCAAGTTTTTTCCACATCATACGTGGTCAAGTAATATTTAGGAGTTTAGAATTTTGAAAATTTCTTTTATGAGGAAATATCTTGCATCCATATTTTGGGGGGACCAGATCCACCCTGATGCCTACCTATTCACACCAAATTCTTATCTTGCTCTGATAAAGTAGCATTATCCGTAACACACAGTTAAAGCATGTATGAATTATTTAACGACAGTACAGTACAGAAATAAAACAGACTCGTTTATTTCTTCGTCATTGTCTCACGTATAGGTAAACGCAGGTATAAACGAGTTCTCTTGGTAACATAATACCCTGCCACATTTCTTCAATGTAAAAGTTCTATTATACGGTAGTGTGCTTCGTTAAGTCTATTGTCATACTGAGCGAAAGATTACAAATGAAAACTTGATACACCTCAAACTATGATACAAAATGTAAAAAAATGATTACACGAAGGACAACATTAATTCAATTTTTCTTTTCTTTTGACGTTGCCTTCGTTTATTGAAATAAATACTTCTTCTCATGAGTAGTCAGTCGTTAGGCAAAGAAACGAAAAAAAAAGTATAAAATTGGACGTAACGGTAAAATGTTTTTTTTCTTCTTAGAATCAGTCTATCTTCTTACAGTCAAAGCATACGAAATTTAAATACGCTCGTCGACTGCTGAATACAGTAAATACAAGGACAGAAATTTGTTGTATGTTGGTTTACAATACTCGGTTATTCTGTATCTTCATGTAAGAATACAGAATTAACAAACATGGATTTGTTGCATCGCCTTGAGCACTTATTAAACGAACACATATTTCATCTATACACCCATAAATAAAACCGTCACCTAAATAATAACCAAGAGTGTGTGTCAAGATTCCATGAAAAGAAAAAGAATTTCTCTTGTATTTCACACTCGTACAACCGCATATTCGGATGTTTCTTCTTTTTTGTCTTTCATTTATTATAAGAAATTAATCGAAGCATGATTATTTCTATTATTTAAAGAGATCACTTTAGCGATTCCAATAAATAATAATGCTAAGAATATTTTTTCGTTTATACAATATCATCATCCATCGTTCAAAGTTGTACACAAACGAAAAAATTATAATTTTGTTTCGCATTCAAATACCTTACTGTTTTTCTTGCTGTTTAAATGTTTATATTACTATAGACGCACAAGAAAAAGGAAAGTGACTTCGTTGTAACAGATGGTATTTAATTAAAATTGAATAAAAAGTGCAACACGCATTTCTTTATCACCTGAGAGAAACCAAACTATGTTCGCATAAACGCATTGGAGGCCTAAGACGATTAATATACATTGTCGGTATTTCAGTACTGTCAATAGGCACTGGCCATAAATTTTTGAAGTGTCAAATCTTCGATCCACAACTTGTACACATTGCCAATATTTCAATATTGTTATTGCATATTGAAAATCCTAAAATATTGACAATACATATATTGATCATCTGAAGTCTCCAAAAGAAACCTGAATGAGTGATTGGTGTGTTTCGTTGAAAAGGAAAAATTTACGTACAATACAATGTATATTTATGTACAGTATTCAAAATTACTACGAGCTTATAGGAACCCTGTTGATAATGTTGACAATGTGAATCAATCTTATTCCATGTTCGAAATATCAACCGAATATATATAAAATACTCGCGTATGTATATACATGTTAAAGGTAAAGCCCAGAATCTAATTAAAGTGTACCTTCATTAATTTGTCTTGCATGATGAAACGGAGATTCTGTGCGAATGATACGAATACTAAATAATAATACCTTTCGTTGTATCAATAATTTCACATAATCTATCGTAAACGTAATCACAGTTGATTCAATTAGTTCGTCTCGAAGTTTAAGAAAATACGATTTTTTATAATCCTTCCTAATGATTTGATCGCGTGAATTGTGCTCATGATTACATTACAAAGATTTATATTTCTAACTATTTACAAATTAAACGTTTACCCGCGGACTTTACCTATAACGTACGTAATCGAAACAGTTGTTTTAACCAGCACAATTGTTTACTTTTAAATTAATACGTAGAAATTTTATGTTTTTCTTAAACGCATATACTTAATCTTTTTAAGATATTCCAATCACACCATAATCAATCGGTACTTAGGCGTGAGAATTGAAATTTCTTAATTATTAACAAAGATAAATGTACATGTCAATATGTGTATCGACATATAAATTTACATAAAAAATCATGCTGGTGTTCGATTAATTCTAATTCATACTGATATATATACACTGCAGTCAATATACACTAATAATCAGGCATGTATACGATTGCGTGGTCGAATCAGACCAGTATATTATCACAAAATAAATGCTAAAAATTAAATGTCCTATTAATTGTCTCCTTTCAGATTTGAATGAATAGGTTCGATAAATACATCGACAAAATTCACTTATAAATCACCTGCATCGTACACTCACTCATGACTTTTCTACCTCGGCTAAAGAAGATAAAAAATGGAAGAATTGATTCCAAAGGAAATCATGATTTGTTCCAACTAGATTTAAGACAGAGTGTTACACGTTCTAGGTCTCTGGCAGCAACAAAGACTTCGCAATCTCGCCGCTGGGCTGGACTCTTCTGATCACCGTTCCTCGACGCTTTCGTTTTCTCCGCTTTCTTGTTGAGGTCTTGCAATTTGGTATGTAATGAGATATTCTGGATATGCTTGTTCGCCTCTATAGACTACATATTCAGGGAATGCTAAACCACCTTGCGATGGTCTACCCATCACACTGTGGTGTCCTGGTGGTGCATGAGCCATCTTCATCGCAGAAAATTGTAAAAACGACTTTCCCAATGTAACACGACAAAGTAATAAATGTCTGAAAAATTATGTAAGATCAAATCAGTAATGTGTAGTAAATTCCTCAATTCAAAAATTTTAAATCTCTTCATCATTACACATACTGTGGCACGTCAGTGCCCATCATAAATACGTATAATACTTTCTTTACATGTATCTCACCTGTGGCAGATATAACAACTTCGGTCTTTATGAGCTGGACATCCAGTACCCCCGCATATGCCATATACGTATTGATTACTTTTGCTACTATGTTCAGCAAAATAAATTCCAGCGCCAAACATACCACCAATATACGCATGTCGTTCGTCAAAACCTTTCTGAACGATAGCATTGATAAATGGACTACCATGGAATAACATTCTTTCGTTTGCTTGTGGTAAACTCGATCCAGGAGTAGTTCTGGCACCAGTACTCGGTGAGGAAGGTGCTGCCGCACCAACTTCTTCCGCAACTTCTTGCCTTCTATGCGCATAACGTTCCCATAATTTTCGGTTCTGTACCTTTTGTATCTACATTAAAGAGCAATCGAATAAAAATTATTATAATTACTATTCATATTTGTTATTTCAATGTTACAATATACAAGACATACCCTAACTATGTTATATCGAGAAAATATACCCCCAGAATGACCATTATCTCTGTGCTGTCTAATGGTACTTTGCATTTCTTCTTCGACAGCCAAGAATTCTTTATCTTCCGCTAATAAGTCTACCAATAGTGTTCCGGGTGTAATAGTTGGTTGCCAAGGCGTACCAGCAGTTGTGTTTAAAAGTTTTTCCATCCCTTTGATTAATTTGTGCCTATAACCATACGCAGATACTCCAACTTGTTTCAAATCCTCATGACCCATTTCTGCTAATATGTCCAATGTAATCTGTTCACGTTCAAACAATTCTAATAAATGTTCTAAACCAAGACTTTGTAAAAAACCAGCCACAGTTGTAATGATCGAATTGTCTTTAGAATCCTTAGAATCCCTTTCAGAGCACGTTTCTGATGGTGGCATTGGGCTCAAACAAGAAGACGGTCTTGCAAGTGGTACGCATAAAGTCATGGCTGTGCCAGAAGGCATAATAACAGTTTCTTGAGTGAGCGGTGGAGATGGAGTAACTGGAACTGATAAATTTTAACAATAAAAAAGTGTACAAGTATATATGTATATGTACATATATGGTAATCAAAATGCATTTACCCGCAACGATACTTGGTGGTCTACTATTAATAGTGTTATTATTATTACTATTCATATTAATGGCAACTCCAACGCCACTATTACCAGACGGTATTGATGGTACTACTTGCTGCGAAGCCATAGCATCTTGCAATAAGCACCTCACATCGTCAGCGCTAGCTAAATCCAAAGGAGTCTGTCCCTCTTGATTTTTGGAAAAGGGGTCTGCACCATGTGCTAATAAAAGAGCACACAACTGCGTTCTCCCTTTCTGCGCTGCCTCGTGAAGTGGTGTAAAGCCCCATTTGTCAGTAGCGTTGACTACAGTATTGTATTTAATGAGTAATGCAGCGATATCTAAATGACCGTAGCTTGAAGCGTTGTGCAAAGGTATCAATCCTCCTTTATCTTGAGCATTCACATCTGCCCCACGTTCAAGCAAGAATTCTGCCACTTCCAAATTATTGTATCCCGCTGCGTTAAAATACAAGCAAATTAAACGGTACAAAATACCACGTATGAGCGGAAAATGAAGGAACAATATAACATACCAGCTAAATGCAATGGAGTACTGTTACGACCTTGCGCATCTCTACAATTAATATTGTCCTGTGTAACGAGTCGTTGTACTCTCGCCAAATTTCCTTTCTTTGCTGCATCTAAAAGTGCACTGTTTCCTCGTAATAAGTCAGCTACATCTTGATCACCGTCTCTCACTAGATCCAAAGGTGTTGCTCCGTCTCTGTTCTTTTTGGTAGCATCTGCACCGTGTCTTAATAATAAACGAACAATTTCATATTTTCCTTTAGCAGCTGCTTCGTGCAGTGGGGTGAATTTCCACAAATCCGCGACATTTACCGATGCACCATGTTTTACTAATAATTCCGTTACTTCATAATGACCATAAGAGCAGGCATTGTGTAAGGGAACAAGTCCACTGAAAGTTAGAGATTAAATATATTTATACAGCTGCATTTTAATTATGGTTACTGTTTAGAAAAGGAAGGCTAACCCTTTATCTTTGGCGTGTACATCTGCTCCATGTGCCAATAAATATTCCACTACAGGCACTCTATTAAATCCCGCTGCGAAATGCAGCGGCGTGGAGTGCCGACCATCTAAGTCACGACAATTTACAGCGTGTGGATTCGTTTGTAAAATTCTTTCGACTGCCGCCAAATCGCCCGACTTACTTGCCTCTAACAGCTGTGCTTCCGCGTCGTCCGTCGCGCTTGGTGGATCTATAAAACAAAAATGAGAACAGAAACATTCTTTGGCTGAAAAGATTTGTATCCGAAGTGAATTGGTTTCGAACCTTGCAATATTTTAAGGACATTTTCTGCAGCTACTTGTGCTGCAGTATAGCCCTGAAGCGATACTATAGATGGATCAACATTGTACGATAACAATATTCTGCAAGCTTGCACATTGTCTTCTCTAACACACCTGTTTATGTAACAATATTTCAGATAAAAAAAAATCAAATACTTTCCCATACAGTACAAATAAAAAAAAACTTCAAATGCTTTATACACGATACCTGTGTAGTGCAGTTTGCCCTAATCCATCTAAAGCATTGACTTTTGCATTATGTCTAAGTAGCACATCCATTGCATCATAATGAGAATGATCGGTAGCAACATGAAGAGGTGTAAGAAAGTCTTTATTTTTCTCATTTAAGGCAGCATTTTTCCTAATCAAAGATTCTATTACTTGTTTTCTCTTGGGATAAGGAGATGCAACGGCACAGTGCAGTGGTGTATCCCCAGTATATGGGTGTTTAAAATTTACAACTTCTTGGGATAGGTACTTTTTTAATTTAGTAAGATCTGCCTGCCTGCAGGCATCCAAGAGGCAGTGTCCCTTGTATTCGTCTACAATTAAAGTGTATCTAACAAAGTCATGTTCTGTGTGGATTTCTGTGAAAAAAAAATATAATATTCAACTGCTAAACATACATGCCAATCTTTCTTGTAATTCCAATGTAGGGGCTACGTCGATGGCGCTTTTACTGTGACAGTTTAATTGAGTCGGATCCGCACCCTCGCTTAGCAGTAACGAACACACCTCAGCTCTAGATTTACTAGCAGCTTCGTGTAATGGAGTGAATGCCCATAAATCACTGGCATTAACCGCTGCACCGTGTTTAAGAAGCGCTTCAGTTACTTCAAAGTGACCATATGAACAGGCATTGTGAAGTGGAACCAGACCTCTGTAATATTACAGAAGTAAATAAATATCCATTTGTTTTCTTTAATTTATTAAAGATTAAAATATATACCCTTTATCTTTTGCGTGCACATCTGCACCATTCTGCAGCAAAATTTGCACCACTCTAGATCGATTATATCCAGCAGCTAAATGCAAAGGGGTAGATCTTCTGCCATCACTTGCATGGCAATTGACATTTAAGGGATTCAAAAGTTGTAAAAGACGTTCTTCATTTCCTGATCTTGCTGCTTCTAATAATTCATCCTTTTTATATTCTCCTGTTAATACTGGCTTAGTTGCAGGATCTGCTAGTTCTAATGCAGTTTTTCCTTCTGTATTTCTGATATTTGCATCTGCGCCATGTTGTAGCAAAGCAATACACACATCAATTTTACCCTATCAAAATAATTGAAATATAAAATATTATATAATTACAAACACAGCATTAGTAAAGTAAATAAAATGAAAATATACTTTAATTGCAGCTTCATGCAGAGGGGTATAATTCCAGTTGTCTCTAGTATTTGGATTAGCTCCTGCTTCTAAAAGGAGTCTCACAACATCAGAATGTCCGAAAGAACAAGCATTGTGCAAAGGATGTAAACCTCCATCGTCACGTGCTTGAATAGATGCTCCAGCAGATAACAAAAATTCTACTACGTCTCTTCTACCGTAACCTATGTTGAAATTATGAAAAAATAAATGTCTTTACAAATCTTATCATTTTATGTCATAACAAATATGTTAATGTATGATCAATAACAAAATCTACTAATTAAATAAAAATAATATAAAATTCTTGGTAAAAATTGTGTCTTACAGAATAAAATTATAATAAACTGTTGATGACAGCATTGAAAACAAGTCTTTGAACCATTTCATGTTGACAACGAAAAACTGTGCTTTCAATCAAAGATAATGTATCAAGAAAAATCTTGAATTGGATATAGAATTGCATCAATGTGATAGGACAGTAAGAGGTGATGCAAAAATTTTGCTCACCAGCTGCAAAATGCAGGGGGGTGGACTTGCGTCCGGCAGTGTCTCGAGCATTGACCGTCTTCGGTGTAACCAACGCCTTTACCCTCGCAAGGTCTCCAGTTTTACATGCTTCAAAAAGTTCCCTCAAAGGATCTGTGTTTCCAGATCCCGATAGGGAATCGGCATTTGTCAACGTCGATCTACGTCCTGCCATTTTACACCGCCATTTTCACGCCACTGTCCGACAGATACACTTCACTGGCTCATAGTGTTGAAAGCTTTCACGACGACATCGGGATGAGTTGCTATGGTACAACCCAGTGGCGCCGCCTTACACCCAGAAACACTCATTTTTTAAAAGTTCCTGCTATGTAGCAAAAACGCGCATGTGCCTTTATGGCTGAGCACATGTACCCAGTGATTCAAATTTTCAAAACTTCAAACTCATAAATTTTTAAATTCCTAGTTTTAAATTTCTTAAGTTCTAAATCCTCAAACTTTATTAAATGCCCAAGTTCGCAAAGATCCATAATACCAAACACTTAAATTTTCAAATTTCTAAATTTCTAAATTCCTAAATTTATAAGTTACTCAATAATTAATTATTCTTTTAGTATGATCTCCTACATCATTATTCATGTATTTTGTTCACCGTGTATACAGTCGCTGGAGTGAAAAGTGCGGAATGGAGAGGGTAGTACAAATAAAGAAGAAACTTTTCGAGCTCATTCGAGTTGCGCGAAACGCTACTATTTTCTCCTGATTTCAAGCATATTGACAATGGCGCGAAAAAGTGTATCGTACAACTTGTACAGAGAATAACTGAGATATTAATATTTATAAATGCATATCACTCGTTTCATAACATTCTTCAAAAGATAATTTTTCTTGCTCGATGTAGCGGAAGACGTATTTGATCAGTTATACAATTTGTATATAAGTTCAAACATAATGCTCACGCGATTGAAAGATGTGACAGGTGGTGGGGGCTATTGGCTGAAACAGTTGTACAGAAATATTGAGCAGGGATTGTTCACGAATCGTATTTCCTGTTTACGTGCTGCTAACTATTCTAATAAAAAAATGTCGAAATATACGATTGTTATGGTACGCCATGGAGAAAGTGAATGGAATAAATTGAATTTATTTTGTGGATGGTACGATGCCAATTTATCCGATAAGGGTAAGTCATTTTTCGTGAAAATTTCTAATGTAAAGCTTCAAGGGCAAAAGGTCAAACAATTTGAAACATTATTAATAAATAATAGTATTTTCAGTGTGAAAATTTTATATGCATTTGAAACAGTTAATAAAGTTTGTTATAATGATGTAATAATTTTTAAAATATAGAGTTGAAAGTGCGTTAATTAAACTTTTTGGATATCAATAGAAAATTACAACTGGCTATGTGATTATCTTAAATGATTAGTATGTAATTAACATTGATAATATTATTAAGTATATTTGTAATTGTAGGTAAATCTGAAGCAGTTTCTGCAGGAAAAGCAGTTAAAGATGCAGGATATACCTTTGATGTTGCCCATACTTCAGTATTAACTAGAGCACAAGAAACTTTGAAAGCAATTCTTAAAGAAATAGGTCAAGAAAACATTCCGGTTCATAAAACATGGCGCCTTAATGAACGTCATTATGGTGGTTTAACTGGCATGAATAAAGCTGAAACTGCTGCTAAATATGGTGAAGAACAAGTACAAATTTGGAGAAGATCGTTTGATGTACCTCCTCCACCTATGGAACCAGATCACAAATATTATGAAACAATAGTCAAAGATGCCAGATATGCTGCTGAGCCAAAACCAGAAGAATTCCCTAAATTTGAATCGTTAAAATTAACAATTGAAAGGACATTACCATACTGGAATAATACTATTATCCCCCAATTAAAAGAGGGAAAGAAAATTATCATTGCTGCTCATGGAAACAGTTTACGTGGCATAGTAAAGCATTTAGATCGTATGTAGTTTTATTTTTATACATAGATAACTATTTTAAAAGCATGAGATTAATAACATTTTCCTTTTCAGAAATGTCCAATGATGCAATCATGGGTTTAAATTTACCAACTGGTATTCCATTCGTTTATGAATTAGACGAAAACTTTAAGCCTGTTGTATCCATGAAATTTTTAGGCGATGAAGAAACTGTAAAAGCTGCAATGGCTGCAGTTGCTGCACAAGGAAAAGCTAAGTAATGTTAATAAGAAATTTATTATAAATTTCTAACATTACGTAAATACATACAAGAGGTTTTACTAGTTTCAGTTTTTGACGTTAAAAATTAGTTTTTGTTTATAAAAAAAGTAAAATAATTGATTAAAAAGGTAGTCATTATTTTTAAGTAACTTTCAAGAAGTTTGAAACCCTGTATGTTATAATTTATTTAAAATTGTATTTATTAGAAGTTATAAAAGATAAAATGTAAAAATTCTAAAATGAACAAGGTGTAATTATTTTTTCCCACGTATCGTTATTATGAGCAAGCTTCAAAGTCCATACTGTACACAATAACGCCATCTACAAATATCGAATATTGCTGTTTGGTTAAAAACACAACTCGCTTTGGTTAAATTATCTATTTCAAACAGATAACAATGCTGAATCACTGATGGAAAAGTTATACGTATTAAACGCCAATATAATCGATTTAAAGTTTATATCACATAAATATAAATTGCTGATAGATTCTTAGTATAAAATGCGTTAATGATTACATTAACCTAAATGTTACAAAGATAGAATTTATTTTACAGCAGTACTTCGCACTCTAAAAGTTTCAACGACAAATAAAGTATGAGTCGCGTTGATTTAAAAGTTGTTTTACTAGGTAACGCGGCTGTAGGAAAAACTAGCCTTGTAGAACGTTTCGTGAATGAAAGATTCAATGAAAGTCTGTCATACCAAAATGTAAGTATCATTCTAATAACAAAAACTACTCCGTGCGCAAATTAATCACATATTCCTATAAAGTACTTAGAGTAGTGTGAGGAGCTAGGTAACAATCGCTCTTTGTAAAATTAACTTAGAAAACATACTAATTTAGGCCGTCTTGTTTCTCTTAGTCCGCGGCATGGAAGAAATATTCTAAAATAGTGTTACTAAGATTTGCACTGAGAATCGTCTAGGAGATCCATCACAAAACAAATTAATTCAGTTCCGCTTTCCTTAGACTATAGGAGCTGCATTTGCAGCGAAGCAAATGCAAGTCGATGGAAAAAAGCTTATCATGGGAATATGGGATACAGCAGGCAGTGAAAAGTGAGTAATTATTATATGTTTACAATGCAAAATTTGTTATTTTGAAATAATTTATATAATCTATTTCTGTAGATATAATGCTATGATTAAATTATATTATCGTGGTGCAAAAGCAGCTGTAGTATGTTATGATATTACAAAATCAAATACATTTCAAAAAGCAAAATACTGGGTAAAAGAACTTAGGTCTGTTGAAGAAGGCTGTAAAATTTACATTTGTGCTACAAAAAAGGATATCTTGCAGCATGGTGTAGTTGCTTCTCCTGATATAGATGTTGTAGAAACATATGCTGCAGGCATTCAGTCTAAGTTTTTTATAACATCTAGTAAAACTGGAGAAAATGTTGGTAAGTATATATATGTTTAACATTTATTAATATCATATTACACATATTTATTTATTAATTTTTATAGCTGAATTGTTTAATGAAATTGCTCAAGACTTTGCATCTGATCCAGAAAATGCACCCATATTAGAGGAAACAATTGATATAAGTAATAAATCTAAAGGAACACATTGTTGTTAATAAATATATAATCAGTATTAAGAATTATCATAATTCTTTCGTCTTTCATATATCACAGTACTTTGAATAAATAGATATAAGCGTAAATCAATGTGCAGTACATTACACCTGAACACTTTAAGGTGTAATATTAAACTTAACTATAAGGGAATTTATATTTCCTGTTAAAGGACTTTTTCTTAAATACATTAATATTTTACATGTGCTTAATAATGTGTTTCTTCCTTCAAAGTCTATGAAAATAATCATAATACTGTTTCTGACGCATAATTGAAGAAGCTTCTTTCATTATCATAAAATTTAATTTGAAAATTGGTAAGTATTTTGAAAATTTGTAGTATATCATGTCATTATTAACAGTTAAAATGTAAATTGCAACTATTTTTAAATGTGTCATATCTTGTGCCTTTTTTGAATATGAAGTTTTATTACAATATGAATATTGAGATCTGTAATAAAAAATATTATATTAATTAAACTATTGTTTCATTTGTAAAATACTTAAAATATTCTATCAATACTCTATCAAAATGTTAGACATAATGCAGTTACCTCTTGTAGTAAGTTATGATCTATTGATAAGCTGTATATAATAATATATTTATCAAGGTATTCCTCTTAGTGCTCTTGTGATAAAGACGAAATGCAAATTTCTCTAACTTTTTCGTAAACACCGAAAAATATAAATCCACTAAGAGTAAAACCACCCACTCTCGGTGTGAAACCTGCAAAAAGCCTAAAGATATTTGTCAACAATTACTATATGTGTAACAAAAAAAAAACGTCAGTTATTCAAAGAATATACCCATTGCCATACCCTTTAGTACCATGTTCTTGATAAATCGTTTTTATCATTGCACATATTTTTACTTCATCTTTTTTTGCTGATGCATTTGATAACATTATCCTAGTTTTTGCAACATCCAAAGGTGTAGTTACAATTGCAGATATAGCAACTACAGAAATTAGTGCTTGTATAAACAGTACATTATATTTATAATTTAATCAATATTTCTACCTGATAATGAGCCACAGATGGCACCTTCCATAACAGAGCATTCGCGTCCTACTACTCTTTTCCAACATAGCTTAAAATATTCCCAAAGTGGTAATTGAATCAAACCCAGTGGTAAATCTCGGATTACTGTACTTCCATAACCTCGATATAATGTTTTTATTGGTAATTTGTCAGTATCTTCTATAAGTACTTGTTTTCTTTGTTTCACCACCTCAACTGGTACCCGAATAATGCATGCAATCTGTTAGCAACATCTTAAAATTTTTATGTGATAAAAAATTCTTCATCATATTCCTTTTTTAACAACAAAATAAAAAAAAAATAATAGTAAAAAGATTTTTACTGCTTCTCCTAATGATGCAGCAGTCATGTGCATAATAGGGTGATAGTACTCAGGTATACGATGTTGAAAGATTTCTTTTATTCCCTCATATGTTATAAAAAATAAGGCAGCTGAAAATGATGGTTTAGGTAAATAAACTTATCATTGGTTTAGGTAAATAAACTTATTTAAAATTTACCTGAAGGAGCAGACCCTATCATAACTGGACCCAAACCTAGGTACAATCGTTTAAAACCACCTGCCTTTATGAAACCCTGTTGACTTTGTAATCGTGTTTTGAGAGTATCCAAAGGAAAAGATATAAAATCGCATATGAGTCCTGCGACAGCACCTGACTGTTATGAATTTAAAATGCATTCATACAAGTTATCAAATTATATAAATAACTTTAAATATAAGGAATGACATAAAAAATTATTACTTATAAATGATTAATAAAACACCCATGATAGTTAAAATGATGTTAATTACATATAATTATTATTACTTACAACAAGGGATGTAATAAAAACATTTTTCGTGATATTATTTTGCCCATGATTATTTCCGTCATTTGACATTTTTTTAATATCATTCTTTTACCGGTTTAACATTGTTAAAGGAGAACGTTAAAATTTAAAATCTAAAATAAATTAAACATGTAACTTAATTATTAAACTGGATCTCATTTCTTTATAACAAAATATGATTATACGTACTTTGACAGATTAATGAAAATTTATTTTAGAATTTTAATATTTTCGTACAGGTTAATGAAACAACAACGTAAAATATACAAACACGTGTTCCCATTATGTTATGACATTAATTCACAGGATAATCATTTTAACAATACTATAATAAATCTACTGTAGTAATCTGCTAGCAAGAACTAACCTAATGTTATACATTTCGAACTTCTATTGTCATTTAGGTTAGAGGAAGCATTTGTTTTGAGAATAGTTTTCCACTAGCGGAAATAGATGAAGATTCGTGACAGAAAATTACTAGATATTATATATAGAGGGAATTGACGCAATTACGTCATGAAATCTGCTTCATGTAGTACGGAGGAATTCGTGGCTTTTGCATTTGCTATATTTCAATCAGTTATAAATGTGAACGAAATTTCCAAAAAATGATTCACTCGATGTTTTAAGTACTATTCAAGTGTTTACATAACCTCGAATTTCATTGACATCTCTTTGGGCGGGAATCTCGAAAGATTTATGCTTTCATTTAATTATTTATAAAAAATGTCACAGAATATTTTGAAAAGCAGTTTGGAAAATGCTTCCTTCAATATTGTGTTTCAGGTATTTCATGAACATAGCAATTATTAAAATTAATGTTAAACATATTAAGAAACATATGTAAAGGCACAAATTATTTTGCCTATGTACTATAAATTTTGGTAGTATTTAAAAATTTATATTTTTAAAATTGACATCTACAAAGTGTTTAAATATGTGGTAAAATCAATTATACAACTTTCAGATACTATGTCGTGGTGTTACTTTTCTTTTAAATGCTTTTGTTGTTCGACATGTGGGTCAAGCAGTTTTAGGAGTTATAAATGTAAGACTGTTACTATTGGAATCCATGATTTTGTTCCTATCTAGAGAACCATTCATGAAAGCATGTTTAACTAACACGGCAGAACATAATTGGGCCCAAGTTGTGAATTTATTATGGGTGACGTTAGTTTCTGAAATTAATTCATTATAAAGTATCCATTATATTTGATAATCATATATATTAGTTTGTAATGTGTTTCAGGGTTCCTATATGTATTATAATGTCGTTAATGTTTGGATATATTTGGCTTTATGTTTTAACAACATCTGAAGCATTACCATCATATTATACATTTGCCGTTTGGGCAGTTGCTTTATCCTGTGTTATTGAACTGTCATCTTTAATTGTTCAATTAGTTGCTAGCGCATTTTTATTTGTTAGATTAAAAGTAAGACTGTGGATTAAAAATATTTAAACCAAGTTCAAAATATTCTTCTAATTATTCCATTTTATAGATTATACTTGATACTATTATGATTGCTATCCGCACAGTAACATTTGTTCCATTGATACTATATAATCCAGAGAATGCATTACTTGCATTTGGTGTAGCTCAATTAGTTGCAGCAGTATTTTGTACTACCAGTCACTACATGTACTTTCATTATTATATTAAAAAGACTAACAAATATAAATTAAAAAGGAGGATGTCACTGAAAGATAGTAGTGATGAATATGTCATGAAAGAATTTCCATTTCAAACGATAATGGATTTTTTGCCTGGACAGTTGGAAAATAAAGTATGTATTAATATGTGTCTGCTATACATTGAATATATAAATAGTTATTTCTTTTTAGGAATCATATTTAGATAAAAAACTAACTATCCTTACATGGAGTTTCTTTAGACAAGGAATTCTAAAGCAAATTTTAACAGAAGGAGAAAGGCTAATTATGACAGTAATGCCAGTATTAACATTTACTGAACAGGTGTTTAATTAATAATAAATATTTACTTCAGCATGATTATCTTTTTAATAAATTATGTTTTTATATTTCTGAAGGGAACATATGAAATTGTGAATAATTTAGGTTCTTTAGCAGCAAGATTTATTTTCCGTCCAATAGAAGAAAGTGGGTATTTCTATTTTACCCAAATGGTTAAACGAGATAAACCAATTAATGATCAAAATCCTGTAGGTGACACATCAGTAGATCTACTTATAATATAATAAGTATATATTAACTAAAAATATATGTTTCAGGTGAAAATTCAAGAAAGTGTAAATGTTCTTACACATTTATGTTCAACTGTTATGTCCATTGGTTTGGTTGTTTTAGTATTTGGACAATCATATTCAAGTACTCTACTATGGTTATATGGCGGTGCAAAATTAACTTCACATTTGCCAGTACTTCTAATGCGAGTACACTGTTTAGCTATTTTACTTTTGGGAATAAATGGAGTAACAGAATGTTATACAAATGCAACAGCTGACAGTGCAACTATAAATAAAAGCAACCTAATAATGGTTTATGAATCAATTGCGTTTTTGTGCACATCATACTTGTTTGCTATTTGGTTTGGGCCAGTTGGTTTTATTCTTGGAAATTGTGTAAACATGTTCTTAAGGATTTTACATTCTACTACTTTTATCAATAGAAGATATAAAGATACAGTATACCGTCCACTAAGAGGATTAGTACCAAAGCCTATATTTTCTGCTTCTCTTCTTATAGCAGCCCTAGTCACCAATATATCTCATGTAAATAAATAATTTCTCATTACTATATACATTACTAGAAGGTATGTTACATTTTAAATGTTTTTATTTCAGACTTACTGTTTCCCAGATCAGAAAGTATTACATTTAAGTATTGGAGTAATAATGTTTCTGATAGTATTCATATCTTGGATATATGAACATCATGATCTAATCAGACTCGGTACAAACAAGTGGTATGAAAGAAGGAACAGACATAAAAAAGTTGACTGACCTTAACTCTATTTATAATGGTTTATTGATATTTACATATAAATTATTTATAAAGGTGCTGCAATGCAGAACCCTAAAAAATTATATAAATTTAATAATTATATATTTTCTATACTGTTATAATTTAAACAGAATATTACGTTTTTTTAATTTGAAGTTATGTTAAAATTATTTGAAGTTTATCTATATATAATTAAGAAAATGATAAATTTGAGTTTTATTTAAATATAATTAATATTACCAGTTTAAGTAAATGGAAACTATTTTATATAGAAACATCCTTGTAAATTGCACCTACAACTGGGCCTTGGCGTTGGATAAGACATTTCCTATAAAATTATTTATAATGCTATTTTATATTTATAATTTAGCATAACCATTTGTTCAAAATAATGTTTGACTTTAGTTAGGTAATAAATCTCTTGATTCATCAATAATTATTTCATACATTAACTTTATTTTAGCAACACTAAGTGTGTAATGTTAAAAATTACTTTTATTACCTGCTTTCATTTTGAAGAGATATAATTGGAGCTGGCAGTTTTGGTTCTAATTTGGCAACTTGGTCTGCAATGGCTGCAATTATACCTGCACTATCAGTAGATGCATTGCCTTTAGCTAAAAATGTTTTTATTATTTTTATCATATTACGAAACAGTTAAATATTGAATTTGACTCTGATAAAAGTACCTCCCAAGCATAATCCTGTATGATCAGCCAAGATGCAGCCAATGATACCTTCTGTATTATTTCTATTAAAAAATGTCATTTTACTTTTGAAATTGGTATTATTAAAAAATAAAGGATCGATTTTTTAAGCGCAGACATTTGTTTTGTATTCTTTTGACATTAATATTTAGGATGAGTTGAATGTTAATTAAAAGTTTCCATTGTAAATAATGTTATCATCAATATTTATATGTATACTCTTTTTAGAAATAACATGATTTCTTATACATTGAACTTACATATCATCTAATGTTTTCTCTAAACTTCTTTCCATCTTGAATCTTTAATTAAGTATTTATGAAATGCACTCGTTAAAAAACTGAATATTTAACCAAAGGAACGTAATCTAATGTACTTGTCATCACATTATTATGATTTTGTGTACAGTTGTCTTTTCGTTACAACAGGGAATATGTTAGGATTATAGACACGTACAGTCAACATAAAGAGGACGTTCTATACTGCTTAAACTTGATTGGTACATACATAGTATTGTAGAAATTTCTTATTTATAACTTTTCAAATTTAGAAATTCCAAATTTAAAAAATTCTAAATTTTCAATTTAAAGTTATATCAAACAGCAACTAATCAGAACTTAGATATTGGTTTACTTTATCAACATTCATCACGCGATGGGTCCCACGTTCAACGATAACCTATATTTCTAGGTCCATGGTTTAATTAAATTCATTCGATACATCGTACTGTATAATGAATTGTCTGTCGATTGTCAAATACACAGAGTGTTCGCACAAAGAACATTCATTGTATTTGAAAAAAGAATAAAATTTTAGTAAATAAATTAATCAATATTACACTTATAAGTCAGCAAATAAGCAATATGTAATATGATATGTTTTAATAGCTTTTAATGAAGGAGATAAACTTTCTTTCAGATAAGCTCTTTAATGTTTATTGATAAGATGTCACCCTATACAAATATTATCGCTTCGTAAGCGAACTGGGCGACGTGACTGCTACAGTGACAATCATGGCTGGTAAGTGCGAAGATCTGTTCTGTTTGCTCGTAAATAATTTTAAGAAGAAAATATAATTACGAACAAAAAATAAAGAATGTTCACATTAACTTATTCGTCTAATTTAATTTTCTTATACTATACAATCAAAGCGTCGATTTATTTATTAAAATATCGAATTCTCATAACATTATTTATTATATTAATTTATGAAAAGTCACCGGATAAAAAAACATGTTAAATTGTATGATCTTACGTTATTTCTGTATACCTGCATCCAGTATTCGCATATTAATTGTTATTGCATGTTTTAAATATAGGAAAATTTTTTGTTTTAAATTGAAAAGGGTCATAACATAATTATGACACCTGTTACATTTGACAAGTAAATTATACATTTTGCACACTCAGTTATTTGAGATTAGCATTTCTAGTTTTTCATTTAACAATATTTGTAACCAAAATCAAGCATAATATTATAAATATTTTCTTCATAATTTAAGCATAACTATTGCATGAAAATGTAATGTAGCTTTTATTAATATTTATTTAAAATATAATAGTACAATAACAATAATAAAGAATAGTATAATTGAGTATAATTTTATATTCAATACTTAAACAATGTTAAAAATATTTATTATAAAAAGAATATTTTCAACGTTACAAGGTATTATACACATGAAAATTGATATGATGGAAAGATAATTTGCATTGTGTGTGTTTTAGAAAATAACCCTTACAATAATTTATTGAAGACTCTTAAAGTTGGATCTAAAGAATATAAATATTATGATATTTCCAGCTTTGGAAAGAAATATGGTATGTATTTATTAATTTAAAATATTATTACAAGACAATTATAAATGTTAAAATAAATAATTTCTATAGACAGGTTACCTTTCTCTATTAGAGTGCTCTTAGAAAGTGCTGTCAGAAATTGTGACAACTTTCAAGTGAAACAGAGCGATGTAGAAAAAATTTTGGATTGGGAAATTAACCAGAGTTCTAAGGATGGAGTAGAAGTAGCTTTTAAACCTGCACGAGTAATATTGCAGGTACAAATCTCTCGGAAAGATAAGTTGTAGATGTTTCTTATTTCTCACTAAATTCTTCTTGCAGGATTTTACTGGAGTGCCTGCTGTAGTAGATTTTGCAGCAATGAGAGATGCTGTTAAAAGGTTAGGAACTAGTCCGGATAAGATAAATCCTATTTGTCCAGCAGATCTTGTTATTGATCATTCAATACAAGTTGACTATGTTAGAAGGTAAATTTTCAATGTTGTACTATGTTTCATTGTGATATAAAACAATCTTATAATTCTATTAACTTGTCTCATTTTAGTAATGATGCTTTAAAAAAAAATGAGGAACTTGAATTTGAAAGGAACAAGGAACGATTCATGTTTCTAAAATGGGGAGCCAAAGCATTTGAAAATATGTTGATCGTTCCTCCAGGAAGTGGAATAGTACATCAAGTGAATCTAGAGTATTTAGCTAGAGTTGTATTTGATACAAATAGTTTACTTTATCCAGATAGTGTAGTTGGAACAGATTCTCACACAACCATGATTAATGGACTTGGTGTACTTGGGTGGGGTGTTGGAGGAATTGAAGCTGAGGCTGTTATGTTAGGTCAAGCAATATCCATGCTGGTACCACAAGTTGTGGGTTATAAATTAGAAGGTGTTTTGAATCAGTATGCTACTTCAACAGATCTAGTTCTTACAATTACAAAGGTACAATTTAGATTTTTAATGTATATCAAATTTCCACGAAATTTCAAAGAATTTTTAAGAAACTTATTTTTACGTCTAGAACCTTCGTCAAATTGGAGTGGTTGGAAAATTCGTAGAATTCTTTGGTCCAGGTGTGTCTCAATTGAGTATAGCTGATCGTGCTACGATATCTAATATGTGTCCAGAGTATGGCGCTACAGTTGGATTCTTTGCAGTTGATCAGCAAAGTTTAACATATCTCAGGCAAACAGGTAAGTGGTTCTGACAAAGTTTAAAATTAATGATTAGTATTTATCTTAATTTATCGTATACGATGATTATAGGAAGATCTGAAGAACATATTGATAGAATTGAGAAGTATCTCACCACCGTGCGAATGTTAAGAAATTATGACAATGCAAATCAAGATCCAATCTTCTCAGAAATAGTAACGTTGGATTTAGGAACGGTTGTATCCAGTGTCAGTGGTCCCAAAAGGCCTCATGATCGTGTTTCTGTGTCGGACATGAAAGAGGACTTCAAGAATTGCCTTACTAATAAGGTTACAGTTACAATCTAAATCATTACATTATTAACACAAGAAATTACATTCATATTAATACGCTAATACATGTAGTATGGGAAGTTTAATGTTAGCGTGGTAGTATGCAATGGCGATGATTGGTCAGTATTCGTATGGGACAAACATAACCCAGTGACGATCAATCATTACCGTCAACCAGGATCACGTTCATCCCATGCCGTACTTCGATATTTCATCCACCGGTGCTGTTTGCGCGTTTCCAAGTGTGATTGCGTGCGTCTGAAGTTCTTCAGTGACGGTGAAGAAAGAAGAAAGAATCCCAGGTAACTACTGCTGTGATATGAATCTTTCGTCAATGACACATCACAGCAACAGTTCCTCCGGACTCTTTCATCTAGAAAAGATTGTTTGCGGTGTGTCTCTAAAGCGAAGCTTTCATAAATGCCACAATAAAATTTGTTACCTTGTCTATCCACGACGTCTTGTGTCACGAAGGTATGTCTCGTACATTTTGCCTTGCTGATCTAGCTTTATGGTCTTTCGATTCACCATACAGTTAGATCACCAAAGAAAAATAAACGGGACTGTTTGCCGATGTATTATACTTTGATGAGCACGTTTCTTGACGTTGATAATCTCGTTATCAGGGACGAGTATTTCGATCTAGTCACGAATCCAATGCAACGTTACACTAGACGAATACTTCGTCTCTAATAACAAGAAAGTAGTAATTAATTGCACGAATAAACTTGATGGTAGACATTGTAGATTAGAAGCAGACATTGGATGAATCCTACCCGGTGAGGTTATTAATCCAACCACACCGGATGAGATTTCATCCAACAGCAGCCTCACTGGTTAATCAGATTACGTTTCCGGAAGCACGTCCTCTCGACTGATTATCATTTACAAATTAAATAATTAATTTAGAGAATATTCACTAATACTATATTTTCGATATAAGACACAAACTATCTCTGTTAGAATATACAGAAGACACTAGTTGATTTCGAAGACGGTAATTCACTGCTCGCACGTTAATTGTACACTGATGACCCTCCGCGCTCATCAAGCCTCACTTATATATGTTTAGGATGTCCCCACTCTTCAGAAAACGGTGCAGGCCATCAGCCATCCTCTACAACCTGATGAATGTCCCACGAATTTCCTATACCCTCAGCGGGTCAGGTAGACGAGGATTTTCTATTCTGGGGTGTACGAGCCATTTTCCTATATTCTATGAAATCATACATTGCTTTCAGGAATAGCTGAAAATCAATTTAGTCAAAATTAACATTGGTTCAATTTTTGTTGTTAATATGGAATAAGGCAAATTGGTATCTTTCAACTTATTGAAGTTGATTGATTAAAAACGAATTTTATAATTTACTTTAAACTAGGTGCTCTGTAAAAATATTTTTATCTTCTGCTATTTAAAGTAAGTTCCACAATTAAAATAATCATACATGGAATTCAAGTTAAAGTCTTATATATGAATAATTAAATAACGTGTGTTGTATATTTTAGATTATCTTATTTTAATGAGTCGGAGTTTATGACACTTACATTGGCTCAAATAGGTAACGATAGTCGTGCGAACGTGATGAAGCAACAATGAGCGGTCGTAATTTTAAAAACAAGTTACCGATCGATTTCTATTGAAAAATGTTCAACATTGGAATCGCGTTACTATGCTATAACAGCGAGGACATTTGCTGAAAACTCATCCACGTGAATCAGAAAGCTGACTGTTCTTTCGCGCTGTGAAATTCGACGCCCTTTTGTCATCGATTTTGCGAATTGACTATAATGGATCTAGCGTTTTATTTTCCTTTTCGAATTCTAGATTTAAAATGTCAGACACTAACGCACGATTGTGAAAGCGGAAATGTGAAAATTCAGAGATTTAGAAATTTTTAAATTTAATGGTTTAGTATGGATATAGAAATGTAATGCGTAACGTTCATAGTTACTTAAATAGAATAGTAATATTTCATGAAGTATATTTATTCATAAAAAGCGTTTAAATTGAATGAGCAATATTATAATTGTAAAATTACTTTTATACTTACTGATCGATCGATCTTGAATTTCGCAAAGAACACGAACGACTGTCGATGAGGCCACGAACATCGTGCAACCTCGCTAAAATTGCTGATACAATATCCATTCATTTTGCAAAGCTCACGCGTTTTATTGCATACCACTGTCATACGTCCACGGATATTCACTCTGCCTCGTATTGCAACGATTGGTATTCGCGTTCGCACGAATTGTTTCTATAAAATTATTTATATCGTTAAATTATTTATTCCATAAATTATATCGTTGAACCATCGCTTTAATGCTTTGCTAAATTTTGAAACGTCTAATGTCCCTTTACGGTAAAGGTCATTTAGTCGAGAGGTATTGGCTCCCTTTAATTTCTAGTCATTTGAAAAGAATGGGGATAGCTGGCATAGAATTTGTGAAAGCAATAATGTCTTCAATGCGAGAAAAGTCCAAACAATGACATCAACAAAGTAATTGTTTTGAACGATATCCTTCGCAGGCTAAGGATCCTTTAGCAATTTAGGCAACGACTTTAATACTTCCAGGCACTAATTACAATGGCTATTATATAGAGATTGTCCCAGCAAAGCGTGTACATATTTTCAATATTAATATCAATCACAAAAATTATGAGGATATTTTCAACATCTGTTATTTTATATAGTAATTTTAAATTTAGATATTTCCTTAAAAATTTGTAAATATAAAATGTAATTAATATAACATGAAATTATTTTAAAGGATTTGTAATACTTGTTGTTAACATATTATATTTTACAATAACGTTGTGATGAATTAAGATAATTACAGTTAAAAAAGATATTGAATTTTGAAACAAATATAGAATTCGCTGCTTTATGCTGTACAAATGCTTCTTCAGCAAATAAGTCGAGGGACAATGAATTCTAGAATGTGAAAGGTCATTTACATTCTTAGGTCATCAAACTTTCTGAGTAATTTTTAAGCGTGGATGTATTAAAATTTATTTTTCAGTTGTTTGTATATTATCGTCAGCTTGCATGAGATTGTGCAAATATTTTGCTGGAAACTTGTTTGAATTACATCTGCTTTCACGAGTTATAGAAGTATTACACGTATACCGTATTTGTTTCCAGGTAGGATTTAAGGGATTTGGCCTAAGCCCTGAAAAGGTGGACACCGTAGTTATGTTTGAGTTCGAAGGCAAGGATTATAAACTGAGACACGGTTCGGTGGTCATTGCTGCAATTACTAGTTGTACTAACACTAGCAATCCTAGTGTCATGCTTGGAGCAGGTAAAGAATAATATAACGTTTTATAGTATTAACTGTTTTCGTTGAAATGATTCCTTATGGAATAATTAATTCTGTAGAATAATTTTTACATAGCTGCAGAAATGAAAAATTTGTCTCACAATTTCAGGTCTTCTTGCTAAAAGAGCAGTCGAAGCTGGTTTAACCGTCGCGCCTTATATTAAAACATCACTATCTCCCGGATCAGGAGTAGTAACTTATTACTTAGAAGAAAGCGGGGTCGTTCCATATTTAAAAAAATTAGGGTTTGACACCGTTGGATACGGATGTATGACCTGTATTGGTAACAGTGGTCCACTACTGGACGTTATAGTTGACGCCATTGAGAAAGTAATAATCTGATAGTTCGAATTCATATTCAGATGTCAATTGAACGATTTAACTCATTATTTTCTTTTAATTAGAATGGACTGGTATGTTGCGGCGTACTGTCTGGTAACCGAAATTTCGAAGGCAGAATTCATCCTAATACACGAGCAAATTATTTAGCGTCGCCGCTTTTGGTAATTGCTTACGCCATTGCTGGAACGGTGGATATAGATTTTGAAAAGGAACCACTAGGTGAATAATTGTACCGCTGGAAAAACCGACATCGAATGCTACCTGATACACTTGACTTACAATAAGGAATATTTTAGGTCGTCGAGCCGATGGCACTCCCATATTTCTTCAGGATATTTGGCCGACTAGAGCAGAAATTCAGGCTGTAGAACAGAAACATGTTATTCCAGCTATGTTTAAAGAAGTTTATAGTAAAATCGAGAAAGGTAGCAGTAGCTGGGCTTCTTTGGTAGCTCCTGAAGGTAAATTATATCCATGGGATGAAGAATCTACATACATTAAAAATCCACCGTACTTTGATAATTTGCAAAAGGTAAATTGAATGTTCTGATATGTATATTAACAATATTTGAGTATATATCATTTAATGCTAATCTATAATTTTTGTAATGTTTAGGAGCTGCCAAAAATAAAGCCAATTAGTAAAGCACGTGTTCTCTTGAACCTTGGAGATTCTGTTACAACAGATCACATTAGTCCAGCTGGAAGCATCGCACGCAATTCTCCAGCAGCACGTTATCTTGCGAGTCGGGGGTATGTCTGAAGTATAATTAGTAAAATAAATAAATTAATAATATTATTATTCGTTTGGTTAATTTTCTTGCTTTCAGATTGACGCCAAAAAATTTTAATTCTTATGGATCTCGTCGAGGTAATGATGCTGTAATGGCACGGGGCACCTTCGCTAACATTCGTTTGCTTAACAAATTTCTTGGAAAAGCTGGACCACGTACAATTCACATTCCTACTAAAGAAGAGGTTTGTAGCAAGTATAAAGTAAATTGTCTCCAAAAATTTAATTACTGATTATTTTATAGATGGATGTTTACGACGCAGCTGAAAAATACGGTAAAGATCAAACACCCTTAATCATTCTTGTCGGCAAAGAGTATGGATCAGGATCTTCAAGAGATTGGGCTGCGAAAGGGCCATATCTCCTTGGAATTAAAGCAGTTATAGCTGAATCTTACGAAAGAATACACAGGTAAAATTTCTTTATCAAATAAACTAGAAATATAGGGATATGGGATTCCAAGAATTTAGGAATATATTATAATTCATATTATAAACTCCTTATATAAATTTTTAATAATGAAAAGACACTGTTAGTATGTTAGTAAATTGTTAATATCAGAGTGTAAAAAATTCTTAAATTTCTAAATTTCGGTGTGCCATTGCCCACCAAAAAAGGAGACTGTGAAATTGCACCGTATAAATATTTACGTTTCACGGTATTTTATTGTCTCTCCCATACTTTTCCAGGTCAAATTTAGTAGGTATGGGTATAGTGCCATTACAATATCTACCTGGACAAACTGCGGAGACCTTGGGATTGACCGGTTATGAATTATACGATATAGCAATTCCCGAGAATTGTCAGCCTGGTCAAAAAATTACCGTTACCACTGACGATGGCAAAAAATTCGAAGTAATTACACGATTTGACACCGAAGTAGACCTAACGTACTTCAGACACGGTGGCATTCTGAATTATATGATTAGAAAAATGCTTTGATATGATGTTACTATGTCACTGTAAAATGTTACTTAACGGAATACTTAATTTTGGGTTTGGATTTGCAGCATATAATGTCTGATTGTATCCATATCCTTTATGAATAAGACAAATAAGTTATATAAATAAAATAAAATATTGTTTCTTTATTACAAATCGAATAACGAAGTGAAGAGACAAAGATATCAAATTAGTTGGATAAATATATTTATTTTCGTGTATTACAAATACTTGTCTTAAAGTGCTTCGGGTGTTGTGCACGGTGAAATAACAATTTTTTAAATAGTACAATTTGTTACAAATTTACAGACGATGTAGGTCAAGTTAAATTTCCTACGTTTTATAAATATCGTTTAAAAAATCAATATTTGTTAACATAATAAAGTGTTAATAATTATTGTATTAATGAAGTTTCTTTTAATCTGTTGTATAGTTAAATTGCTTAATATTCCATGTTACAAAGTGCCGCAATTTATATGGGTATACATTGATACAGATATTTTGTATAATCAGTATAGTACGATTTTCTAACAATTCGAATTAAATAAATTATACATCTGTTTTATATAAGTTAATTTGAGCTACTTTCGATTTATTCTATTATTTGTTCGTATTTTAGAATTTCTTTATAATTACATTCTTTGTAAGAATATCCTGAGAATTTGAGTTCAACTAGATGCTGATCCGTTGCTCCATATAAATGAGTACTATCAAAACTGAGAGAATAAACAGGGCTGGACATTCTACGAAGATTCATAAAATACAGCTGAAAAAGTACAGAATTGATCATAAATATTTAGTTATAAACTGAGGTTGCTTGAAGAATACTCTAATACTAACTTGTACATAGTTTCTTTGTCTTTGATCCCAGAGAACAGCTTTACAGTTAAATTTAGTTCCAGTGATCATGGTGTACTGATAATCCGATGATATGCAATATAAAGTTGCATCTGTTGGATCTGGCCATGAATATACACATGTACCAGTTCTAAAATAATATTCATTATTAATCATACATTGATGGACATAAAATGATTTCTTCTTATATATTTGAAACATTTACCTCAGGTCCCATTTTCGAATATAAGTGTCATAACCACAAGTAAGCAAAATGTGTGGACTATCCCAGACCATATCCAATGTTCCTGCACATCTCTTATTGTCAGGTCTTAATATATCAGATTCATTGTAACTGAAATTTTATTGGTATAAAACTACATTTAGTCTTGTAAATGTATATTTTTAAGAATGTTCTGATTTTTAACATGAACTGCAACTTACTATTCAAGATCAAATATGTGAAGATGAGGTCTCTCAGTATCCCCAGCTGAGCCAATAGCAACTTTTCTACTTGTCGGATCTGCTGAAAGAGAACATATCCATTCTGCAACATTTATTGTTGCTAAAGGTACATTTAAGATTTTTTGCCCAACAGGTCCCCAGATCTAGGTATCCATATTTTTTAAGTGTTATATTAGTGGAAAGTATGATTTTTGTTAGTTATCTACATATTTGATATGTAAAAACTTACTTTAACTGTACCATCACCAGAGCCTGATATAATTGTTTGAGGAGTTTCATCTATCGCATTTACATGACCTGAATGTGCTCTGTCTATACTAAAGCAAAATTCTATATTTTGGTTATATCTTGATTGTGTCCAAAATTGTATACTGCCATCTCTGCAACAAATAATTTAATTTAATCAGACATTGCTATATTATAAAGGGATAATCATCCAAGGTCTAGTAATAATAAAATAAATAAATACCTGTGGCCAGTAATTATGCATTCATTATTAGCAATAAATTTGCAGATATCGCTTCTAACATTATCAGCAATAAAAATGCGATTATTTGTTGGAAATTGTTCTGTTCGTCTAAAACCATACAGTTGATATCCACCACTCCACCATAAAATGTCTTTAGTTAATTGAACGCGTGGCTTCAACTTGGTTTTTTGTGAAATGAGAATTTTCTTTTCATATCTGCCATGCTGCCAATTATGTGAAACATGCCACTTTGTGCGCAAGCATAATAATGGATTGCACCTATCAAAAATGAATAACAAACTCAGTATACCTACTTTGTATGTATGTATAATTTTAATATAGTTGAATACATTTGAGACAATTTATACTTTCAAAATAACATGTATTTCCATTCCCTAAGGCAATTATAATGATTTTGCATATGTTTATATGAATATTTGCTTATTTGATTCAAAGTATTTCATAGAATTATCTAGAACTTTCTAGATTTTGAATATCATGTCCATTGATATAATATATATTATAAAATTTTTAACACATGGAAGTTCTTCAATAAAAATCTATTATCAAGTATAACTAAGACTTTTGTTATAATATATATTGTATAAATGATTTAACATAACCTAAGATACCTTTCCCGAAACTTTGGCGAAGTTTGATTCGTCGCGATCGGCTGTTTACTCTTTTTGATCCAAAGGGTTTCTTCATGTATAATATCGTAAAATCGTGTACATACTTCACTGAGTCGTACCAAATCGAACGCATGACAGTAATCGAAAATTAAGATCAGAACGTCAGATGGTAAGGTGTCTAAACACCACACATCTGTCATTTTTGTCAAACTAATCACGTGTCCCGTGTCTGTCTTGAATAGAACAGCTGTTGAACTTCAACATAACACGTGAACTGTCACGTGCAAAAACTTGTCAAAATAAAGAAGCGCAATAATCATAACGGCGAACATTATATTTCATGAAGCGAATTTTATTTTGTTAACATACACTTCTTTATGTTTGAAACTAATTATATTATTTACAATTTTATATCTGCGTTTTTTAAATCGTTATAACAATGTACAAAAAATGTATTAAGTATAACATTATCTATATAACAATATAAATTGTATTGTATATAATATTATGCATTTATGGTAATTATATATTAACAATTTGTATCAGTAATTATTATGATTCCAGCAACAGTATTTATAAATTTAATTTGAATTGTATATTTTTTATAGTCAACTTTCTGCAACAGTGCAGTCTCTTTGTGCCTCTTCAGGCGTTTTCCACTCAACATTCTTTTTTGTATCTGTATATAATAAGTAAAACAATTAATAATACAAATATATTAAATATGAAATGGTTACAGGATTAAAAATGATTATACCTGGTGTAGTATCTTTTAAATATAAGACGTATAAAATGAGGTATGCAAATGCAGTTATAGCAGCCAATAATGCATATAGCCGTAATGTTATTACACCACCAAATACTTTATATAAAACTCCGCCTACTAAACTACCAATTGCAAAACCTGAAACCAAATGAAATTTCAAGATAAAATGAAAATCACTCATTTCAGTAAGAAACGAATTTATATTATTCCCGAATAAGTTTGATTACCAAAACCATCATCCATCCCAGCCACGATTCCTTGAACTGTAGCTGAGGTACCAGGTGGTGAGACTTTACTTGCATATGCAACTATTGTTGTGTAACAAAGTGCATAAGTAGGTCCTTGCATAAATAATTCTATCGGAATGACCCACCATGGAGTCACTGCCAAAGAAATTAAACCAAATCGCAAAGCATAACATACAAAGCAAAATGTAAAAGTGTATCCAAATCCTAGTTTCTTTAAAATTTTACCTGTTTACAGAAACACAATTAAATAACGATAAAATTATATGAAAACGAGGAATGTGTAAAAATATGAAAATAAATGGTTTACCAGACATGGAGAAAAATATCACTTCACCACCCAATGTTTCTGCAGCAACTATTAAACCTTCTATTAATTTAATCTCTCTCATATGACTGGTTGCCATAGCAAGATCTTCTAAGTACCTATTATAAACAATATTACTTTCAAAATTCAAATACAATTGTATTCCATTTTAGCTGGTAGTTACATTAACAAAATGGTAATTTACCAAAATAAGAAATAAATGATGAAGCTGTCAAGAATTCCAGCAATAGTTGCAAAACAAAGAAATATGATTATGGGTTTCAATTTTAAAAGTTGGAAGACATCTTTTAATATGTCTGTTGACCCTGTCATAGTTGGAAGCTGTGAATAAGACAGATTATATATATATGACAATCTGCTGTTGCTTTAAATCTATACAATAGTACTTACATTTAATTTCTTGCAACAAAATATATCAATGAACGAAAATACAAAAACAAGTAGGAATGCAGGTGTGTAAGTTTTCATAATTTCTCCATTAGACCAATTATCAACTGCAGAACCAGCTAATAAAGCTGCAATTCCAAAACCTATAGTTCCCCAAACACGTTGTCTGCCATATCCCATTTGGTTGTCACCTGTAATTTCATATATAACATTACATATGTAAATAAGTAATTTAAAACATGCACAAAAAAAATTCAAAAGGATATGAAATACCTAATACATCAAAACAAATTGCATCACTTATGCAGTTGCTCACATTAAAACCAATATTACCAAGAGACATTAAAAGAATAAAACCCCAAAAAGTTACAGATGTATATAGACAATGGTTTTCTTCAAAAGTATCACAGCTAATATCACAACTAGTATTGTTAGAACAGTATGATGTAATATTCACATTGATTAAACATGTAGTGTTCGAAGAAAAATTGACTTCTTCATTAATCCCTTGAAATTGTATTGGCACAGAAAAATTTGTATTCATGCAAGTCCAATGGCACATGCTATTTTTTACTCCAGTACATAATTCTGTCCTCAAGATATCCTTAAACAATGCGGTAATTATGGATCTTTATATTTTAAATACATGTATGACAGAAATAATGTATAAGTGAAATATTATTATAACTGAAATAAAAACTTACTTCTTGTGAACACTGAGGTAGTGAAGTACAAGATACATTATTAAACTTGTGGTCCGGTAAAATTGGGCCTGGAAGTACTGGTAAAAAGTACATACAAACATAGCAACTACTTGTTGCTGTCAGTAATGCAATAAAAATTGTTTTTCTCCAAGTATGAAAATAGTCCACAAGGAACCCAAAAGCTGGTTTAGCGATCAAAAATAAAATTGGTAAAACAGATGTGATGCTACCCATGACTAAAGCAGAAATACCAAGTTGTTTTCCATAAACTGGTAAAAATGGAAGAATTGGTCCCATTGCTGCAATAGGAAATAATATAAAAATACCGTGTGCTAAGGGAAAGTATATTAACAATTGAAACAATAGGAGTAGTTATACTTACCCGCCATGAAGAAGAAATAATGTGCCTTTATAGGCAGTTGTGTGTAATTTAGTTTCATCTTTTTATTATTATGTAAAAGTTTGCATTTTAAAAGAATATTTAATAAAATATTAAATAACAACAATCAAATTGAAGGCAACATTGTTTTCTAAAATCAAAATATATTATTATGCACAATTGACTATGATAAGTTAATACAGATATAAGAGTACATAACAGCATATTAAGAACCATATACAAGTCAAGATAAGAAACTTAAATATACCAAAATCAGAGATATCATATCACTTGTAATAAATCCTACTGTGTTATTTAATAATTGAGATTAGATTAAAAATATTCTAGTAATTAATAGTTGCACCACCTACAATTTATCTATAATAATGCAGTCAATTTTATACAAAACAACTTACATCACTGGGACAAATTAAACTGATATACATATTAGTATCAGCTGTTTGTCAGGATTATTTTCCCTTTCTTGACAGCTTCCATACTGTCAACTCATGACACATATATACAGTACACAGTAAATGCGTACTATGTATTTAAAACGGAGGGCTATTTTGTGTACACACTGGTCCACACACATTTCCGATTTATTAAAGTTATTCTGACTTGTGTCAAAGATATGGTTCTAATAGAGCTATTTAAATCCATTTCACGTATTAAAACTACCGAACGGTAATCTAAATGCAGCGTGAACTGAGATGGATGGAACTCAACTTGTTAATGCATTTATTAGAAAGAAATATGCAGATGTTGTTCGAAAGTCCCATTACCATTTTCATGTCACATTCTACTATATCAATTAGGACTGGTTTCATCGTAGATGAGGTACATATAACTCATACCAGTGTTATTCGTATCGTACGATCTGAAATGCCTAGAATACTAAAATATCATTACAGACAGCTTGTTTTTTCTACAAATACTTTTAAAGTATTTGGAAGGCCTTATTATTGTATATTATACATCATTTAATTTTGCGCGTTCTTTCTCTGAAAACAGTAGAACTAACACCATCTAGCAGTGATGGGCAGTCTCAGCGCATGCGCAGTAAGCTATCCGTAGAAGTCCTCAGTAGCGTATACACTTTGATGAAATATAAGGTATCATTAGGCCCTAGTGAGGAAAAAAAAATAAATCTGAAGAAAATTGCAGGAAAGAGAATAAAAGGGTTAAATAATACAACAGATTATATATAATAAAAGTAATATTAAATTTATTTATAATTCTTATTATTTTTCACGTTTACAGCCGATTTGTTATATAAATACCAATATTTGTTGCAAGAGCAAAGGAAAATATACCGCTCCATTTTTATCAGATCTATGCATGTTAACAAAATAAAATCCTTGTATTCCTTTCTTATTGTTTCTCTGATATTATAATTTTCACACGTATAAAATATAGTTATTCAAAGAGGTCTTTCCAAGTCGTTTTTCTTAAATAATAAATTCATTCAGTGTTTTTAAAGTTATTGTGCTTTTGTGTTATTTTAAATATAATAATCTCCCATATTCCATCATATTATTCCCATTATATTATATTATATAACTCACTATATATATATATATATATATATATATATATATATATATATATATATATATATATATATATATATATATATATATATATATATATATATATATATATATATATATATATATATATATATATATATATATATATATATATATATATATATATATATATATATATATATATATATATATATATATATATATATATATATATATATATATATATATATATATATATATATATATATATATATATATATATATATATATATATATATATATATATATATATATATATATATATATATATATATATATATATATATATATATATATATATATATATATATATATATATATATATATATATATATATATATATATATATATATATATATA